TCTATTTGACTATCTTGTCAAGCATTATCTACACGGGGGCGTTTGACTGAATCCTTCATTCAAAGATGTTTATTGATGCATTCTTAGAATTCTCTAATCCCAACAAAAATAGACATTACGACAAAGATGAAAGCATCTGAGCTGCATTTACCAGAATTGCCTAATTTACGAGAATCGACCAGTTGATCTGTGATTTTGATGTCATGGGGAGGCACGGCAAAACTGAGTTTATTGGTAAATTTCGTCACAGTTTTATTTCGTACTCGAAAGCTCAACGACTACCAGTTTTGGCTGATGGCGTAAGCAAACACGGCACGCCGAGAATGACGAATCAATATCTCGTACTCGGAGTCGTATGTACTCGTAGTCGTATGTACTCGTAGTCGTATGTACTCGTAGTCGTATGTACTCGGAGTCGTATGTATACTTGTAGTCGTATGTACTCGGAGTCGTATGTATACTTGTAGTCGTATGTACTCGGAGTCGTATGTATACTTGTAGTCGTATGTACTCGTAGTCGTATGTACTCGTAGTCGTATGTACTCGTAGTCGTATGTACTCGTAGTCACTGCTAAAGCTCTCTATTTAGTAGACCGAATCCACGCAATTCAAATTTCTAATTCCCAATTGACTGAAAGACGAACTCGTTTCTGCATAACAATAATAGAATTACTCAGAATTTTCAAGTGCCAAAGTCATATGAAATGGAGGAAATGATAATTCAGTTTTGTCCCAGATCTTGTTTCTGATTGAATTTTGTTCTATTGATCACGCAGCGGACTTCAGAAAGGAAACAATTTCCTTTTTATGCCTGTCCTTTGAAGAATATGAATTCGCTTTTCGACAGCAATACATGCAACGATTTCTGACAGCAATACATGCAGAGATATAGGAAGAAACATGCTTTGACAAACAACATCTGATGAACTCAAAATACGGGTTATAACAAACAACACAACAATTTGCGGTGATATTTCGACTTTATTAAGTTATTCTCAAACCAATCATCTTTTATTTTGTGTCAGATCATATCATCAAATGTTAATTATTTGATTTATTGAGTGTCAAAGTTGTCAACATACTTAATGAAATGTCGAATGATATTATTGGGGCAGTTTTTTTTAATTGTTGCGTATATTTCTGGTTCTACAAAAGTTAAAAAAATATGTAGTGGGATCTTAACTACTTTCATTGATAAGTCCACCATGTATAATTTCATCCCCACCGAGAGCATCGATGATCTTCTCAGCCTTCGGGTTAGACGCCAGGAACTGGTTAAGGGCTTCGAACCCGTACGAATCCTTGCAGCTCAGCCACTCCTGGATCTTATCTTCCTCCACCTCAGTTAACGAGACCCTCCACGGGGAGTCCTTATAGCGATCATTGCCTTCCTCATGCATGTACAACCAGCCGATGGTCACGTGCGCGATGTACTCATAGAGGACATGCGCCTCGGGGGAGTTTGGATAATCGAGCTTCACCCGTTGCACCTTCTCGAACATGTATTGCACGGTCGCATTGAGGATTCTCGAAACTTTCTCACAGGCTTCTTCCATGCTTGAAATTTTTTCGTCGCTGAGCCAGTGTTTAATTACGCTGTCGCAATTGATGGACTCCATAGTTTCGCGTTTGTACGAGTACAGGTCGTTGACGATAATACAGACAAATGCTGATACGATGTACATCTCACTGATTGTTGGAATATGCCCTTCTACTTTTCCCAAAGAAAATGAGGAAATCTCCACATAAGGAAGGAAAAACAGAGGCCCGCCATCAAAAATTCGACGCCAAAGTGTTTTGTTTTCCGTATCCTTGCGATGCATTTTCTTCTCCATCTCCAAACCTCGTAAATAGAACTCGATCGTGTTCAAAAACCTTCGCCGGAAGTCGAGCACGGCCGTCTCCGAGTATTCTCCGTACTCGATGACGCAGGATGTGACCTTGTTCACGAAGTCCATGCACAGCACCACGGGCGAGATAAGCTTGGAATCCGACAAGAACTTCAACGAACTTTGCATCTCTTTGATGGTTGGAAACTTAGGAAACATTTCGAAGACTGGTTCTTTTAGGTTTTCGTACGCGTCGCACATCTTCACTATGTCATCCAGATCACATTCCAGTTCTGTGCGGTCATCGCTGCAGTACAAGCTAATCACAAAGTGCAGAAAAATTTTGCAGGCTTCGACGCACAACTTATCCTTTGGGAGAATGGGATAGATCAATCGTATGAAGTAATAAGGCTTTACCAACTTCACATATGCTCGTACTACATTCTCATCGACTATATCACATTCTGTGATCCATTTTATCATCCCGTCAATGTCCACGAGTTCTGGATCCGGTTTTTCTTTGAGAACCTCCTGCTCTAAAACAGCCCATTGACGTGGAACACGAACCTCTTTGCCACACCACATGTTTCTTACTGTTGATCTAAGAACGAGAGGTGAGCTAGTCACAAGGACGCCGAAAACTAGAGGGATAGCACGAGCAACTGCATGCTCCTCTTCCCATTTACTAGCAGTGGCTAGCTAGGTGGACAAAAGATACGCCCTCTCTTGAAATGCCCCCGTTTTAAATCATATAGCTGCTCTGCATATTGGCAACAATAGAATTATATAATTACCATTACACGCTCGTCAACATAACATAACATAACTTTAATTCACTCGAAAATTTTTACAATTACAGTACATTACAATAGATATTTAAACAAATTAATACGAGCTTAGCCACCTATAGTCAAGGCTAGGACGCTAGGACACTCGCTGCTGGATTTTACAGTGAACCAACCCGAATTATCTCTAACCATTAAATTTTTAAAGAGGCAGTTCGGACAGTGAAAAAGTGAAATGGATGAAAAAGGTTCAACTTTGATTAGTTACAAAAACGCCATTACATACCAGTTAAAAAGGAGGTGCTACCTTCTTTAGCTTGCGAACTGAACAACTTGCCAACGTTTGAAGATATGAGGACCAAACGAAATTTCAAGTTCATAAATACCGAGCCATTTGACCTTTAATACAAGTAGCATGTATCCACCAGTACTGACTGGTACGTAATTTCAACACCATGGACATGGTCAAGGCCAAGTAGTGATACCCAAGGCGATCACGAGACGGGATTGGATTCATGAAAGCCGCGCAGCCTGAGACGATGAAAAATTCCACGCCGCACACAAATTTTCTGCAAGGGAAAACCAGCTTTAGTCAATGGCACCGATCCAGATTAGCTTATGTTTTATCAGTTAGAGAGATGCCCGTTTACTCTTCTGCGATTTTCTTCTTTTGATAGATGTGAACGAGTAGTTAGTTACGAATGCTCCAATGTGCACGAGCTCTTCTTTGAACATCAGTGTAACTGGTATAACAAATTCACTCTTTCATATCTATTAAAAGACGAACAAGTCAGTCAGACCGAGTGTCACAAACGACTGAAAAGCGATGGATTTTCTTGTGTGTTCAGCCGTTGTAGCGGCGCTTCTTGTCCTGATATATCGAGCATTTATCAAGGAGTTTGTTGCCGGTGGCGTTTGCACTAGCAAAACAACGATGGCTGGGAAAACAGTTTTGATAACCGGAGCAAACGCGGGCATCGGCAAAGCGACGGCCATCGAGATGGCAAAAAGGGGGGCGCGTGTGATCATGGCTTGTCGGGATCTGAAGCGAGGCGAAGCGGCGTTAAACGATATCGTTGAAGAAACTGGCAGCAAGGAAATCGTCCTCAAACAACTGGATCTTGCATCGTTGACTTCCATTCGTAAATTTGCCGAAGACATCAACAAAAACGAACCAAAGCTTCACGTATTGATAAACAATGCTGCACTTGCTTACCCCCCGGTACTGTCGAAAACTGAAGATGGCTTTGAAGTGACAATGGGAGTGAACTATTTTGGAACTTTCCTATTGACAAATCTGCTTCTTGATTTGTTGAAGAAGACAGCACCATCTCGTATTGTTGTGGTGGCATCTTCCGCTCACCAAATGCTGACAAAAGAGTTTAAATTTGAAAACATGCACAGCGAAAAGTTTTACCACAAAAGGGATGCTTATGGTCAAAGCAAACTTGCTTGTATGCTATTTACGAGAGAACTAGCCAAGCACCTTGAAGGCACTGGTGTCACCATCAACGCTCTTCATCCTGGAGTTATAATCACTGAGATAGCAACAAATTTCACACATCCAATTGGCATGTTCTTTATCATGATCGGAATGCATTTTCTGAGCAAATCGCCGGAGCAGGGGGCACAGACCACCATCCATCTAGCTGTCTCGAAGGAACTCGAAGATGTGAGCGGATTGTATTTTTCCGACTGCAAGTTAAAAGAACCATCGAGACATGCCCAGGATGATGGCGTTGCCAAAAAACTCTGGGAAATAAGTTCTAAACTTGTGGGACTTGAAAAATCTTAATAACGAGGTGTCTGTTACCCCTAAACCATGAACTAATGCGTACTTAATTGTACATCAAAGTGATCAAACCAAGACCTCTACTCTAATAATTAAGTCCCATCTTAATATAAATATCCTCTTATTTTTGAAGTGATTATGAAGTATGCATACTTCTTCTGACTATATAAACAATGCAATGGAATTTATGTGGGGAGTCTTTGAACCATAGAATAAGATGCATAGTATTTGATGTAATTGAGTAAAAAGATGATAAAAAATCAATATAATAGATTGTAGTAATGGCTTTGCAAAATTCCTTTCTCATTAGGAGATTCAGTTCTCATTAGGAAATAATTGGTATTTAATTAACTTTATAAATATTGATTGTTGAAAACAAATTAGCAAAACTTTGCTAAGCTGATGGCTCTAGTGGACCTCGCCCGTTTTGGGTTACAAAATATACTTTTAGGAAACGCAAACCAGTTCTACCAGCCCAGTGGGCCAACCCTATTTTCATACCCCAGCCCAGCCCAGCCTGGTGGTCCTGCCACGCGCGACGACTGCGTGTTACCCACGCTCGTCTTCAGGGCAAGGAGACTGGTGCCTGTTTTCAAAATGGCGTTGTTTTGTTGTCGTTTTATTGAATTCTCGCATAAAGAATGAGCATTTCCACGAAAATTTTGGCGACCTGCATTTCTTTTTGGCCATGAAAAAATCTGGTAGGTACACATTTCAGTGAAGCGCTGTGTATTTCATTGTTAGCTGTGGTTAAATATTGACGATCGGCTGACATTTGAATGCGATATGCATAATGCATGTTTTAAAGTGTTCATTACATTTTGTACACTTATATTGTTATTTTATTGTACGCTTTAAATGTATCCATATATGTTCTCTACTCGGCTCAGGAGAGTTCAGGCTCATATCTTATTTATTTAGTTAATGTTTCAACTACAGGCAGTTGTGAACTTGGGTTGTCTGGTTGACGAAACTGAATATGGACTCGTTCAATTCTGTATTGTTCATTATAAATTGTTCTTTCCGGACCCGTTTAGTTTATCAATAAGAAACCATTGTTTAGTGTTTACCGTTTCGACATCGCTGCCTTCATGTGGAATCGAGAATAGTCGTGATTTGCTACGAACCGAGGATAAACAAGGGTTAAGTTTTAACTCTGATTTGTCTAAAGTGAAATGTGAAAGTGTTTTGACAGCTCATTCACCATAGTCCTACCAGTGTCGCTTTAGTTCAAAAACAATGTTCATAAATCATATTTTGAAATCAAAGACAGATATTAGAGGGAACGAGCTTCGAGAAGGTACTGATTGTCTTTTTATTTTAAATTTTTTAGGTTTAAAAAATCCAAACAAGCCAGACAAGTTTAATGCGACAGACATTAGCCTCGTTATAATCCTGGCATTTTGCTCGTTAGTGATTTTATTTATTGGGTATCATTGTTGTCAACGAAAGCGGTCTAAGGGAAAAAATAAAGCAGCGAAACGAAGGATTCGAAATAAGGGAGATCACCAAGAAAATGGTGATTTGTTAGGTGGTTCATTTCAAGCATCGGACGACAGTTTAGACGTAAGTCATTTGCAATATCCTTGGTATATCATTCTACTGTAGCTCCCCCCTACCCTTGCCTGCCGCCACTTACATCTCATTTACCCAGAAAACCTACAACACTGACCTCACCCACCTCTCACATACCATTCACTGGACCTCCACCTTCCCTCGCCAACCTCTCATTTACCATTCATTGGACCCCCACCTTCCCTCACCCACCTCTCATTTACCATTCACTAGACCAGCACCTCTCCCCTCACTGACTCAGACTTTACCTTTAGAAGGAGAGTCAAAACTCGAACGCAAGTGGTCAAGAACCCCACAGGGACGAAGAGATAGAAAATCAAGGCCCGGACAACTATCCCACCAGACCATCTTTTCTCAGTCGAATAATGATGCATCGTAGTTTACCAACAAGTTCATTCATAAGTCGTGATAAGGACCGCACAAGCGGCTCCAAATCGCTTGATCATGCAAGCCTTTCTAAAGTGGATCCAAAGAAACAAGATTCAAGAGTTTCAAAACAAACCCGAAGTAAGTGCAAAACAAGCGACGCGAACAACAAGAAATCAGCGCATAGCGAAGAAAAGGAGGAAAAGTTCCGTTCCTCAAAGTGGTACGTCCCCAAACTGATTATGAATCGAAAAGAAAGTGGCCGCAAAAGCGATGGCAAATCAGGAAACACGACAAATGAAAAAGGAAAAGGTAAAAAAAACGGGAAGCAATCGGCCGAGAAGATCAACAATGAAGGAAACACCGGTTCCAGAGGTACAGCGACTTAAGAGTTGAAGAATGTTTACAGTTTTTTTAAACAATAACATGAATAAAGTTGTAAACAATTTCATTTAATAACTGAAGGTTTAATTTCAAATTGAGTAGCCTTTTTCGCAATGCTCCCAACTTGAGGGTGGTCGACGATAGAATAAATTGACTATAGCCATAGAAAGTATCATCGGCCATCGTGTATTTTTAAGCTACGGTTTAACTACTCAAATTGTAGTCAAGAGTTTATACAACCAGCCCAGCTTTAAAATTGTCGCACAGGTCTTTTCTTGCAAGTAATTACAAGTCTTTTCATTTGTTGAAAAATTGAATGCTTTCGTCGTAAATGAATACCCAAATGTTATCACAGGGAAACGAAATCCATATCCTCACTTGATAAAATTTTTTATTCAATTTTAAGATACGAAACAAGTTGAGCAATCCTTTGGCGAGATTCCTTCACTTGATCATGTCACTGTGAATGAGGACAGAACGGGGGTGATATATAAAAAAAATTATTCCAAAACCGAGGCAGAAGATGAAATTCGGATGGAAACTAAAGTTGGCAACGTAGAACAGGCGGTGGCCGATGCGATGATCGAAGATGCGATGATCGAAGATGCGATGATCGAAGATGCAATGATCGAAGATGCGATGATCGAAGATGCGATGATCGAAGATGCGATGATCGAAGATACTTCTTTGAACGTTGCAACAAAGCATAAAAATGGGAAAACGGACGAAAATATTTATGAAAATGTACCGAAAGATTCGATGCATGAAATAGAACCAAAAATAGAGAAAACAAGCGTGGATTCTTATCAAAATCCACCTTCTCCCAAAGATGACATAAGAGGTGACCTGTTTGCGATGGACGATGACACCATGGATGACACTCTGGATAATTTGCCGCGTGAAAAACCATCACTAGGGCTGCCTCGTCATCGTCTAGAGAGTATTGGCGAGGTTTATAATGTCGTGCAATACGCGAGAAACGAGTGGAAGAGCGAGACAGACAAAGCCATAGCTATAAGAGAAGTAAGAGTTTACGAAATCTCTCTGTGTATTAAACTGTCCACATGATCAGTTCCTTTACCCTCGAGACAATGCTTCCTAGGGAGTTTTGTCAGCCCAGAATCCTGCGGTAAAATCGTCTGGAGTTACACACTAAGTAGGCTGAATTGTACCAGGAAAGTTATCCTCACCAGAACCCACTGAAAACATTCTTTTATCAGTTTTTTACTAAAACTGATGGCTTTATATCACAAGGAAAACCTTTCTGACTGTTTCAAGCATCGTGGATGCGTCTGGGCATATTTTAAGTTAGGAGAATAAACAAATATTCAAACAAAAACCACTTGAATTACCACCATTCACGGACAAGCGGCTGAAGCCTCGGCAATTATTCCTAACTTTAATCACTCACTTGAGGATGTTTTATAGTTTGTTGATGTGTAATGTATAGGAAGTTAATCGATTGAAGCAAATTCGTACAGCTTATATATCACTAAATAGACTATATTCCATCCATCAGAGGTGAGATTGGATCCTCACAAACCGTTAAACAATTCGACTTTTTCTCTTTTCCAGGGGTATTTTCAGATTCCACAGTTGTTAGGTTTGAACAACCTTCGCGTGATCCGTGGCGACAATTATTGCGCAATACGAGCTGCATTATTTCAAGCTCTTGCGAAGAAAATTCCTATCCTGTCAAAACTGGGACGAATTCAAGAGGTTTGTTTGAATTGATTCCATAATCATTCTGTTTTGACGCCATGTCCGGTAACTTTGAAGGCTAATAAATCCATGAAGACAAAATCTTTCAATAACAAAATGTATTGCAAAGTTTTACAAAGTACCTTAAACTTACTTTTGATATATTCTAAATCTGCAACCATGGTTCCGGCACTTGAAGAGTGACAAACTTTTGGCAAAGTATAAACTGCAGCACTGTCAAGTCGAAATTTGTCCAAATTTTAGAGGGGATAGTTTAGGACCGAGAATGTTATTCAAAACAATTTATCACAACAGAATGTGGTGAATTTTTAGCTTCCACAAGAGTTGGCGAAAGACGGTTTTGGTTGGATTGATCGATGGAATTTTGCCTCGAGGCTTCCAGTTAGGAGAGATCAAGTTCGCGATGAATTAAAAGCCTGTTTGACTGAACTGTATGACTTGGTAAGATTTGTCGTTAAAGTCCTCCGCGCCTACTCTCGTTATGTATATTTCAAAACAGGATATTTCAATCATGATTTCAAATTGGTTTTGAAGATTAACTGAACACAAACGTTTCTTAACCAGGTTCAGTTGAACGCCCAAATGGAAAACGAGGAAGGAAGAGTCGCTCATCTTTTGGCCAATTTTAACTACAAACCAGTCGAGTTCGAAGTTCGAATTCTCGAAGCAGTGAAATTTTTGATGCTGGACACTGCGATAAAACTGCACACCCGGAGCAAGGCTGACGAAGATGTTCCTCTCTTTGCGATTATTATGTTTGCAAGGGATACGTCAATGAATCCTCGGGATTTTATGGCCAAGCATTTGAATGCTGTTGGCAATACCGGAGGTTTGGAGCAGGTATAGAAAACGGTCTAGTTTGTGACTGTTATGTCGATTTCACTTGCACCCAATTGTTGCTCCAAGGAGTCCAGTTAGAATCATCCTAAAGTTTGTGTTCCCTGACTGCTATAGACCTCTGGAATACGAGTTTAGAACTTATAGAGCTATCCAGTACAAATAAAGTCAATTTAGGATTCCTCCTGTAGTAACACTGGAACAATAAGAGATGATCCTTACTGGACCTCTAGGAAGAGCAGTTTAGAACTGATAGAGCTATTCAGTGTAAATAAAGTTAGTTTAGTTTAGGTTTCCTCCTGTAGTAACACTGGATCAATAAGAGATGATCCTTACTGGACCTCTAGGAAGAACAGTTTAGAACTGATAGAGCTATTCAGTGTAAATAAAGTTAGTTTAGTTTAGGTTTCCTCCCGATTAATCTAGTGCCAATATATGTTAATCGCTCTACTAGGTTGAGATGCATCTACTTGGCTACACGCTGGGAGTCACGATAAAGGTGGTCAGACCTTCGCACTACGGTCAGTCCGACTTCATAGCGTCGTATCCCGAAGATATGCCGGACCGTACGCCAGTGGTTACCATGGTAGCAGAGGACGATCGCCATTATAATATTTTAAGCTGAGAGTTATTGCGAGCATAGATTTGCGTGCCTGTGGCCGATAATATGAATTTCAAGACTTAGGACAAGTATCCGTGCAAAATATTCAAAGCCGAATATATTAAAATATATCATACAACACTTTCTCATCGTAAGCATTTAAAAATAAATTGGTATCCTATTCGATACAAACTCTATTGAAGATGAAAACTCGGTTACTATTCTTATTAGTAGTTATTGAATATTGTAGTATATTTGTGACCGAATACTTGTTGTAATAGAAAGTGAGTATTTTTTCAGTATAATGAACATACAGTCACCGTGAGGAACGCTCATGTCCGCCCTTTTACGTTTTATGTCCCCATGCATAACTCATTATTCGTCATTGTCCACTATTATCCAGGACAGTCACTGGTCATGTTAAACAACTAAATCCTGGCTTCTCAACCATAATTCTGCCTAGTTGTATTGCATATTGCAAAAAGTCGCATTGTAAGGCCGAGTTATCCTTCTGCACATTTCTGTTACTGTGTGTTCGTTGTATGTTTACTGTATATGTCTTTAAAGGAAAACAACGACAGCTTTCCAAAAAGTAATATAACAATATCATCAATTATATGTAATGTTTTTGTAATCAAGACTCGTCTTGTTTTGACCGAGCGAGTGTGCTGCAGTTTTTTAAAGATGGTTTTTATTTCAAATGTTCTGCTTGTTAGCTTGTATCGCTTTGTTTCAATCTGTGTTTCAACTTTCAACTTTCAATTTACTTTCATCAAGTACTTCGGTGACAACAGCCCCGTGATGCACCGCAAGGCTGGTTAATCATAAAAAATTTCGAATCACCCAATTGACCCAAAGCCTTGTGTAAGTCAAGTTCAAGCATGTCTCAAAAGCACAATCTAAGTTCTCGCAAACAGAGTTTACGCGAGTTATAAGCGACACTAACCCACACCGATGATGTCGTTCAGTCGGCAAACGGTTGCTGATTATTCGAGCAAAAACAGCCGGGATTTATAAAGACCGTTATGTGCATGCATACAACACAAAGTAAAACTACATGTTAATATTCTGGCGAACTTACCAACTGACGGCAATTCTTTAGCTGTAAAGCAGTTCCACGGTGAAAGAATGAATATGTACGTGTCTTACCAGCGCGGAACTTTCCCAGAATGATATAACAACATTTGGTAAACCAGTGCCGTTAACAAACAAGGAAAACAAGCCTGCCTTCGCTGACCACACGCTAATTTTGTTCAACGATAATCCTCTGCAAGCACGATTAGTTGAAAACAAAAGGATGCGCAAGAATTTTGAAGTCCCTTGAGGAGGGGAATTTTTTAAAACGTCTTTTGTTCTTTCTAATTGCTTATCAAACTTCAATGAATCCGGCCTCTGTTAAGCCGCAGTAATCACCCGTAAACTAGACTTTGTTCAATTTCGGCTATCTAAACAGTTAAACAGGAGCTAAAAGACAAGACCAATATACTGAAAAGATCATGTTGCCAGCTCCTGTGCCTGTGGTGTAAATGTAGCTTTTGTAGTTTCAGGAACAAACTTTATAATCATTATTATGAATCGGCGTTACATATTTATAATGCCGAAGATCCTAGAACGTGGAAGTCTACTGACATGTTTGTCTTGTAACGTGTCTCGTAACCTGTCTCGTTCAACACTTCGTGTTGTTATTAGTCCTATAAATGTCGTTTTGTCTTCTGTGTTGTATTATTGTAAAGGGCTGCTGTAATTGCCGTAAGCTGTAGCGTATACCCTGCCTTGTCCTATATCATTTGTGCTTATTATTGTACAGTAAGTTTGTGTGTATCTGGCAAAGCATAATAAATAAATAAATAAATAAATAAATAAATAAACTGACAGAACGCTCTTGAAGCTCAAATAACATCTTTCAATTAATACGTGTACATAAATATAACTTCGATTCGGCACGCGAGATGCACATGGTACAGTTAGTATTACAACAAAAGAAACTATCAGGATTATATCCACATGATAAGGTATAGAAATTAGATTTACAAAACAGTATGTTGTCTATCTATTGCTCGTCTGAGCGTTATGATCTAGTTACAATTATTTCCAGAAATTTTCAAAGTAAAATATAACACCATGTGCATCTTGCTTTAAAGTGGAACGTTGTTCAAAGTGTTGATGACACTTGACAATAAAATAAAACTTCAATTGAATTAATAACAATACTTTATACAATGTCATGGCTATTATTCCGTGGGCTCACATCGTCTCGTACTCCAGATGACCAAACCAATTACACGAGGTCAGTGGCTGACGAGCTTTATAGATTTCGCAACACTGGACTAAGATCAGAGCTCGCAAACAAAACGAAATATACTGAGCTCTAAATAGTCCTGGAGTATTAACTTCAATGAAAGACAAATGTTTCGGGGAAAGACTTCTCAGTCTCTATAGCTAAAAAAACTTTACACCTCGCTAGAGATTTCCATTCAAGATAATACTCCAGTGATTATAGAGATCAGAGACGCGGTAAAATGTTTTGCATTATCCCATGATCATTTTACACCCTCCATAAAAGTTGTATCAAAAGTGTTCAGCAACGTTCGTACAAAAGTCATTTCTTTGCGTGTGTTTTCAAATATAACTTTCGGGTCGTTTGAAGGACACCGTAGGAAGTTCGGTGCCCAGACCATCGCCAAGTTGTTCACGTCCATTTTTGTGATACTTATTACCTCCGCTTTGCAGAATATCTTGAGAAAATACCGAGTGAAAACCGTTTAAAATTGCCTAGGGTTCTCTTTTTTTGATAAATGTGAACGAGAGGTTACGTTACGGACGTTAAAATAAGGGCATTGTTACCCAGAGCATTTGTAACCTTTCCCTTGTTTGCCTCTGTCCAGAATATTGGCGAAGGTCTACGGGGTTTACGCCCTCGACCACTGTAGGATTTGAAGGCAGTCAAGCCAAGATTTAACTAAGGGGTATGGATTGATAACAAGCCGAAAACATTCCTGTTGGTTTTGTGACTACCAAATTACCAAAAGCATAAACGATGATTCTGCGCTTACCTGTAAAAACCGTATAATGAAACACAATACAAGACGATTGATTGTAGGAAGAGATGCAACAATACCGCTTGATATCGTTTCATCGTCACAATTCGTTATGCATCTTTCAGTGAGCTTAGTTAAAGATCATAACTAAATACTTTCGATTTTTGATAAGAGATGATCCTTACTGGACCTCTAGGAAGAACAGTTTAGAACTGATAGAGCTATCCAGTATAAATAAAGTTAGTTTAGTTTAGGTTTCCTCCTGTAGTAACAATGGATCAATAAGAGATGATCCTTACTGGACCTCTCGGAAGAACAGTTTAGAACTGATAGAGCTATCTAGCATAAATAAAGTTAGTTTAGTTTAGGTTTCCTCCTGTAGTAACAGTGGATCAATAAGAGATGATCCTTACTGGACCTTTAAGAAGAACAGTTTAGAACTGATAGAGCAACCCAGTTTATATAAATACAGTGGAGTCAAAAAGGATATTAAACAGACTCGTCAATGAGTGGATCTTTGAGATCTCTGAACCATTGTTTTAATAGTGAAGCTGCAACATTCGGGTCGTTGCAATCATCGGGGTAAGACCAACTGTCAGTTTTAACTTTGAGAGAGTTGACTTCGTCAATATCACCAGGAACACTAGGTGATGAAAATAATAGACGCTTAAGCTAAGCTGAGCTTCTACCAATCTCAATCACTCGGACTGCTAAATCACTGCGTCTCCACCCCCCTAATCATGCACATCAAACCATGCTGTGTTACACCACCAGGTGTAGATGCAGGGGGGAAGTTAACCTTCTGACATCAACTATTAACTCATGCCTCCACCCCCCCTGACCACATGCTTGACTTACCGGAATATTCCCTCGGTCGAGGTGCCCTGTTGTTGGACAATTTGTTCCGTCAAACAAGTCAGTATCCAGGGTAGTTTACGGTCAGGAAACGTCGTTCGTTGCATCTCCATCGTGTCTTCCAGTGTACTACCAAACATTGAAGGATGGAATATCGCTCTCTGTGAAAGATTTCAACAATTTACATTACCAATAGCAACCAAAATGGATGAAATATTTTTCGTCTCTGCAGGGAAACGACTCGTCAGTCAGCAAGTACTATAGATAGAAGCTGTCACCCCCCTGTAACAGGCCCATTTTATATCACCCCCGGGGGGGAGAGTGGTACTGCTTCTGTTAAAGCCGAAAGCATACAGTAAACTATGTTCTTCGTGGTCTTAATATGAATATGATATTTGGTAATTCTGAAGATATTTGTCAAACAGCTGGTACCCACCTTGGCTGCATTCACTTCTTCTTGTGTCGGTTGCCGCTGGCCCTTTCTTGAGCCTGTCTTCGCCATTTTTTCCAGCTTGTACAGACAATTTTCAGCGTATTGGGCGACACGGTTCTACAAGAAAGATCAACAGTGGAAAAATCCCGTAAAACAATCACAAGCGAGCAGAATAAAACATTGGTTATCAGTAATTTCCGTTGTAAGTGATTACTTCAGTGATTCAAGTAATTTCATAACACAAAAAATCCTTCGTCTTTATCGTCCACAAGTTTGTATGAAGTGGAACGAAAGTAGTAGTTATGATTTCCTTCCAAATTCTAGAGAATTCGAAAGAAATACTTACCGAGATTTCCTGTTCCAATATTTTGTGTATCGGCTTCTGGTTATCTTTGAGGTGATTATAGACGTATCCTTCCAGATAGCTGTGATATTTCGCCGAGGGAGGAAACATCGCTAAACACACCGCCATCAGTTCCCATCCTAACTCTAAACTTGTTCTGCAAAACAAAGAAAACAATGTTATGGTCGATGAAGGCGAAATCCAGGCTTCGTGGAGATAAAGACATCTGAAGTTATCTCGGTCATGAGGACAGATTGGATGCCATGGGGACAGATTGGATGCCATGGGGACAGATCGGATGCCATGGGGACAGATTGGATGCCATGGGGACAGATTGGATGCCATGGGGACAGATCGGATGCCATGGGGACAGATTGGATGCCATGGGGACAGATTGGATGCCATGGGGACAGATCGGATGCCATGGGGACAGATTGGATAACATGGGGACAGATTGGATGCCATGGAGACAGATTGGATGCCATGGAGACAGATTGGATGCCATGGGGACAGATTGGATGCCATGGGAACAGATTGGATGCCATGGGGACAGATCGGATGCTATGGGGACAGGGGGAGGGCAAGTCGGCCAAATTCAGTTTTGAGATGATCGGCTAAGGGTCTTAGGTCAAGACAGGTCAGATTAGCTGAGACCCAAATTCAGGCGTAATATTATATAATCAGCTAGGGACCTAAGATCAGGTCTGATATGATCAGATGAAACCTAAAATCAGGTCTCCTCTGATTTAATCATCTGAAAACCTCAAGCCAGATCAGACCAGACGGGTTGAGGACTTGAAATCAAACCATATCAAAAAGGCTAAGGATGCGACAGGTGGGTTTAGCAGTGGACCTGATGTTTGGTGAGATCAGGCGAGATAAAAAGTGGATCTCATCACAGCTTTGAACTTGAATCAAGCGACACGAGATGAGATCGCCAAAGGTGAAGTAAAATGACCAGTTACTTACGAACTGTTGTTGTCAGTTGTCTGCTTTATCAGTTGAAAATACAGTTCGTCTCGAAGTGATTGGTTTGCCCAAGCCTTCGTCACGATCTCTAATAACGCCGTTTCTGATGGCTTATTACGATTTGGCTTGTCCCCCATGTACACCAATACCACTGAAGTAATCATGTCAAGGTTCATACTACACAGCGGACATCGTCGTTAGCCCGTGCCTCCCCACCCTTCGGATGCGAGAATGGAACAGTTGGAATTATCCAGGGATTAGTTATCCGTTGGTATTTGAATTATAAAGGATACATTTAAACATCTCGAGTGCTTCCTTCTTCAGTTGTTTATCGCGCGTGTTCAGAACAGGTTTTTTGATTGGTTGCTACGGACGGAAAAATAATTTACTCTGAGATATGTTCCACCCTTTCTCGTCACTCCACTGTCTTTTTCCCCTCGCCCCTCTAGCTATAGGCTCTTCCCACTCCATATAGGCCAAGACCATTCTAAGGTCTCTCTCTAATCTATTCATCTATATCCATTCATGCCTATACTTCACCCCCTTGAAATCCCTACATAATAATTTATTCCTTTTGCAATACCCTCATCTCACCCACAGCCCCTACCTCCCTACCCACCCCCCTCTCTCTTGCTCCGTCCCCCTCTCCCTATCTTCACCCTATCCCCTTCTAACCCACCACCCACAACCAACCTTGCAATGACTAAACATGGAATTCAAATTATCCTTCTTGCCGAAGATGCTCCGCGAATGCACGGAGAAATCCGGTTCGTTGAATCTCTGCGTTGCAACTGGAGGTGGCGTAATAGGTGTCATGGGACTCTTTGGAACAGGACATGTATTGGATCTTTCCTGTGAGAAATAGCAAGAAAGGTTTGAGCATCTCATCTCGAAGTTCAATTCTCTAAGATGTACTCTTCTAACAACAACATTGAATGTTACTGAGAGATTTCAAATAAACTTCGCTTTATCGTCAAAGTATTCTGCCAAATGCAGTGTTTAGACGAAGCAAAAAGGTTCACCTCACGGTAATGCCATTAGCCGTTAAATGTTGGCTCTGTTTAAAAAACAGTGTAGTTTGAACGGGCTTCAGACGACCTGGGAAACCATTGTAAATGGGTAGCAAAACCCACTCGGGATGATCCACCACTGTAGAGTGATATCAAAATATATTAAACTAGTTTCAACTACAGATCCATTAACTTACAATTCGTTTCGTTGGCACTCTGAGCCCTGGAAGAGCGGGCGGCCGAGCGGGCGGGTTGTTTAACCCGCCGTTCGCTGACATCATCACAACGCTGTCAGAGACCTGGTGTTGATACTGTCTTGAGTTGCGGTCTTGCGGCGCCTCGCTGTCCCCAGAAGACTCCATAGGCTCGCAGTCTTCGACGAGGGCAGCGGTCGTTAAAGACATGCCACCTGATATAAGCTTCTGTGAAAGTGATTTGGGTCCTGAATAAAACCGAAAATGAGAAATATTCAGATGTAAACACGAGGCAGTGATCTTATTCAAACAAACTGTCAACAGAAGTTATCCGACTGCTAATACCTTCATCACCAGCCTCGTCCGACCTCAAATTATCGTAGGTAGAAAAATAAGGTGATGGTACGTTGTCGTAGGCCTTAGGGTCAAGCGAACTTGACCTTCTTCGTCCCCCTTCGTTACGTAAGACAGGGCTTGCGAGTTGTGGTCCATTGCTACTTCTATCACTAGAGAAATAAAGATAAGTTAGTTATAAGTTAGTTGTTTCTCCTGTAGTAACACTGGATCAATAAGACATGATCCTTACTGGACCTCTAGGAAGAACAGTTTAGAACTGATAGAGTTATCCAGTATAAATAAAGTTAGTTTAGTTTAGGTTTCCTCCTGTAGTAACACTGGATCAATAAGACATGATCCTTACTGGACCTCTAGGAAGAACAGTTTAGAACTGATAGAGCTATCCAGTATAAATAAAGTTAGTTTAGTTTAGGTTTCCTCCTGTAGTAACACTGGATCAATAAGAGATGATCCTTACTGGACCTCTAGGAAGAACAGTTTAGAACTGATAGAGCTATCCAGTATAAATAAAGTTAGTTTAGTTTAGGTTTCCTCCTGTAGTAACACTGGATCAATAAGAGATGATCCTTACTGGACCTCTAGGAAGAACAGTTTAGAACTGATAGAGCTATCTAGTATAAATAAAGTTAGTTTAGTTTAGGTTTCCTCCTGTAGTAACACTGGATCAATAAGAGATGATCCTTACTGGACCTCTAGGAAGAACAGTTTAGAACTGATAGAGCTATCCAGTATAAATAAAGTTAGTTTAGTTTAGGTTTCCTCCTGTAGTAACACTGGATCAATAAGAGATGATCCTTACTGGACCTCTAGGAAGAACAGTTTAGAACTGATAGAGCTATCCAGTATAAATAAAGTTAGTTTAGTTTAGGTTTCCTCCTGTAGTAACACTGGATCAATAAGAGATGATCCTTACTGGACCTCTAGGAAGAACAGTTTAGAACTGATAGAGCTGTCCAGTATAAATAAAGTTAGTTTAGTTTAGGTTTCCTCCTGTAGTAACACTGAATCAATAAGAGATGATCTTTACTGGACCTCTAGGAAGAACAGTTTAGAACTGATAGAGCTATCCAGTATAAATAAAGTTAGTTTAGTTTAGGTTTCCTCCTGTAGTAACACTGGATCAATAAGAGATGATCTTTACTGGACCTCTGGGAAGAACAGTTTAGAACTGATAGAGCTATCCAGTATAAATAAAGGTAGTTTAGTTTAGGTTTTCTCCTGTAGTAAGACTGGATCAATAAGAGATGATCCTTACTGGACCTCTATGAAGAACAGTTTAGAACTGATAGAGCTATCCAGTATAAATAAAGTTAGTCTAGTTTAGGTTTCCTTCTGTAGTAACATTGGATCAATAAGAGATGATCCTTACTGGACCTCTAGGAAGAACAGTTTAGAACTGATAGAGAAACTTACCTAGCCTGTCGCTGGACCTTCTTCGAGCCTTTTTCAGGGCTGAACGTCCTCAGGTTTCCCTGAGTGTCCACCATCTTATTAAAGAATGACGTGGTCCGTGGAATTTCTTGCGGCACCCACAACCCCCCGTCCTTAGGGGGTGACGCTCCCGTTACAATAACTTCCAACTCGGGGTTTGACTCGCCCAACTTACTATCGCAACTGTGAAATGAATCATTAAGGGCGGAGGTGTCGGACTCCGACAACGGACCATCGCTCACGTAACTCAAGTGCGGGGGGGAATTGCTGGACAAGTTACTATTTCGACCCGAAGGACTTTCCGGGGGAGGTATTAGGCTCCCTAACGAAGGTTCCAAAATATTTGCATCGTCAGCAATAATTTCTGCATCGTCAGCAAGATCGGCAATTTCTCCACTGATTTTGAGGTACTCGATATTTCGCGTGGTCGTGTCCATATCGTGCGGGCTCGTGTCCAGGTCCATATCCGAGGCACGGTTCGCGCGGTTTAGCTCTGGAACATCCAAGATATCGTTGCTATCGTCTCTTTCGGAAAAACGCCTGTCGCCATCCTGAATAGATTAAAACACACGGTCAGACGAGGTATATCTGATAATAAAACAGGCAAACGCATTTTTGGTTGCGGTCGTGTGATTAGGCTGACAACTAAGCGTTGCAATGTCTTCAAAATTCGCTTTAAAGTTATACGCAGAACTCCCGATGATTGGGTAGCTATATATCTCCATTTCTACCAATGAATCTCAGAGGCTCCTCTATTTCACAATAGGCATTCTTCGATTAGTATAATGAAATTTACTTCGGCTGGTACCCGCGAACCTGCAGCTGTTTTGCAACTCTACAGGGTGTCACGTACGCTTTCCCAAAGGACCGGAAGATGACACTCAAAATGAAAAATACACATTTCTTTAGTAATCGACCCGAAATGATTTATCCAAACAACTCGAAACACATAATTACTGCAGGATATTTATCTTGCTATGCACTCAGAAAAAAACAGTGGACATTTCAACTTTTGATAATATCTGAGCATGTTTAAAGATGGGCAATTCCTGCTATGTCCTAGGAGGCTTTGTTATTGAAAACAGCTGTTTTTTACCAAGATAAAAACTATATAGTATATATAACACTAGTTTCGATTGTCTGTCTGCAGACGAATACATAAAGATATAAAGAAAACATACGAAAGACGATATAGAGTTACGAAAATCCACTTTGTACGAAAATTATTTTGCAAAGGTGCAAGATACCCTTCAGGACAAGAGCTGGAATGGCCCATGGAAACATCGGCAAAGTAAGTCGAGAATCTTTCTCATAATTTCTCAACATAATTCTTGTCTCAAAAGGTGTTTTCTTAATACCGTACCATGAAGTGCAGTCTTTCGTCAACATCCGCACTCTCTCTTGCTTCGTTAAAGCTGTGAACGACCGTCTCACCATCCTTCGTCATCCCCTCATCTCCCTTCGAGTCCCGGTCTATCTCATCGTGATCATCCTTAGACGAATGTCCATGGCTCTTAGAGGATCTTGAATGGGAGCTTCGACTGTGTTTTCTTGCATGCGACAGACTCTCACCCGAATTATGTCGACTGTATTTACGAGGTAATGATCGGTCGGCATCGTTTTGACCTCGGTCCTCGCCGCTCTCCCTTCGGCCCGATGAGCTGCGACGGCGTTGAGAGCCGTCTTTCCGAGACGAACTTGAGCGGCGTTTTGACGCCTTTCCTTTTAGATTCTGAAATTGAATTTTTTTAGTTGTACGTTACATATTACCTCGCACATTTTCTCGTAAACATTGGGTTGGTTAGAGTTGGATTTTTTTTAAAACGTTTGTTGATAAATGTACCTGTAGCTTAGCTAAGGTTATGATATCCGATTCCTTGGGTTTTCTCCACTCTGTCTGTTTGGTATGCGCATTATAATAATAATATCGTCTTGTTTTGTCGTCGTAGAGTTCCCACCATTGATTTGTGCTCGTCTTCTTCCTGCAAATATATAAAGGGCAACTTAGGAAGTCATTTGATAAATAAATGGCTCATGTGCGAATATCTCTCAACTCTTCAAAGCTGCCGTACAGGGAGGTCGAGTCTATTGTCTTTTAGTTTTTCTCAGTTAAGAACGGAAACACGCGAAACTAAAGCTTCACTGTTACATAAAAATAAAGCTAATGAGAAACTTGGTGCAGATATTTATCGCTAGGGGAAAGACTATAGCTAAAATCATTACTTTCATCACTTTATATTGTCTTATCTGTGATTTTTATCATTGACTTATAGACCCCTCCCCCCTCTCAGTCTTACATACTAGTGATGGCCCCCCAATCCCCTCCCCCGCCCATGCTTGTTGCGAACTTACACTTTCGCCGAAGTGGGTGCCTCCCACAGACATTCTCCTGTTTTGATGTTGGCATACATCAGGTCCCCGGAACGGGGTTCACGAATTTCGACCCAATCAACCCTAAAAAACACACAATTCCACATCACTTAACAAAATATGCTTGATTCGCACCGTTTCGACAAGCTCCGCAAATTTTTCTTGAACTTGCCAAGTTCTGATTTTCATAGAAATGGTTTGTGAACGATGCTTCTGATTGGCTGCAGGAACGACGCTAGGCAGCCAATAAAAATGAAATGCCACGGTTAGAAACCTGTTTGTCAATTTCATATACTCATAGTCTCATACAAACTTTTGAACTTCAAGCATGCAATTTTAGTCAATTTTCAACTTTAATTAGTTCAACACAGAGGATTATCAAGGAATACGTATATCCTTTGAAACAGACCATTTTAAGCGAATTAAAGCAAGCATCACAACACCTACTTATTTACATAATCTTTTTAAACAAACACACAACGCTATTCAATAAAATTTGACTAAAAATAACACATGATGACTTGTCATTTGAGGGAGAGCAAAAACTGCGGAAAATAGTTCAATGATGCACCCAGATGTTTGTTATTCTTATGAGTTGTTCAACGATGCGTTCAGATGCCTTTTAACCACAGACAATTTTGTCAAAACGGAAAAAAAGTTCTGAGTTTTAAAAGCTTAATTGCGGACTGTTTTTGAAAGGGGAAGTGTCTGTATTTACCGTCAATCTCAAAAAAAAACCCGTCATCGCCCAGAGAATTTACATGGACGTAGATTCAATCAGATAGAAGTTTTAAATGAGACAAAGAATTGTTTAATAGCCTGCAGGAACTCTATAAACGGGAACAGAGTTCCTCTTCCTTATATTTAGTAGGAAATTTGTTTTCTAAATTGAGGGCATGTGTGTGGGTAGGAATATCATATCTCAACGCCATGAGCAAGGAATTCCCTAGCCTTGATATGGGCTGACAAAATCCTTTCGCCATCATTGGGATTCTGGGAATAACATAGAAGTGATTTCTGACTTCACTTAGAAACATGAAACTTACATCATTACAGGGTACAAAGTTTAACGTTTCTTTGTGAGAAATTGGGAAGAGAAAAGTTCAACATTGTTCATTTCAACAGCTGTAATATCAGCCAATACGCTAGCATTTTCAAACAAAGAGCCTTTATAGCTCCTTGACAGAGTTTGCAGTTAATGAAAGCAGATCACTCACATATTCACAATTCCGCAAACAACACTTGATATGTTTTGTTCAGATGGCTCAAATTGCTAAATTAAATTTCCGAAAGGCTCGCAAAAAGAAAATTATTAAATTAACAACGAATGATAATGGTTAAATTTGTAGATGGAATAATTACACAAATACTGTACTGCCAATTGTTTTAAATATGCTGATTTAATTATTTAAAGAAGACAAGAATTTTCTTGTTTTGCAAAATTCCTTTTCTCCAATTTTGGTAAGGCTGGAATTGCTTGGTGTTAAATTAGCACAAGATGATTGGACCAAAATTTAATGATGGTAAACATTAGTTAGTATGCCCTAAAACCATTTTACACAAGGATAATCCTGTTTTCTTGTGGTAACTAAAAATGTGGCTGTCCACAAGGATAGGTTTTTACAAGTCTATAGAACCATATATAGTCTTTCACTAGAATAGGCAGGACAATTCAAACATTCTGACATAAACACATGGAAAAAAAACAAACAAAAAAAAGAAAAGCATTCTTGGCCTATGCTTGAAGTTTCTGTTTATACTTTATTGTAATGTCTATTTTTGTGTTGTACATTATATTGCATTAATGTTTACCTTTGTTGGGATCAACAATTGCTTGGTAAAAAAATATCAAAAGGGTGGGAAATTGCAAACTTAATTCACACATACATATTTGTACAGTGGACTGGAGGAAAGGGATATAAAGGGAATAATTGCTATGAGCAAATGATTCCCTATAACTGCTGTGGGTATTTCTAAGAAGTATTGAAGTTCCTATTACAATTTTATTACAGTGAAGTTTAATTTAACCCTGGTGACACTGTCTTACAATGCTAAATGATTCTTATTCCAATCAGCTAAGGGGAATATTCTCAATGTCAATGGGTTAACAAGATCATCAAAACAAAACTCTTTTTAATCCATCAGCTCAAAATCCATCTTAACATTTCCCAATGGCGAATTCATTTGACTAGACAATTTCATCCTTTAATGCATCATGAGTGTTGAAGCTTTTTGAGGAAGTTTGGAAACAAAAATGTCCATTTGAAAAGAGAAGAAAGACCTTTATGTACAACCAAGAGTGACAATAAAAGCTCAGATAAAATACGGCCAGGCACAGACATGTCTGGGAACAACTTCCATGCAATTCCAGCTATTTGCATGCTAGACCCTTCCATCCATTGTTCCGAACACAAAAAGTGAAGAGTACAAAAGTTTGGCGCTGTCACGAATTGAATAACTTACATTGTTAATTGATAAAATTAAAGTCATTAAATAATTGACAAACGCCTCGTTTCTAACGCGAAGTCCCCGAGCAAATGTCAACATGCCTTTCGACACAAAGGTTAAAACAAGTTGAATTGTTTTGACAAGTATGAAAATTAAATTTGTTCCTCAACAAGTCCCGTGAATAAAGTGATTATAATCGCACATCCATACTGAAAGACGGTTCGAGTTCGCGAATTAAAGACTTTTTCGTCCCGTGTTGGTTTTATATTTGATACAGACGCTTAGACTGAAGTCTTTGTTTTATGTGAAAACATCTGGGGCGAAAAGTAATAATAAAAAATCACCCTAATTACGCTTCTAAAATAATTGTGAAATCGAAATCCATGGGCTTATTTAAATTGGTGTCAAACCGATAGAACTCTCACGCCATCGTTAGAAATAGCAGCAGCGTCCCTATCATTTTGCCAAGGCACTTTTTAAGAGCCATTTTTTTCAAGAGGTACTTACAAAAGTTACGCTAATATGCCACACAATATACTCGCGACTTTGGAACAAAAACACACAGAAAATTTGAATATTCCTCAAGATTCACCGGCACTTTGCAATCGACCACAATTATTCTTTACAAATACGTGCAAACTCTCCGCACTTTTGCGTTTGAAATATGCGTAGAATAATCCAGCGCTTATCTCTACTCTGAATTTCGAAATCGACCCAACAGGTCTGTTTACAAATTGAAACATTCCATGTTTATAAAATTCGACAAGTGTACATCTTTTCAAAAAGATTGTATTGTGTACCGTCTGAAATCGACCCGGCTTTTCCATTGCCTTTTCAAACGGAACTGTAACCGTAGTATAAGCATCTCAATGTCTCTCTGCACGATACGCTTTACTAAATCACAGTTATTCAAAAACTGTTCAACGGGTCCATAGGAAATACACTTCTCGGCTGTCTGAAAATCTTGCTCTCAAAATCACCCCGAAATAAAGCCCACCAGCTATTACCGAGCGTTGAAACGGTTTTACCCTGACACAGGGCCTTTAAAGTAATCCGGTCCTAAGTTCATTTGCTTATACACAAACTATGAACCCGTAAAAAACGGAAACTGACAAACACAAAATATTATAATATACAAAACAAGACAGTGAAATGACAACACCTTACATGTCGTCTCCATTCTCGGCCAAACAAACATTTTGAAAGGGGCTTACCTTTCGGCCATTATTCGCCAATATTATTCTCAAGTGTGGGTCCTTCTCTCAGTTGTGAAAGAAGCGCAATCGGACGTTTTTCGAGTCATTTTTGACCAAGTTTAAAGGCGATCTTTCCTTTACCTCCTGTAGTGATGTTACGTTCCGATGACTGCTATGAGAGCGCGGACGGAAATCTGGGGACGAGTTATGAAGCGACAATCTTTCACCTTTGACCTTGCGCCGATGAACGCGGAAACGGTCGTGTGGGAGCGCGTGAGCAAAGTCACCAAACAGCAAAACACCCCTCCGCTTCACCTTTGATGCACCGGCAGAGCAATATTTCCACGTAACTGACTTACTGTAAAAGGGCATTGCACAAAGGTTACTGAGGCCTCGCGCAATATTAGCAGGATGAAAATAAATGCAATTTCAAATTCTCCACAATTACTATGAACTGTTTCGTTTTCGTTATCAGGAAATGAAATAAATCAAACTGGATTCAGACCTGACATAGTTATAGCATTTTTGAAGTGGTAAAAAAGGTGAAGAATGGTTCTCATCCTGGAGGGAATATACGGTTTTTTGTGTCACCATGATTACTTGAACGGAACAAGGTCACGAGGACGAACAAGGAAGGCACTTCGACTGAGCGATCTCTCGCGATTTTATTGTTTTAAATACAATGAAAATATTGGACTATATTCCTTTAGTAAGAATATCATTAAAAATTGTAAATAGTCTAAGAATATGAAATTTTATTCAACCAGTTCTTCATTCTAAGTGAATGTTCAAAATGTTTTCGGTTGCAAATTGAAACAAAAACAAAAACAGAAAATGAAAGATAAAAAATCGCATGAAATCCGGCCGTGAAGTGCTCAAGCTAGCTGATGATCGGAGAAAATTGGAAGTACTTAGACACAAGATTTACACGAGATAGGAGTTGGATATGTGGGTTCATTCATGGCTTCGTTAAGTGCTTTCATCGACGTCTTAAAACGAGAAATATTCACAGCATCGAAGAAGACACCGCTGAAGACCTTAGTGACGATTCTAGTCATTTTTGTCCTGGAAAAAGTGCTAACGGCGGCCAATATCTTTCAATGTCCAAAAGAAGGCTATCATATATATGGGGGGATGTTTCTTTTCGTGCCAGCTTTCTGCTTGGTAGGTTTAACTTTGCTAACGAGTAACTCCTTTTGGGATTCGGCAACAAGTGGCTTAAGAGGTGAATCCAAATACAAAATCATATGGTCAAACGTTTGTCACAGTTTGGCGGGGGCTTTGTTGATGGGTACTGCATGGCTGGTGTTAGCCTTGGGGACTACAGATTATTATGTGTGTTTTCGTGTTGGGGCGTCCAAAGCCGATTGTCCGAGAGGCGATGAAATAAAAGCGCAGTCGACAATATTGGCATTGGCAATGCTAGTCGGTATCATTTGTCTTAGTTTGCTGTACCTGGCTTTGCAGAAATGCTGTTTTCCCAACCACAAAAGAGAGTGCAGTATACATTCATTACGCGACTACGAGAGGTCAGTAAATTTCTGGTCCGCATTCCTGATGAAACAGGAAATCCGTTTGTCTGTTTGTCATAGCTCTATCAGTTCTAAGGGGCTATTTACATGAGCCCGGTTACCCGAGATTCAACGAAGCGTGAGAGGACTTTGAGATATTGAAATAAGTCTTTATGACACCAAACAAGCACATGCTATTGTTGTGGTGATTATACGACTGCCAGGATCGTGTTATCTGCTCATTTTAATACCTCAAATTCATCTCACGCTTCGTTGAATCTCGGGTAACCGTGCTCATGTAAACAGCCCCTAAACTGTTCTTCCGAGAGGCCCAGTAGGGATCATCTCTTATTGATCCAGAGTTACTACAGAGGGAAACCTAAACTAAACTAACTTTATTTATACTGGATAGTCTATCAGTTCTAAACTGTACTTCCTAGAGGTCCAGTAAGGATCATCTCTAATTGATGCAGAGTTACTACAGAAAGAAACCTAAACTAACTTTATTTGTACTGGATAGCTCTATCAGTTCTAAACTGTTCTTCTTAGAGGTCCAGAAAGGATCATCTCTTATTGATCCAGTGTTACTACAGGAAGAAACCTAAACTAACTATATTTATACCGGATAGCTCTATCAGTTCTAAACTGTTCTTTCTAGAGGTCCAGTAGGATCATCTCTTATTGATCCAGTGTTACTACAGGAGGAAACGTAAACTAAACTAGCTTTATTTATACTGGATAGCTCTATCACTTCTAAACTGTTCTTCCTAAAGGCCCAATAAGGATCATCTCTTATTGATCCAATGTTACTATGTCCAGTGCTATTAGTTTTAATTCCTTATCAATTCAATCTACTTTCTTTAGACTCGAAACGGAAGCGGCGTTTTCGAAATTCGACGAAGAAATTAAACTGCTTGCAGAAAAGCAGGGAGAGAAACAGGTGATGAAGATTTTGGACGAAGCTCAGCATGACAGCAATGTACAAGACGTCGTAAGAAAAGCCAAAAGCATGCTCTTGGAAAAATATGCCCGACTGACAAGGTGCGAGCAAAATGAAAATGACCCTGACGAAACGTGTTTACTTCGAACTGCGGATGAAAGGGAAAATATCATGCCAATTTCGAATGTGTAACCAATCGGATGGAAGCACCGAATCAGCAGTCTTGTACCCAGGCACCTAAGCTTTTGTTGCGTAAACGCTTTGACAGCTAGACACGCGTGGAAATTCTGCTACCTCGTGGTGAAACACGCATGTTTCCATTGCTCATGAGATAAACTTAACTCAGAAATGCAGTTATAGCGAATTGTGAACAATAAAACCTCTAAGTTCACAAACTTTGGCCTAACTGTAAAACGTTACCCTTCAGTTGTCCTTTTGTAGTTTTGTTACCCTTAATAAATAGTTGTCCTTTTGTAGTTTTGTTACCCTTTAGTTGTTCTGTCCATTCTCGGCTACTTTAATTAACTTGAGACAGCAGCAACTAGTGTGTAGAACATAGCTATAGTGTAATCGGTCTTTTAATTTATTATTTACAGCTTACAGTTGTTACACAGATAGAAGCTTGTTGTGCAAATGTCGGAATACTATCCAATCTACTCTATGTAGTTATCTCATGAATTTAGAGCATTTGATATTAAATACACGACAGATTATGTGAAGCTGTTGATCCCTCAAGTTTTAAAACTTTGAACATTTTACGTTACATAGTCGACCTAATTTTTCTGCTCTGATCTAAATAGATCATGTGGAGCAACAGTGACACGGCTAAGGTTTCTGAACCGCTAAAAGTTTACTACTAGCAGCCGCAACAGCAGCCTGGACGGACGCGATTCCTTGTAAGGCGCTTTGAGGGATGGTTTGAGCTGCTGTTCCTGAGCTGGTCACATCCCACTTGGATCTTCTCCTTCGTGAAGCATCATCAGCTGTGTAAACAAAATAGACGCCACTTTAGAATGAACATTAAATATTAACAGCAATGTCGAAATATTGCCTTCAATAACTACCCACCTGTTGAGGTGCTCGTTGATGCCCCAGCTGAAGTACTGGCACCGGCGTTTGTCGCGTTTCGTCTCGTCGCCGACACAAATTCCACCTTTTAAAGAACGAATAAAGTTAGATTACATTTTCCCAACTTGTGAAATTCTCCGACGTGATTACGCCCTATGCTAAGATCGCGGAACTGGTCCAAATATGCGTGATAATTTTGCGGCAATTTGTCAACATGGTGTGATAATATTATTATAAACACGGGGTTACCCACTCAAACCAGAGCAATAGAAACCCACAATCGATGCATCATTGCACCTTAACGCATTCAGTGTCAGTCTCAAAGATACTGAAATGTGTCCGTTCTCTTTGTTATCCTGGCCTTACGAATGTTTGTTTTATGCTTACAAAGGGAGAACCATCAACAAGTAAGAAAAATCGAGCTGTGCTTGACATATCACGTTCAAATTATCACGCATATTTGGGCTGCCTATGCTATTACCTTTGATCTTTCTTTTTGCTTTCTTTCGTGATGTTCTTTTTGAATTTTCGCTGAAGGAAAGAGATGGTTCATTAAATCGAATTGGACGGCAAAGACTAGCTAAGCTGTCCGCATATAATTGACTGGCAAGCTGTAGACAGAGTCAAATATTTACGGACCGCTACGATCGTTGAAAGAATATATCCTTATACTTTTGAGGTGATAAAAGAATGATACTTACAAAGTCGTTCGTAAAAAGAATCCTCGCCCCACGAGAATGGGTCGTATATTTCCTGGAGAAGATGGAAAATCACAAATAGTCGTAGTGCAACGCAACGGAATACAAGACAACGTAACGGAATACTTTACAATGCAACGGAACATGATACCACGAAACGAAACGCAATACGATAAAACGCAACGGAATGCAAGACAACGCAACAGGAAACGATAAAACGTCACTGAACACGATAAATGTAAAGGAATACGATACAACACAACGCAATACGATAAAACACAACGCAATACGATAAAACACAACGCAATACGATAAAACACAACGCAATACGATAAAACACGACGCAATACGATAAAACACGACGCAATACGATAAAACACAACGCAATACGATAAAACACAACGCAATACGATACAACACGACGCAATACGATACAACACGACGCAATACGATAAAACACAACGCAATACGATAAAACACAACGCAATACGATACAACACGACGCAATACGATACAACACGACGCAATACGATAAAACACGACGCAATACGATACAACACAACGCAATACGATAAAACACAACGCAATACGATAAAACACAACGCAATACGATAAAACACAACGCAATACGATAAAACACGACGCAATACGATAAAACACGACGCAATACGATAAAACACAACGCAATACGATAAAACACAACGCAATACGATACAACACGACGCAATACGATACAACACGACGCAATACGATAAAACACAACGCAATACGATAAAACACAACGCAATACGATACAACACGACGCAATACGATACAACACGACGCAATACGATAAAACACGACGCAATACGATACAACACAACGCAATACGATAAAACACGACGCACTACGATAAAACATGACGCAATACGATAAAACACGACGCAATACGATAAAACACAACGCAATACGATAAAACACAACGCAATACGATACAACACAACGCAATACGATAAAACACGACGCAAATACGATAAAACACGACGCAATACGATAAAACACGACGCAATACGATAAAACACGACGCAAGCCAATGGCGAATGGCGATGTGCCACAACAGACCAGATTTGTATAAAGAATTCACTCACTGAAGGATAGTTTGTTCCAATTTCATTTATACCACAAAATGAAATTAGTTTTTCATATATACTGTAAAACAAAAAAAAACAACTCTAAACTAAACTATATGACTACCTTTTGTGAAAAAAACACAGTGCACACCATATCCTCTGAAATGAACATTTTTATCATCAAGACCATTATTACCTTGGATTGCGGAAGTTTTTCTTTCTCTGAATTGTGAGTTTCAGATCGCAACCTGTTCTTTTCTTATTCTCAAGAAGGTTTTCGATTTTTTCCTGTGGAACAAATGAACATGTTGGGATCATAAAAATTAATTTAGAATGTGACTGTTCAGTGAAGTTAATTTTCTTGAAATCATATTGTACTCTGCATAATTCCTAGAACTCAAACTAATGTTTTTGCTCCCTTTATCCCCAAAGAAGATGTGCCGATATTGACTGAATCAAACTGTATCTATGCACTACTGTACCAAGTACAATTAAATTATACAATCTTAATATCAATTTTGGGACTTTAATCTCAACCTGTAAGGAATTTGAGCAGCGTCCATCTGGTTCAACAGGGAGGGTGACTTGAATGCTTTCAACAGCAGCCAAATGATCAAGCAACTCTTTCGGCATCATGCCTTCAATGAAATAACATAAAATGAGCTCGTAATACAAACTGCCTAATACATTTTACTTACCGTAATTATTCGAATAAACGCTGCGGCGTTTATTGAATTTTTAGCAATTAAGATGCGGCGTTTATTCGAGGGCGGCGTTTATTCGAGGGAGGCGTTTATTGCAAACTCGTAACAACTCTAAATTTATTGTGTAATTTAAACGCCAATTCAACCAATACAATCAATCCCCAAAAAAACTAAGTATAAAAGTTACGTTTCTTTTCTATTTATATAATTATATATGAAAATTGAACTGTGGTTATAAATAAATGCTTCGAATAAACGCCGCAATGAGGCCTCAATAGGTTGCAGCGTTTATTTGAGGGCGGCGTTTAATGATATTTTTGCTTGTCCCTGCGGCGTTTATTCGAGGGCGGCGTTTATTCGAGGGAGGCGTTTATTCGAGTAATTACGGTATTTCTCTATTTAAAAGCAGACCCCCTCCTCCCTCCCCTCCCCTTGTGTCAGGCACTGGTAGTTGTGGGTCACACCTACCCTTCTTTTTCTCATTCTCTTCTAGTTGGTTTTGCAAACGTGGTATGTCAAGCACAGCTCGATTTTCCGTACTTGTTGACGGTTCTCCCTTTGTAAGCATAAAACAAACATTTGTAAGGCAGGATAACAAAGGGAACGTTCGGACATATTTCTGTATCTTTGAGACTGACAATGAATGTGTTAAGGTGCAATGGTGCATCAATTTTGGGTTGTGTATTGCTCTAAGTTAAGTGGGCAACCCTACAGAATCCATGTATGATATTGGTCGATGAATGGCAGCCTGTGAAATTGTATTAAAGACATACCGCACTTGTTTCAGCAGTTTCTCCACTTTCTAGAATAGAAGAGAGACCTGTGAAGCTATGATATAATATATCCACATTTCTCCCAATGTACTTATTACAGCAACAAGCCAAACAATGTAAAATATTAAAATTAAAACAATTTCTATCAGGATTTGGTAATGCAAATTTATCACATGACTTTGACGTGCTGGCGATTTTGACCTGATTTTACCAAAACGATTCTGATTTATTGTGCCAAGAGTTTTTAAACCAACCTTGTTGCTGTGGTGCCTCAGATGATGTACCTGCCTCTGTTGTAACTTCAAGAACCTCACTCTCCTAAATTAAAATTCAATTCATTCATATAAGATTAACAATTCTGAGGTTATGCTGAACTTCTGACATGCTTTCCATTTCACTGCATTTCACTGCATTGCCAAAGAAATGCAAGATTGTATTCACCTTGGCTTTACCGGTACTCTCTTCCTCATCCTCATCTCCAGCATACGAAACCAACCGAGAAGCTGAGAAGAAATACAGAGAATAACCTGTTGATATCACCTGCAATTCTCACTGTGATTTTTGTCTTTTGATAGATGGAAACAAGTGAATAGTGATAAATGGGCAGATATACAAGTGCTCTTTTTTAAACATCAGTAACTTATTCCCTGGTTCACATCCATCAAAAGAAGAAAATCAAAAGTAAGCAGGTCTTATCTCACAAAACCTGTGATATCCGATGATATCCCATCAACTAATGTATTATTATTATGTATAAATGTGTCTCAGTAAGGAACTGCTTTGTTCCTTGATAAATCTTATCCAAACATAACTCAAGAGAACTTTTGATTTCTATAAAATTGAACGATTTATGTACAAAATATCAAAGAAATTATCGAACTCTTAACTTTTAACACATAATTTATATCATCATTCGTATTCACACCAAATCTCACCTTTAGCGACTCTCGGTTGGCTAACAACCACTGAATTCTTAACTGACCCAGCACCGGAGGAATTTCCCTCCTCATCGCTTACAACGATATCATAGTCAGAATCGCCCGTTTTCGCCTCGCTTTTCTCTCCTTCCTCTGTCGAAAGTTTGCGTTTCTTGGCTTTCGAAAGTTCCAATTCTTCGTCAGATACATCGTCCTCGTCATACGCATTTGCTATCGACCGCAACGAGCCACCGAGGGCCGGCAAACGGCTCATAGCAAGAAAAAGAAATGAGGCTTTAAGTTGTGCAAAAATTTATTGCGAACTACGTATGTTGTTGAAAATTGTAAAAATCGCCATTTTGTATGAAAATTAGAAGCTAAATATGTACACAGTTAGGTACTTGTAGATACAATGGGATATTTTTGCATGGATAAATGATGACGTGTGAGAAATATACTGGATAATCTGGAACTGAATTCAACAGCAATAAGGGATAATTATTGATAATACGTCAAATATTACCATATTTATCCATAAATTAGCTTAATTATCTTTGAGAAGACCATGCTGTAACAAATTGTAATCGGAGAGTATCGGAATACATCGGAAAACAAGAATAACTGTATTAAACTGTTTACTAGTAAATTTTACAAGAAATATTTTGAAAACGAATAGAACACTATAAAAGGATCATACGAATTAGCATATCATGTCAAATATCGAACCAAAAAAAGTATTTGTAAAATTCATTCCAATGAACACAACCAGAGTAAGTTGTGACTTGCTCATGTTCAAATAAAGTCACATATAGTAATAAAGTGATGCATTTTATGCAAATTAGAAATTTAACCGGTTTGTTGCTAATATATGCAGGAAGAAATTAGAGACTTTTTCAATGTCTGCGGCACAGTGGTGAGTGTTGACCTCAAGTCAAAAACGGATGCTAAGAAGTTTTCATTTGCGTAAGTGAAGTGTGTGTGTTATAATTTGTGGAGCAAAGCGTGGAGCCCTGATCAGGGTTATATAAGCTACTTCTTTTTCTGTTTTCTGGGACAAGATGTGCTATTGTGCTGCAATATATTCTTTTGATGCAGATTCATTATGTATGAAACACAGACTGGAGCAGATCGGGCAGTTGCGGAGCTGAATAACCAAGTGATGAAGAACAAAAAAGGAGACATGCAATCCCTTTTTGTTGTCCATGCAGTTATCCCTGATGCTAGGTATTTTCACACAAGTACTAAGTGCTATAACGCAACGTACCAAGGCTAGATGATTACTTGAGGAAGTGAGGGGATAGTAACATACAGTTATTTGTAACCTGGAAAGTTAGGAGAATGTTGAAACTATTTCTATATGGTGTGTTGCCACCAAGAATGTTTCTTAGGGAAGTTTGAGTGATATTTTGTGATCTACATCACCCATTAGCAAATGCCTTAAATCTGTTAACCAATGGTGGTGCTTTTTTCAGAAAGGAGAAATTAAGTTTTACAGCCAAGGAATATCAAGAATTGTGCAGGAAATGTGATGAAAATGAAGAGAAAATAAAACAAATTTACAATGTATGTTCCATCTAAGCATTCTGTTATCTCCTGTTTATAATTGAATTGAGTTTTTCTTCAATTTTCAGAATCCCGTACAGGAAAAAGAAATTACAGAATTACTAACTAAGGTGGCATTGTTGATTAATGTTTTTATCAGTTGGTCCTAACTTTCTATAACACCCTGCTGCGATGTATGTTTGCAAATTGCAAATTATTTTTGTTAATTTTCTAGAAACATGAACTTCAGGCAAGACAAGTGGAGCTTAAGAAAACTGTATGTTTGTTTGCAAAATACTCATCTTTTTTTATTAAACAGTAATAAATATGGAAGTAAGGCATTCCATAGGAAATGAAATAAAGCTATGACTAATTTTTTCTGTTTGTTTCGCTTAATTAATAGAATGAAAAGCTAAAGGGAGATCTTCAACTTCTAGATTTACAACTTAAGATTAAGGTGCATAATTTAGAAATGGCATACAGTCCTTACAACAGTCTTGCAATGAGACTGGTGGTTGGGTGCTTTATCTTAACATAATATTTGTCATATTTAGAGCACTCTTTTCTAACCTCTTTCATAGAACTTGGAGATGGAGAACACAAAACTTAAGGAAGCTCAGTGAAATCTTGAAAGCTCAAGTGAAATCTTGAAAGCTCAAGTGAATCGGCAGATTGTGTGTGCTGTTCAATTAGGGATTCAGGACAGAATACAAACTCAACTGCTGTTCAGATGAAATGCTATGAGCCACAAAGTTGGCTGTTGCCTGTTACCAATTAGGGGAAAAACAACCCTTTTTAATGTTGTGTCTGTAACAAGTTATGTTTCTATCATAGCTTGACACTGATTTCTGTTAGAGTGAACCAATGTTAAATCAATGTGTTGCCAACAGAACTTAAATCTATGGTAGGGATCATATGGGATAAGTAGAGTTTACATTATAGTATTTATAACAGAGGTTTATTCAACACCTAAAGATATGGATAACATTTTATATGAGGAAAGGCAGAAAACGTGTTTTAACATATTTAAAGAAAACATCGGACATACACATGCTGTAAGGCATTGGAAAGAGATCTATTTATGTCTCCTCGCCGTAGATTTTGGTCTTAAGACCTCATATTTAGTAGACCAATGCTGCCTACAGCCCGTACAAGTAAGCACGTTGGTGAAACATCTTTGCAGAGAAAAGTTTCTGTTCCGAAGTGACTTGTATACTGTACTTATTTTCGGCGATACATTTGTATTGCAAAGAGAGGCAACGTTGAGCTATCTAAATCGTGTTATGAATGAAAAATGCACTTGCTTCGTCGATGCTTCTGGACACTTACCTGAGCCAAAAATGGTTGAGAATTCTGACAGCAAATTTTGGAACTCGATAACAGAATTTTGCTTGACTTTTACCGAGTTCATCCAATGCAATCCGGCAGATGAAGATGTACGTACTTTCGACGTTGAAATTGTACATCCATGCACAGTATTCGGGCTGGTTTTAGGATATCCTGCAGTATATTGGTTGGCTGAACAATCTGAAATGAACTGTTTGTCACATACAAATCTAGCAGTAAACTCGTGCGAGATTGCACTTGCAGAATCATCGCAGGACAAATATTTTGTGACAGCGTCTTCGTTTAGTTTTCCTGAGAAGCTATCAGTCAATTGTGAAAAGTATGTGCAAGTCTGGAAGATAAATATTGCCGAATTGTTGCAGAAATGTACAATGTTTATCCATAGATTTATTTGTAAACAAGTTAAATTACCGGCTGTGATTTTGTAAAATAAATGAGAAGTGTTCTAGTGGCTTTTACTCTGAATTTATCCAACAAACAGATGACAATTGAAAGTCTGAAAGAGAACTTGTTGACTGGTTTAAACCAACCACTGAGAGATAGTGAGCAAATTCTAGGAAGTTACATCCTAAATATGGATAAGAATGAATCTAGGAAAACACAATTGAAACTACAAGCATAGATTAAAGGGTATGCTCTTTAATCTATGGCTACAGGAAACAACAGATTTGGAATACCAAGAATTTCCTCCACAGCCAGATTTTAGGGCACACCAGCAGATACATCTTTTTTGGATGTTGCAATTACATTTGGCATGTTGAAATTATCTAAGACTCACACACAACAGCATGACCTTCAATAATTTAACACGAAATTTTTTGTTTAAATTTACAAACACCTAAAAATATACGGACACGACCAACACTGAAAAGGATAATTGCAAATAAATCATATCTTAACCTAAATTGTCAGATATAATCATGTGTACATGTACGTAATATATAATGATCTACCATTAATTTGCATGTTCTAATTTAGCTACATTTAGTACAATACCTATTCAATATCGAAGACAACCAATTAGTCTAACAAGCTATGGCTAATTAGGCTAACCAGCACACCCAAAATTAGTCACAGCTAATTAAACTAATCTGCACACCTCAAACTAATTGTAAATACATTTACTAAATTGTCATCGCACACAAATATTTTCGGGCAAATTTCAGCCGAAAAACAAAATAAAAAATTCATTTTTCTGAGAATGGATACAAGCAAAACATACCCAATCCATCTATAATCACATGACTATGATTTTGGGGGGAAATTTTTCGGATGAAATTGAAAAATTCTAAGTAAATGCGGCGGCATAATAAGCCAAATTTGGCCGTTTCCATGAAAAAATCGCCAAAATATGCTGTATACCATTTCTTTGTACTATATCACAGTTTAAATGTCTGCCATGACGGTTGCATTTGTCTTATAAAATGATGCATTTTCTCTTTTTCTTTGGCTTCGGTTTCATCTGGCCTTTCCTATCTTTCTATAAAGAGGAGAGAGAAAATTTTATCTTCAGCTGTGGCTGTGAAAAAGAATTGGTAGATAAGATTCATCCCAGATAGCTACGCCATTGCATCTAGGTTCATGGTCTATAAATTTTATCCTCATCCATATTCATTCTTCCAATCTTCCTTAAAACAGGCACTCAACTAACTTGTTTATATTTTGTTATTAGCTACTAAGGTATATGATTTTGGTCATGAGAATGCAACACTTGAGATATTGGCTCAATTTTGCCTTCTTACTGAGACAGGTGGGAACATTGTGAATTGAACTCAACATTACTTTGGAGATTGCCCAGCAATTTACCTGGGCTGGAATGGGAGGAAGATTACATGCCAGGGAAATATTCAGTTGTGTGACAATTGGTAAACATTTTTTAATGCAAGACGAGACTAACAGAAGAATAGCCTCTTTAGAAAATATACCATAACACTTACATCTTTTCGTATTTCTCGTACTAAAGTGTAGAATGCTTCGTCGACTCCTTGTCTCGTTTTTGCTGATGTTTCTATGAATGGGATGCTGAAGCTTGATGCCAACTCTCTTGCACTTTCACTGCTCACGTTTCGTGTCGGTAAATCACATTTATTGCCTACCACTGGAACAGAAAAACATGTTGTCTAACTTGCTTGGAAACAATGATTAGGACAGAAAGTTTTTTTTTAAGGATCAAAAGCAATGTACTTACAAACCATAGGAACTTCGTCGGCATCTTTCACTCTCTTTATCTTGATTAATTTTAAATAGATTTAGCATGTAATTACTTTACTACCATGACAACACGAAACAAAAGCAAGAGTTGCGAATACCTGTTCTCTGTATTGATGTACGTCGTCGAAAGATTTTACATTATTTATCGCGAACACGCATAGAAACCCTTCCCCTGTCCGCATATATTGATCTCTCATTGCACTGCAAAAATAGAGCATTACATATGACTCAATGAAGTGGCTGGAATTTGCTAATGAAAAAGGGAAGCGGCAGTTTCCTCCCCCCACAGATGTGCTTTGAGTCATAATGAAGCAATCTTTGTCCACACAAATTGGAATTTTAATGTTTAATTTAATGAGAGACAAAAACACAGAATCTTAAAGTTTAAAGTTTGAGTGGGAAAAGAAAATACAAGAAACAAGTTGCATTTTCTATTGAAAAATCCAAGGACACTGAAGGTTTTAGAGGCAGCATCGACTATGTTTTAAGGTTGTTTCCAGGTCAGTTGATTTGGGTTTAATAATCTTATTACAACAACTGTAATTACCTATATTCCTCCTGTCCAGCAGTGTCAAGGATATCCTAGGTCAAGGAAAGGCCAGTAAATTTCAAATTTTTCGACAACTGGAGAAAGCTCCACAAAAAAATGTCATTTATCTGGCCTACTTGGATAAGCAGAAACAACTCACCAATAAACAAGTTTCTCCATCTATAACTACTTGCTTTCTGTATGAATCTTCTACAAATGTAAATCGAATTGACGTGAGAAAAATTGGGATTTGCAATTCAAAACAACGAGGTCCAAGGTGTGAGTTCAGTGCACAAAGGATTACAGAAGGCAGGTGTATAACTGACCCAAATAAGTGGAGGTGGGGGGGCAATCATCAAATACACAAGTGATACATGATATGTGGTAAGATGTGGTGCCTTCCCTTACTGGAAACCAAAATCTCCCTTCCCTTCCCTTTGGCAATGTCCCCACCTACCCAATGTATCAGAAGGTCACACTTACCTATTGTGGGATCGTATTCATCAACAAAACTAAAGAAATTAAAAGCATTAAGGGTAAGCTAATTGAAGTTGAGTTAACTTAAGACACACAGCAATTTATCAGGCTGAATAAGATGTATGTGCAATGGGGACAGCGTCGGCTACATCTCGAAAAAGTGAAATTCATCTTAAGAATTTGTTGTGTGGACATGCCATTAGATTGTTCTAGCTTCTCTAAGCGATTACAAATCATCATCTAGCCTGGGGGGATCTTGCATGGGTCTGCTCCTGCAAGTATTACAGGAAGACAATTTGCTTTTCTGTTATTCACCAAAACTTAGCATAGTTCACATTCTATTCAATATCTTACTATGATCTGGTAAAAGGAACATTTGATGATGACCTTGTGCTCACTTTTGTATCCCTGATACACAACCACACCCCTTACAATGGATCTCTAATCAAAATCTTTGTAGCATACAATAAACAATTGGAATATGTGACAAACTGGTGAAAGTCCGAAATCGATTACTTCTAATTTACTCAAATTGGCTTTTTAAGAGCAAAGATCGCGAACCAAATATAATCACAATAACAAAATTAACAATGAAGTCCCCTTGCAAAATTTTACATACAATACAACGCCGATGCATTTCGTTACGCGGCGCACGAAAGAAACACAGTTTACATGTTTGTGTTATAAGTGCTGTCGAGTCGGAATTTGCTAAATAATTTGAAACTTTACACCGTTCTAATAAGTAACGAATACATTTCCACTGTATTTATGTATATACACCACTTACTTTTGTGTTAAATAACTGAATTATTCGTAGCTAAAACTAAATAACAGGACAAAATACACAAGTACACTTACTGGTTTTGTATTAGCTGAATTGTCAAAGCGCTTTTCCCCACACCGCCAGCTAAAATAAAAGGTTCAATACGAACGTGAGTGCAGTCATCGGGTATCACCGAAGTCAAATGTTTAGGGTACCATTTTAAACGCAAATTTCGCCCGGCAAACGGCTCGTACCTCCGACAACGACGAGCTTATATTCAGTCATCTTTCCCTCGGCCTTTTCGACCACTTTTCGCAGGCAGATTCGTGCAAAAAGCAAGAAAATACGAAAACGTTTTGAGCCGATAAACCGAACTCAAGTCAAAAACCTGAAGGTGCGGCTTTATAGTCCGAATGGCCCAAGGACTAATAATACCAGCCAATCAGCGACGTGCGTCGGAGGGACGCCTGCAAAAGGGGGAAATATTCGCCAAAAAATGCTGGAATATTTCGACGATCGGGTACCCGGGTTCCGGTGGCGAGAAAATTCCGGACGGTGATTTAATGGGGAAAGATACCCCGGGTGTGGCAATACTCCGTGATGGGTATTCTTAGGGGTAACGCGGTGCGTTTAGGAGGATTTTAGGATAAGCTTGTTCTCCATTCTAGTATCTCCCTTCGTGACCCTGATTGTATTCTTGACCTGAGTTGATCAAGCATTTTTATCCATGCAGATGTAGATCTCTGTGCCGTACGACAGATAGCAGTCTTAGCACTCTTTCAAGAAAATATACATATCTAGTTAGAAACGTCGAGAATAATTTCAGCTGAGACATATCTTGACAGCTATTTCAATAATTATTAGCTCATTTTTATTGCGGTCGAACATCTGGGCAGGGCAGTGTACTTTGGCATTTTGACTGTAATCAGTGAATCTTCATCAGTGAAGACTCGCTGAACGTGATCTCAAGCAGGGCGTGCTGGGTCTTCAAGAAGAACAACGAATGAGTAACATTTTAGGGGCCCAAGGGCGCGATCCAAACAAAAACAAACTAGACAAACTGTCTCCACTTTATTATACTGTATGACGCGAAGGTTGCAGGAATACTAGTACTTCAAGTAACCTTACACGGTGATGCGATTCTGTAACGAGACGCTAACTTTGGCCACGTACTTGATACGCAAATCAAATAGCTATTAATAATACAGGTCTGGGACATCATGATTTAGCTAATATACAACTCTTCTATAAAGGTTGCTTTTACAAACTGTTGTGTATTTAACACTTTTTCAAATTTCAATTTATAGTCTAAAGGGCCCATTATGCCAGGGGCCCACAACGAGTTCCCATTGTCTCGACCCTGGCCAGCACGCCCCTGAATTCTCAAGACGGTCAATACATTATATGGCTGGCTTTTCAGTGTTTTACTGAATCAGAGATAGAGATATGTACCGGCTAATAAGAAAACGGTTCAACAAAAGTGGCATATAGGCTGTTCAGTCTGGAGTGGGGGTGTAGGGAATGTGGCACCCTATCCCCTACAGCCCAAAGTCGAATTTTATCACATGGATATTATTTGATTCTAGAAAGCACTGTGCTGTGTACCTAAATATGTTGCCCAATTTTTTAAGGCGATCGCTGCCAATATTAGGATCGCATCTTGTTGAATTGAAGAGGAGCCGAGATATTTTCAATGTCGGGTATAACAAACTTCTACGAACTCTCAACTTTTTCTAGTAACTCAGCCAGACGAATGAACTAAAAAGATCGCTCCTTTGACTGCCACCCGCTCGTAAACTAAATCACTGAGACTCGCGCCAACGTCTCCTGCATAAGAGGTAAATATCAGATTAGTTCACTTAGATAATGGACGGCAACTCTGTGCCACGAGGCTCTTAGACAGGTACTTCCTGCCATCAGTTGGATTCTAAGCACAGGTTCCGTTCAAATCCAGTGCAACAGAAAACAACTGCCAATTAACCAATATTACTCGAGACATACATGTGGTGGTGATTCGATTAATGAATCATTATACAAGAGTAGAGACTGAATTGAATCTGATATTACGGCTATGGAGAGCTTTAATGGCATCGGCGAACGGGACAAAAAGTAAACACCCAGAAAGGTTTTCTGGTGTAGGTTTTTTAAAGTTGATGAAGCAGTCAACTTGTCTACCTCAATAAATTTTAGGTAGACAAGTTGACTGCTTCATAAGGGTTGTGAGTTGGAAAATGAAGAAAAAATTGTCTGAGACTAATGCCTGTATTCTAAAAGCTCACTCATACTCAAACTCATTGAGTGGGAGATCTTAATCTTCTCGTAAAGTTTGAATGGCGGTATTTCCAGCCGAACAGGGGCTTGATTTTCATATATCTTTCCATCTATTCAGAAAAAACTTTCTCATTGATCAGCATTAACGAAATTTATATGTCACACTCGATGAGTATGAGTGTGAGTGAGCTTTTTGCATACAGACGTAACTGTAACAGACTAATTGTCTGACATCAAAGATGCATCGATTTTTACTGTTGTGAGTTGTTCCAACTCACAACCCTTATTGGAAGCATGTCTATCTATGACCGTATCGCGTGTTACAAACAGGAAAACGGTTATTACCTAAGCAAAAGTGGTTTTACGTAACGAATCCTTGGTTACTCAACGTGTCGAAACGCAGACGGATTTCTGTTTTCATTGTTAGTACAGAACAACAGGAAACATTTCAATATCTCAAAGCTTTTTGCAACGCAAAAGTATTTTCCCACCGAGTTAATTTGCTGGTAGAGTTAATTAAATCCCGTTAGGAAGTATTTTTCTCTAGTGCAGGATTTCCCATCTCCAAATGCAGATCGCAATAGAACCTTTTATCTCCAAAAGAAAAAACTCTGATTCACGACAAGATTTTCCCACCAATTTTTTGTGGGTCGTTGTCTATTTATAAGGCACCCCCGTTACAAATGTGGCATAACAAATGTCTAAAATAGACCATGAACAGTTCTCGATGTTTCGACCTGAGGGCCTTTGTCAGAAGAGTTGGTTTATAGTGATACTAATGATGTTTATTTTTGCAGTTGTTATATCACATCTAATGGAAAGTTAGGACACTACACGCCTCCCTCCCCCCCCCCGTTCTCCTCCCCCTCCCCTCCCTAGGATTTCGCCAATTTGTCCCAGTACCAAATCGCCGAAAATGATCAGTTTCACTGAGCTGTTAGAAATTCCCAATCTCCCCCCAGTGATTAACACTCGAGTAATCTTGAATATGGGTAGGCCCTTTTTCCTTCTGGACCGTTTAACTGTTAGGGAAATTACCACATCATGAAATTGGTAACTCGACAACCGCCTAAAATATGTGAAAGAATCAAAGAAAGATTCTCGACGTTTCCACCCAAGCGACATATACCGTAACAGTTAAATCTCCTGGAGATAGCATTTATAGGTCGATGCGTCGAGATGTTTTGCCGGTATAGTTGGTTGCTGGACCAATTCGATGATACAATCTTTGAAAATGCCGCCAGATTAAGAGCTGTTTATCTTGAAACTTACGTTACGTTATGTTCAAGAGAGGTTTAAGACCTCTAAGAGCTATTTAAGATAAAAAAGCTTAGTTTATACCCCTCGTTTGCTTCACCTGAACTATCGGTTTAGGAGTAATCTTTGCATGCTTGGCCAAACTCTTACAATTTTTAACTCCTCTACTGCTCTAAGAAAAACATTTGAGAAATCCTAGAGCTCTGCAGACTAAGACAGCAGTTCGATAGGCAAAACTAAACAGTTGTAAGTAAACGGTTCAACAGTTCACGCAAGTCGTGAATGCAAGCACGCACTTAGCAATTAAAACTGAGTTATAGTCTAGACAGCATTTAGTAACACTAAAGCGTTTATTTGCTTTAAACCAACACTGTTAATGAATCAAAACAAATCTGGCTCATTCATTTAACTTCCTGTCTATAATCCGCCATTTTGAAGACGGATTACACAAGTATTTGAACTATTCCTTTCAAGCTTTTGTATTATGTTTGTTTTTATAGTAACGTCGGCAAAATGTCCTATAGTTCTTTCGCCTTTTATCTCTGCGGTTCGGGCAATGTTCCAGTAAAATATACTTCACACCTCATTTGTATTTACTATCAGTTTTATCAGTCTACTATAAAACACAGTGTGTATTCTGGTTTCCGGGTTATCTCTCGTTGTAAACCGAATGAATACGATCCTCCGTGTTAGCTAAACCGCCTAGCCGCATGAGTTCTCAAGATATGGGGGATGTTTTGGAACTGAACCAAATAAACTTCATCTGTTAAAAGAAAGCGGGAAAGAGAGCCTTTCATTTGAAACGATATTGGATAAAAAGCAAAAACATTTATCTCACAAACTAAATAAAATAGTGCGACCTTTCAAACCGTTTTAATTTTTTTTTTCAAGAGCGGAAGTATAGTTCATGTTATATATGCTTCATACTCTAGACAGTGCTCTGTAAAGATTCAGTGAAATAATTTTCTAGGATTGATACCGCATTTGCAAACAGCAAAAATTCGAACTTTGACATAACAAGAATATTGAAGAAATTCGGCGTATATACTAGAGAAAGGAACAGCAAGTCAAGACTCTTTTGAACAAGAAACGAATTAGGTGAACACGTTTAGAGGACACAAATGACTACGAATTTTGAGGTCGATAAGGTCGATAAGTTTAATGCATATTTTAAGCAGTTGTTAAATATATACACTCTTATCAAACGAGGCTGCATATCACAGTGACACGTTGTTTCTTTGTGAAGTCATGGGGAGGTATAATATATACCCAAGCTATATTGATAGCATTTATGTAATAGACACGTCACTTCAAGTTTGCTCATTGAACAAGCAGTTTTTATATAACAAGTTCTATAGCTAGGAAACCGTAAGTTCCTTTATCACTTCTGTTTGTATAGATGTAGCCAAAATACCCATGCAACTATCAAAAAGGCAGAAATCGCATCAACGAATACTGTATATAGCCGGCATATTAATAGAATCAATCCTTTACAATGGATTGTTGAATTTCCTTTAGCTAAATGTAGAATCGCTTTTAGTCAAATTCCCCGGCTCTCCTGCCGCGTAAAATAATGCTTTGTAAGGAACAGATCAGGGAATACGCCGAATCGATCAGACGAGCTATAGCCGCAATGGTCCTCTAAAAATACGTTTAAAACTATTTTAAAACTAATTCATACTAACCACAGCCCATGCTGGGCAACTATATATGCGTATTTTAATAAGAAAAACAAATAATCGTCTTGGAAACTTTGTATTTATAGTGCCGTCAAAAGGGTTTGCGTAGGAACAAAATCAAAATGTTCTCAAATACTGCATGAAATGTACTTTAGCTAAAACTACACAATGTATACATTGTTAATTGATCAAAGCCTTTAATAGTCGACACGACAGATATAGTTGAACACGAATTATTGAGAGTTCTTTCATAGTTCAGTTTTCCTCTTATATATAGCTTCCTCTTACTGGACCTCTAGGAAGAACAGTTTAGAACTGATAGAGCTATCCAGTATAAATAAAGTTAGTTTAGTTTAGGTTTCCTCCTGTAGTAACACTGGATTAATAAGAGATGATCCTTACTGGACCTCTAGGAAGAACAGTTTAGAACTGATAGAGATATCTAGTATAAATAAAGTTTGTTTAGTTTAGGTTTCCTCCTGTAGTAACACTGGATCAATAAGAGATGATCCTTACTGGATCTCTAGGAAGAACAATTTAGAACTGATAAAGCTATCCAGTATAAAGTTAGTTTAGTTTATAGTTAATTAAGGGTTTCTATAACTGTATAGTAACCGGAACTTGGTGACTAAAGTTTAAATCCTTATTGGACCTCTAGAATGAAGAATTTTAAACTATTAGAGCATTATTTCAGGATATAGAATAGAGAGATAACTCGAGAAAATGTGAGAGAAAGAAATTTGCGAAAAAAAAAATTTCATCAAATCATCAAAAATTTATACAACTAGAATAAATATGCTAAGTTGTGGGCAATGAGTAAGCACTATGTGTCTGTACAGGTGGCCCATCCGTTGAACGTGCGAGGAGAAATGCTGACGAACTGTTTCCATAACAACGTAATCATTCCTTGAATGATAGAAATTCATGGCATACATTAGGGCGTCAGTGAACCTGTGTTTGGTCATCTAGAAGCATCTAGCAGCATAAAAAAAATGCCCTTGTTGACAAAATGAACGATTGCAATGTCTATTTAGAATAACGCTTTCTGATTATGTAAAAATTCTCTGATTCACATGCCCCACGAATTCTTGGTAAGACATACTCGGTAATCAAAACCTTTGAATGGTTTCTGCCAGTGTTATCGCCTACAGAGGCAATTTAATACCGTGAATTCTGCGACGATATTTTGTCTATAACTATCACAAACACCTCCTAATCAACCCTTAGGAAACGGGGAATAGATAGAGTTGTATTCTTAAGAAGAATGGAAGTCACTTTCAGGATAAGTTAAGGAAAATTTTGAAACTTCGAGTTCACCAAATAGGGTATTACTTCTTCGTATAATAGGAATGATGATATTTCTGAGAATTTTGAAAATCACTATAGAGAATAAACAAAAACATTTTTGAGTTTCAATACTGATTCAGGCATTTTGCAATATGGATCTTGAAAACTAAAGAGGGGGGGGGGAGAAAACCTCCATTCTTGCACTCTCTCTCTCCGCCTATGAGCAAAACTAAATTGACGTTCCTGCATGAGACCAATATATATGGCCGGAAAGCATGTGACGAGACGGTGGACGTTTAATCGACAAATATATGCACATGCACGAGAGTCAGCCACCTACCCAAAGGCGTCAACAATGTCACGCTTTTCAACACGTGCAAAGTGACATGTACACAAAGTTTAATGTTCATTTCTATAAGCGTGCATAAATGTCACGCGTTTACCAGTAGACAGTCACGTATGAACCACCAATTGTCTCAGCTAATTTTGCTTGCAAAACGTCGTAATTGTACATGCTGTTCACTGAACAGCCTTTGAAATCACGTCCAACCACATGCTTGATTGAAAACTATTGTTTATGTCTGCGATAGCTTATCCCGCGGTTAAAAACTTTTGTTAGCTGTCGTTAGTCTTGGACATATTTCGGTGCCTCTGAGACTAAAGTAAATTGAATTTAGGGGGGAAGCGGAAGGGCACCTGGAAAAATTAGCCAAATTGCAGATGGTAAAAACGTATTTTTATTATAATCGCCTTGGTGGTTACGACAGAACGTCAATTCAAACGGAAGCATGCATGTCTGGAAAAAAATTCTCCCGACATTGTGGTTTGGTGATGTTTATTTTATGGTTTCCCAGCGAAATATGTCTCTGTGTTAGCTCAATTCAGGAGATCGGGCAGTTTTGAAATTTGTTTCATTCCAGATCACGGTTTTAAGAGTTGAAACGGCTCGAAACTGAAGTTATTAGCTTTCGTTTTATCAAGTGACACCGAGTCCATCATCACTTCTAAACTGTTTACTTTCACAAGAGCCATTAAAACTTGTGGCTTGTTGATTCATTGTTGCTAAACCCGATCTAGTGTTACAACCCGAGCTGTGAACAAAGCTACTGAGATTATTGATGACAGACATTAACTTAACCACTTCAAAAATGAACTTATTTCGCAGTTTTACTACAGGAGGGGACATAAACTAAACCGCTAACTTTTTTACACTAGATAGTAGTTCTAAACTTCTAGGTCTAGTAAGGATCATCTCTTATTGATCCAGTGTTACTATCAGAAGGAAACCTAAACTAAACTAACTTTATTTATACTGGATAGCTCTATTAGTTCTAAACTGTTCTTCCTAGAGGTCCAGTAAGGATCATCTTTTATTGATCCAGTGTTACTACGGGAGGAAACCTAAACTAAAATAACTTTATTTATACTAGACCTCTCAGGTCTAAACTGTTGTTCCTCGAGGTGAAGGGTCATCTCTTGTTGATCCAGTGGTAATAGAGACGAAAACCTGAACTAAACCAATTTTATAGCTGTGTAATTTTAACCCATGATCACGAGACATCATCTTAAGGTCTGTTCACACGATCTAATAATCCAATTCACTTCTAATGGATGTTTTATAGTCTGTTGACTTGCAAAGTATATGGGAAGCAAATCAACTAAAACCAACACACTGTTTTATCAATAACAAACTACATTCCATACGTCAGAAGTGAATTGGATACGACAAAGTTGGATCGTGTAAACGAACGTGTATTTCGTGCGGGTTTCCTGCCCATGCACAATGATAAAGATCTATTCTAATTTCACCCCGCGCTCTTCGATTTAAATGTTTCGTCTGATAAGCTCTGTTGTACGTGCCTAACTGTCATTACCAAGTTAAGAAACTTTAGTAGAAAGTTGACATAGCCTCGAGTCCTTTTCTGGTGCTAGGAAACGAAAGATCCAATGAACATATCCAGCGATTTGCGAAAAATTTCGGTCTCCAAGCAACATGCTTATATCAAGTTGTGAATTTTAACGGTTATTCTCGAGTCCCGATACATGCATATGTTATAACACATAAAGGTATGAATTAGCTAAGATGTGAATTCCACAGCGTTTCAAATTGGATTTGCTGTTGCTAATCTAGAAGTAGTACATATTAGATCATAGCAAACCGTATTTTCAAGTCAACAAACACACAAATGCCGCATGCCATAAATCTCAAACTATGCGAACTATAATGTTCAATATGGCAGGTCGAATATACCCTAATATTGATATATTTTCTAGTCTGTTTTATAGTATTACCACATAAGCATAAAAATTTGTTCAAACTATTCACGTTATATTTCACAGAGACCCGAATAAGGAATGAGAGCTTTCACAAGCAGGAAAAAGGGCATTTTATACGCGAGTTTAAAATAGCATATAAGCGTATAAATTCATAAAATATAATCTATATTTAAATGTGAAATGCGTAGGAGAGTTCAGAGGAGATAATAGCCGCCCACAACAACGTTTAAACAGTCCTAAATATTTCTTTATATTGCCCAGATGTTTCAAAGACGCAAATTAAAGAAACATTTTAGGGTTAAGATGTCACACAGAGTCACAGTTTATATGCATAAATTGGCACTAAAGAAATATTCCATAGCGACATTTTTGTACATCCTTGTGGGAAAACAGAGGCTCAAGAAACGCTTTTCATCATTTTTTTAGCCACGTTACGTCAGTCGTTCAGGCAGTGACGATAACGGATGATTTTGAGACACTTACACACTTCCCCTCGATAAAAGATGCTTTTTCAAACACAAAATATTCGAGTGATCACAGAAAATGAGTAGAAAAATGTAGAACGGGTTTTGAACTATGTAATGGCCGGATATGCATAGAAATTGAACAAGACGACGGCAATTTCTATAATCCTCAAGAATCTCAAATATGCCACCGTTTAAATGATGTCGCTTTAACGCTGCTGTGTTAGTATTGCGTCATTCATGGCGACACGTGAGATTGAGATAAACTGATTTGCTCAAACGCGACGTTAACCTCTTGTTTTGTCGTAATATATTTTCCCGTTTGACACACGAGAGTTGTTAGGTCTACTTATAGCGACATTTTGACTGTGAGGGCTTTAAACAAGGTTTTTATAAACATTACCGGGCCATGGCTTTTGGCGCGAAAATACCATACTGGGGCATTTTATTCATGTTATGACTAAGTCGAAATACTGTCATTTGCATACTCACAATACAAGTGTAAATATAACCGAATGCCAGATACTTCCTGTAAATACTGTAGTAGCCATGCGTAATTTTTGTGGCGTGAATATAAAAGGTTTGAAGAAACCGGCAGCCGTTCAGTACACGAGAGGCGACGTCGGAGCGCCGAGCATCGGTCCGCTTTGTCAATTTATCATCCAAAGGGAAGTTATCCAAACTTGGCGGGAAAAAAATGTACATCTAAGAACTTTCGACACATATTATAATAGAAAGCCGCAAGGATATTTAAAAGGAAACTCAAGATTTGACAAAAGGTGTTGAAGGGAATTTATTGACTGATCGAAAGAACCGCGGCAAAGTTGTGGTTGAAATCGAGATAGTTGTCGAAATAGAAAGCTAAACAACAAAAGAACTATACGAAGACAACTAGTGTAACAGTAGAATTCATATAAAATGTCTCTAACTGACGCGATATTGACTGGTCTACCAGATGAAACCAGTTTAACAACACAAGACGGATCAATGAGACATTCTCGTGGAGAAGAAATTGAAGATGTAGTAACTACTAGGAGTTTCTTTAACAAAAACGGCGCAAGTTTCCCGATGAAGTTAGCTGAATTAATGGTTCTTCATCGGGCGACGAAGGCGCTCTCGACGGCTTGTAATATCGGAATATTCGACTATTTAGACAGCGCCAATTCACCAAAATCTGCCACGGAAATCGGCGAGCATTGTAAGGCAAGCGTGAATGGTACATCACGACTATTACACGCGTGCGTTGCCTTGGACCTGCTAAGGACTGTTGTCTCGGATGGAGTCGAGCTCTTCGAGTTAACGGCAGATTCGAGAAAGTACCTGACGTTGAACGGGCCAGAAGCGTTGCGCGGTGAAATCGCTTGTATCGACATGGAGTACAATCTGACTGGAAATCTCGAACACGCAGTTAGAGACGGAACGACGCAATGGCCTCGAACTCTCGGCCTTCCCGAAGGTGGGAATCTCTTTGACGTCGTATACTCCAACGAAATGTTCACTCTTCAATTTTTGGCCGGAATGCACGGGGTATCGAATGTAGCTAGCCCAATTTTAGTGAAAAGCATCGATCTTGGCGAGTACAACAAGGCTTGCGACTTAGGAGGTAGGCGGGTTAAATCATTTTATCGTCACCTCGTATCATAATACTACATTATATATATAAGCGCATGGTATATATTCTTCAATGCGAATTACTTGTCTTTAAAGCCATTTCACGTGTAAATCAACTTCAAAAGTGACGACTTATTGGTCTGGCATTGGTCAAATATACTTCTATACGAATTCCGCCACATTTTGACGGTGTTTATAAATGAGTTTACTTCGACGGAAATGTTTTACCACACAAAGATTTGCCTAGAACAGCTATACCAGTGAAAATATATATTTTGATAAAACTACTTCGATTTGACCAACATATTCAGCACTTCTCTTTCCATCCGACCCTCAGGGAGAAGAACTTAGAACTAATATCATTTTTAGCTTTGAATGAAGTTAGTTTTGTTTTAATATTCCTCAAACTCACGGTCATGACAGTACAAAGTGTGAGATATCATATTACGTATCGATTTGTACAAACAGTCTCGAACGTAGTACGCACATACATACAGTGTCTAACTGAGGATATTACGCGCCTATTTGTGCCACAGTACAAATGTACAAGCGACAAATCCTCGTTAGTTTATTCCAAAGCTTTGAATTTGTCTGAAGCGGAATTTGACCGGTGTCACCAAAGCGATATACTTCCCGCGTGCTAAGTTTAGGTCACTCTATCTTAGCTTATAAGTATAAATTTCCGTCCTTGATATTAGCCTTTCAAAATTGCTTGCCATTTTATACCATTCTTGTTTGTTAATTTAGTACTCAGAGCTTTCATCTCATGGTGTAACGTAAGCCACGCGCATGATTGCATAAGTTTCACGTTTATTCAGTGATATGGAATTATGTCAATATTATGTTGACTTTAGCGTAAAGACTTTAGACCTTACGGTAATCTTAAACCATGTTGTTATGAAATTTAGTACAACACACTCCCGGAATCCCACTTTTTACTCTCAGACTGTTTTGATAAAACAAGAAACAGCAAACAAAATATTGGCCAGCAGACATATTTTTTATGGCGAAGTCTTAGACTTCAGTCGCTCAATGCATGACGATGAATTAAGAGTTAGTAAACATTTCATTCAGTTTAGGGTTTAGTCTGACTGAGGTTTGGTATGTTTCACACTGTTGTTATAGATTATTCTTACGGGGCCTCTAGGAAGAACAGTTTAGATAGATAAAGTTAGTTTATGTATAGTTTAGGTTTCCTCCTGCAGTAACACTGGATCAATAAGAGATGATCCTTACTGGACCTTTAGGAAGAACAGTTTAAAACTGATAGAGCTATCCAGTATAAATATAGTTAGTTTTAGTTTAGGTTTCCTCCTGTATAGTAACATTGGATCAATAAGAGATGATCTTTACTGGACCTCTAGGAAGAACAGTTTAGAAATTATAGAGCTATCCAGTATAAATAAAGTTAGTTTAGGTTTCGTTTTTAGTAGCTAACACTAGACTCATTTCTGTAATAACACCGGGGGCCGGTTGTATCAAGCCCGTTTAGCTTAAACGGTGGATAAGTCAAAATTAAATAACACTTTTACATCTCTCTTGAATGAGTCAACTTGAATATTATTCGCTGAATATGTAGTTGTAAACAGTATCTTTGTATTAAGGTTAAAGACATTTTGTTTGCTTGTTGAATAAAACGATAGACTTGCTTTCTATTTTGAACTTATCCACCGTTTAAGCTAAACGGGCTTGATACAACTGGCCCCAGGTCGATAAGAGATGATCGCAGCTGACTAGAATGATTTTGGGTGATCAGGAGTCACCCTATCATCCACTTTAGGGCGAAAAGATACGTCATTTAAGATAAAGGATAGTTTATTTTGGTTCGTTCATGTCGTTGATCGACAACTCGCCATAGTTAAAATCACAAATACTCCATATTAGACATAATAAAAAGCATGGGTGGCATGTATAAAAAATGATAAACGATTGTGTTAAATCGCTTTTCTGATATCATATTTTATTTTGAACAGCATTTTTGGGAATGCCATAAACAGAATCAGGAAAATCAAAACATGCTTCAAATTTCGCATAGCTTCCGACATGGTCTAGTCGCAACGAATGATCGATTTCGTATTTTAAAGCAACTTTCTTAAAAAAATCCTTACCACGTTAGAAAATTACATCTAAAATTAAGACCTAAAGTTGCCTGTTGTGCCTAAAGGCGCCGAGCAAGACGAATTCAAACGACGTTACTAGAAATTAGAAATTGGACATACAATAGCATTCGTTACATAGCTTCAAACGATGTTTCAAGTTGCAATCATTTCTTAAATTTTTCTCCTTTCTTTCTTCACAAAGCATTTTTGAGTGTATTTACACGACGGAAGTGCTGACTGCAACGTATACGATTTGCATAGTAATCTCTGCCACTATTTCCGACCACTTAATATCTTCACTGGAGGCGGAGTTTCTAAGATGATCTTAAGATAACTTAAGAGTAGATTTAAGACGAAGACAGCATGGTGGAACTTCGGAAGCCTAATTCTCTTCTTTGACCGCCTTGTTATTAGTCCGACTTGCTCAAGATACCCGCATGGGTTTGCATGCAAAAATTAGCATTTAGTCGGTTTGAGCTGTCCAGTCGTTCAATCACGACTAGAGTCGATGAAATCAAACGTTAATCGCTCACATCTTAACTTGTAAGAAATCCTCGAACATAACGAATTAGAAACACAGCTCTCCGAGTCACTGAAAACAAGCTCATTCGGGGAAACTAGGATTCTCTCTCACAACGAGACTTGCACGTATATAAGAATTATATATAGAGACTACGAAATTCGAAGCATTCGTGGTATAATTAGAAACGATGTATTAAAGTTAAATTGCCCGTACCAAACTTGAAAAATTCGTTTATGATTGGAATAAACCCGTGCATGAGATATAAGCGAGATTTTAATTCATATATTCATTGCCTGGCACGTCGGAACCGGCATTAAATCGGTTAAGATGATTTTTGGCAAAGAACTGCGAACAACACACAACAGCCTCCCACTCCATAACCACAAAAATAAACGTTTCTGAAAGATACACGGAACCGTTTGTGACAGAAAGATATCCCAGATAAAAATCAAATTAATACCCGGCGCACGGCAGGAAAGACGAACGGATATGTTGCAAAGCATTATATTATTTCAATAAAGTAATCCATTAATAACATAAATTATCTAGAATATTTCGCAATGTTTCGACTTTATAAATCGCCATTTTACTTCTCGGGAACAACGAATTCGACCTAAATTATGCTATTTAGCACGGGAGAGAAACCTCAGAGTCAGAGAGAGTTACGACACAGAGTCAGAGAGAGTTACGACACTTTGATTGTGTTTCAGATTTTAAACATTCACGCATAATGTACCGTTTTTAAGCACCTATAGTTTAACAGCTGTGGTCACTGAAGTACAATAAGATCTAAGAATAATTTCATAATGGATTTCGCAATAAACATTTCTGTTAGTATTTCCCATACGAGTTTACTGTAAATCGTAATCATTTATTCACAGCTATCTCTATTTACGTGGCTGCTCTTAAGCTTGTAAGCAGTTTCATCGCTTATTTGTTCACGAGCACTTGAATTTCTTAATCAGCACATTCATCTCGTAATATTCGGATTCTTAATTACAATCTTCCCACACAATCAGATTTAAAATAGTTCGATTTCGCAAGACCTTTTTTTAAAGCACGAGTTTTGTTATTCTAATAAGTATTTGTTTAATATCTGCGTTCCTACAGTCATCAGGATCGTTCAGGAATGCATGCGAATAAATACCATAGTTTTAAAATAGTCTGGTATTTCGGCAATTCCGGTCAGCTTTATCCTATTATTTGGCGAATTCACCGCTCACGGTGATTAGAGCTGTACAATAGCACATCATATTTCGAGTTTTAATCGCCGAAATCGCATCAAAAGTGGAACAAAGTCTCCACGCATGTATGGAAAAGCAAAATACCTTACTTCATCTCTCGAATTCCTTCGTGCGACAATTATGCGAGACATGCAACTCACAAAGGTTGTAAATTACCTAAAAATGGACTGAAATGCGTCTAGTTTTTCCTATTGGGATTCCGCTAATGTCCCCTATCATGTCCTAGATTGAAAAAAAACGTCGAAAGTCATAAAGCGGCTCAGCCACAACCACGGCAGGCTATTTTCGACTATAATGCCAACACTGGACTCCTGCGTTCTATCTTTTTTTAAAAACACAGCGCAAATAAATATGTTGTTGAAAACACTGGAATCATAGGCATAGCGACGGCAACTGCATTTCGAAGAGAGAGATTGGAAGCTATTAGACCCGCTTTTGTAGCAAATTACAATCAATAACGAAACAAATAATTAGAGAATTAGAATCATTAGCTAATTGAATTAAGATCTTCGATGACAAGCTAAAATTTCACTAATTTAAGGCCGTTTCAAACCAATTAGAACATTATCGACAATTATGAAGAGTTATAGCGGTATATCAAATGCCTGAAACCTATACGAAGATAAAAGTTCTCGACTTTTCGACCAAAGGGGCTTCGTCAAGTTTTCGAGTGTATCATCGACTAGGCTCTTCTGAATATAAGGTTCTTTTATTTGACCGAATTGATCCAGAACTTTCTTTGTATAATTTGGACGGTTGATAAAAAGTCTGGACAACTTTAAAGCGATCTTCTTGACATTTTAAGGGTCCTAGGAATTAGAACTGTTAATGGTAACAACCAGAATCAGCCGTACAGTTAAACTACAGATTAGAGGAGTATTTTTAGACAAACAAGACGTTTCCCCCCTCGAGGGGACCTTGCTTCCAAGGATCTGGCGTAAACAATATAATGTGAAAAACAAGTTGATCAAAACAACTTTGTTTTCATGCCGTTATTAACGTCCTTCCTGAGAATTCGCAAGTGATTTCCCGCTTCTTTGCCACCCAGCAAATATCCGGTACCCAGCTTCTTTCCGCCCGGTGCCAATGGAGCATGGGCCACTTAAAGTGGCGCCATGCTGTGTTGAAAATTAAACGCTGATTGCGAATTATTGCCAATTTTGAAATTTCGATTGTTAAACAAATATTTAAGCACAACCTGTTGTAATTCCGTTATTTCAAAAGCAAAATATTTACCAGTCGTGCTAATTATGTTAACTGCTATCAAGCTTGAATAATTGACTCACAGATGGTCTGCCAAATGTTAACTATGTTGGTTTAAATATATGAATGACCATAAGGACAACTTAGAAACCTTTTTGATTTTGAATGTATCATTTCTTGAATGGAGTCGGATTAGAATAGTTTGTTGCGAGGTGCTATAATTTGTCTGTAATTAGAACTAATCCAAACGAATTAGAAGAATATTTATGAAATAGAATCACATTTACGACCAATTAGAGCTGTTTTAGAGAATTAGAATATATCGTATATAGCAAATTAAAAAGCCTTCTCAAAAAGGAGGCGATATAAAGTTTTGCCAATGGTCAGGAAATAAGAATAATAGCTTTAGCACAATGAAAGCATCGCAATTGATTTTATTATTCAACGCCTCATGAGAGGACTGTCTCTATGTGCACTTATCATGATATTGGCGTCATGTGAAGACTTTGAATAAAAGACCTGTAATATTTCGGGAGCGCACGTGCCACGCGAAGACAGAGAGCTTGGCTGAACGTCGCGAGACGCCTTCTCGGCTATTCTAGATCGATCGTCTATCACCTATCATTATGTCATGGTATTAATGAGCTCGCAGGCAAACCGGCAAAATTATAATAGAATTGCAAACCAATAATTCAATTAATCAATCAAAATTTTCTAATTTATTATTTCTTTTGATCAATCAAGTCAAATAATAAAATACCTAAAGATCACCTTTAGGCAAACAGAACTATTTTGGCAACGAATATTCTAAATGGAATTTGAAACATGAATTGTAGTCCACGGGCTATACCCTATTTGGAGTGAAACGTGCAAATACTAGAATAGACGGGGAAATGCATGGATATTCGTGATAAAGAGTATTTCGAAGATGTTTCCCGTCGATAACAGTTCACTGACTTTCCAACTTTCTAACCACCAATATCTCTCAATTTTTAGGAGGAACAGGAGCATTTGCATACCATGCTGTAGCCCAATATCCAGAGATGACCATGTCGATACTCGAGCTACCTCCAGTTGTCCAAGCTTCACCCCATTTCACCCCACCTAACCTACCAATGTCCCAGAGATCCCGAGTTCAGTTCATTCCAGGAGATTTCTTCAAAGATGACCTTCCTCCAGCACAACTGTATGTTATGGGAAGGATCTTACATAACTGGGGAGAGGATTTGTGTGATATTCTGTTAGAGAAAGCATACAAAGCACTGCCACCAGGTAATAGAAGTTTGTTATAAATAAAGTTAGTTTAGTTTACGTTTCCTCCTGTAGGTTACTGGATCAATAAGAGATGATCCTTACTGGACCTCTAGGAGGAACAGTTTAGAACTGATAGAGCTATCCAGTATAAATAAAGTTAGTTTAGTTTAGGTTTCCTCCTGTAGTAACACTGGATCAATAAGAGATGATCCTTACTGGACCTCTAGGAGGAACAGTTTAGAACTGATAGAACTATCCAGTATAAATAAAGTTAGTTTAGTTTAGGTTTCCTCCTGTGGTAACACTGGATCAATAAGAGATGATCCTTACTGGCCTTTCTAGGAGGAACAGTTTAGAACCGTCAGAGATAGAGTTTACAGAATTCGCGTCTAATAAGCTGTATATTTTCAAATTCAGGCGGAGCCGTTCTTGTGGTCGAAGCCGTGCTAAACGATGATAAAAGTGGTCCAGTAAGAGTCCATCTCGAGTCACTGGTCATGTTAGCAGCAACTGGCGATGGCCGAGAGAGAAGTGGTAAAGAGTACACTGAACTACTTATGAAACATGGTTTTGTGGATGTGGAAGTCTACAGAGAAGGCACTCTATTGGACGGCGTTTTGGCAAGGAAACCAATGAATTAGCTTCATCTCGTACGGGAACCTTTTTAAACTAGCCTTCTTAACTTTGAGCGCATAAAAATCACTGGACTATAAATAATCTGGAGAGCCTGCTCGTAATTTCCTTTGATTTTTTGTCGGCAATTTTTTTGCCTTTATTTTTTTGTGCCGAGCACGTCTTCCAGATATTATAGAGTTCAGTGTTGAAAATGCGTTGTATATAAAATTCTGTGTAAAATACGTTGTTTTGTTGATGTAAATATTTAAGTTATCTTATCTTAAAAAGATATTAGCAAACATTAATGTAATTTATTCTCCAGTAAAGTAAAACTCTAATAACTATATATTATATTTGACAGCGAACTAAGTATAGTGTGTTCATGAAACGCGGTAGATTGCATCACTTATTCGCTATTATTTATTGCAAATATTTACATCAAGCTTGCTAAATTATTGTGTATATAGACTTGGGCAGAGGTTGGTTTTGAAGCAACTGGAGTATTGTCAAGGTCGATATAATGTAAAATAAACTTTTCAGCTAATCATGAGGTTGTATTTTGTCGTCAATTAGAAACATCACAGACAAGGACATAATGTTAGAATCAAGAATAAAACTTGACATAACACGAGTTCACACAACGTAACTTATCTGTCAAGCCATCGCACATATTCAATTGTATCCTACACGGGGCCCATTTTTTCAGATATCCATTGCTGCAATAACAAGGTGAAATACAAGATTATATGCGGATAAATCAGTTGTGAACAGTTCTTCCAGTTAGGATAATCTCTTATATTGATCCAGTGTTACTACAGGAGGAAATCTGAACTAAACTAACTTTATTTATACTGGATAGCTCTATCAGTTCTAAACTGTTCTTCCTAGACGTTCAGTAAAGATAATCTCTTATTGATCCAGTGTTACTACAGGAGGGAACCTAAACTAACTTTATATATACTGGATGTTTCTCAGTTAGAAACGGTCTCTTTTAGTGCAACGGGACATGCATTCCTACCTTAAAAACACCAAGGTCAAACTCTCAAAGCTCCCTTCCCACATGCAACAAAGACACATGCAAAGTTGGATATATTTACCTTGCTACACGGTGGACGGAGCCAATCTCGCCAGTGAACTGATATCACAAACAACTAGTTTATCATTCAAATCCATTTTTATAATTGCATCATTTCCGTCAATCTGGATCAGGGTCCCTGTGCTGTCCCTGTCATCCCCATGAATCAACTTCACCTGGTTTCAAAATTACGACCAATATATTATACAATAAAAAACAACGAAGTAAAAGATTATTCACTATCCTAATCCTAATCCTAATATACGCCCCAGCTTTAATCCTAATTTAAACTCTAATCTCTAGTAATAATCTCCAGGCATTGATCCCTAATTCAATCCTTCAAGCAATGCTTCCATGCTCTGTTTCAAAACTTTCTAACGAACTGTTTTAGAATTCTAAGAAATTCAACAGAGTCAAACTGGAAGCAGTGCATTTGGACTAGGCGATAATAGAGGCACTGTGGCAAATAAAGTGTACAAACCTTATCGTGTTTGGCTGGCTGTAATGCGGTGAGGTGCTTGCTGGGAATGCTGACGTCACGTTTCTCATCATACAGATACACAGTACTGGTTCCACCAACCACGTTACGGATAACACCTTTCTTGGAAACCAGCTGAGAATCCTGGAATAAAAATTCACAGAGTTTAGGCATGGGCATTCCGGGAAATGATTGAAGAAGAAATTGCATTAGACTTCACAAAACCAAAATACTGGATAGCTCTATCAGTTCTAAACTGTTCTTCCTAGAGGTCCAGTAAAAATCATGTCTTATTGATCAGGGTTACTACAGGAAGAAATCTAAACTAAACTAACTTTATTCATACTGGATAGTTCTATCAGTTCTAAACTGTTCTTCCTAGAGGTCCAGTAAGGATCATCTCTTATTGATCCAGTGTTACTACAGAAGGAAACCTAAACTAAACTAACTTTATTTCTACTGGATAGCCCTATCAGTTCTAAGATCTTCTACCCAGAGGTCCAGTAAGGATCATGTCATATATAACTCAGTTCTCACCTGATACGACTCGCTGATTGTCACTTCAATATCTTGGGTCACCCACTCGTGTGGCATCTCCACTTCCAAACTCGCTCCTGGGGTGTGGGGGTTAAACCCGGGGGAAATTGGACTAGGGTTTGCACTACCAGGTGTGACAGGGTTCGCATATCCAGCTGGAGAGGGGGAGTCCACGTACGGGGAGTAGGTGGGTTCAGAACCATACATTCCACTTGGGGTACCCGGAGTGTAGGGGGCGGTAAATCCCCCGGGGGTCGCTGGGTTCGGCGTACCATAACCCTGAAAGAAAAAGATGGTTGTCCGCATGAAATGGACACACACTTGACTGCCATAGGAGAATTTCAACGTTGTTACTTACACCGACGGGCGATGGCGTTGGAACGTCCAAGCTGTAATCAAACTCGGCCTCAGACCTCGCAGGAGTGTTTGCCGAGCTTGGGTCCCAAGCCCCACCATGGAGAGGTGTGCGCGAACCGTCATGTGATGGCGTCATCGAACCATAATGTGGTGTTCTGCTTCCTATTAAAGTTTGACGATCAATCGTATTTTATTTCGTAAACATCAAGGATGTATGTAACATCAAGATAACATTTATCTAATGAACTTACCATCGTGGGTAGGAGTCTGGGAACCATACATTGGTGTTCTTGAACCAGGGGTCTGGGACCCATACATTGGTGTCTGTGAGCCGTACATGGGGGTTCTTGAATGCGTAGACCCACCGCGCGTCGGGGCACTGGAACCAAACGAAGTCATAGTCAAAACACTACCTCAGTGATTTAAACACATGCAGGTCGATTTGGATTTAGACACATGTTAAGTTAACAAATGTCATTGATATGATTTGATTTCTTCTTATTCTCGCACTTCTTGCCAAATACCATCCACTGAAACTACTGCGACTAAAACTAGCTTGATTTCCATAGTGAGGCTAGAACAATGTACATGCGATCTTCACAAAACTTACCCAACGACATTGATTCTGGATCTGTCGACAGAAATTGTTTTACAATTGCTGTGTAGCTCGACTCGTGCTGTGGTTTCAGTCGCGTCTTTCACTATCCCAATGTAGCCTGGGGAAGAATCGTTTCAGATTGTTGAACGCTTTATTTGGAGTGTTTTAAACGATCTTTCAACCTGAAATGGAACTAATATTTACCTTTATAAGGACCTTGAGAGATCCTTATGGTCTTTCCGATCAGCGTGAGGTCTCTTCCAGGCCTCCCTCGACCACGACCAAACCCACCTCTGCCTGACGGAGATGCTCCACCTGCACCTCCACCTGCACCTGCGGGCAAAGCATAGTAAGAGTAATTTCGCAATATTTCTGTTTTTTGAGACACACTGGTATTACTAAATCTAGCTAGGTCCAGCCATAAAGATCTGTACTATACCGCCAGGATCACGAGCAGGACTTGATATTCTCGGAGAACGAGGAGCGAAGCCTCCGAATCCACCAAAACCACCGATAGAATCCGTAGTAGCCTAAAAAAGAATGCATATTTTGAATGCACCATTTCACCCAACCCTCGACAAGTGGACGTTTTCAAATTGTCCAGTGGTTCTGTGCCTGAAAGAACTGAACAATACAGTACCTTCCCACCACCGGCTAGCTGTAGTTGCTTGGTTCTGCAAACGATGATCCCGCCATTTTCCACGACCAATTTCGAAGAGAGAAACGCGAAGCCACGGTAGACAAATTTGACTTCCCCCTGCAAGTCTTTGTGGGGTCCGTCAACGACCTTAACCACGTCTCGAACTTGAATGGTATTCTAAAATCAGGAAAAACCAGTTAATACAGTACTCGTTTTCATCATCGCTCGATCCGGGGTCTGGGCTACTACCATTGTCCAGGATGTTACCCTTCCACACTGAACTCTACGTAGACAGGAGTGAGAACCAAGCTAATGTTTACCTGGTCGCAATCCAGAGCGACGGCGTGTTTATTTTCTTTACGTTTGGCCACAGCTTGCTGCCGCACTTGGGAGACCTGAATATAAACAGAGACAGCGGCCTTGAGGTGATAATCCAGGCAATGATATTTTGAAGCGGTCAGTGTCATTAGAAAGGGTAATATTCCTTCCTAAACAGTCATATGTGGCAGAAAACATACTTTCCCATGTTGATTTAGGATCGAAAATGTCTCTCTTTCAATACGGACAATCACACCGACAGTTTGAGGACTAAAATGAAACGTTCAATATATAATAGAATACGAAACTTTTCATTTGACACAAATATTTACTTTAAATTTTCGGCTTACTCTAGCTGAACCAAGTCGCCCCATTGATGATGACCCAGAGAATCTACACCACTGCTTCTTTCGGAACATAACTGAAGATCTTTCAACAGTGCTTCAAGCTAAAAGGGAATTGTAATAAACGAGATTTCCACAAGAAAAATCATCCAGAATAAGACTGAAAGCAATGCGGGACCTCTAAACGACTGGGGCAGGTTGTATCAAGCCCGTTTAGCCTAAACGGTGGATAGGTCAAAATAAAATAACACTCTTAGATCTCTCTTGAGTGAGTTAACTTGAATATTATGCACTGAATATGTAGTTGTAAACAGTATCTTTGTATTAAGGTTAAAAACATTTAGTTCGCTTGTTGAATAAAACGATAGACTCGCTTTGTATTTTGAACTTATCCACCGTTTAAGCTATTACCGTTTTTATTCCTCGCATACCTCGTGCATCGTAAGATCTGAAAACAAAATGGCTGTCTTTCCTAAAACACGAAGTATCAAGCCTGTATCTCCTTCATATTTTCCGTGAATGACTTTCACGTGATCTCCAACTTTGAAGAATTTCTTCAGCTCTGAGGATGGGAAATTCAGAGGTTCCTTGAAATAGATGAAACACATTTTCAGGCTGGAAAATTGATAGCACAAACAAGTATATAGTCGCTTGTGAATACTGCCTTAAATGAACAAAGCTAAGAAACATATAACTCAGCGAGAATTAGAATAACACTGGATTGATACGAAAGGAGCTTTACCACATTATTGGTCCACTATGCATGGGGAGACCAATTTAGAACTGATGGAGCTATATCCTGCATGGATCCAGTTTAGTTAATTACCTTTAGATCTTCATGAAAAGGCAACATAACGATCTTATTTCCTTCAACGCTGACAATTTTGCCTTGTAAATTGATCAACTCTCCCTCGACGACTTCGACATTGTCTCCTGGGGCAAATTGACTTTCAGCATCCTCCTTTGAACTTTTCGTAGGTACTGACAACGAGTTAGGGAAAGAGAAGCGAGAAGAACATAGGAACTGCCCAAAACTCTCAGAGTAAAACATGTATTTGCAGGCAGTTATTTTAGGTGAAGCTTTTCATTACAAAAGATACATTCAATGTCAATATCTTCGGAGGTGCTTTCAAACTTTTCTAACTCGGAAAGAGTTGGCTTAATTCCTTCGGTGACCTTAAGAAAATCAAAGAGAACAATGTACAGTGTATTAAATAATTATTATTCCGTCAAAAGAGCAGTGAATCTGATAAGTGTATCTCCAGTGTGTAAATAAAGTTAGTTTAGTTTAGGTTTCCTCCTGTAACACTGGATCAATAAAAGATGATGCTTACTGGACCTCTAGGAAGAACAGTTTAGAACTGATAGAGCTATCCAGTATAAATAAAGTTAGTTTAGTTTAGGTTTTCTTCTGTAGTAACACTGGATCAATAAGAGATGATCCTTACTGGACCTCTAAGAAGAACAGTTCAGAACTGATAGACCTATCCAGTATAAATAAAGTGAGTTTAGTTTAGGTTTCCTTCTGTAGTAACACTGGATCAATAAGAGATGATCCTTACTGGATTTCTAGGAAGAACAGTTCAGAACTGATAGAGCTATCCAGTATAAATAAAGTTAGTTTAGTTTAGGTTTTCTTCTGTAGTAACACTGGATCAATAAGAGATGATCCTTACTGGATTTCTAGGAAGAACAGTTCAGAACTGATAGAGCTATCCAGTATAAATAAAGTTAGTTTAGTTTATGTTTTCTTCTGTAGTAACACTGGATCAATAAGAGATGATCCTTACTGGACCTCTAGGAAGAACAGTTTAGAACTGATAGAGCTATCCAGTATAAATAAAGTTAGTTTAGTTTAGAAATGTACGACGTAAACTCACAAGAGCAGATATCGCCATATTCTTATACAAGAAACCCTGACGGTAACGATTTCCTTCGAAAAGATAGAAATCTCCATCTTGATGAATTTCGCCGCCGATTCCTCTACAAAAACAAAATTATTAACGTGGAGTAAATTCCAAAAGATTCAAGAAAATTGATTCGAGCGACAGGTGTTGCCTGGCACCAAGGCCACCTCGTTCCCAGCCTCTCGTCACATACCTCACAGCTTCGGGATCGAACAATTTTGGAGGCGGTTTTCGGAATCGTTTCTTCTTCTCCTGGTCTTCCTGCTGCGTGAAGGTCAAAACCCCCCGTCAATTCTCTACCACCAAGACGAAAATATCCCGAAAAACCACACTCCACGGGGGGGTGGCGAAAAAAAACTCACCTCAGGCGCTTTGTTTCCTCTGGGTTTTGCGTAGTCAATGCGAGGAATCATTTTCAGAGTGACCTAGACAGAAACGCGAGAATTATAGTATCATAATAATTGCATATCGAATCGATTTCCTTTGATGTACCGCGGGTTGTATAGCACTTACAACCCGAGAGAAGTAGTGGAAGATCGTGGGAAAACCTCGTGGGTCGTGGACAAATGCCTCGAGAGTGAAGCAACATACACTACTGTAAGCCTAGAACTCAAGGTTCCCAGAATTCGATGAAAAACCTTTGCATTTACAGGAATTTATAGGCGGCCCGCATCGAAATACGAGCTTATCGTATCATACCTGGTTCTTTGAAGGGTGGACATAGTCAATCTGAAAGAAAAATGTTGACAGTTGAAGGCGAAAATGAACACACCACACGTTCTCAGGAAATAATGTATCATAAAGAACTTTATTAGGGCGCTTATATAGATATAGATAGGTTTATAAGCGCCCTGAACTTTACAGATATTTTTCAAGATAAGCTCGTGCATAAGCTCCGGCTTGATTAAAGCTCTGAAAAGCATTTTAGCTGGTTTCCAAATTACCACATCTCACCTGGGCCAAGTCATCTTTGAAAATGCCTCGTTTTAAGCGGACCCATTGTTTAGCTTTCAACTGAACCAGATCTTTAACTACATTAAGAACGTCAGTCATTTCTTTCACCGGAACCATTTTCTGGTTCCACTGGCCAATTTTGAGTGTCCCAATGCCTTCAATAGCCTTAAAAACATCATTGAAAAGTTTTAAAAAGGATGCAGTCTGAAATATCGACATGTAGCATCTTACAAAAAGTTGCGATGCTTTGGAAGCCTACAATTTTGTTCTGAATAGCACATGTTAGTTTACTACACCTGTTTGACATGAGTTTGTTTGTACGCCTCAATGTAAATATAGCCTTTAAGACCTTCAACAGCAATTGCAGACTTCACTTGTAGAGGCTGTAACAAAACATGACTTTAGCCTATAGTTTATCATTGGAAATTAATGCAAGATATAACAGTAGAACAGAAAGTTCTGACATATATTAAGAGTGCTTGTAATATTTTGAATTCTAGTATACCTCATCGGTGAACTGTTGTGAAAGTGCTTTTCTCATCATTGCAATGACTGTTGCCTTTTCTTCTCCAATCTACATACATGAATGAGGTCATGAAAACTGACTAAGAGTTACAGACTAAAAAACCAAAGAAACTCATAGTTTTTAGCAAAAGAAACCAGCTTACCCTACACTTCACCAACCAAAGATTTGGATCCCTGTATGACAAGAAAATTTTTGGGATTTTAATGGTAAAATGCCTTGTACATACTGTGAGTGGTTACAAACTGACGTACCTGGTTGTCATTCAAATTTCAAAATGGTAAATAAGGGATAGCTATGGTTTACGTAGCTAGGATTAAACAAGACTTCGTACATACTTTACTCCCGGCAGTAAACTTTGTTGTTCAATTCCTCGAGGATGGTCATAATCCTTCTTGCTGTATCTGAGGGTAAATTTTCATTGGACAAGAGTTGTAAGTTGCTGGTGATTCTCAAAAGGAGGCAGTAACTATGGAAACAGGAAACTGCTTGGTCATGTAATAATCACAATGCATACTTTCTTGATGTTTCAACATATTTCCTTCGGTAGTATTCTTCCAAATCTTCATCACTTCGCTCCCTGAAGTAAACAAAGAAAGGCCCTTGTGAGGTATGGCAACTATTTGAGGTACTGTGCATTAGTGTAGGTTTCTTTTTCAACTTAGTGACCATTCTTTGGTCACTGGAGAAAGTCCATAAATCTACTCACTTCAACATTTGCTGCAATCGCCTTGCACCCTGGAATTGAAGAAATTAAAATATGTTGTAAATAGAATAATATCATACCAATATACAATTCTTTGAAGTGCTATGCATAAACTTTTTATACCGATATATCTTCTGTGTGCTCTTCATCTCGTTCAGCTGGAACAAAACAGCAAATTCATAAGTTAAACACAATTTATTTGTACAATAAGACAACTTTCAAACTCAGGCAAATGGCAATTCTTAACTCATCACATGTGCAGATTCAACTATTGTACATGCAAAAATACAATATTCTTGTGTTTCAAATCTTTGTTTAGTATATTCTCTTCAAATTCAAGCTGCACATATTTGTGAAAAATTCTTTAGAACTAACACAAATTCCATTCAAAACAATGGTACCTTAATACTTACAATGGTCTTCAAATCCTTCAAAACCTTCCTCTGCTTCAGTTCCTTCCTCATCATCCTCGTCAACCTCTAAAATGTTTAAGTAAATGGTTCAACCATCTACTGTAAACTGAATACACTTGAAAAGAGACAAAGATAGAGGTAACAATGGTATGACGTACAGAGGTTTATAGAGTGCTACAGAAAGGGACCAAGTTGATTACATTGTATGAAGATAATACTGATGATAGAACAATCATCATCAAAGCAATGATCATTGGTAATTGTGATTCCACTATTTGGAATAAAAGTTTTTAGTAACTAACCTGCTTCAGCATCAATGAAGGCACTTGCTCCAACCTTCCGTCGCTTCTGTCCCTTCCTGTCGTAATCATCTTCGTCTTCTTCTTCTTCTTCATCCTCAATATCATCATCATCATCTTCATCCACGTCCTCATCCATAACTTCTTCCTGTGGTTTCAACAAAGGGAAGATCAACAGATAAATATTGTCTGGGATTGTCACCAGAGAAAATCAGATGTCTGCTGCAAATCCCTGGATCGCCAATGCAATTCTCAATAGTAATTTTCACGGTAAATGAGAAATATTGCATAACAAATACCAAACTTGCCCGTTGATCACCAAAATGTGGATGATACGAACAAAAAAATCAAGATATCGGCCGAGTTTTAGTGCTTTCCTGACTAAAAATTTGAGCAGATCTACACCCTGCGCCGTTTGAAATTCAATGCTTCAGCCCCCTTGTCTTAATACTTACAAGATACAAGGCATGTACACTTTACAAATCAAGTCAACAATTGAAAATTTATGCACGAGATATACTATTTTTTTACATCGACACTTTCATATGGTATGTGTGACCAAACATAACATATATACGGCGAAAATAGCATCCGTTGAAACTTGTTTAGTCTTTTATACTTGCCTCTTCGTTCTCTGAATAACCTTCTTCGCTATCGGACATCGCAAATGCAGTAAAAGTGGAAAAAAAGCGAGAATTCTACACAACAATTTAGTTCCCTTTCCTTGTACAAATTGAAATAACAGCAATGCGATTGTCTTACATTGGTCCAGTGTCAAATGCCGTCCAGTGACCCACTGATCTCCATGGAATACAATTAAATGAAGTATCCGTTTGTTACCGAGAATTCAAAATGGTGGTGATAAAATGCAGTAAAGATGGTCTTTTTGCCGTGATTTGTGGAAAGATACTTCGCGTTTACGACTTACGGTAAGCAGGAATGATAACACTATATTTTTGCTACGAGACTGCATCATTTCTTGTTAGAAATGCACAAAAATACTTATGATATTTACGGATGTTACTGGTTTAGGAGTGACAAAACTACCGCCCCGGGGGTCACCACCAGGGGATCCAAGCCAAATCTTGATATAACTATTGATTTAACCGTAGTTTTCAAATACGGGAAGGTGAAACGGTACATCGATACTTTTACTATTCCTACTCTAGAGAATCAACTCTGGTTCACAAATATTCATTTTCCACGGATCCCACAAAACCCGTAGAACCAAAGGACAACGAGGGTCAATCATCGCAAACGACATTCACCTATGATTACGGCTGCGTCTTCTCCAACTCTGGCAAATATTTGGCTACATTCTCCGATGGGAAAGACTTGGCAGTATTGAGGACCACAGACTGGAAACAAATTGGAAAAAGGTCAGAAAAGTGGTTAAGGTTTGATGTGATGTCTACTGCGGAATACAAGAGCCATGCAAACAGGCCGACTGCAGTGTCGATGCCTTACTAATCACAAGTATTTCCCTCTCAATCTTTACCAGGAAAGCTGCAAAGAGGCTCACCTCAGTGTTATTCACAAATAAAGAAGATTGCATTGTGATCAGCGACAAGGCTGGAGATGTTTACAGGTTAAAAACAAGACTGTTTACACACACATTACAAAATCTCTTGTCCTCTTATTAACTGATGCTCCCTTCAATTGTTCGGCCTTTTCATTTGACTCCATTCCTCCCATGTTTTTCAATTACCATCCATTCAACTCTCTTCATGTTCTCCCTCATCATCTTTCATCTCGTGCATTTCTTTCATCTCCAAACAAAAACCACTTGAAAGGCATGCTTCTGTCGCCATCCAAAATCATCAAATCCAGCTGACTGAGCTGAACTAGATGTAGAATTCACATACCTGAAAGAAACATAATCTCATTTGAATCTTTTTTCATTCATTTCAATATTTCACACAGCTATAATATCTCGGAAGAAAATGGATTGTCCAACGAGTCTCTCCTTCTTGGTCACGTGTCCATAATCCTTGATATGGTAATTAAGACTGTAACAATCCTGTAAATTAAGTTAACACATAATCCACTGACCCACTGTAGTGTTACAAGATTGTTATGTATGTTATATAAAGATAAAGTGTTCACACTTGCTAAAGCCATATGTATATAACACATTGTCATTTAACACGTGTCTCAAATCACATGTTCCAGGCCATATCACGTGATGACAGATACATTCTCACTGCTGATCGTGATGAGAAGATCCGTGTTAGTCATTTTCCAAACTCCTACAATATCGAGTCTTTCTGTCTTGGCCACACGGAGTGAGTCCGTACGAAATACTTGACAATCCCTTTCATCCAGTTCTAAACTGTTCTCTATTGAGATCAGCGATAATGTCTGATACCATTGACTGATACAGATCTCACTGACTTACTGAGCATTTGAAAGAACGTCAAAAATAACGTATTTATCACTAACGCAAAATATCCTTTTCTTTCAAGATATGTTTGGAAAATCATTATTCCCGAAAAAATGCCCGATATTTTGGTATCGGCTTCTGGGGTATGGTATTTATTGGATTCTTGGACACGGTTCTATAAGAAGGCATTTTGTAAAAAATTCAATTCAAAGATCTAATTGCTTGGTCAACTTTTGAGACTTGAAAGTTCTCGAATCCTCGAATTTTAAAACTTGCGGAAAAGTCGTACGAGTACTAGTAGTTTAAGGCCACTTTCCCCCAACTTTAAACTCTCCACTTCCAGCCTGGATAATTCCTGAATTGGCTGAAATATGCAATAAAAGTCCTTAAAACTAGATACGTCTGAATGCTTTGATTCCTATCTTGACAAACAGGACGATACTTTACGATTTTGGGACTATAAACATGGGATATCAGTTCACAGCAACATACAACTCGACAAGGTGAGAACCATTAGCTTCAGTTTCCTTTGCTCTGGAATGCAGTTCAGTCCTCGAGTTACAAAGTCAAACCAGTTCGAAAATTACATTGTAAAAATACTTGTGTAATGGGACCCCAATGGCGCTAAAGATGTTTTTATATTTGGTTCATTTTTTTAGCCAAGCAAAGTTGTTTCCTGTTTAGCAAGCAGCAGAACGGAAAACGTTGTTTTCGTCGGGTTTGAAGGGTAAAATAACTTTGTAAATGTAAAGGAATAGAGTAAGGGATAACTATTTTTGTATATATATTGTTAGCTCGCTGAAACATGCCTGATTGATGCACTTTCAGATGATGGAAGTCAAGGCTTAGAAAAACAAGACATGCCGAAAACTTTTCTCATTTGCAGGTCACTTTCTGTTAGTGCTTTCAAAATAACTAGGGAAGAAGAACTAAACGTCGAACAGATTTCATCAGCAGACCTGAAACTCGATGGGCCACCATGTTGTTTTGCCGTTGACTATAAAGATCGTTTGTGGGTCGTTCAATCTTATGAAAAACAACCTTTTGTGGTTTTTGAGATGTCCTTGAACGAGGGAGGCTATGAGGTTTGGGTTTTTTAGTAGAAATATTGGTAAACTTATCTTTCCTTCATCATATATTAGTTTCAATAATGAGAAATTATGACAGGCTTTATGTATTGTAAAATAGCGCACAAAAATATGGATTAAAAGTACTTGATCAATGTAATCAATTTAACGAACTGCTAAAACAGGCAGATCTGAAGTCTAAATTTTTGACGGACCATCTCACCTTGTTCGCTCACGTTTTGTAGTTTAAAAGACAGTCCGTGAGTCTACCCATAACACTCCAAGACCAAAAGATCATATACGGTTTGTAAAAGATAACTAATCTATAATTTACGTGGCAAGAAACCTCAGACTGAGCCGTGAATCAGCCTTAAAATTAGTACAGGAAGAAAACTGAAGTTTTTGTTTCATTGGGAAATTCCATTATTTCTATAGGCGGCTTTTTCGTTGATAATATTTCGGGATTTTTTCAAAGTTTTGTGTTTCTTTCTTTTACAAGCAGAGACGACAGAGCAACGGCCGTGTTTGGTAGATTTGAAAAAGAAAGGAGACCCGGGTTTTGGAGCATCGGATTATTACAACAGGAAAAAAGATCGAATTGAGGCCAAGAGAAAAAAAGATGCGAGCGAAGTTCAAACGAAGAAAATAAAAACTTGAAATGCAATAGTTTTTAGGAATAGTTTTATCGTGTTTTGTGTGTGTGTGTGTGTTTAACGCATTCTTGTATACGTGTATGTAAAGTTATTTATCTGGTAACAAAGAGCTTTTTTTGAGCCGCTGTTAAACGTGTTTTACTCTCTGTCATACTAATTCTTGTGCAGAAGGTTCGTTTTTATAACCTTTCAAAGAACTTGATCGTAAAATTGCAATATTTTGATCAAGATTTAAAAAAAAAAATACTCGTTATGAGATTATTAAGTGAGAAAAACCCTTTCATTTTGGTCAGGACTTGGGGGTTTTGTCTGCAAATTACAGACATCATATTTGGATATCTAATTAGCATTTTCACCGCATTTGGATATCGAATAATTAGCATTTTTATCTTCGTGTAATGTGCTCATTGCTTTTTGATCTTTGACCGCATTGTGGAATTACGGTTGAATTCGTCTGAAAACATGAATATTATCTAAGCCTGGAAAGCCAATATTATTTGCTTTCGGCTGAGTTATCTTGACAGATTATCGGCATTTTGCTTCAAATATGATATGATATTGGTGAGGTTATTAGAGTGTCTGTTGTTTTGATCCAGATTACATTTAACAGCACGAAATCAAAGAACATGTAATCTGAAGATATTGACAACAGGTTTACAAACAATGTCATCTTACGACAAATACTTTCGAGACGATCTCGTCAAAGCACTCGAAAGCCTGCAGGTATTCCCACAAGTTATCAAAGATTGTAGAGCATTTTTAAAGCAACGATATCTGAAAAAACACAAGCTCTCGGAGCTCGTCTGGATAAATAAACTTACCGGCGACTATCAAGATAACTGCAAGCATTATGCCGAGTTTATAAAGCGAATTGTTGCTGCACAATTTCTCGCTAAATGTCTGAACGTAAAAGAAAGCGAAATAAACGAACTTATTTCGGGTTTAAAAGCGAATCTCAACGCCGCAAACAAAAGGTTGAATAAGTTCCTAGGTGAGACTGACCGGAAAGAGGTCATGGAGAAACTGGATGCAGAGCTTGCTAAGATGGAAAGTTCCCAACAGAAAGCTGATAAAAGCCAGAAATACGCTTTTAAATTTAGCGAATTTATCAAGGGCAAGGTTCTGGCATATGTTGGCGATATTTTTGCTAAAGTTGTTGGTCCATTGTGGGAGATGATATATACAAATGCTTCTTTGGCCATTCAAAGTGATTATGATCACCAGGTTTTGATGGATGCTGTCAAAAGCATACAGGATCACCTACCAAAGATGGAGGACAGTCTCGATCAGAATCGAAGGGCTCTAAAGGCTGTTGATGATGTCTTGGAGACCTTGAAACAACAGGATGCAAGCAAAGCAAAGGAAATCTTGTTGGGGCTTTATCCTGTTCAAAATGACATCAACAATGCTTGCGACAATGTCGTCAAGCTTGTGAAAGCATTAGATTAGGATGGAGTTTTAAACTGTAAAATCATTTCTGCAGGTAGTGGGACTATCTACATCACTAGACGTGCAGCACCCACCTCAAGGGATGTCTACCCCTCAGAATAAATTGTTGATATCTTATTTCATAGGAATAGGATGTGGATATTTTAGGATATTTTAGTTGATGAAGATTCTTTTAAAATCTCAAGTTAGGCTTGTATTCACTATATGTCAATGTGTACTTTGTTGATAGTTTTTGTCTTTCTCAAAACAACCATTTTTTTAGTTCTAATTTAATGAACTCTATAATTTAGTTTGTTCTAATTCTTTTATTTGCTTTTACTGATTGTCAAAGTATCATTAATAAATAATTATCAAATATCTCATCCAAAGATCAGTGTCCAAGGCATGCATGCTTTTACTGCAAATGCAGGCATGAAAAAACTATGAAAATTATACACCATTACCTAGCATCTGATGATCTGATAATATTCTATCAACAATTAGCAAAATGGTCTGACATTATATTGCAAAAAACGTCTGTCAAATTATACAATGCATCAGGTTGCTTCACATGCTTGGGTGTAACCAGGTGCACCTGAATATTCCTACAAAACGATCTTGTACTAAAGAGGGCTTGTGCAGAGGGGCAACCATTTGAATTTCACCAACGCCACCATAACACCACCTGGCCACCACCATTTTGAATGCCGAGACTGGGGAGAGTATTCAAGGGTTATAATTAAGGTGGTTGTTAGCCGATATAATTTTATGTAAAAGAAAAATTCGGAAAGAACGCATTTTTTGATAGAACATAAAAAACCCAAAAGAGATCATGCCACTCGCTGACAACAATGCCAAAGATTGGCGAATCTGTATGCTCGTTTAAAAATGGGAAAGAAAACGTTGCTTGAAGTCCTACCTTGATTTCCAGGTTCCAAACAAAAATCGGCTTGCTGCCTCGAGTAATAATGATTGACCTCCTTAAGCGCCATAATGTGATTCTGTTTTTTATTCTGATTTACCTGTAATATGGTTCACAGCTATGAGCAATCGGAGCAGTCCCACCCCCAACTCTCTGAAACCCATTCCTCCCCTAACACGAAAATGGAGGGCCCTAATAAGCCCCCCCCCTATGCGAGGGCATATATTATGCATATCAACGTTCGTTGCCATCAATTAACATCGCAGCCAATCAGATGGGATCTTTCTCAAGATTGAAATTCCAAGAATTTGAGGATAATGACGTGTGGCGACTGGAACCTACATTCATTTTGGAAACAAAAACATTAAATAGCGAAGACGAAATAACTTGAATAATATCAAAAACAAATCATGGCTGAACTTGTCGAGACCGAAATAAAAATGTTTTGTGGCTCTTGCCCGGACAGCCATTGTGGAAAATTGTTATATTTTATGTCCAACGTTAACTCCGAGGTGGAATGCAGCGACTGCGGACAAAAACACAAACCAGATTCGCTTTTAAACGTTCATGAATCGAAGGTGTCGAATGTTTCTGTTGAGAATTTACTAAAGTCAATATTGCTCTCAAACACAGCGGCAAAGAAGGGCTCTGAGTTGGTAAGAGTTCGAGGTTTGTCTAATTTTCATTGCAAACTAATCTCGCCTTTGCTTACGAGTTACGGTATGGATAAAAAGAGTGGTAAGGCGAAGTTACTTTCAGAATTGGGGCAACCGGAAATATTTAATTGTGCTGTATTTGGAGATAGGGCTTTCTTTATTGAGAAGGAACACTTGGATACACCAGGGTATGGCAGAGACGACACGGGATCATTAGGGTACCTCAATGACACTCTGGGTAGTATTGAGCAGGCTAACGGTGGGAACTGTTTGATACCATTGCACTCTGATGGTGACGGACACTGTCTTGTACATGCGATTTCACGGGCTGTGGTTGGTAGGGAACTCCTCTGGCACAGCTTGAGGCAAAATTTGAAGGACCACTTGCAGGAAGAGAACATAAAGTATCAGGGGTTGTTCCGAGATTTTATAGATGCCGAAGAATGGAAAGAGATTATCAACGAAGCGGACCCTAACTACCACCCAGACAATAACGAACCTTTTGGATTAAGAAATATCCACGTTTTTGGACTAGCAAATGTCTTGCGCAGACCTATCATCCTACTAGATAACCTAGAGGGGATGCAGTCTAGCGGTGATTATTCAGGAATATTCTTACCTGTTTTAGCTTCGTCAGAGGATTGTAAGTCACATGGGTCATTAAACAAACCTTTAGTTATTGCTTGGAGTAGCTCAGCGAGGAACCACTATGTTCCATTAGTCGGTGTCAAAGATTCGCCTTTGCCTAAAATTCCCCAGTCACTTTTACCAAAAGCTTGGGGTATCCCGAACGAAATGGTCCTGACATATATTGACTTTGATAACAACAGTTGCTGTGAGATTGGTGGATCTCGAAGTTTGCCTGATAGCTATGTTCAGCGACTGGTCTCGGCAATGGATGAAGTATTCTTTCAGAGTCATCAAGTTTGCCCAGAACTTGTCGCCGACGTAAATCAGTTTGTTTTTAAACCGGCCAACGCTGTTGGCTTCACACTCCCGCAAATCATTGAGTTCACTCAAGAAGCGCTTGCATCGGAAAGTTTGTTTCGATGTTTATCTTGTCAAGCCTTAAAACAAGTGAAGGATCATTGCCCCAGGTCATGGAGGGAACCGAATGGGAAGTTGTATTTGAGAGCACAGGAGTCGGATGCTGGCCTGGTTGCCGATGCCATTTACATGTTCACAGAAGCTAGTGGTGTTCCTTTCATGTATTCGGGGAGGTTTGATATGCTGGTTCCTGTCAAGGTAATAATTTCATTCACTGACTATCACTTTAACTAAATAGACAATATGCAATTAAAACTGTCTCAACTTCATGCACATATTTACTCTTTTTCTTGACAGGATTTGGAATGCGACCTGTGTAAAGGAATCGTACGCGAGGTATCCGCTAATGGTTCTGTGAGGTATATGAATGGTGATCGAACGTCCACCAAGTCCACCAGCAACAAGGGATGTGGATGTGGTTTCAAGCATTTTTGGAATGGACTTGAATACAACAATGTTCCTAAAGTGTATGTTTTTCACTGTGTTTCAGATGTCTATTAACTTGCAAGATCCAGGCCAGCTAGAATACCTTTGTCCTTCAAAATACACTTATTTTGCTGTGTTTTTATTGCCAATTGTTCATTCTCTACAATGGCTTCTGCGCGTTGGCTCTGCTCATAACATTGGGGAACTCCATGGTTTAAAAATTGCCCAAATTTCATATGTTCTGCTTTTCTTTGAAAAGCTAGTCTCTTATTCATTTAGAAATATAGTGAACTAAAATAGTAATAAATATTGTGACAGAACAGGATATTTTAAGAGATATAGCGATGCATTAATATATAAACACAGTGTTTTTTTACATGTAATCTACCTTTAAAGCAAAAATCTAGCACTAAATCTTTTTTAGTATTGATGTTTCTTTGGAGTGGAACGGTAAGAAAATAGAAGAGCAAGTGTTTTGGTTTGACAAGGAAAATGATCCAAGCTTGAATTCCAATGTCTATGAGATTGCCACTACAGTGGTTCAGAAGCATTTTCCTGGGGAGTTTGGAAGTGAGACTCTTGTCAGAAAGGTTGTTGATAAGATATTGAGGGAGACAGAGTTGAAAAAGAACGAGGAAGGTAGGTGAATCAGTGTAGTGTCTGGCGATGGTAGAAATGATGGTGGTTGTGTTCATGATGGGTATGATGATGATGTCAAAAATGATATTTGGTGATGGTAGTTGTCACCATGATGGTGGTGGAAGTAGTGTTGTGGATGATGATGATAACATGGTGGAAATATGATGGTTGTAACTGGTTATGATGATGATAACGAAAATGAAAGTGGTTGATGGTGGTTGTCACCATGATGGTGATGGCAGTATATAGTGTTGTCGATTATGATGATGGTGGTGGAAATATGATGGTTGTACCTGGTTATGATGATGATAACGAGAATGACAGTGGTTGATGGTAGTTTTTACCATGATGGTGATGGAAGTAGTGTTGTTGATGATGATGATAACATGGTGGAAAATATGATGGCTGTGGTGGTTTTAGTGGTGCAAATGATGATGGTAGTGGAGATGATCGCTGTAGTCATGATAATTGTGGTGATAATAGTGGAAGAAATAATGGTGATGATGGTGTTTCCAACTAACTACATTCATGATTATTATCTCAAGATACTGAGCCTCAACCGATGGATACGGATACTACACAACCGAATACCGCAGAACCGACTCCTACCACCCCGACCAAGATCATCCTGCCAGGCCCCAAACACAAGACGCTGCACAAAGAAGAACTGACGATGAACGAAGAGGAACGTTTAACCAAAGCAAGAATAACGCATCGTGCTGCCTTCAGTCAGAAGAGGAAGAGTGCCAAACAATCGCCTGAGAAGACAAGTGGAACTACAAAACATGGCAAACAGGAGGTTGTGTGTTTTACCTGCAAGTCTTTCTTTCGGCGTTACTGGATAACTCTGTCAGTTCTAATTTCCTAGAGGTCCAGTAAGGATCATCTCTTATTGATCCAGTGTTACTACAGGAGGAAACCTAAACTAAACTAACTTTATTTATACTGGATAGCTCTATCAGTTCTAAACTGTTCTTCCTAGAGGTCTAGTAAAGATCATCTCTTATTGATCCAGTGTTACTACAGGAGGAAACCTAAACTAAACTAACTTTATTTATACTGGATAGTTCTATCAGTTCTAAACTGTTCTTCCTAAAGGTCCAGTAAAGATCATCTCTTATTGATCCAGTGTTACTACAGGAGGAAACCTAAACTAAACTAACTTTATTTATACTAGATAGCTCTATCAGTTCTAAACTGTTCTTCCTTGAGGTCCAGTAAGGATCATCTCTTATTGATCCAGTGTTACTACAGGAGGAAACCTAAACTAACTTTATTTATACTGGATAGCTCTATCAGTTCTAAACTGTTCTTCCTAGAGGTCCAGTAAGGATCATCTCTTATTGATCCAGTGTTACTCAGGAGGAACTAAACTAACTTTATTTATACTGGATAGCTCTATCACTTCTAAACTGTTCTTCATAGAAGTCCAGTAAGGATCATCTCTTATTGATCCAGTGTTACTACAGAAGGAAACCTAAACTAAACTAACTTTATTTATACTGAATAGCTCTATCAGTTCTAAACTGTTCTTCCTAGAGGTCTAGTAAAAATAATCTGTCTTTTCTAGATTCAAAAGTCCAGCAAAAACAGCACGCAGTCTCGTGGTGAAAACACTACAAGTCTTCCCAAGCCACCCACCCCGGCGAATGCATCCAATATCCAGGCTAAACCCAAAGATATTAAGATCAGATTGACAAGCTCCAATGGCCGCAGTGCAACGATCACTTTGAAGCCAGGTTCCACCCACAGCGCCCTTCAAGATGCGATTCAGGCTGAACTGGGCATAACCAAAGACCGGCAAAAGATCCGCTACGGTTTTCCTCCCCGGGAGTTGAAACCACCCGAGAATGAACAGGAACCATTACCGCTGACTCATGGTGATCGCGTGTCCGTCGAGGAGCTGCCGGAAATCAAAGCTCAAGAGGAGGAAAAGTCGGTGGAAGAGCCTGGGGCAGAGGCAATGGTTTTGGAGGAGAAATCTAGTATTGATGACACTAGTGGTTCCTTATCTGACACGGAACTTGAAGGTTTGTTGCCCACATCTGGTATCCCCTTCTATCCATTTTTATCCCATTTCCCTCGTAGTGTACCCCATAAATGTCACTTATCCCTTACATAGGGGTTGACCGAGAGAGACTCGCAACGGATTTGTTAAATTTACTGCAAGGAGCGTTGAATGTTGACCAATGGGAGTCAGTTCAAGATAAGCCGGAGCTGTTTGCTCGAGGCGGAGCGATGTACGAGCAAGTGGCATCTTCGTTTGGTCCACTACAAGATGACATGCACTGTAATATTCGCTCAATACCTGGCAAGGTTAGGAGGGATGCATAGTTGTGATGATGATGTAATAATGGTAATAATGATAATAATGGCGATGATGATGATGACGATTATTGATGATGATTATTGATAATGATTGTTGATGATGATGGTGGTGGTGATGATGATTATTGATGATGATGGTGGTGATGATGATGATGGTAATGATGAAGATGATGATCATTGATGATGATTATTGATGATGATTGTTGATGATGATGGTGATGATGGTGATGATTATTGATGATGATGTTGGTGGTGATTTTGATAAGTGGTGATGGTGAAAAGTGCAAGTAATACATAATAATCATACCAATCTTTCACCTTTATCATTTCTTAGACATTTGCCTACAATGCAAAAGAGGACAGATTTGAGCTTTGTCTTGGGCAGAAACACATTCCAGTTCAACCCCTGGACCAGGAGTCCTTATCCCGAGCACATAACCGTAGCGGAGATGTGGCACCTCTCCGTCGGCCAAGCGATGAGCGAGAGGGCTTGGGTGCGTTCAGTGGTGCGTTACGTCATCGTGGCGCCTCTGAAGGCCGCGCTGCATTCTCGGGCACTGGACATACCTTGGGGGGCGGCGGGGATACTGGAAACGAGCAGGTTGGTCAAGTTAAGAAAGTTAATAGTTACGATAATTCAAGAATGATAGAGCTATCCATTATAAATAAAGTTAGTTTAGTTTAGGTTTCCTCCTGTAGTAACACTGGATCAATAAGAGATGATCCTTACTGGACCTCTGGGAAGAACAGTTTAGAACTGATAGAGTTATCCAGTATAAATAAAGTTAGTTTAGGTTTCCTCCTGTCTGTAGTAACACTGGATCAATAAGAGATGATCCTTACTGGACCTCTAGGAAGAACAGTTTAGAACTGATAGAGCTATCCAGTATAAATAAAGTTAGTTTATTTTCTAGAAAAAAGAGAAAAACCTGTCGTATGACGAAACTAGTACTGTTCCGACAGTAGTTGCAAGTATGGATACATCGGATAACACAGGAAAACAGGGGACATTGGTGGATCCCAATACTGAGGTAATTTTGAATGGCCAATCGGATCACAAAATGGGTAAAGATATAAAGGAGGATAGTTTACAAGTTCTTAGCGAAGTTAAGCACGATGTTGAAACGGGCGGTCACGAAGTAAACGATGCTCAGCCCGAAGGTGGTTCGAGTGAACACGAAGTGGCCAAAAACGAGCACTCAGTTAGTGGAGTTGAGCACGATGTTGTCAACGCCAAAAAGCTGGTACACTCAGCTGAAAACGAAACTGAACAAAGTGAAAACGAAATGAAAGTTGGCAGTAACGAAGAGCAGAACACTCCACACGCTGTTAGCTTGCTCAAAAACGAAGTCACCAAAACGGAAAACGAAGATTTAAACGAGGCACGCGCCAGTTCTGCAACTGAACCAGATCCCGCCAAGAACGATATTCCAAGCGTTGAGAACGCACATACAGAACTAGAACTCAGTGAAATTTCGCACGAAAGTCACTCTGAAATATGACGTATCGTAAAATTCCCTCGTGGAAAAGTTGTCAGTCGCCATTGCTCAATTGAAATACAAATGGTATATAGAAAACTCGTTAGATGAGCTATATTTATAAATATTATGAAGTTCGCTAAGGCCTGGTTTATTATAATCACCTAAATTCTTTTATTGAGCCATGAAACTAAAATGGATGTGCACACCAGAAATTTGAAGGCAAATTTTTAGGTTAAATATCAATCTTGCATACGCGATCTAGTAAAAAAACGTGATTGCAGTTGCTTTTCAAATCAAGAATATGCATGCATCTTGTGTGATGTAAATAAACGTTTACCCAAAAATAGTGTTGTAAACCAAGTACTGACCAAATCGAGCAGGTTATACTAACCAGGTGCTTAGCGATGCTATTTTATTACCACCAGCTCCTACCAATCAAAGATTAGAAAATGATACACTATTATTCACAGCCTTTTAGCTTTATGGCAACTCATTGAAATTTCTTATACGTAAAGAACTATCGACATATTATATTCTCTTCAAATTTATTATACAGTCGATTGCAAATCAAAAGTCTATCTTAAATTTCCTCTTGTTCAAGTAAGATTTGATTTGGAATAAAATATGGGATTATTGAAACGCGTCTTTGTTAAACTGTTAAATTTCGTTATTAGCACGTTAGATGAAGGGTGAAAGTTTTCATTCAACACTATATTTTTGGAACGCTTGTCAGGAAAATAGCTTGGTATTTCTAATTTCTTTCTAACTGCCGTGGTTCCAATGTCCTGTTGTTGCCCCAAGTCGAAGCCAAGCCACTTGAGAAAAAATTATCCGCGATTGTGAAATTGAACCACTTCGAAATTTGTCAGAGGAAATTTGTGTGTTTTAAATGACGTCGGCATCGCGACGCCATCTTGAATAATGCACCCATTCTTTGTGCTAACCGTTAGCAATTATTTTACAGTACTTTTTCAGCATAGCCAGCCGCCCACGCCTTGCTGATATCACAGACCCCAAAGTCTTGTTAATGGACGAATTTGTGCGACTTCTCGAACATAAATATCTCCTGCTTTGAATATACTGTAACATACATCAATAGTTATCACCAAACGCCTCATTCGCTCTGGTTAAGTGTCTAATTGCTAGGTCTTCGGGCAGACAGAAGTCTAGCGGAGTTAGTCTTTCTATAATGTCCAGGACATCTTCAAATCCGGTTTTTACGACACACGACCATGGTTGATAAAATTCGTCAACTAAACTACCACATTTCACTATCTGCCGACACCATAAGGACAATTTCTTTTGACTGGAAAGTAGAGAAACACACAATTTATAACCAATTTTGTTCAATTTTTTTAATAAGTTTTGCAGAATGAAAAACGGTAAATTATATGAAAGAATGGTAAACTTACTTCAGACCAGCTGAAACTAAACCTCGAAACTAAGGCGAGAATAAAAAATATTAAGAATTTTGCATCACAAATCATTATGCGCCACTAGGGCCTGGATGGAATGAACAGTGAGACTTTCAAAATAATGGAAAAACAATGAAAAATTTTGATCTCTAGATCATGACTGGATGACATGGAGAACAGCGAGATTTCGAAAACAATGAAAAGACAATTGAATATTCTGATCTTTGGATCATGACTGGATGACTTGAAGAACAACGAGATTTTGAAAACAATGAAAAGACAATGGAATATTCCGATTTCTAGATCATGACTGGATGACATGAAGACAATCCAATTTTTAAAACAACGAGAAGTACATAATGAGGTAATCTCATCAAATTTCATAATGCTATAAACACCTACCATAGATTCTTTACTTCTTTTACATCGTTCATGTGTTGATTTGATAAAATGAATCGTCCTTAATAACGTCTAACAAGTTTGAAGAACGATAAGAAAGTAAGCACTTGTATTTGACGCGATTCAATTCCAAATCCCGCAGAGACAGTCCAGATCCCTATATGGAGGTCTACGGTACACTAAACAATGGTACCCAGTACCCACCTGCTTAGAAGTCACGGCCGACGCACCAGAAACATCAATGCCAAACGACTCAGACAATTTGCGCGGAACTGCTGAATTATATTCGCTACCATGCTGTATAATGTTGAAAAAAAAAACAAGGTCATACACAGGGCGAGAGTTACTGTGCAATGGTTAGCGAGGTTTCCATTTTCATTTCTGTGAATATGAAGAATCCATTGAGTTAGTTCACCTTCAAATGATAAAATGCCATGAAAATATCCCATGCGTGCATGTTTTGTTGCTGTGGTGATGTCCCGGCGGGCATAATGCAGTTGACGAGACTTCGGGCTGAAATTAAGGAGTAGTCTGGGTTCTAAAATAAAAACAATGAAACACGTTCGCACCTCAAAATCTCAACAACACGTTAAATGCGGGAAGTTTAAATGGTACATTCGAGTTGACTCCAGACATTTACCAGGGGTCAGTTGTATAAAAGACTAGTTAACTTTTAACTGTAGTTAAGGACAGAATTGGTCAATCAGAGTTGTGTATTTCTGAGTTAACTAGGATTTAACTGTGCAAAATGTAGTTAAGGAGTTTTATACAACCGGCCCCAGACATTTAAAAGAGACTCGACAAGATATCAAAGATAAACTTACGCGTTCCAGACCATGTTCAAACAGATCTCTGAGACAGTTTGAAAATTCCCTTCTTATGGAGCGAATCAACTCCGCCTCAGTCTGGGTAAATTCACCAGACTACAAAGAAATAAAACACAAACAAACTTATGATTGTAATCAGCAGACCACGAGTTCCAAGGAACCGGTTTAATTTAAGCTTAGTTTCGAAGCAAAGTAAAAACGTAAGGCAAAGTAAAAATATTTCACGGGTCCATTCCTTCTCCGTGATTCCAAAAAAGCTGCATTGGTTTTGCGAAGCATTTTAACGATTCCTAGTTCATGTTAGCTACTTACGCCGTCACCGACAGAGGACATCGTGGATACTAAGGAACTAATGGAACCACTTCGGGATGTCCTGGACATTGTCCCAGAGTTCATCCCACGGGGATAGATACCAATCTCCTCTAATACTTTAGCTTGCTGCGTCAGCACATTTTCTACTGATGTCCGCAGACTTCGTATTAAATTTCTAGATAAGGCAAGTGCCAGGATTCAGGAATGGATTAGTTTGTGTTGCTTGTATACCTTTGTGATCAATGTGATCATGATCATTATGATCCTGGTGATAAAGCTATCGATTCTGATCGGTGACAGGAGTGATGATATTGATTAAGATGACTGTGATATTAGGAATGGCGATGATGAAATTAGTAATAAGGGTAATAATGATATTGATTACGTTCATAATGAGAGTGATGCACGCAGGTCCAACTTAGCTAAGTTTCTCCCACTCGTGCAGGCTCATATTGTCAGCGGACAACTTACACAAAATTGAGAGCAAGGCGTAAAACGAAAAGCTTTTAATTTTTTATGCGAAGACCGCTGGAAAACTGAGCCCTCTTTACCGGGAGAAAATTTGCCGAATATGACCAACGTGATGATAACAATATTGGTGATTGGGTGATAATGATGATGATAATCATGAAGGCGATGATATTGACGATGTTCAACATGAGAGTGATGATAACAATATTGGTGATTGGGTGACCAAGATGATGATCATGAAGGCGGTAATGATATTGATGACGTTCAGCATGAGAGTGATAATAACATTATTGGTGATTGGGTGATAATAAATGATATTGATTATGATGATTATAAAGGTGCTATAACTTACTCATTACTTATAAGAAGGCTATAACTTACTCATAGGGCGGAACAGCGGTCTGCATTGCCTTATGAATTAGTTGATCTTGAAGATGTTGACCAGCACATCCGAATTGACTAAAAATATTTTACAAACACAACCTGAATAGATTCACAAAGTTTCACGCGGTACTACCAAACTGCAAAATGATGTATGATTATGTCTCATCTTCTCCCACCTTATTGCAAATATTTGTAAAATAGCTAACGCTCTTTTGATGATCTCCAAACTTGCTTCTTTAATCCGCTAAAAAGAAAATGTTGCATTTGAAACTACAAGCCTTGCGAAACAAGGAGGACTTTTATACATAGTACTACAGTTGTACTACAGTACTATAGTCTATACAAGTAGTGGTATTATACTTATACTTTATACATAGTACTATGCTAATACTTTATATACACTATAAATACACTGTAGTAGAATTAACTTATTTTGAAGACGCGTTGGTTGCAAATAAGAGGCGTTTATTTATCTTATTGTCAATATTCTTTTCTATTAAATGGCTGTTTTCTGCTGTAACATGCGATGAACAAGCAGTGATGTGGCTGGGATTGTCAGCAACAAACGCACGCACATTGAATATCCACAATAGAAAGAAAGAGAAGCAAAATACGAATATCCACAATAGAAAGAAAGAGAAGTATAGAGCGGTGTTATAACTTATCAGACCATGACGTGGACAATAAGTCGTGTCCTACCAAATATGTTTAAGCATGCGAACATAATTTAATCTAAGCATGTCTGCTCCCAAAATTGCCATAATTTGCCGGTGGGAAACAACTGCATGTACAGACTTGTCCGCGCGATGCCTAAACATAATATCTTCACGCCGTCAGACTATTGCAAGGAGCTCGCTTACACGAATTAGATGAAATATTGTAATATAAAAAATGAATCATGTAGGTCCTAGTTCATCGCGGAAAGTTCTGGACAAATCAATATAAACATTGCTGATACCACCTGATATCATGCACAAACCTTTAGTTTTCGGCTGGCCAGTGGACGGCAGTGAGATTACCAAGGATAGTCAGTGAAACAGCTCATAATCTCCACGCACAGTACAGCAAAGGTTTATACGATTTCATGACAACAAACTGTAACAGTGTTGTATTCCGCGTATGATATATTCACAAAGCGATGCCATGCATAAATCACTGTCAATAATACCGATATTTATTCGATCGAGACGACTTCTTTTCATTAAAATCAAAGAACGTTTGTGTATCAAAATTTTGCCATGACGTGTCATAACAAATCGCAACGACGGCGCGAAACAATAAACGAAAACAAATTCTGCTTAAATTGACACATTTTTAAGGACTTCAATTTACATTTCAAATCTCACATGCTAATTTTCACAGGCCACCGAAAGCTCTCTGCAAACACAAGACATAATTATGGAGGGTAAGGAATTCATGATAGATTGTAACAGACTTGTTATGCTATCATGTCATTACGCCCACGATCAAAATACCGTAAAACATTTAGGTCATGCAAATACAGTTTTAGTGCCATGTTTAAAGCGAAGCCACACCAACGACCCCCCTGTCAAATGCAGTCACGACCCCGCCCCCTTACAAACAATAAATCTTGCTAGGGACCAGTTCCTTCCTAAGGTCGCCAGCTATTAAAATCGTCGCAACTATCAACCAAACGCCATCCAGTTCCCTATATTTCTTCCCTCACTTGAGTCACTTCATCACTATAAACTTACTATATCACTCCAGTTCACATAAACAGTCCTCTTTCCACTCACCTGGTTGCTCTCCCCAGTTTCCGGAGATTCCTCGTGCGGCAAAGCCTGGCCGGGCACATGCGCGTGCTTAGGCAAGATACAGCAGGCGACGTCGTTTCCCGAGTCACTGTCATCAATGATACCAAAGTTATCAACGGTGTAGTTCACGCCCAGGCTCTCATTCCAGGGCTCCTCCCTTTCCACTCTCGACTTTGGCGGCTGTGCCTTGCGAGTGTTCAATAAGGGTGATTGCTACAAGATGGACAATGAGTAATACTGAGATCAATATACCAGGATCGCATCCAGCTACTAATATAGAGATCATCTAGCTTAGTCACTGATCTATATTTCAACACTGTAAAATGCCTGTTTTAGTTCATCTTATAACTGTGTAGGAGGGTGTGATAATCCTTAGTTTCCTGAATGAACCATTAAAAATGTAGAAACCCAAATTTTCACCTTCTCCCATAACCAACCCCCCTGTAGTTTGGTTGGTTTTGATGGAGATGCATTTGCTACGTAAGAGCGGGGGACACCCTTCTCGCTATTAAACTGAGGCTAGAGGGGTTATAGGAGGGTGAAGATTAGCCTCTCAACTCGCACCTTTAAGGCAGTTTGCAAATTAGCCTTTTTCTTTTTCTTCTGTTTTTCTGCAATACGGGATGACGATGACGATGAAGTCTCACCCCCCTGGTCGTGATCACATGAACAGTTTGTACACTTTGAACATCTTTTTGAATTCATACCCGTTTCACCTTAAGACAAAAAACCCTTAACCATATTGCATTCCACTCAGTACAATCACCATTATATAATAACCCCTGTTGTATCGCCTTTTTTATACGGGTAAATACCTTGCAGAAGCTTTATAAACTTTTCAAGATCCATGATCTGTTTTGTAATCTGTTGAATAACTTGTTCCTAAGGCAGAGACAATATTTCACAGATTTGTATTTCGTCCATTGGGGGGGCATGCAGAATTTTAATATCATAATAATTGTAGCAGTTGAATGTCTATCTTTTTACCTTAGGGATTTTATCATTTATAACATCTTCCTACAAAGGAAATTGGTGGATGGACATTACAACTTAACTGAAAGCATTTTTATTCATTAATTAGGAAATTTTTTTTGCATTAGACAGTAAAATGCCAATTTCGCCACATTGCATATTGACTGTTAGCTGTTTCATCTCACCTTGTTTCTTCGGCTAGAGCTTGCTTCTCTTTCTTGTAAACTGTTCACAAGAGAATCAAACATTTTTTTATATAAATGTTTACCAAAAGCAATTACAGTTATAGAGCATACTAACCTTAGTTGTGCTAAAAGTAATTTTTGTTTTTCAATTAACTTCTGAGGACTATCTGTTGTATCGCTTGCACCCTAAGAAAGAAACAACAAGATGCTTTAAAACACAAAACTGGTTGCTTTTTATCCTTTAGTGTTGATCCAGTCATAAATCAGATAAAACCCTGAACATCAGTATAATAAAATATTTCCAACAATTTCCAACAATTTCCAAACCTTAACAACTGCAGCCTCCATTTCTTCCAACTGTTTTCTCAATTGCGTTATTAATTTTTCTTGCTTTTGTTTTTGTTCCTGAAGTCTCTTTTCATATCCTTTGACAGACTACAAAAAAAGAAAGAATCATTACCAGATAGCTTGAATCCACAAAAAAACGCTGCTTATATTAATCATACAGGGGTAGCAACTTGGTTTTAATGAGAAAAAGAACTTAATGTACTTTGAAAGATGTGATTTTCATACTTACAGCTTTTCTCTTGTGTTTTGTCACAGACGGTTTGGCTCCATCCACGTCAGGAATTCCTTCAAATGCAAACTTCTCCAAACTTTGCAGCAAGTTCTACATGGAGAAATACAAAGTCAATTTGTTATTAAGTGATTGAAACACCTGCTTTAAATGTCTGCACCCAACTGTTACCTCTTGCTCCGGCTTTGGGGCTGCAACAACTTGCTTTAGCCGGAACTGAACCTAGAAATAACAACAGGTGAAGAATTAGCGATGCTTCCCAGATGCTTTGTGAAAATTCCCGCAATCCTCACCTGTGCAAAATGGGTCGTTAACGCCAACAGGGAAGAATTTAATTGTTCATGCTCCGCTTCAAGTTTCTTCAACAGTTCTGAATCTGACCTGAAAAAGATGTTTGGGGATTTAACATAATACAAAAGAGATTTGAAGTCAATGGTGATCATGGCAGTCTGTAGTTTTAAGCTTAATTGGGACAGGAGGCATATGCATGTATTAGTCGATCTCATCAATTACCATGCAAGAATTGCTAAACATGCAAGAATTGCTAATAGTGTTTGGTTTCTGTAACAAAATAGCCAATTGAGGACAAGCATGCCGTTAAGATTTTTGATGCAAAGATATTGTTACATATTAATACAATTTTTCAAACACTTGCACTGCCCTGGCAATAAAAATATTGCATACAATATTCCTTTTCCCTAATCTGTAAACAAGTACCCTCTAGCATTGGTCCTACAGAAAGAAGCATCTGGCAAATAGTTTGAATTTACATAACAATCAAATGTACATGTGTACTCTACTGGAAAACTGCAATTCATATGTTGGGAATAAATTAAGATACTAAATCTACAGATCAATCTAAACTGATTACACTTAATCGTAAATATATTCAACCAGAAGACGAAACCACAACTCTCAAAACTTCCAAAAATATCACAATGCTTAAAAAATCCAGTCAATCCAGACAAAAACTTGACAAACACTTCTGCCACATAGAATGCTACAAATCAACACTTTACTTGGGCATTTCATTTTTTAATTACCTTGACAACAAAAAGGATTTTATAATATGCTCTTTTTGCATCAATGATATTGAATTGCCCTCTCACGAATTAGTCATTCAAGCGTGGGTTGAAATTTTCCTCATTTAATAAAATTTTCCTCAAAACATCTGCGACAGGGCTTTTAAGTTTCAACTTCCCCAAAAGGGTTTAGAACATAAGGCAAATAACATGAGCATTTAAGTAAAACAAAGGACATATATTTACTGTCGCATTCTTTGATAGTGTCTTCAATATTATTATAACTCGCAAATCTTTTGAATATTTACAAATCTGAGTTCCAATTGAAAAGGACAGCCTTTTAAATATAATATCCGTTGCTGTAATTTGTTCGTTCTTTTAAAAAAACTCAAAAATATCGGCTTGGAATAACCGGTGAATTATGTAAAACTCTGAAGAACGAGTCAGTCAGTACAATACATAGCTATATAAGGGTTCCAAAATGTACAACTTGCCAAGATGAGGTTTAAAAGACAGCGATTTACCGAAGAATACGAAGAGTTTAGGTTGTTTTTTTCAGTAAAAGAGCCACTAGATGACTAAACTATATCAACTACGTTAAACTAGGCCGTATTCAGAGTATTGTCTCACCTAGAAGGCCGTTCACTAGATTCCTGTGTCACTTCATTTGAAGCTGCTCCTAAAGGTGGCCGTCGCTCGCCAATGGGTTTTCTTGGAAAATTTCGCCCATCTTCGCCGACTAACTCAGCCATACCGTCTAGATAAGCTGTAACAGAAGACATACTGTGAAGTCGGATTCAATCTACCACCGAGAAAGCAAGAAATGGTAAAATAAAGACCTTTATTTTGTTCTTTCTTCGATGATCATTGATCATGTTTTGAAATTTACATTTTTAATTATTCACCCGATTCGTACTTTCGAGTCACTTTCGAAAGAAACCGCAAGATATCGGCGCACGTGATTGGCCAATCTCGCGATTCTTCGGGCGGGCACTGGGTACAAGGTTTGTGATTGGCTCGATTGTGTTTGCGGGGTTGACGAAAAAAAGACCCGATACAAAAAGGTGAGAAGTTTTTCCCAGTGGTTTTTCCACAAAATGAATTAATTGAATTTCCTATTCAGTTTAACTTCTACGTAACGGTAATAATTCCTGAACCATGCCCTGAATCAACGAATTTTATCCTCAATCTAATTATTTACGGATTATTATAAGTTGGGGAAGGGTTAGGGTCAGATTTAGGATTCAAGATGAGATTGTGTTCGTGGAAAACGGAGACATAACAACTGGATAGCTCATAACAACTAAAGATTGAAGAATGGGATGTGAAGTCTATTTAACTGCAATGCTCCAGAACATTACAGTTCGTTTGAGTCTTTGAAGTGCTCGGTTATGAAGTATATTGGTATTTTACAACTTGAAGACTGTCTATCATAAAAAGTGAAAACAAGCACACTTATTTCGCTCAGTGTAGCATTATACGACGTGCAGTCGTCTAGACGATATATAATTTATGACATATCACCAAACAGGTCTTCGACATCGTCGGGAAAAGTTGAAGGAGCTTTGTTTCTTTGTGACCGCCTTGTAGCGCTACCAGTTGATTGTTTACTTAAAAAGGAAATAAGAAAAAGTATATTCGCGAATGGCGGAAACGTTTTGAGTCGTTAATGAAGATAAAAAGAGAACGAAATATTATATTTTTATCAATAGTTCAGTTGTACCTATCATTGGAATTGCTGCTGGTGTTACTGAGAGTCCTTTTCGGAGTAACTTTCACTTCAGGTAAAACTGGTTTAGAAGGAGTTCTAGCTGGTTTCCTAGATGGCTGTTTTCTTCTTCTGTATAAACAGAAAAAGGGAAAAAATTAAGCTATATCTTTGTTCATCAGACCTGTATCTAGTTTTGCCGGGTAAAACACGATATTAATAGTTAAATAGTTAATAGGAAACCACAGACCGTTTTCTAACTGGAGCGGTGTCTTCCTCGTCTTGAAACAAATCTGACCCAATATTTGATGTTGTCGCTTTTTTAGCTGTGTCCTTAACTGCGTCTTTGTTCTGTGCAATATGCGGAATTTACTTCAATTGTTTATTTTCGATAGCTCTATCAGTTCTAAACTGTTCTTCCTAGAGCTCCAGTAAGGACTAAGCATCCAGTGTTACTACTGGAAGAAACCTGACCACGCACTATACTGGATAACGGGATTTAACAAAATGAAGGGAAACACTGTCAACTGTATTGTCACCTCATATCTTGCTCTTTCTACTGACCTGTGAGTCCTCCATTTCAATATCAGTATCGCCATCTCTAGTAAAACATCTCTAGTTAAAACAAAGTTTCATTAATGATACGTTTGGGTCTTTCGAAATGGGTTACCTGTTTTTATCGGCTGTGACGTCATCTTCAATTAAATCAGCAGCTTATTAAAAGAAAACATATACCGAATATTAACAGATATATCAAAAGTTGCATGAACTTTGATTATTTTTTTAACCGTATAGTTTTAGACAAATAATTTTCCAACTTACTAGATTTAACGGTTGGATTAGGTTCCGTTGATTGCTGTTGGATTGCTAGACAAGGTTTGTTAAGTTTGGAGCCGTTTATTTGCAAAAAACTGCTAAATTATATCAAGAATTGGGCGCATTACTATATAAAATCTAGATTTATTCTTTGGAACAAAACGAAGTAACAATAATGTTCCACGGAACATTCCAAAATGTTGCAAAAAGGTTCCAAAATGTAACAAGGAGAAGATGTTGCAAAAAATGTATCAAGCGTGAGAAAAGCTAAATTAGAACGTTTGCCGTGAGAAAAGAACTTTATTGTATGGGAATGGAACGTTTTTGTGAAAAAAGAACATTTTTCGTGGGGAAATACTGTTTAGAACGTTTAGCGCGAGAAAAATGCTTCAACGACGGAAAAATATCGATTCGCGCGTATATTTGGGCATCATTCAGGGGATTTAGCCATTCAGCGCCCAGAAAGGTGTCGAAATTTATTTTACATATGTTTGAGTGATATGACGGTATTAAATACTTACTTTCCTGAAGTCTCCGTATTTTAGCTTTTTTGTCGTTCAAAACTGTAACAAACTGAAATGTATATACAATATTTGGTGCAAGTTAAACTCGTTATATATTTCGCTTGGCTACACTAAAAGCGTAAACAACCTATTTTTATTACATACAAATATAAATTTCGAATAATTCAGGTAACCAAACTATTGCAACAAAAATCCATATAAACTTGCCACTGCAGAGAGCTCTTTTTCGAACGGGATTTGAGCATACAACATTCCGTACCTTTTGAAATAAATCTACTTCCATTTCTTCTTTTCCAACTATACATTTGTCCAAACGCTGGGATCAAGAGATATAGTTTTAGAAAACGAATTCGATTATATGGTTTCTGGTTCAATTTGACAGTTCAGTCACATTTTTCCAGCAAGAGATCTTGGGCACATAGACATACCGAAATAGCACTTTCTCTATCCCTCGCCAATTGGTCCATTTCACATTGCATATTTGCGATTGTATCCTGTTGCACCCAAAATTCAAGAAAAAACCTTCCTTAAACTCTGTTAAACCATTTAAAATGTTTAATATCTGCCTTTTTGTTCCAGTAACCATGCTAGGTAATATATATCACTACCTTGTAATTGTAAACTTTCTTTATTGCAAAATCTAAAATCTTTTTCATCAATACTGTGCTATCTTTACTTGAATTTAAAGTGACAGATCCCAGCTGAAACTAAATGCAAGAAAATAAAAAATGGGCCAATTAAGACTGCTTCGGAATCTTACATACAAGGAATTTTCAAGATTTTACATTAAGCTATTGTGCTGATGTATGGCGGCACCAAATTTAATTGAAAATTAGGAAAAAAGTGAAGAAAAATCATCTGGAGGAACATTTACCTTTACGCCATAATCCAACTGTTTTTTCCAACTAAACTACATATTAAAAATCATATAATCCAGATTACATATTGATATTGGGGGATGGATGAGAGAATGCAAATATATTCTGGTCTGATTATATATTTTCCACAGACCTCTAGAGTGCCTTCATTCTTGACTGCTTGATAAATAAAGGTTTCTGTTTCTGAACTGTTGGCTGTTAGAGCATTGATTGTTTGTCTTGTATAATCCTGTGAACTCATTTCAACTTTTCCAGCCATTTCTTGCAACAAATCTTCTGTAACTAAATGAGGTAAGCCATTTGCCATTGAAACCTTTTTGTTCATTTCACCCCCTGCGCTCATCACGCACCACCCACATGTACAGGCCCTGATGGCAGTTGCACATATTGGGGGTGGAACTGTGATTACTTTCCAAAATCACAGGCTTGATTCTTTTGCTCTGTTGCAAGATTTGGCTGGTAATCAAACATCACACATTAGAGGTAATATGATTTGCAAATGGCCCTGTCTCTGAAGGTTATGCAAATGGCAAGACTTTATTAAACGACAGTAGATATGAATTGGAAATCATGCAAATTAATATTTCAAATCAATATCACTCAATATTTCCACTGTCCCATAATACCAAAGATGCATAAAAAGCAGGAAATGTCTATGTTAAGTTGTTAGCTATGAACTATAAAACATTTTGTACCAGTTGTATCCCATATTGTGCAGCCATCGGTTACAACCAGGTCGAACCCAATCTCGTTCTGTCGAATTAGCAAGTACAAATCTCCATCATTGGTCTCAACTTTACACAAATTCTCTTCCTCTTCCATTATATTTCCTAGAGCGTAAAAACATCAAACTAAAAATATATCTTCGAACAAAATGTTTCTAAACTATTTTCACCAAACACGCTGAATCATCCTGAATGATGGAATGGATGGAACAGAACAGACAGAAATAAACAACTGATCTCATTGATACACACTCTGGAGTGCTCTTGATTGTCCATTCATCATTCCGGACTCGGAGCAAAAAAAGCAAAAAACAAACAGCAGCAACAACATCAAACAGTCGAACCGTCGAACAATAAACAAACAAACAAACAACAAACAAACAAACAAACAACTAACAAAAACTCCGGGGTAATATCCCCGCTACTAGGCGCGGGTTGGAAGACTGGAGACCATTCATTATTATTGTCAACTTTTTATATCGAAATATTTAGTTTTGATCAAAAATTTTGCATTTCTTTTTAAAATTTTTCACAAAATGTCCGAATATTGGTTGATCTCAGTTCCTGGCGATAACAAGGAAGGCCTTTCGTCCTGGGATCGATTAAAAACACAGATAGGATCGTTGTCGAACATTTGGAAATTTCACATTCCCTCAGATTTGAAGGTTTGGAAATCTTACTGAATTAGTATTTTTGACAAGTTAGAAAACTGGTTTTCTCAATTTCATCTTCTTAACCGTTTCCTAAATCCCGTTATCGCTAACTTAAAACGGATATCACAAATTTTGCATTTCACAAACCTGTTATATTAAAATTGCTGCTGTATTTGTGTAATTAATGGCTATTTTAAAGTATACTTTTATAAGGAAATAATTTTTTAACAGGTTGGGACGTTAGATACTTTGATCGGTCTTTCAGATGAATTACACAAGCTGGATATATTTGTTGAAGGGTAAGACTGTTGAATGCCTATTTGGTTTCTTCACTCAAATTCAATTGAACTATAACTTTCCTTGTTCAATCTTTAGGATCACCAAGAAAGTTGCAAGCTATATGGTAGAAATTGCTAATGAAACTGAAGTGAGGTTCTATCAATGTCTTTCTGTATACTCTTTCACTCTTTACCTGGTCAAGATCCAAATGACAAATTTGTCTATGTTATAATGAACGCTCCATTTTTCACATGCTCTTTTTATTCTTATGTAGGATGGATCACGACCTAAATTAAAAGCCAATGGATGTAGGGAAACAAACATGTCTTTTATGCATTTGATACATACTTATGCAGTAAATGTAATGTTTTAATTAGGCTAGTATCCCAGCCTTCTACCTGCTATACATTTTGATGGATTGAAAATCATGTTCTTTTTAGGTGAACTAAATCATTATACGACAAACTTCCAATGGGATGTTGCAAAGTATCCATTAAACAAACAAACAACACTACGAAATATTGCTGAAATCATTGGAAAGGTTTTTGAAGTTTCGCATTTGTTTTTACGCTCTGCTTGTTCCATCTCCCTCTCATGCACCTTCTCTTGGGTCCTCCCATAACCCTTTATGTCCCCTTTCCCTCCTTGCTTGCATCTACCATTGTCTCTTCGTTTCCCTGTACTCTTTTGTTTTCTAACACCCTCCTTTCATCTCCTCCATTTATCTTGCCCAAACTTTCTCCCACCTCCCTTTCCTCCAAACTTCCATCCATCTTTTCTTCATTCATTTCTACCAACCCTTGGCTCCCTCCTTGGTTCCTTCTCCATCTCAACATCTTCGTTCAGACCTTTCCATCCACATTGCATATCCACCCCCACCTTTTACTCCCCCTTCTACTTTAACACAATTCCCTTACCTTCATTTAATATACTTCCTTATTTCATCCTTTTCCCAACAGCAAGTCACTCAAATTGACAATGACCTGAAGACTAAAGCTACAGCTTACAACAGTGTGAAAACTAGCCTCGCTAGTCTGGAGCGAAAAGCGACGTAAGTGTGTTTATACCATGAAGTCCTGGACTCTATCATTGAATATGAACCATACCATACCTAGTTTGAACAGCAAAAGCCAAATTTTACATGAATCTTCAATGATATACTCCAGGGGTCCGCTGATCACAAGAAACCTTGGAGATATTGTAAAGAGAGAAAACTTCATCTTAGATTCGGAATACTTAACAACGTTATTAGTTATTGTACCATGGTGAGTGTGCATTTGAATTTCAACCCTTCAAATAATCCTCTTTGTCTAGTGTGTTATTTTCACTGGGTCAGTGGTTATTTTATCTGAAATAAAATTAATTTAATACAATTTGGGGGGGGGGGAACATATATGCTGATTTGTGAGGCAATAATTAGAACATATATGCTGATTTGTGAGGCAATAATTAGAACATATGCAGATTTGGGATTAGAAAGTATGATGATGGTTTTTTCTGCTTCTGATATCAGGGACAAGATCATTATATTGAGTACTAATTTCTATAAACAATTCCCCAAAATAAATACTTAAAATTCACACCCCACTTTCACCCCCTCTGGCCTAGACTGGGGTGGTGTATATGCCATCCAGTACATCCACCCGTGTCCCAAAGCAGTTCACCCCTCTCTCTGATTTTGTACAAAAAAGAAATGGTCAACAGATGTAAGTTATTCAAAATATATTTCAGCAATATTGAGGAAGAATGGAAGAAGAAGTACTGGAAGCTTTGCGATATGGTTGTACCAAACTCCACTGAGAAACTCTACACTGATGGCGACTTTGCTCTCTACAATGTCTGCCTCTTTCAAAAAGTAGTTGAAGAATTCAAACTTCACGCGAGGGAAAATAAGTTCATCGTTCGGGAATTTGTGTACAACGAAGAGGCTCTGGCTGCCGGGAAAAACGAATTAAACAAGTTGGAATCTGATAAAAAGAAACAGTTGGTGAGATCTCGTTGGGTTAAAATACTACGGCTGGTTGCACTAAAGCTGAATAGCGCTTTCCACCGGATAGTGGTTTTTCAATCGCTCTAAAATTAACCGTTCAGTCTTCGGTATAACCTGAAATCCTGCGTAGAATATACATTATTAAATTAGGAGTTTTCGTCCGTGAGTGTCAGCTCTAAAACAGTAACTTCATTGCTTTTCGAATATGTTCAAAACTGTTAAAAAGGATCACAATCCGGTGGATAGCACTATCCAGTTTTCGTACAACCGGCCGCAGGCTTGCGAATTTTTCAAATTTCAATAATATTAGAGAAATATTTTTATGAAATATTTTTTCTCGCCTAGGGTCCGTTGAAACGATGGCTTCACGTGAACTTTGGCGAGGCCTTTACCGCCTGGATTCATGTCAAGGTTAGACCAGATTTCGAGTTTAATAATCATAAATTAATGCCCCTGTCTGCCACCCTAAAAGTCCTCAATGTGTTCTTTGTTTACCATTACAGGCACTGCGGCTTTTTGTCGAATCAGTTCTGCGTTATGGCCTTCCGGTGAATTTCCAAGCAATGATTTTGGAGGTGAGTGAAGGCCAGTGAACTGGTGAAGGCCAACGTCCATCTTGTGCACGGTCCAGTGTATCTGCAATGTTTACAATCCATAAATCATGTTTCGTCATAATTTGTTTTCTACACAGCCACAAAAGAAAATGCAGAAGAAAATACGAGATATTCTTTATGGCTTATATTCTCATTTGGATAATCAGATCAACGACTCTAAAGGCGAGGTATTGGAAGCAAATTAGTTATCCAGTATAAATATAGTTCAGTTTAGGTTTCCTCCTGTAATAACACTGGATCAATAAGAGATGATCCTCACTGGACCTCTAGGAAGAACAGTTTAGAACTGATAGAGCTATCCAGTATAAATAAAGTTAGTTTAGTTTAGGTTTCCTCCTGTAGTAACACTGGATCAATAAGAGATGATCCTTACTGGACCTCTAGGAAGAACAGTTTAGAACTGATAGAGCTATCCAGTATAAATAAAGTTAGTTTAGTTGAGGTTTCCTTCTTTAATAATCTTTATGCCGTTTTCTTACAGCATGTAGATATACCTGGACTAACACTTGGTCCTAAAGAATATTACCCCTATGTCTGGTTCCAGCTGAAGATCAATATCCTTGAGAGCCGTCCGCTCTAGTGATCCTGGAACTGAAATAGACCAAGATCATGTCCTGCGAAAGATTTTACACGATTTTTAAAAGCCAGAAAGCAGCGATGATGAAAATTTTCTGAAAGGAATTGTTTCACTCTGATGCATCATTCGCGACGAGTCTTACTAAATTTGAGCTTTTAATGACGTGAATGTCATAGCAATTATTTTAAAAAACCGGTTGTAGAACCCGGCAAAAATCAGTTATATTTTACACACAGACTTAGAAGTGAAAAAAAGGTTTTTATGATCCAGCTATGCCAAATTTTGATCAAAGTAAGCAAAATGAAATCCAATATCCACATGTAGCCGGAACTAGCATTTTTTCTTTAAAGGTAAAGATGCATGCTCTATTATGGAGTTTGATTTCGTACCTCCTGCATAAAAGGTAGTCTATTAGCTGAAACATGCAACCATCGCGCATAACGCTGTCGAGGGAACTCAGGTATGACCGAATGACAAATGAAATAGGCTAAAACATAACTATGATAATTTAACTGCTAGTATTTTAATGGAAGAAGTTACAAAATTCATGTACAAAAGCTAAATTAACAAACGATGAAAAAATAAAATGTGGCTAAATTGCGAGGTAGTGATGTTCTGTGGGATATCGTGTCCAGTCCACCCGCTTGAAGGATGTATTCTGCAGAGTAATGTATATACAGATATGCAATGAATCTGTGGATGGAAAATACTAGGAGGACTACAACGTCTGATGGTGAGTGGAAAATGAGTTTACATGGGAAAATAATTCGCTTCGCTTTTGTTTGTTTTTTTTTGAAATTGTCTGCACCAATGTCTTTTTAATACTCGAGCACTGTCAATCTGCACCTTTGTCGTTTTCTTGGACCAGGAATGAAAGGACATCTCCATGGTCAGGCCATGTCGTTCTTACGCTAAGCTGAAATCGAATGGTTGAAACTTTTTGCGAAAATCACCGGTTATTTTCTTTTCTTCATCCACGGGCACCTTACAGGATTTCCAATCAACTCTTTCTTCCATATCAAGAACAGCCGGATGCGCCAACACTTCTCTAAGATTAAACAAAGTTTTTGTCATTGATTTAGGTTTCTCCCTTTTAAACTGAGGGTTACCCCAGCATGGGAAACAGTTTAGAAATCTATTCAGTTTTTATAAAGCTATTTTGGGTCAGGATGGCTTCAGATATTACGAAATATTTCTTTGAGTTTGAAGTGCCTCGAATGACTAAGGCTCAACCCTCGTATTTAAATCGAAGTTAAGAAACACTATATTTTTCTATGATTTTGGTTTGTACTCCCAAGATGGCCGCAAAGTTATCGCTCCAGATACCATATAGAGTTCAAAATTATAGTAACCATCACAGCACCTTCCAAACTGAAGCGGCATTTTCTTTCTAACTCGATGCAGTAATCGACTTCCATCGTCAAATTCGACAAGGAAAAATGGAACTTGAGGTCGGATTATCTACATACAGCAGAAAACGGAATCAAGATAATATTTCTGAATGCATATTATGAAAATAACATTTCCCGGCTAAAGTTGGAGCCAGGATTCTCCTGCAGACCTGCTTCAAATCTGTTTCATCGTCCAGCATATCGAACTCCATGTTCTTTTCACCGCCCATTTCCATGAATAAACCTTTCAAATCTTCCGCTTTCTCAATTGGCACAGGAATAACCTGGTTGCAGAAATAATGAAAGTCATGCCCCAGGCACACATTAGGTGTGTGTCCCCCCGAGAGGGGGGGGGGGGGAAGTTAGATAGCCCACCTGAATCTGAAGATGTTGCGTGTAAAAATTTCTCTCGTAAACAACGCAGGCATATCCTTGTTTCTTGAACAGTTTTCGTAATGAAGATTTATACCTGGGATGAACGAGATCAGGAAAACACAAAGAGAACTATAGAAATGGTACATTGACCATCAGTGATCGTCCAATTCAGTGGTTCAAAGGATACTTTTCAATTTCCATCAAAGCTTCCTGCAAAGTATAATGGCAAACAAACATAATCACATATTATTATGAATCAAATCATTGAAAACCTTCAAAGGCTTAACATTATCGAGAAATTCCACAGTATAGGGTGGTTTTTACTTCAGTTTACCAAACTTACGTCAGGGAGTTCCACTGTCGATGGATAGTGAGCTATTGGGCATATCAAGGTGTGGTCGCCAGTCAAGCCTCCCTTTGCCATTGCAAGATAAACCTGTGAAATACACAAAAACGTGAGATATCGTGCAGACGTTTCGTGTCTTCCATTAGAGCTTGTCCAGTTGTCCTTACGTGATCCGCGACGCTCACAACTAAGTGTTTTTCAACCTGACTTCCACCCAAACAAAACCAACACGGACCTTGGATTGGAGCTGAAAAAAAAAAACAATTTACAAAAAAGAAAATCGTGAAAAATGAAAGTCGCTTGTACAAAGATTTATGAACGTTTATCTTACGTGGTCCTTTGCGCTTCATTGGCTGTCTCTGGGTTGAATCTAAAGCGTAGAAGACCAAATTGATAGGAATGTTGTCCAAGATGTGGTCTCGGAATCCTGTGAAGTTGTAAACTGATTTTCAAGTCGATAAAAACGGGACAAACCTTCATTTTTTCGCTTTTGTCCTTCGCTTTTTGAATTCACATCGAAGAAAAAATTTTGAGCAGGGTTTTGCTAAAAAAAGAGTTCAACAAAACGGTCAAACTTTACATAGTTCACCCTTGAATACATCATCATCAAAGGCTAAACTACAGAACTTTACTGTTGAATCTTATGCCATAACTGCATGTCAAGCTATCCAATATGTAAGGTCAGTGTTTATATCATATATTTGGTCCAGTCATCTCGTACCTGTGTGTTCTGGTTTGAGGATAAGTTTTTCTGTAGTTTTCCGTAAGGTATTTCAGTCACATCATCAGGTTGTTTTACCAATTCCTCTTGTTTCATGTGACACAGAGGCACAATATTGAATGCATAAAGATACTGGAAACAAATATACATTGACAGTCAACAACCAAATCTTTAAGTTTTCTCATTCCATTCTCAGAAAAGAGAGAACTCTCAAAAGTATACTTTTTCAAAGACATTCTGTTGTTTTTATCTGCTTGTGATAAAGTAGGTTCAAATATTTGGAGATACTGTACATGTAGGATTATCTTTGAACTGTCAATATTTTAGGGCTAAGATCTAGCTAGTTCAATAAATGCAAACTGCTTTAAAAGTTTAATGTAGGTATTATTAGATATGACACAAGTGAAACCTTTTTCTTTAGCGTGTTTCCAACATTTGCTAAACTAATAAATCTTGTCACATGTTGAGCTGGTTCTTGTAGTACCCGGTGATTCCTAACAGGCGGAATGGAGACAAGGCAGTAAGAATATTGGATGATTTCATGATGAATGAAAAAGAATGCTTTATGACTTGCCTATATGGCAGTCTCTCATAATAAGTGCTATCTAGGGCAGTGAAATGATATCTTGGTTTCAATTTCACAGCAATTTGGGAGATGATTTGCGAGCCTGTCTCGCTTGCATCAACTTTGGCATCCTAGTAAGAACAAGAACCATTGTCAATAAACCATTGCATTTCACCTAAACTTCAAGTCAGAATCATTACCAGTTTGTTTCCATACTGTGTAACATCTTTTGGCCAATCTGATGTCAACAACATATCAACTCCTTTAAAATTCTTATCATCAGCCTTGGCGAGTAATTGCTTTGTCTCTTCCTCTTTGAAAAAACATCCGTCCTACCATATACAGAAATAGTTTTTACAACAAAGCATGCAAACACAAGTGAATGCATTATCCAGCCATGGTAATGTTGTCGTAATTAATAAATATAAATCATTATTATTATATGTCCAGTTTTGAAAACTTGTTTTCGCAAGACAGGACTACACCATGCAGCAATTGCAGCTATAGCTAGATTAATAAAAAAATTATATATATATAACACATTGATTTTATAACAACCTTTTTACACTTGGTACCATCCAAACCACCGACATAGGCCACTTGAAGACCACTAGGACATTGCAAAACACCACTTCGACCTAAATTAAACCAGGTCATGTCAATACATGACATTCGGATGACTTAGAAGCTAATAGACAAAAAACTCCACTCAATTGAGCAGTGATTATGAGCTGATTTTTACCTAAGTAAGTGATATTCTCACAGAGTTCGCCACCTGTAGAAAGGTCCACATTTTCATATCCTGAGAGCTCTTCAGGCATGGTGGGACCCAAAACATATGTTACAATTGGGGCTATGAGAATGAGAGAAATAAGAAATTTTGAGTATACATATTTGTACCTATATATGCAATCTAGCCACAATAACCATGGATTGTTTTGTACCATTTGAAGTACCCTCTTTGAATTCCTGCCAAACTTTTTTGTCATCCTCTGTTGCACCAAAAAATTTGCCAACACAAAGAAGCATCTTAATGAATGAGATTTAATTCAGTTTTTTGTTTAGGTTTTGTTTCTTCACAATCAAACAATATATGTGGAGCATGGGTATATTTGGGAACCTATCTCTTTGTGAAAATTATCCAGCTTTTTTATCAACCAAACATTGAGATACCAAAGTTAGGGTGAATCTGGGAAATGGCTGGTGATACAGGTATGATATATGCTTAAGATGTTGATTTACATCTTCTGCCCCTAACAAACTAAAGCAACATTAATGCCATCGCATGACAGTTGAAGTATTAGTGGAATTTTTGGATTATTGCTTAGTTTGTTATGAACAGAAAATATGCACAGAACGGAGTTTACAACATCCTTTATAATAGGACAGTTAGAGAATGATTTTACTTCAAAATCTCCTGATTTTTTGAGGATATTGGAGACTCTTGTGTATAAGGTCTTCAGTTTCCCATTCACATCTCCACAAACTAAACTGCAAAGACAAATAATGCATTTGCAAGCTTAGTAGTTAAAAAATTGGCTTGGGCTCGGGATGCAAATGTGGTTAGTAAAAATTGATCATTCTGTTCATTGATTGTATCGTTTTCATCGATAAAATTTCAACTCTCCCTCCTCAAATACGTACATTTTATAGGATTTCTGATCCATAGCAACTTGGTTTTACTTTTTTCGAAAGAGCCGTGCCGCATAAGGGGTAAATACGGACAAAAACAAACAAAAAACTCTAAAAATATTCAAATTTTGGAGGATTTTCCGCGGCCATATTGAACCCACTGCATCATGGTTCATGCACGTGTCATCCTCGTTCTTTTCATCCGCCATAATGGAGCAGGTCTGTACACTGTATTTTGCTCGTGAAATTTTGCTTTAAAAATGCTATTTTCTTGCCCTGATTCACACGATCTAAATACTGTAGGATAGGCTAAAGTGTATCCCTTCTTCTCAAAGTATTTTGAACCCGAAAGGGGGTGGTTAAATATGTTTTTTAAGCGATGGAAGTTTGGGGGTTTTAACTGGAGGTCATTTTGAACATATTTGAACATAAAGTCGAATTTAGAGCGTGTATTTTTTGTGTTTGTGCACTAAAAGTGGGTCTTTTAATACGTTATGAAAGATATTATTGTTAGGAAGACAAGAACGGTCAAAATGATCTACTATAAATACAATTTTCTGTAGTCTGATACTGTGATTGCCTTGTTACCAAATTTCTCTTTAGTGCATCCCTAAAATGTAATATGTATTCAGTTGTGTCATCTTTTTATATCTTTCTGCTGGAAGATGTCAAATCACAAATTTATTTTGCTTTATATTTTCCATGTTATGTTATTTTGCTGATTGGGAAAGTTATAATTTTTTCACAATTTTCCCAAATTTCCAGACATTTCACAACCAGAGTTCACATCCAAGTTAAAAACAAAAGATCTAATTTCAATAGAGGGGAGTTTGGTTGGGACACCCTGTAGATCACACTCCCGTAACATAGTACTTGTGGAAGATGTTTGCAATTACTTATGATCATTTTTTTTCTTGATAGACTGAGAGAGCTTACCAAAAACAGCCTCCAATTTTTCAAAACAAGAAAAGGGTATTGACTCTTGGTCAGCCCGTGAAGAAGAAGGAACTTCGTTACTACAAGAACGTTGGTCTGGGGTTCAAGACTCCGCAAGAGGTATTGTATAAATGCCCAATAATTCCTACATATATTTCATGGAAAACCTAATTACAGTTCAATCCACTTCCCAAAGATACAGTATTTGACCTTTGAATTATTAGAGAAGCCCATTGTATGGTGTGATTCAACTCATTTCAGCAGCTAACTTGCAGATGAAAATTTCTCTAATTTGATTTTTTATAAAACATGTTTGGTAAAAATACAATGACCTAAATTTGCAACAAAATTGACATTTGTGTATTTCCACTTCCTTGATTCAATTTTCCATAAAATTTCCCATATTGTCATTTTCACAAAGAAAAGATTCTGTTGAATTCTTTTAAAAAATCTAACCATGAACTAAATGCTAGAAGTTGCATATTGGTGACGGTGTATTTACGTCATTTTCAGGCGATTGATGGCCACTACATTGACAAGAAATGCCCATTCACTGGCAATGTCAGCATCCGAGGTCGTATTCTAACTGGTATTGTCGAGAAAATGAAAATGAAGCGTACGATTGTCATCCGACGAGATTACCTTCATTACATCAAGAAGTACAATCGATTTGAGAAGCGACATAAAAATTTGTCTGCCCACATCTCTCCATGCTTCAGGTATGAAAAATATGGTTGATTGACTTGGTTCCATGTTATATAGAGGTGACTGGATACCCCCTTTCCCACCTCCCCCCCTTTTCCCACCTTCCCTCCTTTTCCCACCTTCCCCCCTTTTCCCACCTTCCCCCCTTTTCCCACCTCCCCCCCTTTTCCCACCTCCCCTCTTTTCCCACCTTCCCCCCTTTTCCCACCTCACCCCCTTTTCCCACAAGAATATTCACCAGGTTTTCCAAGAATACTTTATTCCATGCAGAGTTTATAATTTTCTGCACTGGAATTTTACTGGTCATTGGAAGAAAGAAAGCTTTGTCAAGCAAAGTCGTTTTTGTCCTAAAATGAATTTGACTATTTTCATATTCTAGGGATGTTGCCATCGGTGATGTGGTGACTGTTGGTCAGTGTCGTCCGCTCAGCAAAACCGTCAGATTCAATGTATTGAAAGTTTCTAAGGGAAAGAAATCCAAGAAATCTTTTGAGAAATTCTAAGAATGTCTTGTAATTTCTAATAAAAAGATACTATCTTACTGCAGACTGTTGTGCCATCTTCTGTATTTATCATTGCCGATGTTCCCCTGATTTTTCGAAGTCGAAAAGTTGGTATTTACTTGGTAATAAACTTTAACCTCGTACCTAGGTCTGCGCGTCCCACTACAATGGAAGATTGGGTACGACGATGGTAATTTTCAGATGCAAGTATGTAAACACGGCGTTTAATTAGCTTCCATTCCTTTTTCTAGCCAGTCAGATCAGATTGTCAATCAGTTGCTTCTTTCACGAGCATGTGTAAAAAGTGGTTCATAAAAAAACTGCTTAGCCTAGTGCCTAGCCCTCTTCGCCCGACTCATTCTGTCACGTCAGAAGAGAAAAGCGTTGTTAGGCCCATGTATTTAAGGCCTGTTTGCATGAATTCCGGCTAATTCTTTTTTAATGGATGCAAACGAACCAATGCGTAAGAGATGATCCTTACTGGACCTCTAGGAAGAAAAATTCAGAATTGATAATGCTATCTAGTGTAAATAAAGTTAGTTTAGTTTAGGTTTTCCCCTGTAGTAACACTGGATCAATAAGAGATGATCGTTACTGGACCTCTAGGAAGAACAGTTTAGAACTGATAGAGCTATCCAGTATAAATAAAGTTAGTTTTTGTTTCCTCCTGTAGTAATACTGGAACAATAAGAGTTGATCCTTACTGGACCTCTAGGAAGAACAGTTTAGAACTGATAGAGCTATCCAGTATAAATAAAGTTAGTTTCGTTTAGGTTTCCTCATGTAGTAACACCGGATCAGTAGATGACCGTAACTGGACCTCTAGGAAGAACAATTTAGAACTGATCAATTTCGCAGCAAAAATTGCGAATTTCAACCGCATTTAGGGCCCCTGAAGGCATCGAAGCGTTTGGGACGCCCCTAAGCGGTAACAACACTGCTGGAAGCTATTTTACCAGCTATTTTACATGACACATGCGCAATTAAATATTGTGGTCTGATATACAACCTGCTTTTTTCGAACATTAACGTAAACATACGTTAATTTGAATATTCCCCAACTATTTTTCATGTCAAATTAACGATTAAACAATTTATAAGCACATGAATAATAAATGCCGAACATCAATCTAGAATATGCTATGGCATATAGTCAACACTATGTGTATACTCCTATATGTTCAATTTCACAACATTGCGTGCACAAAGCAAGCCTCCCCGGCTAAAGCGGCGATGCCAACTGCAACCACAAAAAATATTATTGTAGCTATTCCTATGTAACGCGTCTTAAAATAACAACTGGACCTAAATTATTTGGCTTTCCCAGTTAACGACTGTCACTTAGATACGACCACAAATGAATTTGACATTAAATATTTACAGTTTAACTGTTCTCAGGTGAAACGAGAGAGTGTTATCTACTTATCTTGCTTTAGCGACGCTTTTTGCTCACTATCACGAGCTTTTTCACAACGAAATACAATATTTGGTTAAAGTTTGCGTTCTAATCAACAAATTTACGTAAAAATTGAGCTGTAAGTATACTTCATTGGTTTTTTTGTTGTCGATGGCTGTGTGGGTAAAGTGCTTAGCGCATGCAAAACGTAAAATCGTAAAGTGAAAATGAAAATTCCACTTCTTAACTTAGTTTAACTTTTGTATCTTAAGGCTTTTATGCTTAATTTGTACCTAGTTTTGATAGACTCATAAACTATGTTATCAACTCTATTCTTTCCTTTGGCTATGTAGTTCCAACGAATTATATATATGTATATACTTCGAACCGGCAAACTTTAAACTGGCAAGTTTCGTGTAAAATATATCGTTTTACCCGTGTTTGATATGTATTGAAAAAGTATACAACACTCAAGAACCTTTGAATCATAATTCTATCCTTATATTTCGTTTCTTCATTCCGTTCTTTTCATTTGCACTATTTTTGGGACAGCTCCAAATAAATGCACGTTTATAATGAATTTACGGAGAAATTTTCTAGTACCTGTTATAATTTTTCAACTAAGCCCTAGCCCTTAGAAAAAATTGTTAAAGCAATTCATACAACTGACTCATCCAAGAATAAACTTGAAAATTTCTAAATACGTTGCACATATGCATGTCTAACTAAAAGACAAGTTATTGCTTTGCCCCATACTATAGATATAGGAAAAATCATGATAGACATGCGCTATCTCTCTGAGGATTGCCTGTATATTTTCACAGCCAGTCTGGTTCGATAAATGTTGAAGGTGATATAGACATGCATATATCGTTACCAGCTTATATAGATTTGTAAGTCTCGTGAACGAACGTGTTTCGCGCGCGGAGACTCTGTAGCAAGACCTCAGTACTACTTTATGATGCATCCTAATGTTTGAAAGTTGCGTAGGCCAATTATCGAAGTACACATTATATGTTTCTATATCAGAATATTGCTGTTTTTGCCGGGAGTGACCAATGACTGTTTTCATACAGAAAATAAAGAAAAATTTATTTCCATGATAATGCCTTGCTTCAGACAATTACGACTGAAGCAAAAAAAGTCCATTAGCAGAATAAGGTCTTTGACCCATATGCTTTTCCGTGTGTGAAGTTTGATTATAGTTTAACATGACTATAGCTATATATATAAGCGAGGAAACATTTGTATTGCTTTAGAAAATGTGAAAAACCGCATTTTCAGTTTAGGCTACCTTAAAAAAATTCCTCTAGCTCATTCAATTCTGACGTTAGCCATTTTTTTAGGCAAATGTTTCTTTTAAACTCATTTTTTAAAGAAGGTATACGAAGAATTATGTGATTTCTTGAGTACAATTTGAATAACTTGATTTTCTTTTTACAGAGCGTGAAAGACTGCATCGAATGACAATTGCAAGGTTTTCTATTTTAAATTTATCTCAATTTATTCCCAAAAATTAAACTGATAACGAAAATGGAGGCTTCAGTTCAGGTTTGATCAAAATTTAAAACTGAATGTCTTGTTTCTTTTAACGATATATAGAATGGCATCTTGGCCGTGCAGACTTGCAGCTGTCTTGTTTGGTGTTCTTCTCCACGGTGTTTGTGGAACAACTATTGTCACTTGTATGTTTGCAATCTTGTTATAAAACGTTTTTCAATAGGAGTTTACATGCAGATTCGTTCAAACTTGGTATACGAGCCTGCTGCCTGCAGCAGGTGTACCGTGTCAAATATCAAAATTTTTTGCATGATGAGTACATGAGAACTTGTCAAATTGTCTTCGGCAGCCCGATAATAATAGGTTCTTTATTGTCAAAATCAGTTCTTGACGAGCAATATTGTTTACTAGATTATACGAATTACAAATACTGTATGTAGTTACATGCATATAATGTGTTAATATAACACGACAATTAACGACGTTGATATAATCTTTTTCCATGTTTGTGTTCCATGGAAACATAAAACACGGTTTACCGTACAACCTGCTGTAGCCTGCTGTTATGTAAATGCATGCAATATCGTGTTTTTCAACCGTTGGTGTAATTGCGGTTTTTATATTGTAGAGAGTGCCCCGGCAGTGCATTAGAAGTGTTTAATTAATAATATGATAGCGGTAATTCCGGTAATTTTGCTTAAATCGTATTTCCAGCACCAATTCCCACGTCGTCAGTAAATATGTCCGTGTCAGTAAATATGTCAGTGGCCGTGAATTCTTCACTCTCCGTTGTCCAAATGCCAGAGTCAATCCAGTGAGTAATCGACGCGATAATCTTGGCTCGTGACTCAGGTTTTCTCCTGACTGTAGTAACACTGGATCAATAAGAGATCAGTGATCCTTACTACACCTCTAGGAAGAACAGTTTAGAACTGATAGAGTTATCCAGTATAAATAAAGTTAGTTTAGTTTAGGTTTCCACCTGTATTAACACTGGATCAATAAGAGGTGATCCTTACTGGACCTCTAGGAAGAACAGTTTAGAACTGATAGAGCTATCCAGTATAAATAAAGTTAGTTTAGTTTAGGTTTCCACCTGTATTAACACTGGATCAATAAGAGATGATTCTTACTGGACCTCTAGGAAGAACAGTTTAGAACTGATAGAGCTGTATCTAGTATAAATAAAGTTAGTTTAGTTTAGGTTTTCCTTCTTTAGTGGCTCTGCAAATCCAATAAATGTAAAATATTGTCTCCTCTTTTAAGCTGGATAAATGGATCTTGTCGAATCATGCCATCAACTTGCATTTGTAACCAAATGAGTACAGGTCTGTCCCATAAGTCATATCAATCTGTTAATTTACGATACTTTATCTTGTATTGAAACGATATATTGTTTGTTTCATAGTAAATGTGTCTATGATCAACATAACAGCATCAAATTCCTATATGATGATGACTTCGAGTCCAAGCGGTTAGTACGCTACGTTTAACCTTACAATTCCTTTCAGTTTCCAAGAAAAATTTTCATCTAGATCTTCCCCCAAAAATATTTTTCAGGTTCCTTAAACATGAGTTCATTGAATGCGTCATCTTCCTCCCTAAACATGACATTGAACTACAGTGGGACACCCTGTACATGTTATGGACAGCGCACTTGGTGTTTGAAGAACCACACGACAGGTAGGGGAGCACACCTTAACTACAGGTTTTTAGATCAGTGGCTTCAACACAGAGCTAGCGTCTCTGGGAGAGAACGGTGATTGAAATTGAAGAAAAATAAAAAATTGTCATGTGAATGAAATGTGGTCAAACCTTGTATAGTTAGCTATCATTTTGAAGCCTCTCGCTATATATGACACATTGAATATTTTGATAGTTTCAGTAACACCAACAGCCACGTTTCAACAACCTCCCAGTACCGCCGAAAACAACAACAACAACAACAACAACAATAACAACAACAATAACAATAACAATAACAACAACAATGTCAACAGCGAAACCGCATCCGTAGTATTATCGGCTCATCTGCCGGCTGTCAGTGGAAGTTATGGAGGGGTCAAACCAAGCGAGCCATCACCTGGTGTTGGTCCAAGCGTCGTACCCTCATCTGGAGTCAATCCAAGCGTCGTACCTTCATCTGGAGTCAATCCATCTGTCCTATCTTCACTTAACTTAAATTCCATCGTCGTGCCTTCAAGCCTAGCAGCCTTGCTCTCATCTATGAGTGTTATTCCGTCTGGAGTGCTCCAGAGTATGCCATCCAGTGTTTCAATAGGGGTTGCTCCTACCACACCTGGGGGCGATGTTGTTCCCCCACCGACTACATTGCCACCAGTTTGCAGCAACGACTGCGCAAGTAAGAAACTATAAGAAATTAGGAAAAGGTCCGTTCACACCCAGCGCTTCCCACGGGTGAAGCGAAAGACACTTCCGGACAGAGGTTATTCTAAACTGGAGTTGCTACCACTTTTTGAAATTGTAAGAAAACTTCTAGAGATGGAAATTATTATACGGCTAGCTGTAGATAAGCAATTATTACTAATTTCCTTCTCCAGAAATATTCGTACAATTTCAAAAAGAATAATTAGAATAATCCCTGATTCCGGATGTAGTGTAACTCAACGGGAATAAAGGATTGGATAAGTATTTTCTTTGAATATTATCCAAGGTCTTCTCCCGAAGAGGTGTTTGCAGATTTACAAAATCGCAGGGCAAAAATATCGAACGAAAAAGAAAGTTGGAGAAAGCTATATATAACTATATCATTGTTGACGGATCAAATCACTTAGAATGAAAAATTTTCAATGCTGACATTCTGCAAACAGGGGTCTGAGCCCTTAACCCAACATAGTATTTTAGCAAGGATGCCTGAAGGCTTCCACTCAGGAAAATTCTCCTTTGGATCGGACAGGACAGGAAAGTTTCCTTTGTGTAAACGCCGCCTGAGAACTCACCGACAAAGGAAATTTTCCAGAGTAGATTTTTCCTGAGTAGAAACTAGCCTTGTGTCCCCCTCTTCCCTGATGTAAACATTGAGAGATGCGAATCCCATTAAGACAGATAAGCGAAGATAACTTTAGTCAGTGGCGTAGCCAGCCCGACAATTTAGTCATGCTATGCTAATATTTTGGTGTTCATTGACTGTGAAAACAATGAATTTCTAAAGAAATGAATAATGATAATAACATAAAATTTGCATAGCATGACTAAATCGTCAGGCTGGCTACGCCACTGACTTTAGTTATTGTCCAGTCGTAATGTAAAGAAATGCTTTTTTCACATTTCACACATGAGCCAGAGCCAGAGGACTCCGGAACGTGCAAAATTTAGGCAATTTTCATATTCGCGGTTTCTCATTGTTAATAGACCTTTTTCATAATGACGTCAAACGCAGGAAGTCTGATGTTTCACGAAATTTAATTGGCTCCACAAAACTGTCGAGCCAATCAAACTTCGTGTAACATCAGACTTTCCGCGTTTGACGTCATTATGAAAAAGGTCCATTGTTATGAGCAAAACTGATGCGCTAACCCGACCGGACATTACCTTCAAAATCAGGTGTCAGCTTTGACAATACGCCTAGATAGTGATAATGCAAAGACTCAGGTGTGATATTAAATGTATATGTGATGTTGCTACTCTGAGTCACCAACCGGGCAAGCTGAAAAATTAGCTTGACCACGATGGGAACCCACCGTGGTCAAGCTAACTTCCCACCGTGGTCAAGCTAACTTTTCAGCTTGCCCGGTTGGTGACTCAGAGTAGCAACATCACATATACATTTAATACGCCTAGATGTCTCCACTTAGCTTAATTATGCAGTTGATAAAAGAATGCTTGGATCCTGCATTGCCTGTTGAAATTCCCACTGAAAATTCAAATCTATTTATAGATGTACCTTGTGGAAAGGCGATCATAAACAGCTGTGGAAAATGCGTCGGGGTACAGTACCTTCTCACCTACACCTAGCTTTAAAATATATCTCTGAATGTATTTAACTTTTATATCCGATCTTCCAACCATATATTCGGTGTCTGCCTGTGTTTAGGGAACAATTGGAAACGACACGGATCTCGGAAAGGATTGCGCCAAAGTCTGCAACGGAACGGCTCGCAACGATTCTTGTGGTGTGTGTACCAACCCCCCTGCCAATGACCCTTCGAGCGAAGTATCTCCGTTTGAAGACTGCAACAAGGACTGTTTCGGTGGTGCAAAGATCGACTCTTGCGGGAATTGTAGCGGGGGGTCGACTGGAAAACGAACTGATTTTTGGAAAGATGCTTGCGGTAAGTTGAGGAAACATTTTAGGCGTAATTGTATAACCAACATTCGCAGGGTCCTATTCCGATGACAGCGAAGGTCTAAAATAGTCGTTCCATAGCTGAAATGTGTGTTATCACGGTCCCGGGTAGATTTTTTTGACAGATGAGAGCCTTTTGAGAAGTGGCGATCTCTTTACATGATTGACCTGATTCACTGGATATTTTTACATGATTGACCTGATTCACTGGATATCTTTTCATGATTGACCTGATTCACTGGATATTTTTGCATGATTGACCTGATTCACTGGATATCTTTGCCTGATTGACCTGATAACTTCAACGAGTTTAAAGGCCCATTCATATACACACTATAGCTATATAAGATTAATCGTTTCATATCCTGACGCATGTGATCGAGTAAAAGGTCGTACAAATGTTATTTTTCAAATTATCGGCCTCGACGGAATGAGCAAAAATGTTACATGAGTAGACATGTCTCATTTCCATCACTCAGAGTCACATACTACCTATCGTATAACATAAATAGACGTCAAAATCAATTTTTCTTATTTTCCTGTCATCCAGGTATCTGTGGAGGTGACAATAGCTCATGTATGGGTTGCGATAACGTTCCCAACAGCGGCAAGATCAGAGATGCCTGTGCGGTGTGCGGAGGGGACGGTTCGTCATGTACCAATATAACCTCGGTTTATCCATCATTGCTCCCTAGTACCTCCACCGCACGGACCGTTAACGTGATGGGAGCAGGTTTAGACGGCAACTCTATCAAATGTGTCTTTGGTGGCGTGAATAGTGCGGGTACGTACTAGTCAACAAAAACTTTGAGAATCGGTAATCGGGGGGATTGACTTTTACACTCTATGGTTTGGCTTTGGGCGCAGTCGCAAATATTTGCGTATTTGCGCAGTTTCGTATAGTTTCTTTGCTCCACTCCTTTGTAACATAATCATCGGACAATAATGGGTAATGGGGTATGCGTGGGAGCACAAATTGATATCCCATTCTGACATCTTCAAAGGTACTGTGGTGAACAAAACGATCTGTCAGTGCACCATTCCTGACGCCACAGCTGGTGACAAGACCTTCACGGTTAAAGTCACGAAAGATGATGGGGAAAAAACGACCGCTGACTTGATCATCAAAATCTACGACGCAGCAAATGTTAAAATAAACACTGTTTTACCGGCGGAGTTCCTGACGGAAAAGCCAGAAGATTTGCAATTTCAAGGTAGGCGAAATACTGTGTAAAGGTTAGAAGTTAGGGTAAATTATCTAAAGTAAAAAGTGTTTGTGGTTTCTGATTGTGATGAAAAACCAGACTCGTAGCATTGTACTCTTTCAGACTTTCATTGTCGCAAGATCTCTCAGACTTTGTCTATAGTTAATGGCACATAAAATACTTAATCGGCCGTTGGCGCTGAGGGCGAACAATGGTTCATAGTCCATCGTGTGTCTTAGCTTTTAGTATCCCGACTCACCCGGACTTTACATTTACCTTTATTAAGGTTCTGGTCTGATAGATAATCCCGATGCATTGTGTCTGATTCGAAGCGATACTCTGGTGAAGATTTCGGCTAAATTTGATTCTGGGAGCTACAATTGTAGCCTTCCTGGTTACAAAATGGCAAAAAATATGACCGTGGCTTTGGCTATGAATGGTGTTCACGAGGTATAGGGAAACTAAATACTATATCTAAGCTAATTTTATTTATACTGGATAGCTCTATCAGTTCTAAACTGTTCTTCCTAGAGGTCCAGTAAGGATCATCACTTATTGATCCAGTGTTACTACAGCAGGAAACCTAAACTTAACTAACTTTATTTGCACTGGATAGCTCTATCAGTTCTAAACTGTTCTTCCTATAGGTCCAGTAAGGATCATCACTTATTGATCCAGTGTTACTACAGGAGGAAACCTAAACTAAACTAACTTTATTTATACTGGATAGCTCTATCAGTTCTAAACTGTTTTTCCTAGATGTTCAGTAAGGATCATCTCTTATTGACCCAGTGTTACTGCAGGAGGAAACCTAAACTAAACTAACTTTATTTATACTGGATAGCTCTATCAGTTCTAAACTGTTTTTCCTAGATGTTCAGTAAGGATCGTCTCTTATCTAATATCAGGGGTCGTCTCTCGAGCTATGTGCACACGGCAACGTGTTCAAGCGTTTTCACATTCCTTTTCATTCCAAAACGGTTTCAAACATAGTCAATTTACAATAGAAGTTGAAGCTAACTTAAAATATTGAACATATTTTTCCTTGGATCGTGTGAATAGTCGATTTTGAAAACGCTCGAAAACGACGCATTGTCTTGATTGATGTTTATTTCCCCTCTTTATCAACTATCCAACTATTCTCTTCCAGGTCAACTCAGATGTTAGTCTAAACCGGAAGGTGGTTGCCGTAGCTCCAGCAGTGACCTCATCACAGTTCACCGACACTGGAGCAATGATAATAATTGTTTTCGACAAACCCATTGCCACCTCGTCATTGTCGACATGCGCAGCGATATTCAGCGCAGGACTAGCCACCCTAGGCTCAGACCCGTCATGCACTTGGTCCGATAGTCGTCACTTGGAAATCAGTCCTGACGTAGATGCAAGCATTGTACCAGGCAATTCGTTGACGTTTAAAACAGACGTGATCAAACGGGATCAGTTATTTTCAAAAATATTGAACAAGGTTATGACAATCTCAGCCCCCAATAACCCTGTGACCCCTGCGGCAGTGATCGCTGGTTAGTAATTCTTTATTTTAATTAGGTGATTAGCTACTTAGCTAGTTTAATCAATAATTATTGATTGACAAATTACAAGGGTGCTTAAGAAGACTAGCTGACGTTACGACTTGCTTGTCGCGATTAATTTAGAAAAGAGAAGTTTACTGAGATATGATTCTAATATCCAGGTCCAACTCAAATCTCATCCTGTGGCCATCTGACATTGGATGGTAGTCAATCTTCTGGTGGAGGTGGAAGGAATCTTCGCTATCAGTGGAGTCTGGTCAGTCCGAGTGATCCTGTAATTACAACTGTACTTAACAATGCTGTGAACAAAACGAGTGTGCTCGTTAATGGAACTTTTATGGACTCTAGCACAACGTACAAGTATAAGTTAGGTGCGTTTAATATAAAATAAGAATATAAATAGAGCATAATATTAAGATATGCCGTAAGAGATCGTTAGAAAATAAAGAAAAGTAGTTTAGTTTAGGTTTCCTCCTGTAGTAACACTGGATCAATAAGAGTTGATCTATACTGGACCTCTAGGAAGAACAGTTTAGAACTGATAGAGCTATCCAGTATAAATAAAGTTAGTTTAGTTTAGGTTTCCTCCTGTAGTAACACTGGATCAATAAGAGATGATCCTTACTGGACCTCTAGGAAGAACAGTTTAGAACTGATAGAGCTATCCAGTATAAATAAAGTTAGTTTAGTTTAGGTTTCCAACTCCTGTAGTGTCATTGGAAACGAACAGTTTAGAACTGATGCAACTATCCAGTATCATGACATAAAATTAGGTTTTCAGGTCTTCTGCTTTTCGGGATATTGTATTCGGCATACTGAGCAATAACTGCACTAATTCTTTTTAGTGGTGGAAAACTTTCTAAATTCAAACTCTGAGAGTACTATTGATGTTGAAAAAGGAACGAGTCCTTCGCCAGAGGTAACCCTAGAAGGACCACTTCAGGGCAAAGCTAAAGCAGGAGGATCATTTTATGTCACAGCGATTGCCCAGGTAAGGAAGCTTAAGATTAACCTCTGCCTAACAACAAGATTCATCAAATGATCTCAACGAGATAGATAATCTCAACAGCATATTAACCTACTCAGTGCTTTTGACCAAACAGCAGTCATAATGCCGTTGCAAAACAGTCAATAGACCCATCACATTTCATATTGAAACAAAACAATCGCGTGCTATTGTTAGGATGATAACACGACTACCAGAATCGTGTTAATTACTCATTTCAATACCTCAAAGTCCGTTTTACGCTTCGTCAACCGGGCTCGTGTGAAGAGCCCCTTAAATCGCCCTTAAAACATAGCGCTATCACAACTCATAATCAAATTGACTTTATAATCAGCTATCTTCAAGCATCGTTGTACGCTTAAAACGAAAATGTGGAAAGGCCTAAAGTATATTCATGTAGACAAAGTCCACCTTTCTTTCCCATGTACGACAATTAAATCATCTTGTATTTACTATTCAAGGCTGCGTCGTGTTCCTCGGAAAAAGCCTTGAAATATTTGTGGTCCGTCGTGTGCACGAATGACGATCAGAGCAAGTCTGCGAAGACTCGTGCGGAAAGCAGTTCAGGTTTTCAACAGACCTCCAGCAAATCTGCGTTGAAGATCGATGCAGGCTCCTTGGTCGGCGGAAAGACGTACACATTTACTGTGAAAGTATCTTTGATTGCCAACGCGAACATAGCGACTACCATGTCCACTAATGTCACGGTAGAGTGGAGCCCTTTGGAACCAGCCATTGCTGGAGGTTAGTGAAATGTCGAGTTGTAAACAGACTATAAGTTGTTACGATAACGCGTCGGTGTTTTGCAATTCAGCAACCGAACCTCGCACCTTTTGAATTTGAATTATATTTGCAGGCGATCGTACTTTGGGACGCGGCAGCGGTAATTTAAAACTGGACGCTAAATCCTCAACAGTCGACCCCGATAATGCTCCTGGTGATTTGTCTTGTGCGTGGAGCTGCAAGGATACCTCCAACGATCAGCCTTGTTACTCTGCCGTTAACAAACAGTCGCAGATCTCTCTTCCTAGCGAATGCGAAGTTACCATTGCAAGTACCGAGTTCGAGGCAGGAAAGGTTTTCAAAATAAAGTATGTTCGTGTCGGTTGATCTATTTCGTGTCTGTTAAAGTCCGATTCAAACTAATGTGATTTTACTTCGCAGGTTTTCTTTATATGCACTCTAACCTAAAAAACTAATCTCTAAGCTAAGAAAACACATAAAAAAAACACGGATAAGATCGCAAACAATCCAAAGAATACTACTTATTAACAATGATCGTTTTACTTGATGAATTGACAAGATGAGTTTGGGTTTTCTCTCTGAAATGCATCTTACCTCGAAATCCTTTTTCTACTCAGGTCTGAAGTGAGCAAAGGTTCACGGACGGGCAGCTCTACCATCATGTTGACAGTTGTTGAAGGTAATCCCCCCTCGGTCAGTGTCGTTCAGCCCACCATGAAGGTGAACGCTGGTCAGAAGGTTCAACTAGAAGCCACGTACAGCAGCAGCGTTCAACCAACAGTTGAGTGGATCTGTGCAAAGGAAGATGGTAGGTCTATTTTACTGCAGCGAACTATTTTCGTACTAATCTTCCTAGAGGTCCGGTAATCCAGTAAAACTTAAACTAAACTAACTTTATTTATACTGGATAGCTCTATCAGTTCTAAACTGTTCTTCCTAGAGGTCCAGTAAGGATCATCTCTAATTGATCCAGTGTTACTACAGGAGGAAACCTAAACTAAACTAACTTTATTTATACTGGATAGCTCTATCAGTTCTAATTCTAACTGTTCTTCCAACTAGAATATCGTTATATCGATCTCTCCGACCAAAAACTTATCAGCAGTTCCACCAACCAGTACAGTGCTTCTGGAACATCGTTCACTTCCCGAGTACTCAAAGAAAACGTCCTAATTCCTGGCTCCTCGTACAAATTCACAGTGAATGTGAATGACGGTAGTAAAACTGGAAGCTCGAACATAATAGTTCAAGTGAGAAGCGGTCCAACTTCAGGATCATTCACAGCAGAACCCAGCACAATCGAGGAATTGCAAGAGGTTACTTTAAAAGGTAGACCATTGATTTTCACGAATGTTCAAACGAGATAAACTTTATGCTCTTGTAAAAGAAATGCTTGAATAGGATTGTCGAGTGCAGATATACTTCAGATATATACAATTTTAGAATACTAAGGCTTAACAAAGGTATAAGTATTAATAAAAAACAACTTTATGTTTTTTTAAACAGCGCCAAACCTTTTCTAAGCTATTTCCGGCTGAATGCGTTCTTGCCGTCCGAGAAAATCTCTTGTGTCTAGTGGAGTCAAACTAGAACTAGAATGCGGTAAAACAACTGCCTAAACAGACAAAACACTTTTCGACATTTCGACCTGAGGGCCTGCCGAAGAACACTTCTTCATTTTAGGCAGTTGTTATACCACATTTGATGCTAAGTTGTTTGAAGACGCTGCCACGCTGCTCCTTGGTTATACTAGAACTAGAAGTATAATTCTCACATGTAATAATTTTGCGACCGCCAAAATGAAAGCACTTTCATACGGGTCAAACAAAACGTGCAATCATCACCAAACTGATGTAACATCTAGATCTATTTTATTTCAAACCATAGCTCCACTCTGGGTAGCAGACTCAGACGCGTTGCCATTGTCATACGAATTTGGAGCTCTCGACGCGACCGGCGCGTTTCAGTCCTGGACATCACAAAAGAAAAGCGAATATACCATCCCTTGTCCACCAGGACATGGCGCGAGCAACATCCTTACATTACGTTTAAAGGTTAGTGGGGAATTCTTCCCATTTGCCATATGTTTTGGTAGAAATTTTCTCCAGTCTCTGAATAAAACGATGTGCCTCTTTTCTGAAGCAAACGCCCCCTTCTTTGAGACGTTAAATGTGCCATTCTTCACTTGGATTGCTCTTGTGTTTTTGAAAACTCGATTGAGTTGACTTCAGTCCGACATCTCTCGTTGTGAGAGGCACCCGCCAACCGCCCTTTGCTAAATTACTTCACTCAAAAAATTTGAACAGGTGAAAGATAATTTTGGAGCAATGAAGTTGGTGGATAAGAATATCACAGTGACAAAACCATCAAGCATTGACGAAGGTTTGGTTGATGATATGGTATCAAAGAGCTTGCAGGAGGCGAAAGACTCGGGCGATTATTCCACAGCAGTTCCTAACATGATGAATATATTGAACGTGGTTAAGAATTCAAACAGTTCAGGTATGGTATGGTATGATATGGTATGGTATGGTATGGTATGGTATGGTATGGTATGGTATGGTATGGTATGGTATGGTATGGTATGCTATGGTATGGTATAAAGATATATGGTATTCTTTATGTGGTATAATGGTATGGTATTCTGTATATGGTATATATTAATGGTATGGTATTCTGTACGTTTCTGCCTAATAGTTTAGGTTGCATAGCATGGTCACTATATGGTGTGCGAGGTATGGTGATATGGTGTACCTGGTATGGCATAGTATATGTGGTATGGTTAGGCATGCCGGTATACGGACTTTGTATGTGTTGGAGTTGTGGAATTACGGAATAAGATAGCATATAACCTTGCCTTCATGTGACGTGATAGCAGTGCTGGTGATGTTGATGGTTGATAGTATCGTTGTTGGTTATGATTAGTGACAGAGATGTTGATAACGCAATGACAGAACTCTTTTTTCTTGCATTAATCAGATAACTTGACAGAAAAAGTGATGAATTCTACGGCAGAAACATTGATAAACGCAGTGGATTCTACTGCATTGGACGAAGACAAAGCAAAGCCCATCTTGGAAACTATGTTAGAGTTAGACGTTCAAACCCTTCAGACACCAAAAGAAATCTTGGACAGTTTTGAGAAAGTTGCGGTAGCTCACGATGGAAAGATAGCTGCGGAGAAAATTGACGATAGTCTCAAGTTTCTTGAAGATTTGGCAGGCAGATGTGATCTCAGTGACTCTGATGTTGTTAAGGTAACTGAACTGAACTGAACTTAGCATCAAATGTGGTATAACAACTGCCTAAAATAGACAAAACACTTCTCGACGTTTCGACCTGAGGGCCTTTGTCAGGAGAGTTAGTATGACTAAGGTCGAAACGTCGAGAAGTGTTTTGTCTATTTTAGGCAGTTGTTATACCACATTTGATGCTAAGTTGTTTGAAGACGCTGCCACGCTGCTCCGTGGTTATATTGGAACTGAACTGAACTGAACTGAAAAGAAAATTGACATAATTTTCATTTAAGGATCTGGTCTCGGCGGATGATGAAATTGCCGGCAGTTTAGCGAACGAAGTATCTCTTGGCGATCCTGTGGTCGAGAAATCTTCTACAAGATGTGACATGACCGCACAACACTCGCTCTTGGCGGGTGATATTCCAACCAAGAGTGCGAACGAAAACGCAAAAGTTGATTTCGGTGATGAGGTAACATTTGAATAACCGAACATTCTCATTTGGTTTTGAATTTTTGCTTACGCTTGGCTTAAAAAACAGTCCTGTTCTAAATACTGTTGTTTGCTCTAGATGCGAACGAAATACGGCTTCTGGGAATGCGCTTCTGGGAAATATTGCATGGGCGTGAAACTCACATTTGTAAACTACAAGCAAGACTACTATTCCAAAATATCTTCAACAAAACCTGGTATAGTATCTGCAAAGGTAAGATGATCAAAGTTGGATAAATGACGTGTAATTTCTTTTAAAAAAATTGTCTCTACATTTTAGCGTTTCCTACCATTTGAAATTGCGTTCAATTTGACATTTCTCTGCCAATCATTTTGCAAGCTTTTTGCCTACCCAAAATTTACCTGGTATATCTCAATTGAAAATGATGGCCCATCAGTATTTGACTATTTTACCCGATAATGTTATAGAATTGTAGCACTACATGCAAATTACCATTACTTTAATAAAGCTGTGCAGTAGTTTTTATGGTAATTTACACTTCTCAGAAGAGATTTCACTCGTCAGCTGACGAGGGCTATCAGATACGACGTTACAACAACGTTTTGTTCTTACATATTCAGGTGCTTAATGTCGAGTTACGCAATCCGGAGACTGGGTCGGCGCTGTCTGTTAGCAGCCTCAGTACGCCGATCACGATCAGCTTTGACACAGGTGCACCAAGCGCCGGCAAGACATTCAAGGGTTATTACTACAGCAAATCTCAGGGAAAATGGTCAGATTCTGGACTATCTTCAAACATGGATGGAACAAAGCTCAAAGTGACAAGTAATCATTTGACTTCGTTTGCCCCGGCCGAGGAGGACTTGAGCGCGACCACACCTTCTACTGGAAATACTAGTACAACAAAAGGTATATAACCATCATCCCTTAAAACACCTTCACCCCCGTAAGGAAAACTACACGAGCGATGGCTTGTAGAAAACAACTGTTTTTATTTTGGAAACAGTTTAGCATACAGACAACATGCTCAACAGTTCTATATAAAATTCAAGGATACGCAGAATTCCGTTGCTGTTTATATTCTTCTGTTTGAATTAAGTTAATCATTCAAATTTCCAATATTTTAATTTTGCCTTCTGTTTTTAAACAGCTCCTTCCTCAAACAACGTGTTCAAAGTGTCGTTCGTCCTCCCCAATACGACCTGGAATGATTCATACACTAACATGAGCCATCCAGATTCCAAAGCTCTCAAAGACGCCATCATTGCTGAGGTAATCCAACACATTTTCGCCTTGAATCTGGAAATTGCGATCGTGTGCTTTCCAACTTTCAATTTAAGTCGACCATACGAAATTCAATTTATCCTTCGAGTGACTTTCTGTCAATGCCAATGGCGACTGAACACTTTTCAAAATTTTCCACTAAAAAACGTCAATTTGCTTTTTAAGAATAATCTCACTGTAATTGTATCGTTCATTTCAGCTGAACAAGGTCTACCTCGGTGATGACACACTGAAGAACATCGATCTGGATAAATTTGAATTGAGTGGAGGCAAAGTTAAAGTGCTTTTGAAGATGACATTCGATGATTCGAACACAGATCCTGGAGCCAAGCTGAAAGCGAGTCTTAGCGATGGAAAATTGGGAAATATTGATGTGGATAAAGATAGTCTAAGCTGGACTGAATACCATTGTAAGTAATCGCAGGGGATGCGGCCTTGGGAGAGAGGTTACCTGGCACATAATAGCTCTATCAGTTCTAAACTGTTCTTCCTAGAGGTCCAGTAAGGATCATCTCTTATTGATCCAGTGTTACTACAGGAGGAAACCTAAACTAAACTAACTTTATTTATACAGGATAGCTCGATCAGTTCTAAACTGTTCTTCCTAGAGGTTCAGTAAGGATCGTCTTTTATTGATCCAGTGTTACTACAGGAGGAAACCTAAACTAAACTAACTTTATTTATACAGGATAGCTCGATCAGTTCTATACTGTTCTTCCTAGAGGTCCAGTAAGGATCGTCTTTTATTGATCCAGTGTTACTGCAGGAAGAAACCTAAAGTAAACTAACTTTATTTACCTAACTATAATAGATATCTAAACCGTCCTTCCCGGTCTTTAAGTTCAGTTTTTTATGGAGAAAATACGCTGACAACTCATTTCATTTTATAGCTCAATCAGAATCATCATCGTCTGAAAACACAGAACTGATCGTCGGAACAGTGTTCGGTGTCTTCTTTGGTCTCGCCTTCATCCTCCTGGGAGCTGCGTGGCTAAAGAATCGTCAATCGAGACGAAAGGTTGGTTCCTCAACCCCCTCAGTAAACGATGAGGCCGACCCCCCTCAACCTGACGAACCCGCAGATGTTGAGGAGACTCCAGCGTAAATACGCGCCTGATTTGCGAATTTTGTTGTGATTTATTTATTGGCATGCATGAAATTGTCACTTGAACATCATTTATAGAATCGCGTTTTAGTTTTAGCTTCAAGACAAGGTTCAATTCATTTCAGAAAAGAAAACTTCTTATTAATGTAGTAATCCGATTTTCATCCAAAGCAAATTCAATTTTAATTGTACAAAGTTGATAAAAAGTTTAATCAGGGATAAATTCAGGAACTATAGTTGTACAAAATCTGAATTCATCAGCGTTACCCATGAATAGTGCTTTTTAAATCGCCAAATTGGGATACTGGGAGAGCCCCAGGAAACTCTTCTCTGATTATAAGAACAAATATTCACAACAAAATTCGTAAATGCGTTTTTAAAACGCATTTTCAACGAAATTAATCATGGATAAATCACAGACACAGATATAATATAAAATGGCCGTGCAATTTTTCTTGCAATAGCAATGTTATATAATTCAACTTTTGAGATATGTGAAAATATGGCAACTACGAAACGTTTGTGCGTTACTCCACCAATGTTTACTCTTTCAAACATTTCGAAAACTCTTCTGTCTTTTCAAAAATTTGAATCGATATCGGTCAAAACGTAGAACTGTGACACAAGTTGCAAAAAGAATTGGATGGCATAACACAGCCTTTGTCTTTGACTTGGCTTTGTAATGCAGTTCGTAGAAAAGTTCGAGAGAGCAAAACAAAACAGCTCCATAAATAAATATATAGAGTAATAATTTAGACCTTTCTTCTTAAACGACTAAAGCCGAGATTAAGATAATATATCGTAAAAATTATAAACTGTAAAATATAGCTTAACTTAGTTATATATTATTAACTATTATATATATATGATAATAATTTGATAATATAATTAATATATAAGACGTTAAATCACGTTAAAAACTAACCTGATAGTATTAAATTTTGCATGGGTTGCACATTATTTAAACAATTTCTAAAATAAAATTGTATATATGCATTAAAATATCATTTTATCAACTTCATTGTATATATATTATATACCGTATATATATATGCACTTATTACATGTTTATAAATGAACGAAGAGCACAATTATTCATGTTCTTCAAACCAGAATTGATATTACGCAAATGTATATTATAAATATAAGTTACAAAGTATAATAAATATTATATGAAATGCTATAAATTAGAAAAACGGTTGTTTCATTGGCTAAAGCATATATCGAGGCACGAGAAATGGTTTTATAAAAAGATAAGCAAGGTCTATCTCTGCCAGGGAGCAACGTTGATGAAGATCAAATCCAATTTTGAAAGTCGCGAATATTTTAATTTTCGGTGCAACCTAACGGTTACCTAAGCCAAAACACAGCTGTTTCAATTGTTATGTAATACATGCATGGCGATCGGTATCTCTGCATGCATGCCTGTTGTGGTCTATTTGATGCGGGTTTCGCCAACATGTGAAATTGTTGTGTGCCGTAGCCGGTTACCAAAAATTTCATTGCAAATAGAACTCACATGCATGCAGCCACCGAGTTTGAAGTGAAGCACAATCGCGTCTATTGCGCTGGAAAACCCCCAGTTTAGAAATCATCAACCAAAATGAAAGAAACGCGAAAAAACGATGTTTTTTCAAGCATTCTGACATGTTTAATGTGCAGAACTAGAAGTGCCCAATCACGAAAATCTGAAAAATGGAAATAAGTTCCAATATAACCAGAGAGCAGCGTGACAGCGTCTTCAAACAACTTAACATCAAATGTGGTATAACAACTGCCTATAAAATGAAGAAATGTTTTGTCTATTTTAAACAGTTGTTATACTACATTTGATGCTAAGTTGAAAAATGAAAATGTTAATTATTTTTTTATCTTTTCCACTGCCTAGTATAAACATCTATAGTCAATCCGGTGGCAGCTCGTGAAACAAATATAATTCCACCATTAATGCATTAGGAGATATATAATTATTGGGTAAAGGAACCACGTATGCATGGTTCTCGCTATAAATATAGCGAACATATCCAAACAGCTGCTATATATATCACCTTTTTGTGCCGAATATTTGTCGAAGAAAACTGCAATTGGTTGCCGGGTTTTTCGTAACGACAACACATCGCCATAGTGATAACCACACGAAATTACATTTGTTTTATAGAGCTTGCATGGTAATGATGGTATATTAACTTTTAATTTTCAGGACGGCCGGTGGTAGTGCTCTATATTTCACAGCAAAGTGCTATAAATATTTCAAGTCTAAACAGGGACCAAGGTGTATAAAGTGATATTTTTTGGCAACACAGTACTAGACTCCTAGCGATAAACAATATAATATAGTCATGCAATATCTGTAAAAGGCAATGAAATGCTTGGAGTAAAACATCTCGAGTTGCATAATATCTTTCTATAAGCTGCTTAAAAGGTTATTGTCCGGCAGTGTAACTCCTTGTAATCCCAATTTCTTTCTAAATGATCTATTTCTCCCACAGCGTTTGTTATTCACATGTAAATGCGTCACAGTATAGGTGATAATTTCCCTTCTGCCATTGGTCGAGAGTTTTTAGTTGTGGAAACTACCCCACATCAGCAACCTTATGGTTTTAAACAATAATGCATATTTTGATTACGCGTTGCAGGTCGAACGCAGCTGTGTGAACCACGGGATGTAGAATCAATCGTTGCATTTTCCCAAAGCAATCACTTCGGCTACATCCGTTGTCAAGATGAAGGTCGCTATTATCGCGCTCTTCGCTGTACTATGCGGTAAGCATTATTATTTATCTTTAAAAAACAAGTACTTGTACATTCTTAATAACTTTGTTAAGTTGTTGCTTTGCATTATACCATTGTCTAACAATTTCATATAACTGGTATACATATATATAGGCTAGCTGTCAAGCTAACTATATAATGGATATGTAAGGCACAGTCACTAACGGCGGAACTGAAAAACTTCTAAGACTAAGGGCTCAGCATTCCATCGTCGCTTGAAATCAAAGTACTTCTAATCACATGCATTAATCTTCAGAATGTCAGAATTTCAAAGACTTGTTTTTCCGAATTAATATTTGAGATATTGATACCGCTAATTTAACGAGGTGTAAATTTGAAAAGGGCTCGCTTGCCATTTGCCCCATGATTGAAGCAGTCGATCAGCCCTTGAAAACAAACTAGAGCTTTTAAACTATGTGCACACGGTAACGTTTTCGAGCGTTTTCATATTCGTTTCATGCCAAAACGGTTTCAAACACCGTCAATTTACAATAGAAGTTGAAGCTAATTTAACATAATACTGCATATATATTTTTCCTTGGATTGTGTGGACGCTTGAAAACGGCGCTTGTGTGAGATCTCTCATCCCCAGGCAGTCTCAAACAGCTCTTCACTCAATCATAAATGCAATCATGGAACATGAGCGTTGATATGAAAGAGCTTCAAAGCTATCGACAAAAATTCTTTTGAAACTTAAATAACGATCTTTTCGCTTATACAGGAAACCTTGTACAAACAGAAGCAAGCGAGAAGAAAGGTATTATATATAGAAACAGTCTGTAAAATATGTTTTCAAATAACATGACATTATCACATGCACGCCGTAGACTCTGATGGGGCAGGAGGTATCCTGGAGCGATCCCCTTGGCAACTGAAGAGTTTCAAAATTTAAACGCCTAATTTAGTTGGAAATGTTATAGCGATCCAAGGTTTCTGCTTTTCGGATTAGGGTTGATAAAACGCTTGTCCGTGGACAAAATAAGGCATCAGATTAATTCAGATACTAGTGGAGACTACTGCCTTATATTAATTGACTTTGGGATAGATTCACGACTGATAATTTTTTCAGTGATACGTTTTTCCCTAATCTCGTGTGCATTCATATATATCGCTAAACGAAGTCGTTAATACAGTTTATATTCGAGAAAAACTGGAAACTATGCTAGCCCTAACACTAACAGACAAATAGAGACTGTCGTGAACCGCGAAATATTATCCAAATCGTCTTGCTTGTGGTAACGAAGTGCGTTTCCTGTTGCTAAGCTCTTCTTTTACGCCAACACATGTCATGCGGCGATGTATTTTAAGATATCAATAAAATTATATACGAAGCAATGCATTTTAAGTTTCAAGAAAACAATTTCCGAATTCAGATGTTTAAAAGTGATGTGGCATAATGTAATCTTCGTTGCAGTTTAAATTTCTCGTTTTTAAAATACATTTACCGAGCCGCGAGGAACCGCAAGAGTAGGCGACAGTGTTAGATAGTTATCACTTTCAACATAATTTCCATGTACATAATTCCCCTGTTTTTTTTATCGCCCGCTCAGAAAGAATTCATCCACATCAAGAATGCAATTAAACCGCCGAAATTGCTACGTTTAATTAACGTTTTTTCGTATGTTGAAATGGATTGTTGCTATTAAGCGTTTTTGCAAACAATTCGATTGTTTTGTTTAAGGGTTTAATCACGACGTGCACTATTTTAATTATGTACATGTTGTTGCGAAGACAAGCGGGTTGATTTTTATTCAAACACCATGCAATATTTGTAATAACGTTATTCAGGTTTCCTCCTGTAGTAACACTGGGTCAATAAGAGATGATCCTTACTGGACCTCTAGGAGGAATAGTTTATAACTGATAGAGCTATAAAGTTAGTTTAGTTTAGGTTTCCTCTTGTAGTAACACTGGCCGATCAATAAGAGATGATCCTTACTGGACCTCTAGGAGGAATAGTTTATAACTGATAGAGCTACTGTAGTAACACTGGCCGATCAATAAGAGATGATCCTTACTGGACCTCTAGGAAAAAACAGTTTAGAACTGACAGAGCTATCCAGTATAAATCAAGTTAGTTTAGTTTAGGTTTTCTCCTGTAGTAACACTGGCCGATCAATAAGAGATGATCCTTACTGGACCTCTAGGAGGAATATTTTATAACTGATAGAGCTATCCAGTATAAATAAAGTTAGTTTAGTTTAGGTTTCCTCCTGTAGTAACACTGGATCAATAAGAGATAATCCTTACTGGACCTCTAGGAAAGAACAGTTTAGAACTGACAGAGCTATCCAGTATAAATCAAGTTAGTTTAGTTTAGGTTTCCTCCTGTAGTAACACTGGATGAATAAAAGATAATCTTAATGGACTTCTAGAAAGAACAGTTTAGAACTGATAGAGCTTTCCATACTAAGTTTGACTATAAGCATTTTCCAATAACAATAAATCGATAGTTTCTGTTAAAAATAGTTCATCAAACTTTCTCCCAGAATCATGCTGAGTTTTGCAAACATATCATTGTGGGCGTTTGTGATATTTCACCAGTGTGTTCGAACCTGTTATATGCCTGGGATATTCCTTTGTAAACGCATAGCTAAACAACTCGTATATTTTAGAACAGGTTATATATTTATTATATGACGAAAATTGCCGCGCATATGGACATCATATTCAAAAATACAACTGAGCCGATTTCTTTAGCGTTCATAGGCCATTGTGTAGAGAATTATAATAGCTCAAGCCCCTGTTTGCACAAAATGGTTTAAAACTGATAGAGCTATCCAGCATAAATAAAGTTATTTTAGTTTAGACCCTCTAGAATTTACCTGCATCGAGTGAAGTGCCAAAAATCATAATAGAACAAAGTTAGCCTGATTCTTAATCAAGTTGACTACTGCGTGCAATCCCAGTGTCAGTTGAAGAAAACTTTGAGGATATTCCCCATATTTTTACGATTCAAAATTTGTCGTTTACGTGAGCAGTTCTCCATAAAAGTCACGTTAAGTGTCCTCTGTGTGTGTGTGTCCTCTTACTAAAAGAACAAAGTTTGCGGACATATCCTGCAGCAAAACTGATCTATTGATTTTTATGAATTGTAGCTTCTCTTGGGCTTCTAAAAATTTTCAACCATTTTCTAACGGTATCGAAATTGGTGGACAACATGCCAGTTGTTTTACAAACCATCGCTAACGACATTGTCGATGATATTCGACGTCTCATACCAGAAGTTGAAAAAATCTCGGACAAGTACAATGTCACTGAGCCTATTCTTAAAGAGATTGGGAACGCCCTGAATATGAGTCGAGTCACCAACGAACTTTTGCCTGAACTCGAGACAATTCTTCATGATAACAACATTACTGAACTCATCGACGAAATTGTTGGGTATTTGGATTTTGACCGGTTGGAAGACGAGTTGTTGCCAGAATTAGATAAAATTATGGATGAAAACAATGTTTCCAAGATTCTGGACGAAATCGAAGAACTGCTTAATGTTACTGTAATAACTGATATGTTATTACCTGAGATTGAAAGGTCGGTTACCTCATTATCATTATTATAATTATTATAATAATCATCATCATCACATCATCATCATCATCATCATCATCATCATCATGATCATCATGATCATCATTATCATCATTATCATCATCATCATCATCATCATCATCATCATCATCATCATCATCATCATCATCATCATCGTCCATCATCATCATCATCATCATCATCATCATCATCATCATCATCATCATCATCATCATCATCATCATCATCATCATCATCATCATCATCATCATCATCATCATCATCATCATCATCATCATCATCATCATCATCATCATCATCATCAGTTAGTTGATATCATGTCACTTATTAGTGTCCTAGAAGGTGAGAACGTCACGGAAATCGCAGAAGAAGTGAGAGAGATTTTGGATATGGCTGATGTCAGCGGAAAATTGATCCCTAATCTGGAAAAGATATTTGAAAGTCATAACGTCTCCCAAATTGTCCATGCATTGGATGACCTTCTCAATCTGACCAAACTTGCTGAGCAAATTCTACCGGAGTTAAGCGATCTTTTTAAAGAAATAAAGAACGAGACAATTCCTGAAATCCGAAAATTTCTAGATATGGCCCACCTCCATAGTTTGTTGGACGAATTGGACGAGATGCTTTATGAATCTAATATCACACATGAAGTACCTGACCTTGAGCCGTTTCTCAACATCAGTATAGCTCGATCAAAGTTGACGGAGATTGAGAAAATCTTGGATCATTTTGATGTTCACGGAATCATAGACGAAATAGAGAAACTCTTGGATGTTGATCATTTGATATCGAAGGTGCCAGAATTTGATGAATTTCTGGAGGATTTGGGTCTCTCGAAGTTATTACAAGATTTCAATGAACTTATTGAAATGAGTTTCCTAAGCGGAACAGTGACTGATATTAAGGTGGGTACAAATTGTCAGGCCGAAATTGACGGGGGCGAGGCTAGACCGAAAAAATTATCGATGCGTATATGTTTCGCTGAAATAAGGAATGGATCGATCCGAAAGTAATTTCTTTTTTTTTAGGATTTCCTATTGAGTGCAAATTTAACGAACAAAATCGACGATCTGGAGAAGATTTTGAACGTGAGTTATCTTCGAGAAGTCATCGTTCCTGAAATTGAAAGAATGGTTGAAGAAAGCAACGTGGACAGCATCTACGATGAAGCGAGACAGTTTCTAAACACGACTTTCTTAATTGAAACTGTTATTCCTGAAATTGAAAAGATCTGGGACGATTTAGGCGTCGACGAGCAACTAGAGCTGTTAATAAACCTCACAAATATGACTTTCTTGCGTGAATTTATCGAGGAGTTTGATAAAGAATGGAGCATTTCTTTGAAGGGCAAACAGGTTTCCGATGGCGATTTAGCTGGTGTTGTGAACGGAGTGCTGGATGAACTATTTGCAACCGATGAACCGATTGGTAAGTTACACCGTTTTCTTCTTTTTTTGGCAGGTTATTTGATTGTTTTGTTCATTGTTTTGCGTTCTTTTAGTCGTGGAATCGACCGAAGCACCATCAAATCTTCCCACGAAACCAACAGAGGAGCCGACCTTGCCACCTGTGTGTGATGAGGATTGTGCTGGTAAGTTTGTTGTCAGCGGGGTTAGAAACGGGATGGGGGGGATTAAAGGGTGAGGGTGCGGGCAGGGGGGATGTTGGGTGGATTGGAGATTGGAAGTGGAGGGTATCTGGGGGCATACCCCATAAAGAAAATTGTAATCAGAAATATTGCTGAAATAATCGCAATATTGTTCTGCTGTTACCGAAGAGCTTCACTCTCCAAATTTGATAAATTCTCTTGACCACAACTTAACGTGGGTCAGCCTCCAACCCACCCAACAAAGCGAAACTACCTACGCCCCAGTTGTCGTTGGTTTTCCTCCATATTTACTTCTTCTCCAACCAGATGTACCATGCGGTACTGCAATCATGAACAACTGTGATGAATGTGTATTGGTAAGTCTTTCTAAAGTTATGCCATAGTTATGCTATGCGAATACTTCAACATTTCACGTGTAAACTTTGTACTTTCGCTAATTCTAGTATGTTCAATCCAGCTGTGGTTATTTATTGCATTTTCACGTATAGATTAAAAAGTAATCGTAATTCAAAATCAACAATTGTACCGCAGTATGAGCTGAAAACCGCTAATGGCCGGAATAAATGAGCAATCAAGCCTTGACCTAAGTTTGACCGACACTAGATTTAGAAAGAATATCGTTCATTAGCGAAGTATATTTTGTGTAAATTTTTGTGGCAAATGTTGCAATAAAGTGAAAGGCTGAGGAAAAAGAGTATAATCAATCTATTTGACATCATCGATAATAAGATGATCCAGTAATAGTGGTCTAGTCCATAATTATCTGCTGTTGTATCTATTTCAAGGGAACTACAGGGAAAGATATAAATTATGGTACGGATTGTAACAATGTTTGTGGAGGCAAGGCTCGTAACGACAGCTGTGGATACTGCAGTAAACCAACTAGAGATGGCTCTTCAGCGTTTGCTGACTGTAACGGCGATTGCTCTGGATCGGCAGTCCTTGATTCGTGTGGAAACTGCACTGGTGGAAATACTGGGAAGAAGGTGGACTTTTTCATGGACGTTTGTGGTAAACATCTTATTTGTTTCCTGTTGTTTGAAGTTGTTTGTTTACTTGCCTCTTATAGTTTGTCCTTCCTTCTTTCGGGAGGATTCCTTCTTCCTGGAGGATTCCTTTCTCCGGGAGCATTCCCTCGGCTATGATCTGGTAGTAGATAGGATTTACGTTTGCCGCTATCAAATTTCAAATATTCAACGTGGTCCTCCATATCACACTAAACCTACCTCTCCTCACGCTAAACCCACACTTTTTATTTCTAATTACTCTGGTCACCGTTTTTTTCGATCTTACTCTTGATACAGGTATCTGTGGAGGTGATGGTAAGTCATGCTTGGGATGTGACGGCATTGCCAACAGTGGCAAGGTCAATGATTCGTGCAACGTCTGTGGAGGTGATGGCTCCACGTGTACTACCATATCTGCCGTCGAACCTTCGCTGTTACCGACTTCCTCATCCTCTGGTCGTGTGGTCACGATTCTTGGAGCTAGTCTTGATGGAGACTCTATAAAGTGTGTCTTTGATGGGAAAGAAAGCACAGGTTGGTAGCTTGACTATGAGTATATATCAGACTATGATCCCAACCCTTCTCTATACCTGTGATCCAGTAAAGATTAGAAGTGCACAACCTGTATTTACACTGGCTTTACTCGTTCTCAAGAAATCGAACTGTTGCACCTTGTCCAGTCTTAGGGACTGTTCGTATGAGTCCGGTTTCCCGAGATTTAACAAAGCATTTTTTTTTTTATTTTATTTTTTTTTTTTTTAAAAACCTTTATTTTGATAGGGTAGTCTCATCAGACCACAACTGGTCTGTTATCAACGAGAGCCCTATATAAACTACAATACTTTCTCTAATGTTAAAAACTACGCTACATGCAACTATTAACTATGATATAATGGACTTTGAAGTATTGAAATGAGTAAACAACATGATTGTGGTAGTCGTGTTATCATCCTAGCAATAGTATGTGATTGTTTTGTTTCAAAAAGACGTTTTTCAATACCTTAAAGTACATTTTACACTTCGTTTGATCTCAGACATCTGGGCTCATGTGAACAGCTCATGTGATTGCCGACAGTAAAATAAATATCTCTAATATATTGCCGGAACGCGTTTGAAGGTTTTAAACCTGATTCTCACTTGTTCTAGAAGTCGGTGATTCATTCATATTGTTAAGAAAACACATTGTCTGTGGAATCAAAACACATTGGTTCCCCGGTCGATTCTTTAAGCTCATCAATTGTGATACGATACAAAGATGGCTATTTTATCATTGTTTTTAAAATCCTGTTGTATATTTCGTTTTATGCCCTTCTCGTTCATAAGCAAATGATTCAGTTTTGGTTAGAATCTTCTTTTCTTTTGTAGGAACAAAAGTAGACAAAACTCACTGTAAATGTACCATTCCGGAAGTAGATGGCGCCGGGGAGAAAGTACTCACAGTTAAAGTAGTCAAAGGCGCCCAGGATATTCCCACCAAGGACTTAAAGATTCAATTTTACGATGCAACAGCCACGAAAATCTCCACAGTTTCGCCATCGGAACTGTTCGTAGAAGAAGAAGCTATTCTTACGTTCGCTGGAAATAATCTGGTGCAGAGCAGCAGTGCCGTATGTTTCATTAAAGCTAATGGAAAGGAAGTGAAGATAAAAGCCGGATTTAAAGGAAATGCTTATAGCTGTAAGCTGCCCGTTACTAAAAAGTCCTTCAGTATTACAGCAGCGTTATCTTTAAACGGAGTTCACAAGGTTAGTGAAATTGAAATAAACTGAGCTATTCATAGGAGAGGATGATAATAATATTAGGGGCGTCATGCTTCGTTTTATTTCGGGTAACCGGGGTTCCTTAACGAAAGAAAAACAGAAGTCTTTAGACCTTGTGGTATTTAAGAGCATTTTTCAGGACAAGTCAATTCAATGAAGTAAACAATACAGTGTTGAACTTTTGTCAATTCTGCATGATCAGGGCCCTATCGTGAATGATGCAAAGGTTAATAGGGTGTAAAATTTTCGTGAATGGGCCCTTGTCCACCATGTTGTTTTGACCCATACTAGAGAGGGTTCCCAAAATCTATCCTTGAAACGTATTAACTGCATTTTCACTGAGCAATTATCTAAACCAGATTTATTATCAAATTGCAATGCAACCATTAAATTAAAAGGCTATCATTTGTCCTCCATTCCCCTGCTGATAGTAAAAGCGAGAAATATCCTTGATTCTACATGAAAATATGGGAAATATTTTATTTTGATTACAGCTACAATCAGACGCGAATTTGACCCTGATTGTTTACGCGCCGGCACCAGTTGTGGTGAAATCAACTTTCACGGCCACAGGAGCCCTGTTTGGCATCGCCTTCAACAAACCAATAAACACCCAGCCTCTCCAAGCATGCGCAGATATATTTTCCACTGGTCTGAGGTCACTAGGCACCCGACCAAAATGTAAATGGGCGGACTCTCGTCTCCTGGTTATTTCTCCTGGTGTTGATGCTACAATCGTACCAACGGATTCACTGACCTTCAAAACTGGTTCTGTAAAGCGTATTGGAATGTACGCTAAAGCGATCACTGGTTCTGTCGTGATTTCAGCGCCTTCGAATCCTGTTAGACCTTTGCCAATAATCTTGGGTTAGTAATTAGTCAATTAGCCACTTCATTCAGCAGATAGTCAATTAATGAATGACTTAATTAGCTAGTAATCAGATAATTTAGTTAGCTTATAATTTGTTAGTCCATGGGTTAGTAAGCTGCCCATTAAGTTGTCGCACGATTCTCGATTTTTAAAAATCTGTCGCACGATTCTCTAAGAAATAATTATTTGTAGTCATTGAAAAGAGGATTTTTTTCGAATGATGGATTATTTTAAACGCCACTAACTATGGAGTAGACAACATGCGATGAGTTACTATATTCATTCATTTTCTTTGTATCATTTGAAATACATCTTAAAACATTTCACTTAGGTCCTGAGCAGATCTCGTCCTGTGGTCATCTGAAACTAAGTGGCAAACAATCTTCTGGTGGAGGTGGAAGGGATCTTCGCTATCAATGGAGTCTGGTCAGTCCGAGTGATGCTGGAATTACAACTGTACTTAACAATGCTGTGAACAAATCGAGTGTGCTCCTGAATGGAACTCTGATGACATCTGGCACAACATATAAATTCAAACTAAGTGAGTTTCGACTTAATTCGTTGTTGATATTTAAAAGGAAGGTCCATTGTGGGTGGTATTTTGCAATACTCCAACACAATTTTTTCACCAAACGGTGACCATATTTTATAGCACTCTAAAATAGATCAAGGGGCTATTTACATATGGTCCTGCTCAGCTGAGATAACTTTGAGGTATTGAAATATACCATGAGCATGGAGGTCGTTTGGTTTCCTAAAGACTTATTTTAATGCATCAAAATCATCCCACACTTCGTTGAATCTCGGGTAACAGGACTCATGCAGTAAACAGCCTGTAATGTCAATTATATCTTAGACGTGGCTCCGGTCAGTTGGTTGAATGTATATAATAATTACACCAACCTTCAGTTACTGTGGTTTGCGCATTATCGTATCAACCATTACCTTTCTTTTCAGCGGTTACCAACTTTTTGAATTCAACTGGCGTGAGCACTACGATAGAAGTCACAAAAGCCCGTGACCCACTCCCAGAGGTTACTGTCCATAGGCCCCAAGGAAAGATTTTCGGAATGAATTTATTTTACATCGCTGCAAAGGCGAAGGTATGTTAGAGAGTTTGGTGTTATTGCATAATCTGGTGGTCCAGTGTAGGTAGTGTTCTACAATAATCTATCGTAGTTTGTGTCTGAACTACCTGAGAAAGATATCTTAAACGTGGTGGTCTAGTGTAGGTAGTATTCTACAATAATCTGTCGTGGTTTGTGTCTGAACTACCTGAGAAAGATATCTTAAACGTGGTGGTCCAGTGTAGGTAGTATTCTACAATAATCTGTCGTGGTTTGTGTCTGAACTACCTGAGAAAGATATCTCAAACGTGTTGGTCCAGTGTAGGTAGTATTCTACAATACGATCTCGTAATTTGTGTCTGAACTACCTGGATCTACACTCATGCCATGTACTTCAATCCTAGGCCGCCTCTTGCTCGTCTAGCACAGCTCTGACCTTCTCTTGGACGGTAAAATGTACCGAAGGCGACAGTCGTGATGCGGCAAAAGTCCGAGCGGAAGCAAGTGACGGGTATAAGAAAACCTCGAGAAAGTTCGCGTTGAAAATAACTCCAGGGACGTTGCTTGCAGGAAGAACGTATGAATTCACTGTTGTCGTGGCGCTAAAAGAGAGTCCCTCGATCAAGACGACTGTCAAGACTTCAATCAAGGTCGAATGGAGTGCATTACAGCCAGCTATTGTTGGAGGTAAGGTGTAGGAACCTAGGGAATAATGCCGAAACACGGGGGACACCGACCCCTCGCAGCGTCAGAAGGGTTGAGAATAATAGTTCTCGGTGAAAGGAAATTTTCCACCAATTGAAGATATGCAGAACCACTTTTCTATGCCCTGGGAAGCCTAAAACAAACTTTAACCTGTGTTTTCTTTCAAATTCAGGTGACAGGACGGTCGGTCGTGGCAGCGGTAAACTTCTTTTAGATGCGAAATCTTCGACACAAGATCCTGACAATGCCGATGGCAATCTTTTCTGCTCCTGGACATGCTTCGATAAATCTATCGATCAGCCATGTTATTCTGCCGTGAAAAGACAACAAAAGATTGACTTTCCTAACGATTGCATCATTGAAATCGACAGTGAACACTTTCAGGCAGACAAGAAATACAAAATCACGTAAGCGCTGCTTCTTTCAAGGATGAAGATTTGGTTTTTTCCTGTAGTAGCACTGGATCAATAAGAGATGAGCCTTACTGGAACTCTAGGAAGAATAGTTTAGAATTGATAGAGCTATCCAGTATAAACATATTTAGTTTAGTTTAGGTTTCCTCCTGTAGTAACACTGGATAAATAAGAGATGATCCTTACTGGACCTCTAGGAAGTACAGTTTAGAATTGATAGAGCTATCCAGTATAAATAAAGTTAGTTTAGTTTAGGTTTCCTCCTGTAGTAACACTGGGTCAATAAGAGATGATCCTTACTGGACCTCTAGGAAGTACAGTTTAGAACTGGTAGAGCTAAAGTTAGCTGAGTTGTTCAACGTTGTTCACTGAACTTCAGGTCCCAAGTCAGCAAAGGATCCCGATCGGCCAAATCAAGCATTGTGTTGTCTGTCGTCGCTGGAAAACCGCCGGCGGTAAAGATTCTCGCATCCAAACTTCGTGTCGTGGCAAGTGCTCGGGTCAAGCTGCGAGCGACTTACAAGACCTCTACGAAACCTGTTAAAGTGGAGTGGTTCTGTGAAGAAGATGACGGTGAGTGAATTTGAGAGTTAAATTTACATTTCAAAGAGTATCTTACCACGAGTAAAACTGCCAAGTGTCGATTCAAGATGTCGTAAAATGTAGAAATATCTTCCTTGAATGTACATGAATTTTGTATATATTTGTATCACGCTCAGAAAAAGTAATTGATTTTGACCTAAACATACTTTAATAACACAAATATTTGGATGATTTTTCGACTTTGCATTGGCTATTTTTTTCAAATTCTACATGATCTGTGAAGAGCTGCAATCGCGTTTATTAACCATGGTGACATTTCTTCTGAGGTGTTTGTAGAAAAGCTTTTTGATTAGTTTGACTTCCCCGACCGTTGGAAGGCACGTCTCTGGCGCAAAAATGCTTCAACAACTAAACAATCCTAACTCTATCGTTTGCAGAATATCGCTATATCGACCTTTCCGACTCATCACTATTCGTGGGCTCGTTCGAAGAATACAAAGCCGGTGGCAAATCAGTCTCCACGAAAGTTTTGAAAGCGAACGTTTTATCTCCGGGCGGTTCGTATAAGTTCACGCTGAGAGTGAACGACGGTAGTAATAATGGCAGTTCTTCAATGATTGTCACTGTTCGAAATGGCCCAACTTCCGGGAGCTTTGAAGTCAGCTCAACAACTTTGACGCAACTTGGAGAGGTCACATTGAAAGGTATGTGGGAGTCTAATATCTTTTATGCATGGAAGGTCCTCTTTGAGAAAAGCTCAGAACTGCTAAATGGAGTTTAACTAGTTTCCTTCTTGATAAGAGGTGATCATTGATTGGACACTGAACCTCTTGAAAGAACTAGTTCTAGTAAAGTTAGTTTATTTCTCGGCTTCACCTCATGAAATATCGAGAAATAGTGAGTTTAGTTTTTTTCTCGAGTCATACCTCGGGAAATAGTGAGTTTTGTTTTTCCTCGAGTCTCAATGTTTCCCTCGACTTCGTCTCGAAAACATTCACACTCTTGGGAAAACAAAACTCACTATTTCCCTCGGAAGCATACATTAAGTGTATATTGTATCTCTAGGAATAAATGTTCAGAACACTAGTACTGAGATACAAGCTAAATTAGTTGACCACTGTAGTGAAAGTTAGACTATGACTACAAGTGAGTTCTTCTAGTTGACCACCGAAAATACGTTTGCAATAAAGGTCACAGACAACATAGCATTTTATTAACCTGTATTTATACGTATTCATTCAATATTTATTCCAGCAAACCGTTGGGTAACAGATGACGATGCTTACCCATTAAAATACGAGTTTGGCGTCGTTACCAAAACCGGCGAGTTGAAACCCTGGAAGACACAGACTGAAAGCGAATGTAAAGTCTTAGTACCTCCGGCAAGCGAACAAAACCTGAACATTACGCTTTATTTGAGGGTCATAGATGCCTTTGGGTCGATGCAAATGATGGAGCAACCCGTTAGGGTGATCGAACCACCGACTTTGGATGAAAGTAAGATAGAAAATTTGATGGAGAATGGCTTGAAGGAAGCTAAGGACAGTGGAGACTTTTCCTCTGTTGTGCCAAACATGAAAAGCATCCTAAAAGCAATGAAAAAGAACACTAAAGTGTCAGGTAAAGCGACAGATCTGTTTTGTGCCGTAACCTAAAATTAGTTTAGTTTAGGTTTCCTCTTGTAGTAACACTGGATCAATAAGAGATGATCCTTACTGGATCTCTAGGAAGAACAGTTTAGAACTGATAGAGCTATCCAGTATAAATAAAGTTAGTTTAGTTTAGGTTTCCTCCTGTAGTAACACTGGATCAATAAGAGATGATCCTTACTGGACCTCTAGGAAGAACAGTTTAGAACTGATAGAGCTATCCAGTGTAAATAAAGTTAGTTTAGTTTAGGTTTCCTCCTGTAGTAACACTGGATCAATAAGAGATGATCCTTACTGGATCTCTAGGAAGAACAGTTTAGAACTGATATAGTTATCCAGTATAAATAAAGTTAGTTTAGTTTAGGTTTTCTTCTGTAGTAACACTGGATCAATAAGAGATGATCCTTACTGGACGTCTAGGAAGAACAGTTTAGAACTGATAGAGCTATCCAGTATAAATAAAGTTAGTTTCGTTTAGGTTTCCTCCTGTAGTAACACTGGATCAATAAGAGATGATCCTTACTGGAGCTCTAGGAAGAACAGTTTAGAACTGATAGAGCTATCCAGTATAAATAAAGTTAGTTTCGTTTAGGTTTCCTCCTGTAGTAACACTGGATCAATAAGAGATTACCTTACCGGACCTTTAGGAAGAACAGTTTAGTTGATAGTTCAGGTCTCCTCCTGTAGTCAAGTATCATAAGATACGATCCCTACTGCATGGGTCACCACACTGAAGCTTCCTGTTTTACATTCACAGCATTATTGAAAAAGAATGTAGTGAACAGTACAGTCACCTCGCTATTACTCGCAGTAAAATCGACGTCCCTCGATCAAGAAAAAGCAAAGCCGATATTCGATACGTTCTTAGAACTTGAGCCTACGCTCGTTGACACACCGGACAGTGTTTTGGACCAATTCGATGAAGTTGTTGAGGCCTCAAAAGATGGTTTAGATAAAAAAACTATAAAGGATACCTTGGTATGGCTTGGTGGCATCGCAGCAAAAGCTAATAAAAAAGACCCAACTTTGTCGAAGGTAAAATAGCATTTTATTTCTAATATATTATATTTTCTTTTCACCATTATCTCCACCTGTGTTTCCATATCATCTCAGATTTCCAGCCATCATGCCTTTTTCTCATAATGTTCCCTTCATCCCATAATGTTTATCGCCTGTATTCTAAAAGCTCATTTACGCTCAGTCTTATTGAGTGTGAAAATTGGATAGAAGTTTTATTATTACTGATCAGCGAGAACCTCCTTTCTTGAAAAATGGAGAGATTTAAGGTAAAACACGGGAAATCAAGCTCATATTCGAGTAGGAATAACGTCATGGAAACGTCACGACGTGAGTTTCATCCCCCAATCAATGAGTTTGAGCGTTAGTGGTCTTTTAGAACACAGGCGTATGAAATGCTCTTCCAACTGTTTGTTCATATCATCTCAACTCTTCCAATTTCATCTTTCATCTTTGCCGTGTCTACCATAGCACATGTATTTTCATCAGATCTCTTCATTCAATGATATCTTCCACAAGCACTCCTACCCAGTTCACTGCTCCTCCCTTCTCCGCGCATGTCTAAGCCATTTTAAGCCCACCACTTCCACTGTCATCATCAATGCAAAAGATACACCCTCATAACGTCTTTCCCTTTGACATTTCACTTCCGTATAATGCAGCGGCGAACTTTGAAATTTGTCCTTATTTTGCAATTACAGAATATTGTTAACAGTTATGAATCTTTGGCTGACGGCCTGCTGAATGACGTGGAATTAGGTCAGACGGAGGTGGTCACTTCAGAAGCCAATCCTAACGTAGAGATTAAAGTGTCCAACTCCCTTCTGAACGACGTAATGGTGGCTGACGACAGCAGTGATGCCACGAAGTTGGACTTTGGCTCTGAGATGGCGGAAAAGTGCCAAGAACGAGAATGCTCCCCGGGGAAAATATGCATAGGGTGCCCAATGAAAATTATCACATACAAGGAGGATTACTTCGATGATCAGTCCGCCGATAAACCTGATATTGTTCCCGAAAAGGTAAAAAGATTGTAAGCTAGTGTATTCAAGTTAGGAACATCTCTCATTGACGCAGTCGAGAAAACTACACTAAACGAACCCTATTTTATACTGAACAGTCTATCACGAGTTCTAAACTGTTCTTCCTAGAGGTCCAGTAAGGATCATCTCTTATTGATCCAGTGTTACTACAGGAGGAAACCTAAACTAACTTTATTTATACTGGATAGCTCTATCAGTTCTAAACTGTTCTTCCTAGAGGTCCAATAAGGATCTTCTCTTATTGATCCAGTGTTACTACAGGAGGAAACCTAAACTAAACTAACTTTATTTATACTGGATAGCTCTATCGGTTCTAAATTGTTCTTCCTAGAGGTCCAGTAAGGATCTTCTCTTATTGATCCAGTGTTACTACAGGAGGAAACCTAAACTAAACTAACTTTATTTATACTGGATAGCTCTATCAGTTCTAAACTGTTCTTCCTAGAGGTCCAGTAAGGATCTTCTCTTATTGATCCAGTGTTACTACAGGAGGAAACCTAAACTAAACTAACTTTATTTATACTGGATAGCTCTATCAGTTCTAAACTGTTCTTCCTAGAGGTTCAGTTATTGCAGGAGGAAACCTAAACTAAACTAACTTTATTTATACTGGATAGCTCTATCAGTTCTAAACTCTTCTTCCTAGAGGTCCAGCAAGGATCATCTCTTATTGATCCAGTGTTACTACAAGAGGAAACCTAAACTGAACAAGCAGCTCCTCCGAAATATCAAAGTGTTGTTACAATATCTCTAATTGGTTATTTTTAGATCATCAGTGTCTCGATGAACAATCCAGAGACTGGGGACGAACAAAAGATCACTGGTCTCAAAGATCCATTTAAGCTAAAATTCAAAACTGGAAACTTGGAACAAGGAAAAACAAGGAAATGCTTCTATTATGACGAAGATAGTAAGAAATGGTCACAAGATGGCATCACATCTCGTATTATTAATGGAGAGCAGGAGTGTTCTAGCACCCATTTGACGTCATTCTCACCTGGTGACGTCAAAGACAATAGCACGTCAGGTAAGTCGAGTCGAGTAACCTCCTGGAAAAAGAAAATGAGAATCCGATGATAGGCATTGATCGACAAGAGCTTAGATGAGCTTACGAGAAGTGGTAAGAATTGATAAGAGTTGATGACAGTTGATAAAGGTTGTAATGAGAAGTGTAAGAGTTGATCCACGAGAGCTGATGAAGGTTGAGGGGAATTAAGACCCCCATGAACAAATCTGGTTTACTGATGCCTCATCATTCTTTGTTTTCTTTTAGAAAAGACATATGAAGTGTCTTTCGTTCTATCCAATACAACATGGGGCGAGAAATACAACAATGCAAGCGATGCAGCAACAAAAGCATTGAAAGACAGTATAATAACTGAGGTAAGTTGATTTGGATGCATTCTTGAGAAAAACCTTCAGCATAGACTTTATCGGGTTTGAGAGGGGGTGGGTCACGCCCCCACCCTTCCTCCCTACAACACCCCCCACCCCCCACCACGTTCTCTTCTGTAACGGAGGCTTCAGATATGGCATTTTCTAAATGAAATGACTTTCACTTTAGATCATGGAGGTCTACAAGAATGACTCAACATTGAAAAGTGTTTCATTCGAAAGTTTCCAGGACTCGAACGGAAAAGTGAAAGTTATTCTCGAGATGGTTTTCTCTGACTCAAACGAAAATCCTTCAGCGGTATTGAAGAGTAGCATCGCAGATGGAAAGTTGGGACAGATTGCAGTTGATCCAAATAGCCTGAAATTCACAGAGCAAAAAGGTATACGAGTATATACCCTTTTAAAACGGCTTTATCTATGGAAAAATAATAAAAATCCTTACTAAAATTACCCTTGTAAAATCAAATAAGTTTATGCCCCAAGTTTTCGTGGCTATAGTTCCGTTACTCTTGTGAACAGTTAAAAAGTTTCCAATCTTATCAAACTTATCTTTTACCAAATCTTTTACGGAGTAGTTTCAGATTAGGCCTAAACGCGTTTTAATCTGCATTATCTGCTTTTGAACAAGAGTTTATTTTGGCAAGTTAAACTTAGCAAGGATAACTTCGAATAGCTGTAACAGCTCTAAACATTTTTTGTAATCTATTATTTTCAGCTGAAACGAAAGAAGATAGCGACGACATCGCATTAATCATTGGTCTTGTAGTTGGAATTTCTTTTGCAGTTATTGCGATCATATTACTGATAGCATTTCTCGTGTACCGCAGCAAAAAGAAGAAAACGAAGGTGGAATCGTGGACATCTTCACAGCCGTATCATAAAAGTAATGGAGCTGAAGGACTTGACAACAACGCCGTTGCCAGTGATCACGAGATGACCCCCGTATAAACCTGGACCGGCTACGGCCTTCTTTTTACCTCCGCTCAATTCTAACTGCACTGCAATACATTTATCGCAAGCCAGTCGACAAAAATAGTGTTATAGCGTGTATTCTTAATCCTAGTATTCGGTTCTAGTCTTTTGTATAAGTGAGTCTCTCTAAACCCAACAATCACATTTACGACAGTCTCGATCCATTCCCCTACGCTCATCTCCACTCAAATCCTCAATAATGTAAATACATGCAGAAACTGATACAACTTATCTCAAAGATTTCCGCTAGTTCAAAACTGGTCTAATATTCTTCAATTGACCTATTTATACTTGCATGCATATTTATTTATTTAAATATCAATTAAACTTATAATATATTTAAGTATAAACTAAACTATAAAGCAATAATCGTGCATCGTATTTAGTATATAGCTGTCACATATATACACATCTTTTAAGTCGCTTACTTTAGCGCGGACAATTTGCATGTATAACCTAGACTCACTTTAATTTACTTTGCAATAAAAGTGTGTTCTATGACCATAAATTCGGTGAATCATAGCTTTAGGCTTTTCAGAAATTCCTGGTTCTCGCTGACCGCTATTCAGCATCAGTAAGTTATCCAGTATATCTTATAGTTTATAGTCATGTTTAGTTTAAGTTTTCTTCTGTACTTAGTAACACTGGATCAATAAGTGATTATCCTTACTGGACCTCTAGGAAGAACATGCAGTTTAGAAAGTTTAGTATAGTTTTCCTTCTCTAGTAATATTGGATTAATGGCATAGCATAAACATATGATTCTGCATGCCTTTTTAATTCTATGTTAAATTTAGCCATGTTTGAAAGTAGTATCGTAATGCATTCGGCTATGGTATTTATTATATCGGTAGCCGGTGCATTAAATGCTGCTGATGTTATTCAAATGCCGTACATTTTCTTCTTCATTGCGTACAGACAATGGATCGTGGAATATCGCACGAGTCACGACAATTTAATTTTTTTACGATGATGAAAACCAGAACATGATGCATCTCTCGAGAGCCCGTTTAGAAATCAAACGTAACGTCAACATCAAACGTGAACCAATCTTACACTTTGAACTAGCTTTCAGAGAACTGTCCATGGCAAACCAATTCAATTATAGGCACAGAGATGGGCAATTTAATGACGGAACTGATCTCAAGGAAACAGCTGCGCTCGGTTTCTGTTATATTACCTATGTATAAAACATGCGTGGAGTATATATGCATATATGTGGGCATGGCGTATATGTTCGCTATAATATATGTATTGTCATATGCCTGGCTCACACTTTTCGGAAATTCAGGAAGCCATAATTTCTACAATTGTACGTATTTTTCATCAGACTGAAAGTATTTTTCATATTCAAAAATGCCACAGAAAATGCGGCCTCCTTTCCACGTGTAAACCAGCCCGGCACTAAGTTTGAAGATCTGTTCAGTTCATTCCAAGAATTGTTAACCAGTAAATTTAGTTATGAAAGTTAGACTGAAAGTTAGTTTGACAGCAATTTCCAATCGTACACAACAGTTTTTGACACTGCAATTTAATACCAGGAGTTACTCATTTAAAAAAGCCTATTTTTGCCAGCGAAATAAAGAAAATAGCTGGCTCTTAACTTCAAGCTTCAATTTTAATCGTTTCTATTTTAAAATTCACTATGCTAACGAATAGCACAATCCCACATTCAAAAGAACTGTCACGTATAAAGATATTGAAGTAGATGCATTACCAACTGTAACTTAATTGTGGGCGGAAAGAAAGGCAATTTGAGTGTTGCTAAAAATACTGTCATGCAGTTATCGCCTGCATTTTGTGCGTGTCCGCCTCCAAATTTTCCCACACATGATGTTCAAGCCATATGCCGGAAAACAAGCAATTGCCTACTATGATCTATGTTACAGACTTGTACAGGATTATATACTTATTTCAACGCCTGAAATCCGATTTACGAGAAGGGCTTGTGACTTTTGACTCCAACATTTTTACCAACGAACAATCTACGGAAATATTATTTTCTTAACGGGTTAAAAAAAGCCCAACGATAAAGGTTAGTGCTCGCCAAGAACGCCAGACTGATTTTCATGAGTTTAAAAAGTTATATTTAACTGCAATTTACAAGATAAAGATATTGACATTTATCACAGAGATATGTATACTGGTTGGCTACGTGCAGTTATTTATGTACATTTGAAGAAAGACATGCTTATATATAAATTATTTGGATTTCACGTTTTTAATACTATAATATCGTGATTCATTCTCATCGTTTTCTTTTTTCGAGCAATACTTTCTGAATTTGAAAGGTGTAAATGTGTCACAATGGGGCAGTTTGTCATATATAAGACATAAGTACTTGTATATTAGCCGTTGTCATTAAAAGAATAATATATGTTTCATTTATGCAAATTGAGTATCGCGTTTCAGCTTATTTCCTTGTGCACCGACGAGATATTTAAATTCAGGCTCAAGTGGGCATTGATGCAGCAAGTATAATCACAAAAACCTGCCATTTTAATGACAGTCTCTAAGTTCGCGGTCGACGGTACAGCACCAGCAAAAGCCGAAGAAACTAACGTCGAAGATTTTCAAGATCATTTGGTGAAGAACTAACAACTTTGTTCGTATGTTGTACGAGTTAAGTTTGTAGAAAATATACATCCATGTATGACGTTTTGACGGAGTAATCTTTAAAAGTAAGCTGTATATATTACATATGATAGTGGCAATTATAATTTCATATAACTCTCGAGCGAACAAATCAGACCAACTAAAATTATAAATATACAGTGAAAGTGTTAAAGCGTTTAACGGGTCCTAAACATGGCAACTTTAAGCGAGAATGAACTCTGCTCTAGCGCCCATTCGCCAAGTTTTTTAAAACAACGAAAGATCGCTTACGTCGACAATCCGTTTGACGAACAAGCATCACAGAGCATGGCACAAAAATGCGACATCAAATACATAAACTTTCCACGAAAGAAAAATGGCGGCAAACAACGGGGAGTGAGTGAAACGTGCGGCCAAAATGAGGCTGACAAAAAGCGAGAAATAGACAAAGACGAATTGTGGCCGTTGGGACATGTTGTAAAGGGCGAAGGATTATCAGCAACAGAGCAAGATTGGAGTTGCTTATTTACGCCAGTCCAGGTAATACATGGCTCAGGGAAATATAGTTTTTGTTTCAGCAAAATTCCCGAAGATTCGATAGTGAGTCGCCTTGAATATATTAAGTGCTTCTCGTTGTATGACCGAGCTATATTCCCAAGGCCAAAACTTGTAGCTTATCTATATAGCTATAATAAGTGCATGTATATATCAGTATAGCATTTACTTGCAATACTTCTATATAATAGTTCTACGTAATTCCATGCTTAAATTTTGAAACCGTAATCTACGAATTCCAAGCTGCATGTGATAGCCATTAAAGGTCACTAGATACTAATCCAAGTGGAATAAATACCAAAAAGAATTTGTTTTTAAATGATAGACAGAAGAACGCGTGAGACGTGCTGTAAGACACACAATGGTTGCCTCTTTTCGCATTTTTCGTTTCTTTAAACTTTGCCCTACTTTGAAAACAACGTCAAAAATGCATGGTCGTAGTTCAGAACAATGCCAGAAATCCTGAACGTGACTGTGCGTGCAAGAGGTGCATGAAGCTTAGAAACATTGCTTTTGGTGTATCTGCCATTATATTTATGATTAACGTTAACCAAATTACTCAAATTAAACCCGCATACTAGAGGATTACTGGTATTATTTACTTATATCATAAGGGACAGTGCAAACCTTCGTGTTAAAGGCATGCAGAGGAAATGTTCCTAGGGATAAACATAAGCTAGTGGCAAGAATTAGCAATTAAAACAATAATAAATATGACAATACCTTATACATCATGTTATTTCCCCTACACAAGGAGATATTGCAAGCGCTTTCCGTGTAAACTTTAGGAGTTTGAGTAGATTTTCTTAAAAGTATGACATCCTCTACAGGAAGAATAAAAATAAGTACAGTAAGATCCTCGTGAATTGAAAACCTACATATTTCAAAACGCATGCGGCTAACAGGTTTCGATATAAATTGTTATCAGCTTATCCGAAATTAGGGTAATAAGGGCTTCAATGGTTCTCATTTTCTAGAAAGAAAACGCTGGTTACCCACCTTCTGTTAGTGTTTAGTACTTTAGTTTAATACCCTTAGTCTGACACAAATTAGAAAGGATCATTTTGAAAACTAGCATGAAACATATACAGGTTCTTACAAAGAAAGGACATTCACTAAATCACTTAGCAGGTCCTTAATAAATAAATACGCATCTTTTCAATTCGTATACGTGCATGAGTCTCGTTTTAGACGTGCATGTGCGAATGATAAGGCATAGTGGACAAGTAGTTTTTGAGTTTTGACCATTCATATTTGGTATTCTTGTGAGTGATATACCAAGTCTTATAAGATAAACTTTGGTTCGAAAATAATATTTCTGCATGAATTAGCCAGCGGCTATCTCATCGTAAAAGAAACAAATTGCGTCAACCTTTTTGTTTGAACAAAATGTCTTTCACATAGTGTTTTTATAAAAAAAGTGATAGCTATTTTGAACAAAAATCTTTATATACAAAACAGAGAGCAACTTGTACGAAAACAGTTCCGTTGTTTTTTGTCGATTGACAAATTGAAATTTTTTTGAATTTTTTTAGCATGAGTTTTGTCATGACGATAATTACGCATTCAAAATGACAGGGAGATAAGACGAAGACATACAGCACTCGAGTTTTACGAAAAGCAATATTCCCTAAATGCATATTTAGCTATTTTCGCGTTCAAAATTCAAAACCTTAGTATAGTTCCTTGTTCCTTTCGAGATCTTCAACCGATAACGACATATAAAGTTCAAAGGTATATACGTGGCCAGGGGCGCCGTGGGTGTGCTAATGTAGGGGTGGCCAAAGGCAACATTATTCCGACCAGCACGTTTTTTTCCCGACATCTTTATAAGAAAAAAGTAATGAATATTGATAAAACTGACAGGGGGTTTTGGGCAAGGACGCGCATGCATTTGCTATGACAAAGATCACGAGCTACGTCTACTAATTTAAATTAACACTTCATGCACAATGAATATGACTGATAAATATTCACGTTTTACATACGCTTTTCAATTGAGTAGTTTAATGATTTTTGATACAATTAACTGTTTGTGGGAAAACTGTATTACAGAGATTTCTAATCCACATGCATTAGCAAATAACGCGATACGTTATTTCACGATACTCTATTATAGCTTTGTAACCTTAGTGGATGAGCATACAGCGTATCCTATACGCAACATTTGTTTATAACCAAAATATAAACATGAAAACACTATAAACTTGAAAAGGATTTGCTGTAGCTCCAGCATTCTGATACGGAACATGCTGGTGTTTCTTTAGACAGTCACCATATAATGCAATAAACTGTATAAACTCACTAAACAATAAATGCAGTCGAAGATACATCGCCATTCATCGCGATTTTATCGCACCAATCTCCGACATTTTGAAAATTACATTCCTTGCGTAATGTTATATTAATAGAAACTATGCATGTTTATCGGAAACTGGAAACGTTCGGAAGAAACAGCTAGTTTAGCCTGCGCGACAACAGTATAATAAAAACTTGGGGTAGTGTCGTACCGTATAATATTAGAAATAACCGCGTCTATTTCCTGATAGTTCAAATACTTTTGGGTTGTTCAGCATAACACAGCCACAAATGCAAAAATAGCTTAGTCTCTGTTATGATTGATATACTCCGACAACATCCAATGTTCGTAAATTTCCGACAGGTTTGAATCCTGGGGGGGGCCATGGCCCCTCCTGGCCCCCCCGGCCACGGCGCCCCTGTACGTGGCATCATAAATATTGATGCTTTTGCTCGCAAAATCAACATGTTTGCCGGTTTAATTAAAATTTATTTTCATTTAACTAATTTAGTGTCACATGAATTCCCCGGCTGGCGAAATTCAACTCTCGCTGTCTTACGATCCGTGGTTGGGGAGTCTTAAAGTGGCTATAATCAAAGCTAAAGGTCTCACGTGCTCGATATGCGCCCGAAAGGCTCACAACAGCGGTATTATTTGTGTTGGTAGGTAATAGGTATATCCTATCAGGAAATACCAGTGCAGTTTTTAACTGTTTCCCCGCAATAGTCTTATAATCGACCTAGTGTCACTATAAAAAACCTTCATTTACACTGAACAGATACTCCTAGAAATCCATCCATTTTGACGAAGTGTTACTACAGGAGGAAACCTAAACTAAACTAACTTTATTTATACTAGATAGCTCTATCAGTTCTAAACTGTTCTTCCTAGAGGTCCAGTAAGGATCATCTCCTATTGATCCAGTGTTACTACAGGAGGAAACCTAAACTAAACTAACTTTATTTATACTGGATCATTCTATCAGTTCTAAACTGTTCTTCCTAGAGGTCCAGTAAGGATCATCTCTTATTGATCCAGTCTTACTACAGGAGGAAACCTAAACTAAACTAACTTTATTTACACTGGATAGCTCTATCAGTTCTAAACTATTCTTCCTAGAGGTCCAGTGAGGATCATCTCTTATTGATCCAGTGTTACTACAGGAGGAAATGTAAACTAAAGTAGTTTCATTTATGGTAGGTAGCTCTATAACAGTTCTAAAATCTTGTTTCAGGCACGTTCGTCAACATTTCACTTTCCCGGAAAAACAAACGATTGCAGACAAAAAGGACGGAAATGAAGACGCGAAAGGCCGAAATATTTTTCTACGAAAAATTTTCATTTCTTGCCCAAAAGGACGATATACGGGATTGCAGCCTGCATTGTCAGGCTGTTCATAAAGTGGGCTCCTTCATAAAACGAGATCACGTGATCGGTGAGGTTACGATTGGTGGAGATGACGGTTGCGATGCCAACGGATTGCGTCACTGGGAAGAGATGCTTCGAAAACCGAAGAAAAGTGTGACGCAATGGTATTATATTCAAGAATAAATGTGTTTACTCCCCCCCCCGTCTGATTGGTCGCTGGTACTTTTTTCAGGGGGGAAATAGAGATTGAAATCACGTTCTAATAAACTAATAGTTTAAAATTGATAAGATCCCCGTAAATTGCAGGTTGTTCGATGAATATCCGGGGGGTGGGTTTATTCACTCTGTATGTGGGTAAGATTGAGGGCATAGCCTTTGTGTTTTTTGTAGTCATTTAAAGTAGTAATTTATGCCATTTTTGTATGTCTTGAACTGTAGTTCACGATTAATATTTGTAAACAAATAACCTGTCATAGAAAATGACTGTCCTGAATAGTAAATATAAACCTTAAAATATTGGTCAATGTATTTTTACCTTTACTCACTCAGTGTTCCGCCACGGTATTGCTTTCACATATGTTGGACTTTAAAAATACACCTTTATACTCACCAAGTGTTACCACAGGAGGAAACCTAAACTAAACGAACTTTTTTTATATAGTTCTATTAGTTCTAAACTGTTCTTCCTAGAGGTCCAGTAAGGATCATCTCTTATTGATCCAGTGTTACTACAGATGGAAACCTAAACTAAATTAACTATATTTATATATATACTGGATAGTTCTATCACTTCTAAACAGTTCTTCCTAGAGGTCCAGTAAGGATCATCTCTTGATCCAGTGTTACTACAGGAGGAAACCTAAACGATACTAAATTTATTTATACTGGGTAGCTTTATCAGTTCTAAACTGTTCTTCCTAGAGATCTAGTAAAGATCATCTCTTATTGATTCAGTGTTACTAAACTAACTTTATTTACAGTAGAATCAATGCTGTATATGAGTTTTTTTTGCGAAAATCTTAATACATAAATCAAGCGACGAGGTACTAACAATTAAATCAATTAATATTTTATTGAATATTACGATACGAACACTTTTATCTAATTACACATCGGTTTTTTAAAATCTACTGTCTCTAGCTACGGTAATAATACCCAGCTAACTTCACTCTTCCACCAACAATATAATTTTATTTTTGTGCGGTCAATTTTTATCAACAAAAAATAATTTTCGTGCACATAATAATCCCTCGCTTTTTTCAGCTTCAGAATATTGCCTCAGCTCAAAAAATACCTTGGGAGACCGATAATCTATAGGAAAAAATAACAAAAACGAAACACAGAATATCAGAATAACTAACAGATTATAACTAAAATAGGATAACGAAAACAGAATAACTAAAAGCAGCACAGCTAGTACACCTTGCTACACTGGAATATATATGCTTTTACACCCAGAAACACATCTTTCAAATCTACCTTTCAAAAATTTGGATAGCTAAGTGATGAATTGATGTCAACGGACCAAAGTTTTACAGTCGAATATTTGGCAAACAAATTAGGTATCATAGGTGGTGATGACAAACCTTCATGATAAAACTGAAAAGAATTCCCAGGAGCATACAAGGAATGTACCACAAATCACTTGGTGTTCTTTTCAAGCCTTTTCCCAACAACCAAACAATTCTTTTTAAATTTGTATCGTTGTAAGGTGGGTAGCGCAATCTGGGGAAAATGGATAAGGATTGACAGTAAGTTTGCAGTTATGATAATGTTCAACATTTCGCGAAGGATGTTCAGTTTCGTATGAATCAATATTTAGTTAATAGCAACCAGTTACACTACAGCTTATATCTAACTAGAATATATTTGTTCATTTATACCAGGACTGGATGCTTTATCTATTCTTTCTGGAGGGTCAAAGCAGTCATCGAACTTTCAGTAAAATGTTTTATAGTGGGGATGCCACGGAATTGTAAAGATCGAGATTTGACTAACGTGTTCACACTTTCCATCGCTTGCTTGGTTACATAAACCGCCTTCTTATGAGAGAACTCCTCGAATCCAATCTTCCCATGGTATGCGCCTGTTCCGCTGTGTCCAACACCGCCGAAAGGTAAGTGTTCAGCTGTAAAAAATCGGTTTGTTTTCAAATGAAAGCCGCGCGAATATTTGACTGCTAATATTTATAAAGTAAAAAGCTTTAAATTGGTTTTAATTTGTTTCCTTTGGAGGTTTTAGGCAAGACCAACTACTGGGCCAGTTTTGCACTGTTAGGAAACTAACTTTATTAAAATTGAAAAACCCAGTTCATTGCAGAGAAATTTGAGTACCCATGGCAAGGAACAAGGAATTTTTTGGGGGTGGAGGATATTTTGTCACAGTCCTACTCTTTTTATCATTTGTGATCCCCCACAAGGCTGGGGTGCGAAATAATTCCCCCTTCTCCTGATCGAGAGACCCTGGAGTTAGGTTCCAGGCAATGATAGCATTACCTGAGAAGTATATCAACGTGTCATTTCCACAAAATCCTCCACTCGAGGTCTCCGCCACAAACTTGTCCATTGTTTGTTGGTCTTTTGCGAACACGTAGAGTGCCAGCGGTTTTTCTCTGCAGAGGAAAATGAAAACGCAAAACAAACCTTAGTTTCAGGCTCGGTGGGTGATCTCTATATTGCAACTGGAACGCTAACTGGCGGTAAACATATTGCAAACATTTGCCTGAAACCAAAATGTTTTTTTTTGCTGAAATTCCAGACGTGTCGATAAATATTTTAAAAATACGAAAGCTGCTATTCGGTCAAAAACGGCGATTATTTTGAAGTTCCTGATTATTCCACTTTTAGTTTTAGCTAAACTGCTAACGTCTATATTTGAATCAACGATGGCGCAGCGATTAGGACAAGCGGCTTTTATGAAGCATGTATTTATTACCTGCCATTAATGAAATCAATAGCTTGGTCCGTGTCTTCAACATTGATGACTGGCAAGAGAGGACCAAATATCTAAAAGCATTCAAATGCCAAAAAAATTTCATGAAAAATACTTCCTTCCCTTGACTACATCAAGTGTATATGTAACATTCTCTTAGGAAAAGATAAAAATTAGGACGTGGGGTTTTATCTTCACCTCTTCCTGCATGATGGGATCAGACTGGCTCACGTCAACCATCACCGTGGGCGCAATGTACTTCTCTTCCTCAACGACATTCCCACCAATAACCGTACGACCGCTGGACATCAACTTTTGTAGACGACTAAATATCAGGTAAACTTATTATCACAACACCTGGTGATATCATATATTAGTTACATCATGGCAAAACATGAAAAATCTTGCCTACAAAATATTTGTGCTTGTGAAGGATCTTTCAATACGAAATTAGAACAAGTGTGAGAATTTAACAAGTTTGACTTGTTGTAGCCATTGGAAATGAATAGCTATGAATAAACTTGTGCATGGCAAGGAACACGGACAAACTGCACATTTTGTCACATCAGAAGTTGTTGACATCGCATGAATGATTTAGGTTTTTTTCTTACTCAAAATGTCGACTGTTAATTATCCTTCCAAAGTCCGACGATTCTTTGGGTTCCTATAAAATAAGAAAACAATGAAATTATTAAATTTTCACCCGGGTGAAAAAATACTTTAAAAAAACCCCGCCACATCGATTCATCGTGTATGAAACTGAACATAAATGCTATAAAGACGCGTACACGCAGAAATCTAACATCATTGTCCGTTGTAGGAAAAAACAAACCTCGCCAAAAAATTCCTGAATCGTTTCTCTCATTTGCTTGATTAATTCATCTTGAACACTTGGATGGCACAAGACATAATCCGGAGCAATACAAGTCTGAAAGAAATCGCAAGTAAGTTTATGAACGAAAGTTAGTAAGAGGTCCAACATTCCAGTCATCATCTTTTATTGAAACCTACACTAAACTAACTTTATTTATACTGGACAGCTCTATCAGTTCTAAAGTGTTCTTCCTAGAGGTCCAGTAAGGATAATCTCTTATTGATCCAGTGTTACTACAGGAGGAAACCTAAACTAAACTAACTTTATTTGCATGCACTGGATAGCTCTATCAGTTCTAAACTGTTCTTCCTAGAGGTCCAGTAAGGATCATCTCTTATTGATCCAGTGTTACTACAGACTAACCTTATTCAATTACTGGATAGCCGCTAACTTTACCTGGCCTGCATTTGAGAATTTTCCCCAAATTATTCTCCTTGATGCGAGTCTAATATCACTATCCTTGGACACATAGCACGGACTGACAGTTAAAGAGTAGAAAAAACAGAGACAAAAATTGTTACACGTTGAAAACTTTTCTTTTAGTAACTAATTTCTGCCCAAATTACGGGTCATTTGGCTGGGGCTCTCCTATCTGTTTATTTCTACTTTTGAAAATTAGGTATTTCATTTCACATTTTAAAAACTTATATAGCGAAGGCTTTTTCGAGTGGTGCAGAATTTTCAGCACCTCTGTTTTGTATCAACAAAAGCGTGAAGCGCAAGATTACTATATGCTTTCATTACAACGAGAAGAAGCACCTTTTCCCACCCAGTTCAAGAGTGATTTTCGAAAGATGTTCCACGCCTGCTCTAGCGACAATCTTTCCGACGACAGTGCTGCCGGTATAGAACACGTGATCAAATCTGCACTTCAATATTTCCGTCGTCTCTTTTACACCCCCCTGCATCACAGCGTAGCAATCCTGAATGATATTCAATAACAATGAATACACATCTTCTGGCACCTTTTCCAGGGAGACAAACGTGAAACGACCAGTAATAGTTCTTACCCTGTCCATATATTTTGAGACCAAAGATTCAATCAGTTCAGCTGTGTTTTCGGAGAGTTCAGACGGCTTTAACAACGCACAATTTCCTAAAAATATTTTGTTATTTTTAGGTCTAATTGTGGAAAAATTCATCTCCTGCTTTGGGCAAACATCTCTTGTCTTTTCAAACGATGTTTTCTGGGTCTTTTTACTTATCCAAAATTTCTTAGACCGCGTTTACATAATATATTCGTTGAAATGGAATGTTTCAAGACGTTTTAACCAAACTTTCCATTAGACAAATCCTACAATACTATTATCAACGAGTTTGTCCAGGAACCATTAAACTAAATATTATGCAGCATAAACTCGTTACAGTCTTGCACCAGAAAACCTTTTTGAGCTATACAAGCTTGGTTCAAATTGTCTGATAGTTGAACAAGTAAAATATTAAACTTGGTGTCTGGTCAACAGTACCTGCAGCTATGGCACAGATGAAAGGAGCAAGAATAAGCTGAACTGGATAGTTCCACGCTCCAATGATCAGGGACACGCCCAACGGTTCGTAGATGTTGTAGATTGTGTTCATCTTGTTGATTAAGTTTTTGGGAACATATTCTGGGGCAACCCAATCATCAAGCTCGTTCATGGCTAAAAATGTAATCATTAAACAGGTTTCATTGTCTGGAGAAGGAAAGCTTTTGGGAGGCTGGTAGGTGGGGGGTGAAATGAGGAGGTGGGGTGGCAAGGTAATGGGATGGGATGAGGGGAGTTGAGGGTGAGGGGATGAGAGGTGATAAGAGCTAGTGGAGAGGCATGAGGGTAGTAAAGAAAGAGTGGATGGGGTGGATGAGAAGGGGAAAATGAAAAATATGGGAAAAGGAAGACTGAGAAGAGAAGCTGGGAGAAGGGGTGAGAAGTTTGGTCGTGGGGTAAGAACAGAAAAGAAGGATGGCAGGTTGATAGAAAGAGAGAAATGTTGAAAGGGGAAGTTGAACAACAAGAAGGGACAACATGAAACCAGTATAGTCAAGAAAAAGAGCCAAAAATAATCATTGCCTTCACAAACTTCATTCAATGTGTACTGAATCTCTGCCAAAATTGCTTCCGTAGTTGGCTAAATTAAAAAAAAAGCAATATATAATTCAATTCCTTCCAAAGTACTCCTGCCAACCACCAGCCTAACCAAACAACTCCACAACATACCTTTCTAAGATCTTCTCGCAACACTCTAATGAGATCATCTTTATTTTCTGTCAAAAGGTCATGCAACCGTTGCAATTGCTGTTTGCGAAACTCAATTGGTCTTGTCTTTCCGCTTCTAAATGCGGCATGAAGCTTATGTACAACCTGGTAAGGTAAGGAGGAATAAGTCTTTGGTATAGAATACTATGCAAAATTTCAAACTAGGAAATACTGATACTTAACACGCTAGTGTAGTTAAAATAATTTGCAGATAGCTATAAGAATGGTACTAAGGGAAATATTATATAATTATGGGAAAGTAAAATATGTCAAGTTTTGTGTAAAACAGAGCATGCTCAGCAGGCTTGAATGTATCCCATAAGCTTTACACATGCTTCCCTTGAATAAAATGGACAAATTTGACGTTTCATTTGTGACATATAAATTGAGTTGTTAATTATCTTGAAACACTCATCTGCGATCTGTTGCACAATATAGTGTATTGGACTATTAGAATTATAATTTGAACGCAAAATAAATAAAACGCGACATACAAAAACGCTTTGTATTAACCAATGATGCTTGATAGACGTGGTGCCTTGATGCTTGGATATGAAAGACACCTCATGCACTACATCACATTCAGAAATTTGCGAGCGTTTTCATTGCCTAAACTCCTACGTTTTGAAGCTTGTCTTAACAAATTAACGCTCCATTACGTACCAATTCTTTATTAATTAGTGGCTCGTATTTTTGTTGGAAACATTAATTTCCTAGTCTATGGAGCCAAACTATTCATATTTTTGTTTCTTTAAACATTCATTTACAAAGCAACTTACAATTTGGGGATCCATATTTTCTCATACAATATTGATCGTATCTAATATCTTTCACCTTGCCAAGATATATTCTAATACTCGATTGTGCCCTGCAAATTATTAGGCAATAAGTTTATATATGTAATCTATGTACCCATAGTACGAGGGTCATTTACAGGTGACGTCATTATCATAAAATATATACTATCGGATTTTTCACCCTAGGTACAAAATCCCGGGACACGAAATCTTGTTTTGGCAAACTTCAATGAAAACTGAAAAGTGTGGCGATTTCAATAAAATAACAAGCAGAAGAAACAAAAAAGATCTGATCTAGTGATCTTCTAAACGTTGCCTTAAATTGTTTGTTGTTTTACCCATAATGAAGGACATTGTGATTGCTCCTTAGCTTTCAGTATGTTTTTTTATACATTCATGTAAAATACTAGAAATTACTAGCAACGCATTCAAATTTGAAGTAAATGTTCCAATTTTCTAGAAACTTTTTTAAAATTTACTAGAACAACCGTAGAATACAGTAAAAGTAAAGATTTTGGGTTTGCTGTGTGTCATTTTTTGGCGGGAATTTCCGCGAAATCAAAAAGAAAAATGGCGGCCGTAGGAGCGAGTTTTGTAACCGACGTTCTGCAGAAATCTGGTCGGTTAGAAAAAGAAGATTTACAAACAAGCGTTGGAAAACTTTCACAGAAGGCAGACGATGTCAAGGTTGTCATATCTTACACTACAAACGGCTTGTTTGAGTTCTGCAAATGTATAAATTCTAAGTATGAGTCATGACTCATGATTATAGCAAATTTATTTCTTTATATATACCACAGACACAAGTGTATACGTTAATCCTGAAGCAATACACGGATTTTATGCAATCTTATAACTTGACAATGGAAATGAACTCAAAAGTGCAAGAATTATCTACGGAAATGAATCACCTGAGCGAGAAAATCAAGGTTGACCTCTTGATGTTTCAAACCCATTAGCTTTTGATAAAGTTAGTTTAGCTTCTTCATAGTTAATACAGTGACACTGGATCAATAAGAGATGATCCTTACTGGACCTCTAGGAAGAACAGTTTAGAACTGACAGAACTATCCAGTATAAATAAAGTTAGTTTAGTTTAGGTTTCCTCCTGTAGTAACACTGGATCAATAAGAGATGATCCTTACTGGACCTCTAGGAAGAACAGTTTAGAACTGATAGAACTATCCAGTATAAATAAAGTTAGTTTAGTTTAGGTTTCCTCCTGTAGTAACACTGGATCAATAAGAGATGATCCTTACTGGACCTCTAGGAAGAACAGTTTAGAAATAATAGAGCTATCCAGTATGAATAAAGTTTAGTTTAGTTTAGGTTTCCTCCTGTAGTAACACTGGAACAATAAGAGATGATCCTTATTGGACCTCTAGAAAGAACAGTTTAGAACTGATAGAACTATTCAGTATAAATAAAGTTAGTTTAGTTTAGATTTCCTCCTGTATAGTAACACTGGATCAATAAGAGATGATCCTTACTTCACCTCTAGGAAGAACAATTTCTTTCTATAATACCACTACAATAATAAAGTGTTCTTATTTGACCTGTTTTAGGGAGATATTGAGACACAACTTCAAAAGGCAAACAACATGTATACTGATCTCTCTGAACAACTGAATGAAACCAATCTAATTATTAATGTGTTGACAAAAATGTGTCAGGTTTGTTGAATGACGGAGAAGACTTAATCGTATGATTCTTCCTTAAATTTGCATTTTAAAATCCAAACATTTACATAGAGATGGGCTGTTTGTTTGTTTAATTTTATACCAATGCATATTATTTCCAACCTTCAACAGATTCATGATTTGATGTTAGAGCTCTCTGTTTTAAAAATTCGGAAGGATTATTGTAAAATTTCCGAGGTTCTCGAACGCGTGGTGGGTGATTTGTGAAATATATTCTGAAATACCACATTTACGGTTCAGAGTCATAACTTGAACATTTAAATTTGCAGAAATGTCTCCTTGAGGATTTACCAAAATCAGGGACAGAAACCAAAATTTTTAGGATATTGAGGGTAATGTTGGTATAGATATATGATAATGAGGGTAATGTTGGTATTTAAAGATACTGTTGAAATTAGATCCAAATTACATTTTTGAATTGCTTCTTTGACTCCGCCATTTGCAGGCAGAATACCTAACAGAGCAAAGTGAATTTCTGCACACCCTCAATGGCTTGTGGGACAAATGCATATCATGGAAAACAACAACCACGCCCTCTTGGGACAACATCGATGGACATCTTAAAACTAAACTGACCATATCTACAAGTATGTTGGCATCTTGACCAATATATGAACTTCATAAGATGCAACGTTTTTAAGAAATACAGGAAAACTTTTTCATTTTTATAGGTGATACAACGGAAATAAAATTAGCATTGCAAACTTTGCAGGTATCACTATAACACTTCTCTATAGCAAATTGTGCCTTGCACCAGTGTTTAACCACATAAAAAGGTCAAAAAATACAATGTTAACGTACAATAATTACATGCAAACAAATACAGACCAAAACCTACGTTTGGGACTAAAGATGAAATAATGTTTCTCTCTTTTAGTCACTAAAACTATTGGATGAGAAGTTGAGCAGATTTGGTGAGTGGTTGAAAACTATGTCACCATAAGGAAAGCAAAAGTTTTAAAACATGGACTTTTTTGCAGGAAAGAAGTTTCTTCAATTTATCATTAGACCTATTGTCATTTTTCCAAGGTTAGATTTGTTTCCTGAAAAATAAACACTATGTGTAGATATGTGGACCTACTTTTCATCCCTTGAAATTTGTTACCCATCAAATTAACCAGGAATCGTGAAGTAATATATTTCTGCAACCTTTTCTTTTGTAGATTAAAACCTGTTCAAAGCCAAAATGTGGAGGTATATGGTACTATACCTTTTACCCTTAACATGCACAGATGTTCTGAAGTAGATTGACGTTTAGTGAATCGTATTTTGAATGTGAATTCATGTTAAAGTTTCTGCATATTATAACGTTTCTAGTTGCATCACCTAATATCATCCGTTTTAGACATGTGTGTTTTCATTCTCCAAAGATTTATCAAAATCATCAAAAATGGGAATAAGTAAGTCTAGTTGTATGATCTTGTTAAATGAAGGCCTATCAAGTCTGTTATTCTATAAAAAAATAAGCACAGGAGTTTTTATTCCTTTGACATCGAAAAGTTTTAAGTCATAGGTACAATTTTTTGTCTTATAGGCACTATGTTGGACCGAATTGGACAAACTTTTGAACATCTCAGCAAGGCTTTTGTAAACAGGACATTTCCTGATGCAAATGACGGGCAGGAAGAGCAATCCCTTGCTGGTATGTTGGGTGAGATCATCTGGAAACAGTTGACTGAGATTATTATTAAAGATTGTCTAGAGAAATGTGTTCCTACTACATCTAGCCAGGTGGGTAGTTGGTACCGTTGATACCAGAGAAAATATCATCAACCCCTTATGGTTATTTTTACCACTATTGTCACCATCTTTGTCACCATTATTATCACCATTATTATCACCGTCGTCACCATCATTATCACCATCATTATCACCATCATTTCACCATCATTATCACCATCATTGTCACCATCATTATCACCATCATTGTCACCATCATTGTTACCATAATTATCACCATTTTTAACACCATAATTTCCAAAATTCTGCGGTTTGTTTTTGTAGTTAGAGAAATACGAAGACACAATTACAACCATTGCAAAATTCGAGATGACTCTAATAGCCACAGGTAACAGTCTCACGCCTCACCCTGTACAATCTCACACCTCACCCAGGTACAATCTCACACCTCGCCCAGGTACAATCTCACACCTCACCCAGGTACAATCTCACACCTCACCCAGGTACAATCTCACACCTCACCCAGGTACAATCTCCCGCCTCACACCTCACCCAGGTACAATCTCCCGCCTCACCGTTGTCTTTTGCTAACCATAAACCACAAATTGTCGGTTGACACAATTAACGCTCACTATGGTACAACTACAACTTCTAGGGTTTCTGGCTGAAGGCACAGAGACACTCCAAACCTACTGCAAGAATGTTACTACACATTTTTCTAACAAAAAGGTAAAACGCTTTTGGTACTACGCAATGCTTTTTCAACGCGACTACAAGTCTATGTAAGTCAACACACGCTGCTGAATGTCCCCGTGAGAGTCATATCTTTCATTTGGTACCACAACGAGATTTTTTTACGAGCTTTCTCATAAAATGTTGAATTGACCTTAATATATGTTTCCAGTGTCAAGATTTATTGTTTACCGCGAGGGAAATGCTCAAATCAAACGTCAGTTTTCATAATTCGAAGCTGGTTTCAATACCTGATAAAAACAAACCCGTTTCTCCCTTGGTTGATATTTCTGGTGGAAATAAAGATGGAGGACGCAAAGAAAATGAGGTAAATGGTAAATCATCATCATCATCATCATCATCATCATCATCATCATCATCATCATCATCATCATCATCATCATCATCATCATCATCATCATCATCATCATCATCATCATCATCATCATCATCACCATCATCATCATCATCATCATCCATCATCATCATCATCATCATCATCATCATCATCATCATCATCATCATCATCATCATCATCATTATCATCACCTTCTTATTAACATTGTTCGGATATCTCTTCCTTGCAGCGCTCGCCTGGAACACCGACCGAAAACAAATTGAGTGAAAATATGTTTCATTTTCCCACGTGCCGTGTCAGCGAATGTATTCCTGAATTTTTTAACCTTGTCTATGGAACATTAGTCGAGGCCACTGAGAGCAATAAACCAGGGTCAGTCAGTTCACCTTTGCCCTAAAATTTCACATTTCAATTTCCAAAGTAAATACTGAAGAATAGCTATTCCTTGTAGGGATGTGAGGTTATTTTATACAGCAAGAAACATGATCGAACTCTATCGGGTCGTTGTACCCACGTACTACGAAGAAGACTTGGTAGGTATTTAGGAATTCTATGAAATGTATAAAAAAGGTAATGCATAAGTTTTAAATGAAGGTTTGTTTCTTTCCTAGCGTGAACTTCCTCAGATGTCCGCACTTCACTATAACAACTGTATGTTCCTGACACACCATCTTCTTACCTTGGGTCATCAGTTTCGGTCTAAACTACCCGAACCTTTGAACCGCGGCGCTGCCACGTTTGTTGATATGGTGTCACCAATGAGGAATCTCGGAGAGAAATGTTTCGAAGACCAGTTGGTATGTACTTTGCTTTGATGTTTGATGTACTGTGATCTCTAGTGATGATGATGGATGATGATGGATGATGATGGATGGTGATGGATGATGATGGATGATGATGGATGATGAGGGTTGGTGATGGGTGATGAGGTATGGTTATGGATAATGATGGATGGTATTGGGTGATAAGTGATAATGGATGATAGCGGATGACGGAATGAGAATGCGCAGGATGGCAATGATGTTGGGTAATGGGTTCATATAATGTTGATGTTGGATGATAATGGATATCACCATCGACATTAGATGTGAAACTACTTTGTAATGGCACCAATGATAACAATTCGTTCGACATTTCTCCAACTAGCGAAAACAATCCCACATTCTCCTGGATTTACTCGATTCCGGAGGTGGTTTATTGGACTTGAAGGTGACACTTATGGAAAAATCTATCAGGCAGGTTTGTCAAACATCTTTAATACATTCACGCGAAATGGTGTACTTTGTGAAAAACTGTATCTATGTGTTGAATGATTTATTCCTATGCTGCTATATTTTACCAAGGTCTGCTATCAGGTTCTAAAGCTCAGTCGCGTATGGAAAGACATCTTACCAGAAAATATCTACAAGTCGGCACTCGGAACATTGCTAAATATTTCCCTCAACAGATTTCTGGAAGACATTCTCAAACTTGAGGTAGAGCTTCATCTGTTATGTATCTCTTACTAATCCATTTCACAATGATTTTTTTTATATATCATCTTGTCTTTCCAGAAGCTGGAGTTTCACACGTCAAACTTTTCATGTCCAAAACAAAGACTTTTGTTCATTAACATTAGGTTTTGCACATGAAAAGTTTTGAAGCACGTCTAAAACTGCTCGAACAAGGCTAAAATTAAATAAAAGTAGCCATGAAGTATGCAACTACATAGAAATTAAGTCCAGTCGGGTAAAATTATATAAAACATTTTTTTTTGGTTTTGCACTTATCTTCCGGCCAAACAGCCCTGGAACCTGCTTTGCGTTGCCTTTATAGTACCTGTTGTTTTGTGTTTTAGGATATTTCTAGCGATGACTCACATTCCTTGCATAATCTCATGGGGATATTTGTAGACAAGTGCCCAGAAGCTATTCAGATACCTGCAGAAGTATGTGACGTCATAATACATTATATTTATGAAGTTTCAAACTTGCTCTTGATTTGTCATTCATTGGCGATAGTAGGTGGGCGGGCCGTGGGCCATACTCTGTCCCAGGTAACCCAGAGCATACCCAGATGTATTTGTGTCCAGTTTCGTATATTGCGGTCAGTGTGATTCTTTATTTCAGGAAATGCCGGAAACGGTTAAGGTTTGGAGGAAATTCCTAGAACTACGGTGCATTATCGACTCGAGCTTACAAAATATTGAGAACAGATGGAGCGAAGGAAAGGTATATAAACGTTGAGTTAAGATGAATATTGCTTTATTCATCATATAAACTGAATGTAAAGTTCAAAAATTCCCTTAAAACAACGAAACAACATTGGTAGGAAACATTTTTGCCAACTGGGAAACAAATATGTTTATATGTGCCCATCTTTTTTGTGGGCAAACGTCAACAAATTCATATGTTTCCTGGGTTGTCCAGAATGTTCCATGAAACACATCAGGATCCATGGCAACTTTGTCTCTAAGCTGATTCCAATTTGATGGAAATCGCTCAACAGAAAACAACCCTCATCAACTCTCATGTTCTTCATCCCCTTGTCTTTTTAGGGTCCGTTGGCGCAAGAGTTTAGTTGTAACGAGATCCGCGGACTGATAAGAGCCTTATTTCAGAACACAGATAGACGAGCTAGTGTCCTTGGCAAGATTCGACCTTCGTGAGACATCCCGTATTAGCAAACCTAGGGTCAAGTATAAGCGAAGATATGAATCTATTGTAAATATTTTGCCGGTATACTCAGCGCGCCAATATCACCACAAAGGCATTTTTTAAGGCCTGTTTTCACGATCCAATCTTGTCGCATCCAATTCACTTCTAATGGATCTTTTATAGTCTGTTGACTTGCAAAGTATATGAGCAGAAAATCAACTAAAGCCAATACAGTACCGCTTTACTAATAGCAAACTACATGCCATACGACAGAAGTGAATTGGATCCGATAAAGTTGGATTGTATGAAAGGGCCTTTATATAATGCGATTGAGGAGAAAAGATTTACACAATTTGATTGAATAGATTATATCAGACTATTCTGTGGTGTGGATTGTATTCTATAAAGGGTGAGGAGGGATATGGTATGGGGTGGCTCAGCCGTTATTTGGGAGCACGATCTGTGCTGTGCACACAACTTTGTTCTAGCGAAATGAACCTGAATACCAACTGTCGATGAAGATCTTAGAATGCCAACTTTTGATATAAACCTTTTGCGAAGCCTTCACTTTCGAATTGGAAGAATTCATTGTGAACTTCAAAGATTACAAGATAAGGTATTTTTTTCAAATATTTTTTACTCAGAAAAGCTGGAAAGAACGACCTGACCTTATTTGGCATTGTCTTGTAAGGATTATATCACGGGACATAATTGATTGGAAACCTTATACCGTTAGAAACAACGGGTTGAACAACCCACTCTATATCGAAGGGCGTGTGTCTGTCTGGAAGCGCATTCGGCAAAAAGTGAAAATGCCTCCTACTCGCAATCTTTGCTGTGGCATCGATCGAAAAGTCTAGAACTGCTCCAAAACCTAGAGAAGAACTCGTTAAAAAACTTATAATCTCGTAAAAATACAGAAAACGCGCCATATCTGTAAGCACGTTTAATCCCGGAGGGGGATCAATCCCGGGTGGGTGTGGCCTCGTTCACGTGCCGGATACGACGCTGTATCCACTTCCGGTGACGTTTCGTAATCCCATGAGAGTGTGTGCATCGATTGCATGTATTTTTATCCGGCTTAGTACCTGCCTTCTAATTGTAATAATTATAATCACCCGTTCTCCTATCCTGATAGCAAATTTCGTTCAAAGGGATATGGCGACATCTTTAACACATCTCTTCTCTAAAGATCGGGTATGTACTTTGAATTAAATAGAGTCATGTCGAGCGTATGACTTGTGTTTTGTGTTTATCTATTGTTGGCCAGGCAGAATACGTACGGAAGCCAGCCTGGCAGCGCATGTAAACATTGCTTATACTTCAATGTGAGTTTTTGTGGCATTTTGAAAGAAGCTAGTTTGTTGTTTTTGTTAGACCTTTCGACCCAAGAAGAAATGGGATGAAGGAACTCTACGGCATGGCCTTCACAAGCAAGCGAAAGTGAGTACACAGAGCTATATTGCTTTCTTATAAGTAAGAAGCGTGAGGACATTACGATTCTAAATCGCTTCCGGTATAATAGGTTTAACGTGTATAAGAAGTTTGCAAATTTTATTTACTTTTATTAGTTGCATTTCTTGTGATTTTAAACCAATTATCTACTCGGTTGTTAGTTTGTTACACATTTGAATATTTTCTAACTCTCAATGATATCTGAACACTTTGTCCCAAAACTTGATGCATAATCAACAAGTTTGTAGCTTCTTGTCAGAATCAATTCATTTACCTGCCTTAGTTGTTACACTCTCTGTCTGGTTTATTATTTATATTTTTTACATTTTTCCCCATCAAAATTTTAGGCAACATTACAGTCAGGTCTTGATCTAAAACAATGTGTCAAGTTACCACCGAATGAAACATTAGAGGACTGGATTGCAGTTCATGGTTTGTAAACTAATATTAAGAACTTTTTCCAACTATTCAGTGAACATCATTATTTATCCTTAAACCTATGGCATATTGCTGTATCAGCCCCAAAATATATATATTTATGAAGTTGGCCTATTGTGTTACTGATACAAGCTGGTGCTCAACTAATTATTTGCTACAATTACCATTTTACTGACATGTTCTATATTATCTTAACTTCATCACCTTTTTAGTTGTTGATTTTTTCAATCGAGTCAATTTAATTTATGGGACTGTGTCAGAGTTTTGCACCTCGGAAACTTGTCCAGTGATGTCTGGTGGTCCTAAGTAAGTGATATACTATATAAACATTAGGAATTTTGATTGCATTCTGACTGTTCAGTTAACATTATTAAAGACCCTGCATATTAGGTTGGGGTATTGTCAGACAATGATAAAAATGACCTTTAAACCATAGTGAGAATTATGCCCTTTTTCAACTTTAGCTCCTTTGTTTTAAAGTCTAGCTTGGTGCCTAGGAAACCATGATAGCTCTACACTTTGGTGCAATACAGTGAAATGGAAAACAGCCCTTATAATTGTGTTCTTTCTGTGTAGATATGAATATCATTGGGCAGATGGCAGCAAAAACAAGAAACCTAGAGCAGTGTCTGCTCCAGAAGTAAGCATGATATTTTCTTCTTTCTGCAGTTGAAATTGAATATTACATAGTTCTCTTTTGGTATTTTCTTCCAGTACATGGAACTTTTAATGAATTGGATAGAAACTTTGGTGAATAATCCAGATATCTTCCCACCAGATGACAGTATGTGTTTAATATCATTTATTTGTAAAAGTGCAATAGCCTACATTGTAGCCTATGAACCTGCGGTTAAGTCTTAACCACAGGTTCAGAGGCTATGACACAGGCTAAAGTGCAATTGCCCAACTAAATTAAACCAACAGGAGGGTTGCATTTCTCAATTTTTATTTGGAGTGTGTATGTTTTAAAAGCACCTCTTTTCTAAACTTGGCATCTTGTCAGTATTACATATGCTGCACTCAGTTACTTCATTGTCAAAATCATGAATTTTAAATTGGCAATGCAGTCATATGGGAGAAATGGTGGAATTGGTATTTTGTTGCCTATCACTAGGAAGTAATAAAATAATAGATTTAACACCTGTGGTTTTTGAACTGAAAACATATGAAAAGCAAATTTTGTGAAGACATACCCCATCACAATACAGGTTAAAATTAGAAATACCAGGGAAGTGTATAGTTCACAAAATTTCTCAAAATAGAGCCTCCTGCTTCTAATTTCAGCAATCGTGAACTGAAAGGTAATTGTATAATTGCAGGTATACCATTTCCAAAAGCCTTCCTACCTACATGTAAGAAAGTGCTAACAAGATTGTTTAGAGTATTCGTTCATGTGTATATTCACCATTTTGAAAAGCTGGGGATCAAAGGAGCAGTAAGTATATTTTGTGATGTACTTTATGACAACTAATTCAAAGTTTTTACTGCCAATACGGAGTGTAATTGAGTATATAACCTCGCGATTTAGTATAATTCTTTTGTGAGATTTGGTGGCTCTTAAAAGAGCCGTTTTGTTTGTTCTTTGGGAGAAACAAATTACTGTTTCTTTTCGGTCTTCTTGGGCAAGAGGACAGCTTGGATGTTTGGCAAAACACCACCTTGGGCAATTGTCACACCAGACAACAACTTGTTCAATTCTTCGTCGTTTCGTACGGCCAATTGCAAATGTCTTGGGATTATTCTGCTTTTCTTGTTGTCACGAGCAGCGTTTCCTGCCAACTCGAGGATTTCAGCTGACAGATACTCGAGAACGGCAGCCAAGTAAACTGGTGCACCAGCGCCAACTCGCTCAGCATAGTTGCCTTTTCTCAACAAACGATGAATACGACCGACTGGGAATTGAAGTCCTGCTCTTGAGGAACGGGTCTTGGATTTGGTTCCCTTAGCTTTACCTTTACCACGTCCAGACATCTTGAAAGTTTTCTTCTTGGAATTTTGCTTCTTTGAACTCTTGTACGGAGAGAAAGTTTGCGAATGATAATTTTTTGCTCTGTATCGGTTTATATACTTGAACTCGGATCACTTTCCAAGCAATTTGGAATAAATCATGTTGATAAACCCTCCACGCAGAGGTCGGACTATTTTCATAACCAATCAAATCGCGGTATAACGACGTTAACCAATCAGAACGCAAATTGAATTCCCCAGAGGTTATCCTCATTAATAACTCGGTAACCAATCAGGATGGAGATTCCATTGATCCGTTCAAATTTTGGTATATAAACAAATGTCGCGAAAATTCGAATTTTCAGAATTTGGAAATTTTACAAAATAATGGGGATTTATTTATCTTTCTTGTTTTGATTTCCGATGAGTTTGTCGTAAAGTGTAATTCACGATTTCGACTACAAACTGCAGTTCGATCTACGTTAATCTAACACCATGGAAGAGCATCTTTATGGAGTAGATAAAGCCGCGAAGTTCGATTGCAAAAGTGTTGTATATTATTTGTTTCACGAGCTGTAAAATAATCAATTTTAGCGAACTTGGTTTGATTTATTCTGATGATGCTCTTTCATGGTGAATTTCTCTTCGAGATTGCGTTTGGGTTGACCGAAATTTATAGCTGGATTCGGGCCAATCTGAATTAACATTGTCTTAACCCAAGCTTTCTTCTAAAATCAATTTATAAAGTAAAATTCTCCCATCCACCCTAACCTTGGCTTGTTATGTAGCACTTCTCTTCATCAGCAGGATGAGTGACCATGCATTGATTGAATGGCTGTGCAAGTTACCATTATCTAGTTTACATTTGAACTCCAAACAATTACATATCTATTACAAAATTCCAGACACTTCATACAAGCAAAATTCTGCCAGCCACCCTATCCTTGGCTTTTTGTGTATATCATGTCTAATGCTTCATAAGCAACATGAGTGACTATCCATCAATTGAATGGCTTTGCAAGTTATCTAGTTTACATCTGATCTTCAAACAATTATCTATTACAAAATTGAAAATTCCAGACAATTCTCTATTGCAAAATTCAAAACCATCTATATATGTATTAGATTCAGACTGCTATATACAATTACTATCAGCTGACACATTAAGTCTCGACACTTTGTGTAATCCAATGTTTTTCAAATTTTAGGAAGCCCATGTCAATCAATGTTACAAGCATTTCTATTTCTTTGTAACTGAATTCAGTCTTGTGGATAAAAAGGAATTGGAACCATTAGTAAGTTGAATGGTGAAACGGAAGTTGAATCTTTGCACTCTTTCCTTGCACTCATAAAAACATATTTTCATCGCCAGTAGTAACCAGATATATGTTTTCTTTTTACAGAAAGAAATGACTTTACGATTATGCAATTAAAATAATTAGAAGTTCATGATTAGAAGTTCATGGTAAAGCAGGGACTCCTGTTATTTTATTCTGGTTGTATTTCTAATTATTGAGTATTTTTGTAGTCATCACAAACCTGGTACTATTGAGGAGAATTAAGTTAATTTTTAGCAAACAATACTAATGCAAGTTAATACAGACCATCTGATTAAACTTTCGAATGCCAATGCTGCATTCCTTTTGACAAGAACATTTAGTTGGCATCAATATAATATCATACTGACACGTATGTTTTTTGGTATGTTATTTGGAAATTGTTCACAATAAGAACTAACCCTGGGTTAATTTTTTATTGGCTATTGATGTTGATATATTTTGCAGACGTGGGTGTTAATCTCAAAACTTTACTAAATGAAACTTTTCCTCCATTCCAAAAAAATATCCGGAAAAATATATCAACTTCTGTCCTCATGAACATGCTGTTGGAAAATATTAATATGAATATTTTATCCCAGGATTAGGCTGATGATCAGTTTCTAAACAACTAGCAACACAGTAGGCAAACATAAAGCCGTAATGGGAGAACATTATGATATTCTGTATTGTGTCGATAATTTAACACTTGACTGTGTATCATTTTTTGAAACATGAATCACTGTGCATGTAGTTTTTGAAATCATATATATGCATACACTGAACATATTGTATTAATTAATATTTTTTATGTTAAAGCTGAAATCCAATGCATTATATATAGGTGTAAAATATAATATATATTTCAAATGCTTTCTGTAATTTGTTTAGTGACATTTAATGAAATATAATAGGTTGACATGTTTTCTTGTGTGTGATTTAAATTGAATATTATAGTCAATTCAAACCCCCCGGATAATAAGGAGGCAAATATTTTATTTTTAATTTTTTATATTGCGAAGTTCCTACTTGTGTAATTCGATATCATATTTGAATATTACTTAGTAGGATACCTAAATGCATCTCATATAAGACGCCGGAAACGAAAAATATATCACTGGACAAATTTTGTCATCGGCTTTGCCAAGGACTCGAAAAGGAGGGGAAGTTTTTTTCTCCATTCTCCAACGCCTTCGAAAAGGAGGGGTTATATTCTCCATGGATTCATTGGAATGTTGATGAATGACTGCAATGGATTGCGTTTCGAAAGTTCAACTTCACGTTTCCTGCGAGGGACTGATAGATAAAGACGTCTTGTCCAAATCCGACCCCATTTGTGCTGTATATATCTTGGATGAGGGATACAAACAATGGCGAGAGGTTAGCCAGAATTTGCTGCTCTTTTGTTCTAAAATTTTTATTCATATTGTGGGTAAACTGTCAATTATCTAATTGCATATATTGCTGGGGAAATACCATAAAACCTGTGTCTTGAGCTTTATAATATACCAAAACGATAAATTGTCTGACTATATTCACATGGCTACACGATTTTTACAGTGACAAGTAGTTTTCAGTCTATCAAAACACCCATGATTTATTATAAACAGAAATTCCGGTGTATAACCAGAAACCCAAGTTTTGGACTGAAATGTATCCATCTGTTTCTAATTGTTGGTGATTTTAATGTGTATTTGGCCACTTTTGTTGTATTGTAATGTCTTATTGATGTGATCAGCGGGAATGAGTTGGAATGAACACCAGCACTTAAGTTCTTTACTTTTTAATATTTTAATCAAAAACTGCCCAATTTAAAAATCCAGGATAAAAAGGGTGGAGTACTTGAGAGTATTCACAAATTAGCTGACAGTACCTGCTGGAGATTGAAATAACAGATCCGTTACGGCTGGTTTCCATCAGTTAACTTAATGGTTGCCACCCAGATAAAAAAAGTAAATGTTTACTAATGTAGGTCCTCAAATGAACTGGGCACATTTTTATTTTTCTCAAGTTTGGTCGCACCGAGAAAGTCTCAAACAATTTGAATCCACAGTTCACAAAGGCAATTGACATTGACTATCATTTTGAAAAAGTTCAAAAACTACAGTTTTCAGTTTTTGACATTGATAATGAGACAAGTAAATTGGATGATGATGAGTTCCTGGGTCACATGGAATGTAATCTCGGCCAGGTAACATCAAATGAAATATTCATTTTAGGGTATTTTAACATTGCAAAATGTTTGACAGGAGTATTGTATTTTGCAGATTGTTTCAAATGTTCGCTATACACAACCTCTGAAATTAAAAAGTGGTCGAACTCATGGAAAAATAACCGTACGTTATCTGTATTTTACGATGTATTTCCTATGTTGTTTTTGATGATCTGAAAATCGTACATAACACATTACGTCTCTAGGTTACTGCTGAGGAAATTTCAAAGAGTAATGACAGAGTTAACTTGACATTCAGAGCTCAAAAACTGGACAAAAAGGTTATATTCTTAACTATATGAAAGTCATATTCACATAGGGTGTAGCTCTCTAGGACACCTATGGTAGTCCAGGATTGAACTGCCATGTTCTGACATTTAAAATGGCATTCAACAGGATTTTCTTGGCAAGTCAGATCCATATTTGATGATTTCAAGGCAGTTACCTGATGGTAGTTTTGCATCAGTTCATAAAACCAAGGTACAATTAATTAGATAAACATTTTGCATTTGAATTGAATAGCCCCTCAGGTGAATTTGTCTGCAGTTTCTTGATGTGCTGCACCCAACATATTGAACATATTCTATGCCTAAAGAAGTCCCCCCTCCTAAATTGTATGCTGTGCCCTGTCCCAAATACAGCTTGTTCTCTCACCCCCTTTCTCCTGTTAAATTTTGTTCTCTAATGCTAGGTAATAAAAAACACCCTTGACCCAGCTTGGCCACCCTTTAGTCTACCTGTCAACACGCTCTGTAACGGAGATTATAACAGACCTATTAAGGTAAGTGCCTCAATTTTGGGTGCCTCAATTTGTGTTATTAATGGAAGCTAGATTGCAGGAGACTAACTGTCCAATGATATTAACTCCATGTTTAGTTTGATTGTTATGATTGGGACAGCGATGGTAGCGATGACTTGATTGGAACATTCACAACTACATTCAATGAAATGTTAAAAGCAAATGAAAGAGAGGTAAATATTAAGTTGTTTTCTTCGCAATGTTCATGGAATGCAAAGTGCCCTAAATGCTATATTGTGTTCCAGAATTTAAGATCTAAAGATTTTTGTTATAAAGGAAGTTTGAATGGGAGTGACTTTGTGAAAATTTTTTGTTATTCAAAAAATTTCAACAGAAAGAGATTTATGCTTTTGTAGTGAAGTAAAACAAGGGAGTAAACTTGTTTTCAAAACCTCTGCCTTCATCCAGGTATCATGGCCATGTGTGAATCCAAAGAAACAGAAGAAGAAGAATTATATGAACTCAGGGATTGTGTATCTCAGTAGCTGCCAGGTATTTTGTTATCACTTCACAAAACAAATAAAATGTTCATAGAGAACAGTTTCTGAGGGTGCAATAAGACTAAAAAAAACTCCAATTTAAGTTTCCATACGTCAGGGACCGCGGAGCAGGGGACTCGCTGGGCTTTAGCCTCACCAATAATTTTTCCGTAATTAGTCTTTAATTTCGAATATTTTTTAGTTATATTGTAAGCATGGTTATATTGTTTAATGTTTGTATATGAGTGCCAAACATGCTGGAAACTTTACATAGGGCAAGCATTTGACCATTAAAACAGCGTGGTTATCCATTTCAAAATATTTGACATCATAACCAAAGCATGGTTCTTTACATAGGACAAGCATTTGACCATTAAAACAGCGTGGTTATCCATTTCAAAATATTTGACATCATAACCAAAGCATGGTTATATTGTTTAATGTTTGTATATGAGCGCCAAACATGCTGGAAACTTTACATTGGACAAGCATTTGACCATTAAAACAGCGTGGTTATCCATTTCCAAAAATTTGACATCATAACCAAAGCATGGTTATATTGTTTAATGTTTGTATATGAGCGCCAAACATGCTGGAAACTTTACATAGGACAAGCATTTGACCATTAAAACAGCGTGGTTATCCATGTCAAAATATTTGACATCATAACCAAAGCATGGTTATATTGTTTAATGTTTGTATATGAGCGCCAAACATGCTGGAAACTTTACATACATGTACTATCTATTATTTTCCATTAATCCTTAAATTGAGAGGCATTTGCGGCGATTTCAGAGACCTATATTTCAAAATTTTCCCGGACTCTCCTAGCAGGCGCGCGGTTCCGAGCCCCAGCAATACGAAAAACGCTCCGCGGTCCCTGTACGTATGAAAGACGCGTCTTCGTACTTTCCTGGTTCCAGGCTAAATTGGAATATGACTTGGCTTTATGGAAGGCACTTTATCCTAAGGCCAATAATTTAATGGCACCCAGGGTTTTTCTATTAAAGCCATTGTCTTTACCAGCCAGCCTCACTTTGGTCTTGAGTATATATTGTATTAAAGTGGTGCTGGGTGCATGGTGAAGACAATAGGATGATAAGGTAAAACCCAAGTGCTAATTTGATCACCAACGTCTCACTGAGATTTTTGGATATTTTAAAACTTTTTAATAATGGGGTTTTTAAATGTCATTGATATTGATCGTGTTATTCTTCAGGTAACACATGTACATTCATTCCTGGATTACATCATGGGAGGATGTCAGATCAATTTTACCGTAAGTTCAAACTTCGCTTGGAGGGAAGGGGGGGAGGGGAATTGCTCGCACATACAACAAGGTCAAGGGGTTATATCGATCCAATTTTTAAACTAGGTCGGTATCGACTTCACAGCATCAAACGGTCACCCGGCTCAGCCGACATCGCTACATTTTATTAACCCGTACCAACCCAACGAATACATCAAAGCACTAACCGCCGTTGGGGAGATCTGTCAAGACTACGACACGTGAGTATTTTTATCTCTTTTCGGCAAGCGTACTACCGCTGGCGAGTAAAATTGTCTGCTTGCAGGCGCATTTATCATACCGTCAATGTGAAATTGTCGGTCGCCGTTACACGAAATAAGTCAAACTGAAGACTTTCGTCTTGAGTCCACCGGCAACCCGAGTCCCACCCTTATCTCACCCACCACCCAGCAACACTTTGTATCATAAACCAAATTTGTATCTATTTTAGTGACAAACTGTTCCCCGCCTTTGGATTTGGAGCACAGCTGCCCCACGACCTTAGGGTAATAATGAATAATTACATCATCCATTTAACAGCGAGTACGAAACGGCTAATCTTTTAGCGATTATCTTAATCTCATAATAATCAATCTCCTGTAATAATCGTTTTAGGTTTCTCACGAGTTTGCACTAAATTTTAATCCAACTAATCCGTACTGTCAAGGTTAGTCAATCTGTTGGAAAATCGACTATAGAATAGAAAAATATGAAAGAAAATATATAAAAATATAAAAATGTCAAAGGAACGGAAAACTTGTTTTGTAAGAGTCTAGTTGTACGAAACTCTTTTCTACATTTTGGCTAGGTATTCAAGGAGTTGTTGCAGCCTATCAGAACGCCATTAGTCAAGTACATTTATACGGTCCGACTAATGTGTCACCAATCATAAATCATGTCGCCAAATTCGCAGAAGAAGCCGCACAAGAAAACAGAGCATCGGTAAACTCTTTTTTTGTCAAAAATTCGATATGATTCTATCAAGTCGTGCTCTATTCTTCCTAGAGGTGCAGTAAGGATCATCTCTTTTTGATCTAGTGTTACTACAGGAGGAAACCTAAACTAAACTAACTTTATTTATACTGGATAACTCTATCAGTTCTAAACTGTTCTTCCTAGAGGTCCAGACCTCCAGTAAGGATCATCTCTTATTGATCCAGTGTTACTACAGGAGGAAACCTAAACTAAACTAACTTTATTTATACTGGATAACTCTATCAGTTCTAAACTATTCTTCCTAAAGGTCCAGTAAGGATCATCTCTTATTGATCCAGTGTTACTACAGGATGAAACCTAAACTAAACTAACTTTATTTATACTGGTACCTCTATCAGTTCTAAACTGTTCTTCTTAGAGGTCCAGTAAGGATCATCTCTTATTGATCCAATGTTACTACAGCACCAAAGGAACATTTATAACTAAGCTAAAACTTCCTCTTTATTTTTCAGCAATATTTTGTTCTTCTACTCCTGACAGATGGTGTCTTATCAGATATGTCACTAACAATTGATGCTATCGTTAGAGCTTCTCATTATCCGCTATCAATCATTATAGTGGGCGTGGGAGCCGCTGACTTCACTGACATGAACGCACTGGACTGTGATGAGGGCAGGTAGGAGAGGCACTGACGTAGCTGTGTAATATGTGTAGATACCTGTGTTGTCTCGATGGACGTTTTCATACATTTTCATGAACGTTTTCAAACCTTTTATGGTATTAGATTTTGTTCACACGGTCCAAGAAAGATATTTGCATCATTGAACTAGCTCCAATTTATGCCGTGAATTGATAGTGTATGCCTGTATATGCGACAGTTTTTGTGTAGAAAAAACAAATGAAAACTCGCGAAAGCGTAATGTCAGTCTCCGATCAAATTTTGACACATTTTTTGCGAAAAAATCTATTCCTTAGCTTTCTCTGCGACTCAAAACCCCTCTTAAAATTGTTATAATAAGGAGCTAGCTATATATACTGCGCTTGTTGTCAAATTATGTATATTACGGTGTTATGTGATGATGATTTTATTAATGTGACTATGTTTTTTATGTCTAATATATTGATTTCTCATTAAATTACGTGATCTCGTTTATTTTTTCATTTAATATAGGTTAAAATCTCGTAGCGGATTTGCAGCAAGAGATATAGTCCAGTTTGTTCCGTTTCGCCAATTTGCTAATGTAAGCAGACTTTTTTGAGGTTTCCTTGACCCCATCAGAATCTCATGTTTCATTTCAACTTTTTTCTCTCGCAGCAACCCCCCTGGGCGTTGGCTCAAGCTGTTCTGGCTGAAGTACCGAATCAAGTCTCCGAATATTTCACAATGAAGAAATTAACCCCTGGTGTTAGACCACCACAGGCTTAGAAAATAAACTCGAATTTGGCAATCGTTTAATTGAATAATAGCCGAGATTTAATATAGAGATTTAAGATGGCGAAGCTTCTAGATTTGCCACTATTGCGGGCTTTTATGATTGTTGGCATATCAGTTTGAATACGACATGCTTCAATGAAATCTGTTGTATTTGTGTATAAAGCAATTGACTATTTGATTTTTAGGCCAAGTAAAAAAAAACATATGTTTCTCGTCCCCGCCCGCTTCCTTTTTCTTGGCCGCTTCCTCTTTTTTTTTGCTTAACTTAATTTCCTCGAAAAATTTCGCTTCATAATTTTTCAAGTATATGTTTGAGAACATGAAGTATCATAAGCTTGAAACTACTGCGGGCTCATCCAAGTAGCTACCCGCTGACCGAAACACGAAACACAGATCACTTTTTGAAACCTACATGCTTTGCAATAAATATAAAAACTGTTGAGTTTTAATATATTTCAATAAAATTTATATCTTTCGAGGAGTATCGATATTATACTTCATATTAATAGACTTTCGTTAAAATTCACGTTTTATTGCATGTTTTTCTCGCTTAACTACTTGAAAGCTTCTTACTTTGGCTATAAACAAAAAAAAAAAAAAAAAAAAAAAATACCCCGCTTCCCTGCTTTTTGGCCAACATCCGGACGAGAAACATATGTTTTTTTTTACTTGGCCTTATATCGCGAACAAGCATACGGTCGCTTAAAGAGGACATAAATGTGACTAAAGGTGAAGTAAATAACAATTTGTAAGTTTAAAATAATTTTTCTTCCGGGTAGCATCGCATGAGCCCTGCCCCCAATCACCACCGGATTCCTAGAAGGTCAAATTTTGTCTATGTATTGAAAGTTTAAAGATTGTTCATGTGATAAATCAAAACTAAATATGACTAAATATACCAACTTCCGAAAGCAGTGATCATGTCAACCTTCACCGTAAAAGGTTTGTTCACACTTCACACGATCCAATTTTGTCGCTCGGATCCAATTCACTTCTGATATGGTGGATGTTTTATAGTCTGTTGACTTGCAATTTATAGGTCAGAAATTCACTAAAACCAATGTTGTACTGCTTTATTGATAACAAACTACATGCCATACGTCAGAAGTGAATTGGTCCGACAAAGTCGCACCGTGTGAAGTGTGAACGGTTGTCAACGCTGTCGTAACCAATGAGTCAGGAATAGTGAAATAGGTGGCTTAACTTGGCAAGTATGGGAAAAAAGTATCGCCACTTATGAAACCGGCATTTTTTGGTTTTACGTCACATGATAGGAAGAACCCGGAATCAAAAAGATGCGTACAAGCCGGCCCTATCTTCGTACCATTCTCGGCACCAAAAACTTTGCTTATTTTTCCAAGTTAATAATGTGCACACTACTCTGAGTGAATTCGATCCACTTTTTAGGGAGAAGCCCCCCGGTTTGCTACTACAAAATTTAACAAAAAGGTTTTTTTTTTTGGAAGTTGAAGGGGGGGGGAAGAAGATTAACTTTTGTTTACTCACTATATGATAAGCTACTAATATTGTGTATATAATTTGTCAGCAATGGACTGCGTTTCGAAGGTTCAACTTCATATATCCTGCGAAGGACTAAAAGATAAAGATGTCTTGTCAAAATCCGATCCAATTTGTGCTGTAAAAATCTGGGATGAGGGAGGCAAACAATGGCAAGAGGTTAGTCCTAGTTACTTGCGCTTTTGGCTGGGTATTGACGTATTGCTATTTTATCTTCATTGAATGCTTGCATCGACGTAAATAAATACTTTAGCTTATATATGCTTCAATATTGAAATAGACCTTTAGGTGAAAGAACCCTACGTTATCTTTCGTTTCTATCGTATGTTTAGTGAAAATGTTTGTTTAAATGACTCGAATAACTATCTTTGACTCTTTGAGTGACTTTGACTATGCTTTGACATATTTTACTATAACTTCACCAGGTATAGTGTTCAATATTTAGTATTTAATTGATACAATTGTTTTGTTTTTTAGTTTGCCCGCACGGAAAAAATCATGAACAATTTGAATCCCAAATTCACAAAACCAATCAATGTTGATTACCAGTTTGAGAGGGTGCAGAAACTGCTGTTCTCAGTGTTTGATATTGATAATGAGACAAGTCAACTGGATGATGATGACTTTTTGGGTCAAATGGAATGCAATCTTGGCCAGGTAAGATGATGATGTTTTGTGAAATTGCATATTAGTGATATATAAATCCTTGTTTATTCCGTGCTTCAACGCTCAAACTGCCTAGCAATTGCTGCTTTTCAATTCAATTCAATTGACTCAAAAGCCTGTATTGGTTTCTAGTAGGTCTCTAGCCTAACATTATTAAAAATATCTGTAAATAATGATAAAACTGTACAAGGGGAATAAACAAATAAAAAAATTCAAATATGTCTTCTACAGATTGTTTCCAGTGTTCGTTACACGCAACCTTTGAAGTTCAAGAACGGTCAGGTTTATGGAAAGATAACTGTAAGTTTCTTATACCTCTTTGAGAAAGCTTTAACCTTGCAACTTTTGCAGTCAGACATGCCCAAAATTTGGATATATCTCAAAATTGCATTTTATAATGCTTAGGTAACTGCTGAAGAAATTTCCCAAGGAAATGACAAAGTCAGTTTGACATTCAGAGCTCAAAAACTGGATAAGAAGGTAATATATATGACATCTTGTCAATGTAAATTAGCATCTCAAATATAACTACCTCTCTAATATCAACACTTAATTCTAATATATGAGTACCTCTCTATGAGCTGACAAACCATTCTTTTGCAGGATTTCTTGGGCAAGTCTGACCCATATTTGATCATATCAAGACAGTTACCTGATGGAAGTTTTGCACCTGTGCACAAAACCGAGGTTCTTGTTTCATGTTTTGATCAATAGTACTGCAGAGTAATTTGTTGCTCAACTAAATATTTCTGTTACCAGATTATAAAAAATACCCTTAATCCATCCTGGTCACCATTTGAATTAGCTGTGAACACACTGTGTAATGGAGATTACAACAGAACTATTAAAGTAAGTCACTTTGTTTAGGACATCTATTTGGGTGTAAATTAAAACCATTATGCATTGTTACAATTAGTTAACATTCTTTCATTAGGTCAACTTCATCTGTCTAATCTGGTCACCTCTCTAATGCAACCACCTCTCAAATGCAACCACCTCTCTAATGTGACCACCTCTCTAATGCAACCACATCTCTAATGTGACTACCTCTCTAATGTGACTACCTCTATAATGCAACCACCTCTCTAATGTGACTACCTCTCTAATCTGGTCACCTCTCTAATGCAACCACCTCTCTAATGTGACTACCTCTATAATGTGACCACCTCTCTAATGTGACTACCTCTCTAATCTGGTCACCTCTCTAATGTGACCACCTCTCTAATGTGACCACCTCTCTAATCTGTTCACCTCTCTAATGTGACCACCTCTCTAATGTGACCACCTCTCTAATCTGGTCACCTCTCTAATGTGACCACCTCTCTAATCTGGTCACCTCTCTAATGTGACCACCTCTTTAGTGTGACCACCTCTCTAATGTGACCACCTCTCTAATGTGACCTCCTCTCTAATGTGACCACCTCAGTTCTGTCAGATGAAAAACTTTTGATGCAGCTACCTAACTTAATATTTTTTAGTTTGATTGTTATGATTGGGACAGTGACGGTAGTGACGACTTCATTGGCACATTTACAACTACGTTCAATGAAATGCTAAAAGCAAATGAAAGAGAGGTAGGCTGTGTTATAAGCTCTTGCCCATAGGCATTTTGAAACACTCTTTCAAGAGTTCAAAACAGCAATTTCAAATTGTGTTGGCAGCCCAAAGCTCCTTTTGCCCTTGCAGCCTAATTGCGCGAGTTTTTGTGAAGTCAAACAAGTCAGAGGACAACCCTGACTGAGTCAGCTGCATAATTTTGGTTCATTTCAGGTCTCTTGGCCTTGCATAAACCCGAAGAAACAGAAGAAGAAGGGTTATAATGACTCTGGAACTATTTATCTTAGTAATTGCATGGTACAGTATATAGTCACAATATCTTAAGATTGCACATTGATGTAATGATCACAATATCTCTTGCACATTGATGTAATGATCACAATATCTTAAGATTGCACATTGATTTAATGATCACAATATCTCTTGCACTATTGTTTTAAAACGCGTTGTTTCACGTTGTTAGTTAACGCACGTGTATTCATTTCTGGATTTCATCATGGGAGGATGCCAGATCAATTTTACCGTAAGTTGGTTTGCCTGTTTGCAATGCAATAGTTGTTACTAATACCAGCCTGGCTAGTCTAGCACTTACTGCTTTGCAATGTTTCATTCGTGTGTTTCACTTTCAACCTTCCTCAATGCCAGTTAGTAAACACTGGACTGCTAGTCTGACTGATTGCTAACTGGGGAATTTTAATTTCACCCTCTTCATTTTCTCAAGGTCGGTATAGACTTCACAGCGTCAAACGGTCACCCGGCTCAGCCCACATCGCTACATTTTATCAACCCGTACCAACCAAACGAATACATGAAAGCATTGACTGCCGTTGGGGAGATCTGTCAAGACTACGACACGTGAGTATGTAGTGCTTAGTCACGTCTGTGTCTCGTGATCACACCATGCCATCACGTGTCACTGTCGTGATACGTCACCTTATCCGTCCCAGAGCAAGCAACCATGCAGTAATATTTTGAACTAATCCATAAATTTCAGCGACAAGCTGTTCCCAGCGTTTGGATTTGGTGCGAAACTACCTCCAGACATGCAGGTGGTAATTCATTTGTCAACTTCGTTGCGAATTTCCGAATCCTAATTCAGTTTTTTCCCGTGCAGGTGTCGCATGAATTTGCTTTAAATTTCAACCCCAGCAATCCATATTGTGAAGGTATTTCGTAAGCTTATTTTTACAATTCCACCAGGGGGAAGTGAGGGGGAGAGGAGGGTGTGATGAATGGGGAGGGGAGTGGAGGCGGGGGAGGGCTAATTGTAAATTGGCTGAAATGCATTGATCTGTTGTGGTTCTCTTAAAGAACGTGTATGCTCATCAGTGCTTCGTGTGCTTGGCTGGAAATAATTGAGAAGACGTCTTTTAAAATCCGTACCACAGTAGAGCTATATGTCTATAATTTAGACTCAAAGCATTACTGTCTATTTCGGCGCCAAGATGCACTCAACTGGCTTTTTTTTTCAGGTATTCAAGGAGTTGTTGCAGCCTATCAGAACGCCATTAGTCAAGTTCATTTATACGGTCCAACTAATGTGTCACCAATCATAAATCATGTCGCAAAATTCGCAGAAGAAGCCGCACAAGAAAACAGGGCATCGGTAAATGTGTTTTTACCATTCTTAGAGTCTGACAGTGCTATCAATTTAAAGTTAATTTAGTTTAGGTTTTCTCCTGCAGATAACATTGGATTCTTACTGGATCTCTAGGAATTTAATTTGTAATAAGACTAGACCTGAATACCTTCCTCTTTATTTTCCAGCAATATTTTGTTCTTCTACTCCTGACAGATGGTGTCTTATCAGATATGTCACTAACAATTGATGCTATCGTTAGAGCTTCTCATTATCCGCTCTCAATCATTATAGTGGGCGTAGGAGCCGCTGACTTCACTGATATGAACACACTGGACTGTGATGATGGCAGGTAGGAAAGTGCACATGTTTATGCTTATTTACAGAAGCCCCAGTCAAATAGGATAGATACGAAAAAGGCGGGAAAATGGCTGCCGGAAAACCAGAGATAAACACAGGAGGAAAAAATTCTTATTAGCACACTATAATACGAGTTTATATATCTCGCTTTTTCTTTTGTCAAAAAGTCCGGTAACAGAACTGAGGCCGGTTGTACGAAGGCTGCATAGCGCTATCCACCGGATAGTGTTTCTTTCAACCGTTCTAAAAATGCTTGAAAAGCAATAAAATTTCAGCTTTGGAACCAAAAATTATTAAAAAGGATCTTCAATTTAGTAATACTAAGAGTTATTCAAAGCTATACCCAACAACGGGTGGTTTTAAATGTATTTTAAAAAGCCAATATCCGGTGGGTAGCGCTATCCGGCTTTCATACAACCGGCCCCTGAGCATTAGTGTTGTACAAGGATGTCATTGAACTGGTTCACAACATATTTTTCCCGCTTTACCAGGCTGAAGTCTCGTAGTGGTGTTGCTGCAAGAGATATTGTTCAATTTGTGCCATTTCGCGACTTCGTCAATGTAAGTGCTCGCAGTTCTTTTATCCCGTGACGTATCATAATTCCTTATATTCCACTGAGCTATATTGTAATATCTGGAGCAAGTCCTCGCCACTAAAATGTGGCGCAAAAAATATGGCGGCAAAGTTGCTGGAATATGAGGAGAACTTCCTCCAGAACTACAATATGGGTCAGTGGTTTATTCCTGACAACGAATTGTCTCAACTCTCCATAGAAACCGCCATGGGCGTTGGCTCAATCAGTTTTAGCCGAGGTACCGAGCCAAGTCGCCGAATATTTTTCGATGAAGAAATTATCACCACTCGCTAGACCGCCACAATCCTAGGGTATGAATTAGATTTTTTTTAAATAAAAGCATACACTCATAACGAATAACCAATAATGCGTCTTACATGAAGTTAGCCTTGTTGACCTAAATTGCTGGGCAAACACAATCAAGTCAGTGACAATGGCAGCCATTATGGTAAAAATATCAAATATGGGTTAATAATAACGACACTGACACACTTGTATCTAATTAATTTAATACGCTAATCAATTCACAATGATAATGATTAAAATTTATTTATGTAATATGTTTTGCGAGTTAATTATATACTAACTAGAGCTTTCAATTTATAGAAAATATTATTATTGGTTGCTTTTTAAATTCAATTTTCATACCAAAGTCTTAATACCCAGACGTACAAGTGAACCTTCTGTGTATATATTTTCCGTATTTTGAGACCTAATTATCAAACAAACAACCTCTTCCCAGGGCTCTTCTGCGCTACACCCGCAGAGCCTAGGTACGAGGCTTCCAAAACTGTCAATTAAACTGGACATTGGGAATATTTCTAATCTTACAATTCACTACTTGTTTTTTATTTTATCATTTGAATTTCGTAATCGCATCGTGAAATAGCACAGTATGGCAAAGTCTATGGACAGCACCAAGAGAAATGCTTCAACGCTAAGTCTCGATGCGATGTCGGCGTTAATCGTGCCCCGTTTAAAAAAGCAGTCCCTAATGACCGCGTCGAATTGATATTTGCTTGCGATGAACGCTGTTATATGAAAAAGCTGATGGCTTTGACCGATGACGTCGAACGAGTGTGGAACGAGCCGTTCCGGGAGCCTGACTGCCGCTACGAGACCAACCGCCGGATTCCATAGGATATGCGAGTAATGATGGTCTATTGGACTCGATTTATGATACAGCAACCAATGCAGCATTAGGACGCACACAAATAGAAACGGCACAGCAAACGCTGCGACCCTTAGAATGACAGCTCTGTTAGCATTTGAATAATGCCTGGATAGACAACAGCCTATGAACGACATTACGATCAAAACCACGCAAGTGTACGTATATATATAAGCCATTTGCGAGTTTCTCACGTGCTCCGGTGCGGTGTAGGTTAGGAACGCCATGGATGTGGTACAACTGTACACGCTTATCCCCATGTAGTCCAAGTAGAATACAAAATGGCGAACTTTGATGTCCATCGAAGAGAACGCATGCGCAACGGAGCTCAGCAGGGGGTATAAGCATGAGCCAATCCCGACGCAGAGGACCGGCCAGTAATACGGTTCCTCGAACAATGGCAAATCTAGATTGAAGCATTTCCAAGCGAAGTATGCGAAGACTAGAAAATGCGTCCAAAAGTTGAATGTTTCGTTGTGCCATTGGAAGATGCTCAGAACGCTTTGAGTGGCCGTGATTCCAGCGGGGCGGTATGACGAGAGGATGTATTTGTCTTGGTAGGAGTCTGGTACCTAAAAGAAGAAATTGTTGAGGTCAGATTTTTCACTCTTTACGGACGGCTTGGTTACCGTGGTTCAGTTAAACTGCAAGTATGGGAGTGTACCTCGTCTCGATGTAAACCCATTGTTTGTACGCTTGTAGCTTTCCAACAAATTAATAGTGTTCGTGACTTCTCAAGGCAAATTTAACAGCGTTCATCGAATGCACGCCTACGAAGAAGAGAATACAAGCATGAGTAATTGTCGATAGATTTCCAATCCTTGTGTCAATATAAAACAAACCAGGTCTGATAATGGACCGAAGCTGTATTTAGACACGTGTAGGCATTACGATCTATAAGAAGTATTATCCATTTTGTAATCCATCTTCACATGCAACCACGAGACAAACCACTGGCTTTGTGACAGGTGCAGTTGATTACTCTCTCACCGTGAAAGCCCCATGATATTGCTTCTATGCTCGGCATAAAAATAAATCTGTTTACTTGGAACAGCTCGAAATTTTTAATCCGGCTTTAAAATCCTGAGCTATTTTTTCCCCTTTTTAATCGAATAGACTATTCCAACTGTGAGTTCGCTTTAATTTTCTTAGTACATCAGCATTTTGGACAAAAGTCGCTAAATTTAATTAATCCCATTATAAAATGAGGTTTTTGAAAGAATTATTCAGTAAATTTAGTATATATAAAACGAACTGAATCTCACTTGATATATTTATGGCTGATAGTTTAATATACCCGCGTAGACAGCGGCTAGAAAATCTACTGAAAAAGTTGGAATGTCGAAATAAACTTACCCTAGATTAGCGCCGCGATCTATACTGGAAATAGTCCTGGGAACGAATTATATATTTACCAGATTTCTTTTATAACTCGAACGAATCATTTGGACGTCAAAAAGGGAAGTTTACCGGCAAAGAAGGCCGCGACAGTCGACACACTGTAACAATGCCAATGGTTTTTGAAGCAATACTTGATATATATTTGCCCGCTCGTCTGGTTTTGCTTTTGTACACAAAGGCAGATATAACTCGCGTCACGACTGTTACGCAGATTTAGTTGAACGTTTACGTCAGAATGACAATTTCAAGATGATTTATGCCTCAGTTTATGCGCAAATACTCCATAATATTCATAATAAATACGCCGTTCGTTGAACACGTGTTGACGGAACAGTCAATGCTCAGCTTCAAAACAGACCGGTCGAAAAAGATTTGGATTAATTAACAGGAAACATTTATCAGTGTATTTCTCGCCTTGATAAAGAGAAATGAACGTTGCTGGCCCTATCTTTGTCATTGGATGAAAAGATCTTCGATAAATGTTGCTAGATTACCGAAGATATTCGCTTCAAAGCGTGCAACTGTTTCGATCACCTGACATATCGTTTGTCTTTAGGTGATTTCACAACTCTGTTAGTATTAAACAAGTCATATTCCCCAATATTTTCGAACCCATATTTTCGAATATAAAATGAGACAACCTTCCGGAATTAAGTATTTCCTTTCAGAACGTCTGCATGTTACAAATTATAATAATTGCCGATACTTTTATTTTTCGATATTATATAAATTTAAACTCGAGTACAAACATTCATCCCGGCAAAATGCGTTTACAACCTTTGCCTTTGTAACCTAGAACGAACAGTTCTGAAAATTCCCTGGATGAACTGTGTAAAATACGAAGACAACAGAAGTCATCATCAGCCAGCCATGCCCGAATGAATGGCAATTGTGTTGTTTACAATTTGATACTCTTTGGCGAAATATTTTCAACTTTTCTTCAAGAATCGAATTCGGTTCTTCGACTCGGAGATTTTATCGATAATGATTCATTCTGTACACATTGGCATTGGACCGAACGGAAAGGAAATCCTTAAATATCTTACCTGTTTGTTTGTTTAAAATATCGGCTTAGGACAGAGTTATATGTTTGAGTACATTTCGGTTTAATTAAAATCTTCGAGGTGTTCCAAATCGGATTACGAATCCACCGCATTAAAACTATGAAAAACCTGTCGCTTACCTTGTCATTGAAAAATATTTGTCTTCAGACTTTGCGCTTTATTTCCGTTTGATTTGGACAAAAGTTTTTTTTGTTTGAAGTATAAATAATAAATAAGGAAATAAATATTCAAAGTCGATTGTTCCACCTGTGTTATTTTCAATATTTAAAATTTAAATCCCACGAAATTTTCCCGCGGTTCCCGCGGTCTGTTTTTTTCCGCGAACCGCTGTCGGCCGTGCCAAGGTCATGCTCGGCAGTTAACATGGCCTCTCGGAATTCACTCAGATTCTTTGAAATCCTATGAAACATCGTAGATTTTTCGCTTAAGCCGTATAAGCTTAAGGTATGGACATTTTTTAACTTTAAACGATGGGTAATATTTTTATAAAGGACTTGGCATTTAATTTTTTTTTCACATCCTCCATTCCGATGATTTTCCGAATTGGTTCCGAACGTCTTATGGACGATGATTTTTTATTGAAGTATTTAAATTTCGAATTTCGCATTGCAAGTTTAAATGGCGTAAAACATTCTGATGTTGTTTAATATATTATACCAAGTTCGGTTTTATTGAGTCCGAACTGCGTTTAAATGGTTTGGAAATTTATATTTGTGTCCAACCAGTACAGAAGTAGCAATTACTCGTGACAGTGTCAAAAGAATATGTTTGGTTGCGTGGTATCTGGGCGATTGGTAGGTATTTATTCTGTAGAACATACAGTTTTTTTGCTAAAGTTACACCTAATCCTAAATTAGATCAATCAGAGGTCGAAATTACACGTTCCTGCCAAAGAGACGACAAATATATCCTTTGGGGGAGGGGATTATTAACACGATGTCTTCAGCAAATGTAATGTCAATATTTTGACATAAAACAAATGACCCATGCAATATTAGATGGAATTTGAACCCTACACTAATTGAAACAATATTACAATTTTACATTACGCCTATAGCTCTATGCTGTCTATATATTTCACTTTTTTCATTTGGGGCAGAGCCTCCCTGAATTCTGAAAGATTCCCTCCCAGTTTTCTGAAAGAATCTCTGTCAAAAATCTTATATCTCTGTTCAATGAAAGATGCAGTGTCTGAGCACTTTTGAAGCCTGGTGAAGCAGTTTCATTTTATTTGACACTTTCTGAAAACATTGAAATAAACCATGGGTCTTCTTCTTCAGATCCAGACGGACTTCCAACAAGTTTCGGAAAACCAGTTTGTTTTAAGTCTCTCTGAACCTGACAAAGTGCATCATATTGTGATATTTCTTCTTGGCACGATACCCTTCCCTGAGGGAATGGGAGGCGGGGTATACTTCTCGTGGCCTGGCCCCCAACCTGCCTGGCAACTGTTGGGTCATATATCTAATACGAAGCCAAGTGCTATATTCAAAATTTCTCAGGTAAGTTATGGAAGGTTATGCTTGTGAAGTGGGTTGGAGGGGGGGTGTTAATGGGTGCTTTGGGAAAGAAATTGAATTGTTTAGGTTAGGTCAGTGGAACAAGTAGTAGTGATGAACCCAGATACTTCCTAATTTAGGTTTTACTCTAAACTGCATACCATACAATTTTGATCTTCAGTGCATAATGTAAATTTTCTTGTGGCAAAAATGGTGCATCTCATCATGGCATATCATTGTATCTTATTAACCATTAGCTTACAATGTGGCCAGACATTTCTTGATATCCACTTTTCCCAATTCCAGTACTGAGCCATCAGTTTATTTGGATTAGGATCAGATGTCGGTCATTAAGCTAAGTCCTAACACCCTAACCTCAACCCCCAAAAGCCACTGCTACACTTTTCTTGTTTTTTGGAGTGCGTTCTTGGTAGATAACACAACTACCATCCATTTTCTCTTATTTCCCATGAGTTGGCAATGAGACCATATAGTTTCAACTCAGGCCTGGGTTTCACTTTGGCTGAGATTTTATTCATCAGAAGAGCGCTGCTAGTTAGAGCGACTGGTCAAGTCTTTAATATGACTTTTTATACCTCCTTGTTTGACCAGTTACACAAAACAGCCGAAAGCAATCCTTTTGGGACGTCTTTCACGCCAAACCAAGAAGGCATGTCGTTGATAGGGATCTCTGTCGAATCCCTGAACGACCTTTCTCAGCAAACAACAGCCTTGCATACAACGCCTTCGACTCTGAACGCGCGAGTGGAGTTTACGATGAAGATGCTGGAAAATTTTGTAAACTATGCTTCGTCATTTGGACTACAACAAAGTCAAATGACCCCAAACCCTCAGGAAACTTATGTGCCAATGGGCGCCGTTCAGAAATGGTTCGAAAATTTTCAGCGAAAAATGACAAACGATCCTGATTTTTGGAAGAAGTAGATTGGCTAGTTCTAGCGAACTGTTGTTAGTTGTTGCAGTCGTGTGTTTTTGACAGGAAAATTGAACTTTAAATTAATGATAGCCAGATAGGTATAGTTTTAAATTGCGACTAATTGCTATAGTTAACAGCATTTAGTGTGAATTTAGAGTTTGAAATTCAGAAGGTTTGTAGTATAATTATGTAGGATTATAGTTATATTTTTTAAATTTCTACGAGAAAATATTTTGGTCAGCAATATTTGTACTGATGTAGTTGTGATTTACGGACGAGAAATAATGCATTGTAGCTATGTCCCTACTTGTGACAATTATGCGATTTCAAGATTCCAATGTTTTAAATGTTGGTTATAAATTTTCGAAATTATAGTTAGTAAAGGTAGTTGATGTTATATCATCTTTCGGCTTTATAAGCCAAATTTGATAATCTCAACTAAGTTGTACTAAGTTTCCTAATTTTGTAATGTAGGTTTCCAATAAGAAATTTCTTCAGCGTTGCTTTCGTTATTTTTCATTTTTTCAGCGTGTTTCTCCTGTTCTGATTATATTTATTTTTCATATTTCAAACGTAAACATATTTGTTTTTTGGCAAATGTCATATTTCAAAAGGTTCAAAACAAAAATTTTAGATTTGTAATTTCGTGCGAGATACCACTGTAATACCGCAGGCTCAGAGCGAGTTTCACTGTTTCCGCTGAAAAATATCGCGGGCACCTAGGGATATCAAAAGTTGCCACGTATAGCCAATGAAAAACGAGAATGTTCGTGTTCTTTATGACTTTATCACATAACCTATAATGGCGCCATCAAACTTGACGTATTAAATTACTGATGGCAATTGCCAATCATGCGAACAATGGCCACTCCAAGTCTAAACAGGCGGGAATGAAAGAACAAAAAACACACTTAAAATACGCCTCGGTTCAAACAATTGAATTCCGGATGACATTTAGATTATATTTTGTCTATATTCCTCGAAAGATGATTAATAAATATAGCGCTTTATCAACCGCAAATTATATATTGTTTAATGATAAAGATATACACTTCACTCAAATGGATTTTTTGGCGTGTGTTAATTGTTTCCGAATTTTTTCAACAAGTATGAAATTGGAACAGTTTTAAATTTGCACTAATACTCTTAAAAAGTCATCAGCTTTTGGTCATGGGCGGTTTAATAATAAAGTCATCCCACGTTATGGTCACGTATGAGTATGAGGTATCGTGCATGCAATGGCTGCTTAAGGCCCGTTATGCACGCAATTCTCAAGAGCGAGCACTTAGAACTTCAAATAATTTTAAATATTTCTGACAGCAACAAGGTGTAGTTATCACTTTAATTGATAATGGAAGGCGTCGTCTATCTGTCGATGGAAAAAACCGCTTAAATCTGACAGGTTGAAGAGTACATGTTTCCTTTATTTGCATACATATTTTAAGGTGAACTCGGCCTGTAAAATGAAAGTTCAATTACTCCGCTAGTTTCCCAGCATCTGAGGGAAAATTTTCGCCCAAAAAACTTACAAAGTGATGAACCATACAGTCATATCGTGATCACAAGTAAATTGATGTAGCGAAAAGCGAAAACATATATTTTCATAAATTTCAATGCTATGCCAATTACAAGATGTCATTTTTCTAAGTATGCTTTTTCTTGTATGCCATTATATTGCATAAGATGTAAATTAAGATTACTACGCATATGGTAAAGACAGTAAAGTAAGAGACTTTGGATTGTATAGGGTTAGGGTGGGGAATAACACTTGTCTTTCATCGGTAAAAAGCTTGGCTGTATTTGAATTGACATGCAATTATATATTCATATGAGGATTTGCAATTGGGTTGCGCATACACTGCACGATATACAAAACTGGATCACGTTTCTGCTATTAATCAGCCAGTGGCGGCCATCTTGGATGCTCCATTTCTCGTAAATTTTCTGATGCATGCCGCTGGTCAGGGCTGTCAAAGTTTTCTTCCAGCACAGCAGGCTCCGGTTTTTCAGCCTCTCACTGACGAGGAATCAAAAGCTTTGCATTCCACCTGTTGATCTTAATTTTACATAAGCCACCCGCTGACAAATATGATTCTGCACAAGTGGGAGAATTTCCGCTAGTGTGGACCAACTTGACGGTCAATTTTAGCAAAATTGAAATTGCGGCATAAAAACGAAAGTATAGTCAATGTGGTATTTATCTCTCCATTAAATTAATGTATATTTTCATTTTGAAGCAAATCTGAGCGAGTAGAATTTCTTTTCATGCCAAACTGATATCCAAATGATAGTGAATGTGAGAATTTTTGGGCATAGATTTGCCCATGAAACGAACGTGGGTCAATAGCTCTATATTTCCCTTCTCAGACTGAAGCAAAGTAGTATATATTTTCCATCTTATCGCACGGTGTCAATATCAATAATTAGTGCCCTGCGTTCGATAAATGTTGTCATGACTACTTCGAGAGACTTCTCTCTCAGATCCCTTACACAAAGCTGTGCAAATCAGCTTATTTGGGCTACATTGTGTGTGTTGGACTGATTCATTTACCACGTATATATACTATTCTGCCCGTCAATAACAAGGCTCGTAAATTATAAATCGCTCATCCGCCAAAATTGCCCCCGCGCGATTTGCAGCCATTTTTTCTATATTGAAATCAACAGGTATTTAAATATATTTCTTTTTTGCTGACGATTGTGCACAATCGTATATATGCGCACATTTTCTATGTGAGAATAAAACTGCCGATATACAAAAACTAGTGATATATGATTTTTTTTAAATGTGATAGTTTGGGATGAATCGCGAATGCGCGCGTCGCGTCGCTTTCCCCCTCATTTGAATGCGTTATATATAACAAACTTTGATTACGCCACTCGTAATTATTCAAATAAGCTTGCAGAATGTATTGTGTGGACTGATCAAAATGAGCCACCGACTATAAATGTGGCCAGCTGCTAACGCATTGAATACACAAGTAAAGCAGAGTGTTTTAAACCAACCGCATCAGGATAAACCCTGCCGTTATTACAGTCGAGTACACCGATCTGTCCGCAAATATGACAAGGTAACCGCTACGAACGTTCTTCAACCCAAAAAGGCGTTTTAAATCGTCGACGTTTGAGCGTGGACATGGCTGAAAACGTACGACACAATGGGATTGACAGAAATCGATCAACAACGGTCGAATCGTTGCTTCGGCGCTGGATGGGATTTTCACTTCGCGGAGAAAATGCTCAGCTTAGTTCACAAAAGAAAGAGAGTCGCTCGCTGTTTTGTTTCTCGACAAAAAATCCAATACGGAAATATTCGTTGAGACTTGTCAATTCAAAGTATCCTTTTGCCAAAGTATACATAAATGTAGTGTTGTTTTTGCATAATTTTTGAGGTCTACCTTCAATAATAGCTCTGGGGGATATAATAGAATTTGTATGTGAGTTTTTGGCAAGGCTAGACGCAATATTTTCGCATTCCCAAGCGGGATTTGGCCTCGGGCGAATTCTATCCGTGATATCCGAGTAGAATCCTAAGCGGCAATCTTCACGAACCGGCAAAGCCAACGGTGACATTTCATATAGTTTATTCAGTCCTTGTGGCCCTCACAACTTTCAATATGAAAAAACTTTAGAACGTGATCGGTTTATTCTAGAAAAGTACACGTATGTATACAACAGGATTGATTCCAAGTAGGGATTTCGGAATACGCATTTTCGCCATTTGAAACGTGTAGATTTTGCTGGATTAAAGGAAAAAAAGTCGGTATTCATCTTTCGATTTTGCCAAACTTGCGCCAAAGTTAGACAGGCTAAATCATTTCAAACGACGACATTCCTACTTATCGGAAATTGCTGAGTGACTTGTACATCTCGGCAACATGCACATATCCGTTCGATGCGATTCCTTATTTTGAGAAGCGACGATTAACTTAGCGAGACTCCTTTATAAAAAAATACGGCGAGGCAAAAGGCAGATGCATTTAAGATCTGACGGAATATATTTCGTACGTGTACATGCAGTTGCCCGATTTGTCTTTCAAAGAAAGATTGAAAAAAATTGAACGGTAAACCAACTTTCGGCGACGAAAATGTTTATTAATTGTTACTTTTTATGTTTGTTACATTTAGACAGGAATATATTGCGGTGTTTTAATAATATATACGATGGTATAAACAATGCAAGATTGCAACATATAATATGGAGTATATCCCCCCAATGAACCACCGTTATATCAACTTATATGTCTGAAAATTTATCTTCATTCCACTGCAACAGTTCCGTAATTCGAACAGGCGACAGTAGTTTTAGACATGTACACTTTGGCCAAATGTTGAACTAGAAACGCACTAAAACTTATCGAAGCTTTGAATTTATATATTATAAAAAAAAACTTGTAATTCCTGAGTTTACCGACAACATTTTGTATTGTTTAACAGAGCGCACAGCACGAGACTCATTTTAACCCTGTGATCACTTCAAAGTCGACATGGAGTGCTTTTCGCTTTTGATCTAAAGTATAGCTTACAAACTTTTGAATTTAAAAAAAAATCGGTTAGTCTATGTAATATATATCATCAGAAATAATAATTGCATCGTCATGCTTTAAGAGCGTCTCGTGTAAATTTCATTGCCATTGGCCTTGGCTCGTTTGCGAGCGAGAATAGCTTTTATCGTAAGCCTAAATTGGCAAAGTTATTATAAAGATTAATATATCCAAAGGCAAAGACAACCGAATTCATTAATATTGTCGAGTCAAGATCGTTAAGCACTTTTTTCAGTATATACGCATACGTTCTTTTAAAACTTCTTGTGATATAGAATTATAGATGCTATATTTAGCATAGTACGTTGGTTCATCTCTGCTTTTAAAAAATCGATCTTGCCTGTGAGTTTTGTTTATTTTGAACAGCATGTAAGGCTATCTTAATGTGAAATTAAAGCCGAATAAGACTGTACTTGCATGAACTTTTTTTGCACATTGTTTTTAATCATATACAGGTGTAAATAAGGTCTTATATTTACAAATTTACATATATCGGTATATAAAGCATCAGTGAATTCAAATCTTTCATTTTAAGAAACAGTTTCTATGCTTGTCAATGACTATGTAGCTATATACTAATTACTAAGCTTGTCTATGACTAAAGCTGTAAAGTTTAGGTGTATTTCTCGTATTAGAATTTTGGTTGTAACCGATTACATCGTTGTAGATATTGCGTTTCTTCTATCTATAGTTCGTATTATTGAAAGCGAACTATGTATTATTCTTTTGTGCTCAAAAATAGCGCATGGCAACAGCAATTCTAACTAGAAATTTTCTCTTTGTTGCCCGCTTATATTTTGCGCGATAGACTATTATATACCCACGTTTGTGACGTGCGTGTTTGTATAAATATTATCGCAAGAAAGATTCCACATAACAAAGAAGAAATGATAATCGCCAAACCGTTGCTAATGATTAAAAAGCTCGTACAAATTATGCCATAGCTGTATAGATATGAATACGACAGATATATCAGTTTCCTTTCCTGTGCGATATAATTCATTTCCTTGCATGATAAATAATATTATTAGTGTTGGTTGTTGTATCTAACGCTAAGTCTAAGGCCAATTTTGATAGTGAAGGGAGAGATCTTTACTACTTTCGTATTCGGTTACTGGTAAAAGTAAATATTTGAGTATCCTCCTGTAGTGACACTGGATCAATAAGAGATTTTTCTTACTGGACCTCTAGGAAGAAGAGTTTAGAACTGATAGAGCTATCCAGTATAAATAAAGTTAGTTTAGTTTAGTTTTCCTCCTGTAGTAACACTGGATCAATAAGAGATGATCCTTACTGGACCTCTAGGAAGAACAGTTTAGAACTGATAGACTCTAGGAAGAACAGTTTAGAACTGATAGAGTTATCCAGTATAAATAAAGTTAGTTTAGTTTAGGTTTCATCCTGTAGTAACACTAGATCAATAAGAGATGATCCTTAGACCTTACTGGACCTGTTAGTAGAAGAAGAGCAATTTACAACGCATAGAAAATGCTTCAAAAAAGGCATAGACATGCCCATAGAGTTACACATGCAATGGTCCTCCATGCACTTGCTAATATTAATAAATAATATAAAGTATTGTAAAGTACTGACTCTTCTAAAGAAAGCCCTTATCGGTCGAATCATTGAAAAGATGTTTTCTTATCAATAATAAATTTTAGGCAGATAAAGAACCGACATGTTGTTGACGTTGACGCGATGTTAAATTTGAGAAACCTGCTATGGTTCAGTCAGTATATACCACCATCTTATATAGTGACTTGCTCATAAATAAAATTAGTTTAGTTCATGTCTTTTCCGGTAATCACAACGGGCCGATGTTAGAAATAATCTTCACTAAATTTTTATTCACTTTTAATTGTACGAATGCAATATAACTTTTTCGACGTATAGAGCTAAAGGGTTGGATGCTGGTGTACAAATTATATTCGTATAATTAGATTAACGATTCATACACAGTTACATACAGATCCCGACGCGGAAATTGCGTCCCTAATTCTTCTCAACTGGTGGCAAGATTTCAAGAAAAAACTTCCAGCATAAAGCTATTACAAAGACGCTTGCGAAAGCGCGTCTTACCGAGGACTTCCTGCATGTAAAGATGTGGGATCGAGCTTTGCCGTTCGCTTTTAATGCAGGCGACGAACGTTTGACTAAATGCATTATAAAGTTTCTTTAATGGATAAATTCCATTTGTTAGCAGTGAGTGAACATCTCGGCCTCAGCGTTTCTTGTTTTCAGTGTGTTAATTTCTTGCTACGGAGCAGGTGCAAAAATACTCTCGATTATCTAAGCCTCGCGCGCTGAGCGGTATATATACATTAAGATTTCATAATTTGATAATCAGTTGTGTGCAGATGCGAATATTCGTTATATATTTATGTTTACAAGCGAAATACTTTAATATTACTATATAAGAAAAAAACCCCAGAGAGCGAACCTTGATCAATTATGTAAAACTGTTTCTCGAAAACGGCTAAATTAATATAGGGAATTTCAAAAGAAACACTTGAAAACTTTCGGGACAATATATATACAAATGCCCGCAGCCAAAATTTCTACATGAAAATTACCGCGCCAGTTTTACATGTATGATCACAAAAATAGTGACGAATATTTACTAGACTTTTCAAAATATTTGCAGCCTTGAGAATTGTTTAAAAAAGTGAATTAAATGAAATCTTTTGAAGGAAATACGTTTTTTCTTTACTTTAATCTGTTTATGCATGCTTGGCGTTTATTTCTTCTACATATATTTATACAAACGTGATATTTTCAGAATGAAAAAGTTCGACTCTGCATTATAGCTACTTGTGACTCTATGTCAAAATTACATGCATGCACGTATAGTCTAATAATTATCATCTGTCCATGCAATATCAACATCCTATGTTATTTGTTTTTCATTTTCACGACCAAATTCTGCAGATCATGTCCGCGATAAGCTATATTCGGACGTTTTTGATATGTCATTTGCAAGATTATTGCTGGAATACGTTAGGGAGCTGTTATCTAAAATCAATACACGTGGAAAAGAATAATTGAGAATGTTTAATTTTATCTTTGTTAGCAATGTATCCCCATATTCCCTGCGGCAACTTGATTAGGATGTACATTTATTTAAACGAAAACAAAAGTCAAGATTTTAGCACTATGGCTCATGATTTTGTTTGTTTTTTTTCAGAGGAGTCGTGAAATTTCTAGGGTATACAGTAATCGGTTGTATATATGAAAATCTTGCCATCCAAGATGGTGAATCACTTGCGCATGCGTTACTATACCACATCGCAAGCATTTATTGTATTTTTCCGTACATCGTCTTTATCTACATACATCAAATGGAGAACAGCTCAAATACATTAATAAATACAAAATTATATCGGATTAGATCTCCTGTGATGTCGTTTTAAGACGGTTAAACTTCCACTCCTTCCAGTTTGTTTTTCTTAACTTTCATTTTCACTCCCAGACCGTTCGATTACTTCATCCTTCTAACAATAGCAGCGAATTGTGTTGTACTATCAATGGACGCTCCCCACCCCGCAGGGGATTCGACCGACTTGAATAGACAACTGGTAAGAAAATACTAATGAACAACTCTTAATTAAAACTGCATATCATCACTACGCTAACATCGCCATAATGTTGCTGAATATTTCCAGGAGGCAAGCGAAATATATTTCGTTGCCATATACAGCTTTGAAGCTCTTGTAAAGATCTTGGCAATGGGCTTTATTCTACACCCAGGGGCGTACTTACGAAATGGCTGGAACATTTTAGATTTTATCGTTCTTATCGTTGGGTAAGTAAATGGCAAAGGGCCTGTTTACATGGAGCGAGTTATCTCGGCTAGGCGAGCCGGGTTAAACTGCATATAATGAAAGACTAATCAGGTTAAACCTTTGATGTGATGCTCTTTTTACCTCGCCCAGCCGGGATAACTTGCTTCATGTAAACAGCCCTAAGATAACTGCTATTCCTTGGGCTAGTGCCGATAGACCGGGGTAATTAATGGGCGTCACCTTCCCCCCTCCACCTCAAAAGTTCGTTCTAATTAGAAATCAGGTGAGTTGTGACTTGTGAGGCAAAGGTATACGGAATTTTTATTCGAAACATTATTATGTCATTCGTCTCGTCCTTCAGAATTATCGGCGTGGTTCCCGAGATGAGTCAGGAAACTAAAGATAATTCCGAAGGAATCAAAGCTCTTAGGGCGATACGTGTTTTGAGACCGCTGAAACTGGTTTCCGGTATTCCAAGTAAGACTACGATATTCATTATAACTGTGTTGTAACGCAATGTTGATAGTAAGATTATACCCACCAGAGTTCTTCTTCATAAGCAAACCAATCGCTCGTATATTTTGTCAGGTTTGCAAGTGGTAATGAAGTCAATAGTTCGTGCAATGAAACCATTGATGCAAATCTTATTTTTGATACTGTTTATAATTGTGATATACGCAATAATTGGTCTTGAGCTGCTGGTCGGTCGCTTTCATTGGACATGTAGAAAAACCGCTACGGGTAAGATTACATCAAGTATACTCGTGTAATGAATGACCTTGATTAATTAACCAGCTAGGAGTGGGTCAGTCAACTTTGCAATTAACTGACCGAGGGTAACCGCTGAATCCAGTTCTTTGTTCTTCAGGTGAGATGAGTGAAACTCTGCTGCCAAGTCGTCCGTGTGGGGACGATGGAGGACGGACGTGTGGAAGTGGGGAGAGATGTGAATATATCAACTCGACGGCCCAGTGGCCTGGACCCCATTATGGAATAACATCCTATGATCATATATTCCTGGCTATGCTGACCGTTTTCCAATGTGTCACAATGGAAGGATGGACAGACATTATGTATATTGTGAGTATTAGTGATCACAATTCTGAGCAGTTCACTCATTTCACCCCTCACTCACTCAACCTCTCATCTTACTCCTCCCCCTACCTCTCCCATCACCTCTCACCCCACCACTCATCACTTATCACCCGGCCACCTCACCTCGTCTTGAACCTCACCGCACTGTCACCTATTACCAACCAGTTTTCGCAACGCATGCACACCCGCTCAAATCCTCCTTTTACCCCCCCTCACCCTGATCCCCCTTGTATCCCCCCACTCACCCTGATCCTCCTTTTACCCCCCACTCACCCTGATCCTCCTTTTGCCGCCCCCGCCCTCACTCACCCTGATCCCTCTTTTTTTCACCTTCACAGGCAACCCTTCTACCCACCACTTGTCCAATTACATACTCTCTCCACTTTCCCCTTCTCTGCCCCCTCACCCACCCTCCTCACCTTTTGCAATTGCACTTGTAGAGTTTTGATGCTCGCGAGTACGAGTATGGTGTGGTGACGTCGATTTTGTACATTTCATTGCTGATTATTGGATCGTTCTTCATGTTGAACCTTATTCTTGGTGTTCTCAGCGGGTCAGTAAGTCCAGCCGTTCAAGAGTATACCATCTTAAGTGCAAAAGACTGTGATACGCCTGTGAAAATCACTGTTTCATAACATAATTACTAAAAACACAACGAGAAATATGTGATCAACTTCAGTGATAAGTGCGGAAACCATACATGCATGGTTTTTAGAGGCAATCAGTTGTTTTTTCTACCAGCATTGCAAATCTCATTTACAAGTCTAAAACGCTCTAAAACTTGCTATCATTTTCTGACAGGGAATTTGCCAAAGAACGCGAGAGAGTGGAGAATCGTCGTTCCTTTTTTAAATTTCGTCGTCAGCAACAGATGGAAAGAGTTATGTCAGGTTATACAGATTGGATCATAAAAGCCGGTAAATAAGAATGAGTGTTTTGGATCGACTTGTACATAATTGTTGCCATTACTTGTCTCTGGTCAAACAAAGTTTAGATTTGCTGAGTGTTTGCAAGCTAGTTTTAGTTTTTACGAGAGTTTTATCTTCTCCTATTCCTTGGTTTAACGAGAACAAACTTTACATAATCGGATTATATTGCAATTCAATGAAATTTCAATTATGATTCAAGTTTCCAAGTTTGGAATGCTCAACTTCCTGAGTTTTCCTCGGTGAAAATGTTTATATTTATTTGAGCTGTATTTATTTTATCGTTTGATTGTCTTTCAAGAGGAAATAATTATCAGAGAGGAACAGAATGAAGATGAAAGACAAGCTCAAGGTATGATATTGTACCTATGACCGTACGCGTAAGCTAGTTGGGCTTGTATATTAGTAGCAACAGCCAACGCTCAGATTAACTTTGCTGCCATAATCATCTCACATTGGGAAAAGTTGAAGGTGAAACACAGAATAACACATTGTAAAGCAGTAAGTATAATAGACCACTAAGGCTAGTACGTATTTGTAGCAAAGGTCAGCATCAGTGCTTGCGAAAAGTACAACAATTCTGAGTTCTGCCTGAAGATTTTCACATTGCAACATTCATAGAGTTTCATCTCTTACAGCGGCCCGGCGAATTCAGGAAAATATGGTGCACAAACGGCACAGCTTGTCAGAGTCATTCATGAATCTCATTGATGGAAATAAAGAACTACTGAACCATTTGAATAACTGTCGAAAAGACGCTCAGAGCTCAATGGCGAACAAGTAAGCACAATTGTGAGATGTTTTTGAAACGTCCATGTTCCAGTAAGTGCATGTATATATGTCAGCTCGACCGTGGCACCAACGTCTACCATTTTCCTTTCTTTCAGAACCGATGCGGTGCGAAAATTGAAACAAAAAATGAAGAAAAGCCGTCTCTATGCTCGGCAAATAGTTCGAAGTAATTTCTTCTACTGGTCTGTGATTGTCTGTGTTTTTCTCAACACGCTAGTCATAGCTCTAGAGCATCACGGACAACCGGAATTTCTTACAAAGTTTCAAGGTGCGTCCATGGGTGATTACTACCCTCATCTACAGCTAAACGTAATCTACTGAAAAACGCCTGGGACATGCATGAGAAACGGCAGTTTCAATGTTTCCATTTCAGATACCTGTGAATTGGTTTTTCTGGTTATATTCATCGCTGAAATGTTGTTCAAAATGTTTGGTCTCGGTTTCCACACCTATTTCAGTTCTGCTTTCAATTGTTTTGATTTTACGGTTAGTACAACAAAGTTTTCTTTCAGTTCTTTGGTAAAATTTCCACCACAGCAATCGCGCATGTTGATCGGGCTTAACTCTATCTGCAAATAACGAGGTTCTGTAACCAATGTATATATAGCAAGCGATGTTGATTTCATTTGTAACATCTTCAGGTCGTCTTATGTGGTCTCGTGGAAATGATCATTCAGGAAGTGAATGACATCAGTCTTGGCATTAGCGTTCTAAGAAGTCTAAGACTTCTGAGAATATTCAAAGTAACAAGGTAATGAGATCAATACGGTGCCAACATCACACTTAACCCGAAGCAGGCGGATTTGCGAAAATTTTCGATCGAGAGGAATCTTTCGCGAGATTTTTTTTCAATTGTGAGAATTGAGTCGAAGTGGATTTTCACGATTGGAAGAAAAATCACGCAAAAATTTTCGAAAATGCCGCCCAGTATAAAACCGCCTTCATGTTGGCCTCGCTACGTGTGAGGGCTGTTTTTCACTTCGGATAATTATCCAGTCAACTCTGGATCGAATATAAAGGGTCTTGTTCAAATCTATTCTTCTTGCCCAGAGGATATTTTTTTCCAGCCTGGTTTTTCAAGATAGCTTCTGCCATTAGTTGGCTCGAACAAGATTGCCCGTTTAAAGCAGCACTACAGGCGTTAAAAGAAGCAATTCGGCTGAACTGTGTCTTGTTTTCTTGTTGTTTAGGTTCTGGAAATCTCTGCGAAATCTAGTAACATCGCTACTCAACAGCGTTCGCTCTATTCTTAGCCTCATATTTTTACTCCTGCTGTTTATTTTCATATTCGCTCTGCTTGGGATGCAGCTGTTTGGAGCAAAGTAAGCCGAATGCGAAATTTGAATTAAAATATAACATTTATATAGTACGCGCGTGCTAATTGGTAAACAAGCATGTTTCTATAACTGTATTTTCCCGCCGTGTTTCTATATAGTTATAAAAATACTTGTGGGAGTTTAAGAGAACTCGAAATAACCTGATTATTTCTCGTTCTCCCAAACTCCCACGCGTGTTTTTATAACTGTATAGAAAAAAGGAAAATGTTTTTTATTTCGTAATTTGACCAATGGTAAAACTCTCTTCTTGTACTAACAAAGCACTTTGAAAAACGTAGATTCAACAACAAATTGGATCCTCCAAGAACAAATTTTGACAACTTCTTCCAAGCCATGCTTGCTGTCTTTCAGGTAAAGTTAAATATAAAAAAATATAGCGATCTATTTCATAGATCAACTAATCTTTTTCATCATACCAACTAATCCAACTTTTTATTCGTTGCTTTAATTTTACACAATTGCGATGACTCGTTTCATATCATGTTGATTTTAAAAAGATGAGCTCTCTGTCTTAATCCTAGATGCTCTCTGGGGAGGACTGGAACACAGTAATGTACGAGGGTATTTTGGCCAGTGGAGGACCATATACCATCACTGGAATGCTAGCATCACTTTATTTTATTGGTCTTGTTATCCTGGGCAATTGTATCCTTTAAATGTTAGCTATACTTGAGATACTCCTTACTGGACCTCTAGGAAGAAGAGTTTAGAACTGATAGAGCAATCCAGTATAAATAAAGTTAGTTTGGTTTAGGTTTCCTCCTGTAGTAACATTGGATTAATAAGAGATGATCCTCACTGGACCTCTAGGAAGAACAGTTAGAACTGATAGAGTTATCCAGTATAAATAAAGTTAGTTTAGTTTAGGTTTCCTCCTGTAGTAACACTGGATCAATAAGAGATGATCCTTACTGGACCTCAATTAAGGAAGAACCATTTGGAAACGATAGTCTTTGTCCATGAACTAGAAGTTCCTATAAATTCTTTAACTCGGCAATCCTCCCAGACACCTTGCTGAACGTTTTCCTGGCGATAGCGGTAGATAACCTGGCCACGGCGCAGGCGCTAACACGTGACGAAGAGAGAGAACAAAAAGAAAGAGAATTAGCGAAGAAACGGATACAGGAGAAGCGGCAAAAAGGATGGATGAAGGCGAAGAAACAGTTGCCAATTGTTCTAAATTTTAAACATTTGTCGAATCTTCGTAACTGCAGGTGGGTAAAAGATAGTCATATGGAATATGGTGTGAAAATTCTAGGAACATCAAGGCGTGTGTAATAAGTTGAGATTAGATGTTGAGGAAGATTTCGTGGTACAAAAATCTCTAAAATCTTTCCCTTTTCATAGGCTTGCTGAGCAGAGAGACAACGAAAGATCTAGTTCTATAGAGGTAAATCCAAACGCTAACCCTGGGTTAAAATTTAATCCGCTGCTTTGGTTCATATGGTTCTGCACCGCTGTTTGTTTCAAGACTTCACAAAATAAGGCTTCTATTGATCAGCAAAATATTTTGTGAAAAAACATGTTCAACTTCGTAAACGAACGTTTGAAAAAAATTATGTTAAAGTTTGAGTTAACCCTGGGTTAAGCTAAACGGCTTTTGAACAACCGGGCCCAAAACGCAATGTTCTAGGGGTATAACTTTTAACAAATTGAAGCTCATATGATACGTTGGGAAAGCAAATCAATTTGCTATGCTTGAAACGCGGATAAGAAATCGAAAAAAGTAAATCCATCCATGACTTTTTTTCAATGATTTCAATTCTAGATTACGTCACCAGTGACATCGCCGAATGACGTGGCACTGCAGTTTAACAGCAACCCAGAAAGCAATATACGCGCGGGGGTGTATGAGGTGACTGAGGATGAGAACAGTACACCGCGGGATGACGGGGGTGAAGAGGTCGTACGCAATATCAGCTTTGCCGAGATACTTCAGCAAGTGAAAGATAGAGATAAACAAGAGAGACAACTTGGAATCGATGAGGATACGGAGGGTGTACAATCTGAAAACAATTACATCCGTAAGATTTGTTCGTGTAATTGTGCCTATTTTTTAGAATTTGGGCTGGGTGCGTTTAGAAGCTTTGACACGTTTTTCATGCAAGAAAAACGAAGCAGAAAAGCTTAATGGTCCAACCACATCGTTTTTTTTATCATTTTTGATCACAAGAATACCATTCGCTACCCATAAAGGTTTATTAAAAATCATTTTCCAGAACAAGGTATCAGCAATCATGGATTCGCAAAAACGCTCCGTAATCCAGAGAAGATAATTGGCCGTCGCTTGATAGCCAGACGTGTGCCTATCATAAGAAAGAATGCTCTATTTATATTTTCGCCACAAAATCCGTAAGTAACGAACGGTGAACACAAGGCTACTCAACAGCGTTCTTCGCTCCGTAGATTTGATCGTAGGGAACAAGCTGATCTTTGTTTTGTTATTTTCAGCTTGCGACGATTTTGTCACTGGGTGGTAAATCTTCGTTATTTTGATGACGTCATCCTCGTTTTGATAGCAACAAGTAGCTTGTCATTGGCTGTAGAGGATCCCGTGGAACCTTTCGGTCAGTCCGAACGAAACAAGGTAGGAACAATAGTAGAACAAGAAAATGACTGTTGGATTGTAGCAGTAGCTTCCCTCATGAAGATGTTGACTTTGATAAATATATTGTACCCCTCAAACTAGCTTTAATTTATATTTATTCTTGTCAATTGCTGTAGATTTTATCTTATTTTGACTGGGTTTTCACGGTTGTGTTTGCAATTGAAGTTATTATAAAGGTAGGCCTTCAATGTCCGAATTCCGGATCTCCTCTTTCAACACGTTTTACGTGTGAAACTGAACAAGTTTGCTCATTTGTAGATAATTGATGTTGGAGCCGTGCTTCACAAAGGCTCGTATTTTCGCGATCCTTGGAATGTGATCGACGCTGTTGTTGTCTGCGCGAATGTAGCCACGTTGGCCATCAGGTAAGGACAATGGGGGGAGGATAGAGGAGAGAAAGGTAAGAGGAAGGTGGGGGAAACTATAATGAGAGCTAAGAGAACGAATAAAGACGAGGGGAGGGGAGGAATTGGAGGAAGAAGAGGAGGGAGTGGAAAAAGGGAAAACGTTTTCGAGGAAGAGGGGGAAACGAGGAAGAAACGGGGAATAAATTGGGAGAGGTGAGGACAGGAAATGAGAGGGGGAATTGATTGAAGTGGGGAGTAGAGAGAAAGACGGGGAAAGAAATGGAAGAGACGGAGTAAGGAAAAGATGAAGGAAGAGCAGATCGAGCAAAAAATGTGCGAAGATAGTATATGCACGCAATCATACGTAATGCAGATGCAAGCTGATTATCAGTTATTCATTATCGGTAACTGTTATTTGATTTAATCAGGTTAACGTCATCATCAGAGGCTTCTATGAGTGGAAAAGACATCTTGAAATGTCTCAGAGTTCTTCGCGTTTTGCGTCCTCTAAAAGCCATTAATAAGTCGAGAAAACTCAAGGTACAGCTGGATATAAATCAATCCCATTTGTGCTAACTTTAAAAGAGTTCACTATATCTTTACAATTTGTTACTACAATTTTTGCCAACCACTTCTTTTCTCTGTTTTCAGACCGTGTTTCAATGCATGGTTTACTCTCTCAAGAACGTCATCAATATCATCCTCATCACTCTCTTGTTCTTATTTATTTTCGCTGTGATTGGTGTCCAACTATTTCAGGTACAAAGAAAACCTTTTGATGTTTAATAGAAAACTAAGTTCTCATCCAAGTAAAGAAGATAGTTCAAGATACAAATAAATCGTATTTGAAAGACTTCATGTTCTGTTGTACTAGAATTTGTTATTGTAAAGTTGCAAAGTCTGGTTGCCAATTTTTTAGAATAAAATGCAAAAAAATATAGCTTTGCGAAGTTTTCAAATTATAATCTTGTAAGGTATTCTGTACGACTGTTTGGTTCGACCATTTGCCACCATTTCCAGCGGAATTGTGCAGCAATTTTGCAAAATTTCTTTAAAGCTATTCCCACTTTACCTTTTCTGGTTTTCTTGTAATCCTTTATTTTCCGTAAAAAGATTATTTAAATATTTTCTCAAGGGGAAAATGTATTATTGCACAGACCCTTCGAAGCGAACAGAGGAGACTTGCAAGTATGTAACTTGATTTTCAAACTATAGTGCCTGCATATATATTATGCTTTTGGGGAAGTTTTAAGTTTGCTATAATTCCACAATCGTCTATTTTCAGAGGCCAGTATTTTCATTACTTCAGCGCTGCCAACAACGAAGATATTCCCGCTTTTAAGGTGGGTCTCTAAAGATCATCTTATCACGAACTTAACCAATTTCGCCTTGAATATATTTTGATTTTTTTTCACAAAGATCTCCAAACGTGATTGGAAAAAGCGTGTTTTCAACTTTGACTCCCTACCTCAAGCAATGCTTACTTTGTTTTCGTCGTTGACCGGGGAAGGATGGCCGACGTAAGTAGAACCACCAAGTTCTTGAATACTTCCAGATCTGAACCATCGACTTTTTCTATTTGTGCAGTCAGGCTGATTATCTTTAAGAACCAGGGGCCGGTTGTATCAAGCCCGTTTAGCTTAAACGGTGGATAAGTCAAAATTAAATAACACTATTACATCTCTCTTGAATGAGTCAACTTGAATTCTATGCGCTGAATATGTAGTTGTAAACAGTATCTTTGTATTAAAGTCAAAAACATTTAGTTCGCTTGTTAAATAAAACGATAAACTTGCTTTCTATTTTGAACTTAACCACCGTTTAAGCTATGTCCCCATGCATTTAGCTACACCGCGTCTTCATTTTTCTTCTTTTGGTAGATGTAAACGAGTAAATTAGTTACGGATGTTCAAATAAGAGTTCTTACCCTTCAGAGCATTTCTACCTAATTACTCGTTCACATCTGTCAAAAGAAGAAAATCGTACCAAAAATTATAGCAAAAAACAGTCTTCGGACATTAAAGCACCTCGAATGATAATTACCTATTCCTTTTACATGCTTTGAGCATATAATACTTAGAACAGGTTTCAATATCTCAAATTTGCTATAATTTTCGATTTATTTTTTCATCTTCAGGACGATGTATCATACTGTTGACGCCACTGAGGAGAATATGGGTCCCATACGAGACTACAATATTCACATGTCAATTTACTACGTTTGTTTTGTCGTCGTGTTTGCTTTCTTCTTCATCAATATTTTTGTCGCTCTCATCATCGTGACTTTCCAAGAGTCTGGAGAACGGAATATCCTCGCCTGTGATCTCGACAGAAACCAGGTGAACTGCATCCTCATTGTTAAACTAGACGGCTAACTTCCCTGAGATAGTTGAAGCTATTATCTTTTGTTTTTTGACTGACTTTTTGCTGAAGTTTTCTACTCTCAATACCGATTGGAAATTTTTATTTGCTTCGTTTTGATATGCAGCGGGACTTTTGGAGCCCAGGGCCGGTCGTTTGAAAGGCGTTTAGCTTAAACGGTTGATAAGCCAAAGCTTAAAATTCCTCTCATAGATCTTGTGAATGACTGAACCTGCATCTTATGCATTAAATATGTACTTCCATTGGCAATTAAGCTATTCACATCGACATATTTTAGCTCAGTTGTTCAATAAATATATAGTTTTGTCTTCCATTTTGAACTTATCCACCGTTTAAGCTTAACGCCTTTTGAACAAGTTACCGGCCCCAGGATTTTAGCTTATGAGCTATGAGTCAGAAGAACCGTGCTCTGGCTCAAGCAAAATATAGTCATGTTCATCATCAGTTATACAGCCTTCCTTAAATATAGTTCTGCTTTGTTTTATTTCCCTGTTCTTATCCACCAAGATTCCCCACTTTCCAAGCTCAAAGCGTTCCTACATCTTCAATTTTTCAGCGTGACTGTATTCAGTTCGCTATCAATGCCAAACCTCGCCAGCGTTTCATGCCGGAAGACAAAAGCACTCTGTCCTACAAGACATGGGTCCTCGTGGAATCAAAACCGTTTGAAATCACCATAATGATCTTGATCGCCTTGAATGCCGTCGTTCTCATGATGTCGGTAAGTCCTCGATATCACAGCCGCGCATGCGTGGAGCCATTGATAGATCACCATTACCCTGAACTAAAGTATTTTGCGAACTTGTCTATCTACATTAAGTCTTCTTCCTTTGTCTAGTACAATGGTATGAGTGACGTCTATCAGAACACATTGAACTACATGAATACTGGCTTCACCATAATTTTCACAGTCGAAGCAATTCTCAAATTACTGGCCTTCAGAGCGGTAGGTTGATGAGTTATTTCGCACTCCTCGTCTAAAACTGACCTGATCATAAAGAGCTTCATCTCATCTTTCAGAATTACTTTCGTGACGGATGGAATATCTTTGACTTCATCATCGTTTTAATAACGTTTTCAGGAGTGATTCTGAATTTTGTTCGAGTGAGTTAAGAACTCTTTTGTTTTGAAATCTGGGACTAGTACAACGAAGGTTGGATAGCGCTAACGAACAGACACCTTTTGCAATTAAAAAACCACAATTCCGGTGGAAAGCGTTATCCAGCTTTTGTACCAAGCGTTCCAGTATTCCTGTTTAAAAACACTGAACGCTATTTCAGAATGAGCTCTTCTGATTCCAGGGCAATAAAGACGACCTTCCAATCGATCCAACATTTTTCCGTCTCTTCCGAGCTGCTCGTCTTATTAAACTCATACGTCAAGGTTACACAATACGAATGCTGCTGTGGACGTTTTTACAGTCTCTGAAGGCCTTACCTTACGTTGTGACACTAATGGCAATATTGTTCTTCATCTATGCTGTCGTTGGAATGCAGGTAATGGCAGAGATGTAAAGGAAGTATTGAATTTCTCGATCATTAAGATACCTTTACACTTCACGAAAGCTATCTTTTCATTTAATATATGATTTACTCGAAATAATGAATTTTGGTACAGTTTACTATGTGTCATATCGATATTTAAAATTTATTATTCAGGACTTATGCTAAAATCAATGAAATGAGGGGTTTTATTCCTTCATATTGATGCATATTTCTGATCAATTTTTCTGTATTGTCCTGTAGTTGTTTGGTAGAGTTCAACTGAACGATGCAACGAACATCAAACACCACAACAATTTTCAAAGTTTTCCACGAGCCCTCCAAGTTTTATTCAGGTAAAACCTAAAGATACATTGGAAGCTAAAGAAACGCTATTGGTTTTTCCAGAATATGGGTCTTTGTCGTTCCTTGATGAAAATGAAAAGTTTTTCCGACATTCAAAGCATTTTGTGCAGCACTGACAATTGAACATGACTTTAACGCCTGTATTCAAAAAGTATTCTTTTCATTTTCAGAGCAGCGACGGGCGAGAGTTGGCATTTGGTGATGAAGGATTGCTTTGATCTTGCATTATGTGATAGCCGAGCTGGATTTTACCCTGGGGCAAAGTGTGGAAACACTGCTGCTTCTATAATCTATTTTTGTTCATTTTATTTTCTTTGCTCGTTTTTGGTAAGTCGGTTGTCTTCTTTGATAAACTGTGGTGGTCCAGTGTAGGTAGTATTCTACAATAAGCTGCCGTGGTTTGTGTCTGAATTACCTGAGAAAGATATCTCAAACGTGGTGGTCTAGTGTAGGTAGTATTCTACAATAAGCTGTCGTGGTTTGTGTCTGAACTACCTGAGAAAGATATCTCAAACGTGGTGGTCTAGTGTAGGTAGTATTCTACAATAAGCTGTCGTGGTTTGTGTCTGAACCACCTCAAAAAGATATCTCATGTTGAAGTTTAAACGTCCATTTTATATGAAAAATATAATATATTGCAGATGTTGAATTTATTCGTTGCCGTAATTTTGGACAATTTCGAATACCTGACTCGCGACGAGTCCATTCTTGGTCCTCATCATTTGGACGAGTTTGTCAGAGTTTGGTCGGAGTATGACCCAACGGCAACGTAAGTCAGTTCTCAGTTCTTCAGGCATGTAGACGGCCACAATATTGAACCAGTGCATTAGTTCCTCGGAACATGATTGTGGATGATAATAGTGGAAGTTTAGATATACAATAACGGTTCGACAATATGCTGATCTATACAAATGCTTGTGTGTTTTTTTTCTAGTGGTCGGATTACCCACAAGAATGTTTATCGTTTAATGTGTGACATGTCACCTCCAGTCGGCTTTGGCAGAAAATGCCCAAGATTCCTAGCATACAAGGTAAGATAAATGTTTACTAGCTTGTAGTGCGAATTCTTGAAGTGAAATTTTAAAAGGGATGAAACTGAGGCGTTAGAAATGACCTTGAAGACGCCAGCCCTAGATTCTAGCAAGAATTTTTTGGTTGCAATCGAGCAAAAACGAAAGATGGCGATATTTGTTGTAAATTTCTTTGTTTTCGTTCTTCAGCGTTTGATCAAGATGAACATGCCAATAATGGGAGATAGCACCGTACTCTTTACTTCGACACTGTTCGCCTTGATCCGTACCGCTCTCGGGATCTACAACAACGGCGAACTGTCCCGAGGAGATGACGAATTGAGACAAGTTATTAAGAGATTGTGGCCGAAAGTTTCACAGAAAATCTTGAATAGAATGGTCCCTCGTGACTCGGGTATGAACCGTGATATATGTCGATGTATTTAGTTCATCTGTCTTTCAACACTGTTACCAGAGCTTGAATTACATTGTAGCATGCATGTAGGCCCATAATATCTAAGTCGTGTCTAAGTTTCCTTTGCCAATCCAATCGACACTTTCTTTTCAATAGTTCTGAGTTCGCATCAACTGACGATCGGTAAAGTTTATTGTGCGAAGTTGATTTACGAAAATTACAAAAGTAGAAAGCGGAAACAAGAGGAAATGGATTGCTTGAACAAAAGGAAGAAGGTAGTTTTTTTTGGCGATATTTTGTTCAAAAAAATTGATCGATCTGACTGGACGGACGAGGTCAATGTAAGACGCCATGTGAATACCAGGATTTTTTTCGCTTCAGCGTCAACCGTCACTCTTCCGTCGTTTGATGGGTGCTCTGCGTACTTCGAGCTCTGGGTTGGAAGATGAAGAGGCTGGGGACCAGTCGAATGATTTACGAGTGCCACCAGCTGAACAGTTGCACCGACGGCGCAGATCTCAAACTCTCAACACACCACCACTCGCCCTGTAAGTTAATTATTGATTGTCATCATTGGTGAGATCAGATTAGATCGAATTTGTATTCACAATGTGTCTAGGTTTGGTTCAAATAAACATACCCCTGTCTCTTCTAGGAAGAACAGTTTAGAGCTGATAGCGCTATCCAGTATTCAGTATAAATATAGTTAGTTTAGTTTAGGTTTCCTCCTGTAGTAACACTGGATCAATAAGAGATGATCCTTACTGGACCTCTAGGAAGAACAGTTTAGAACTGATAGAGCTATCCAGTATAAATAAAGTTAGTTTAGTTTGTAGTAACACTGGATCAATAAGAGATGATCCTTACTGGACTTCTGGAAAGAACAGTTTTGAGCTGATAAAGCTATCCAGTATCAGGAAAGTTAAGGTTTCTTCTGTAATAACACTGGTTCCTTGCATATGCATTTTTAGGCGAGATAAAGTAAGTAGTTCTGTAAAGATAAGCAAAAACAAATCCATGAAATTCTTCCGCAAATCACATAAGAAGAGAAGCTCTGGTAATCGGAGTACGATGAGTGGAAGGATAGTCACATTTTCAGAGGTGAGTCACACCGCAACCATTGTGAAAACAAAATGGAGTTACATATAGGTAGATGTGATTTTATGACCACCTCTAGCTTTCATGAATGATTTTTCCGTTATAGGATATCCCTATGGATTTGACTGATATTAAGCCGACAATCATAGATAACGATGAAAGATGCGGTATTCTAGCTAAACCAAGGGCGTACACGTTTGATAATCCTGCCATGGTAAGGGTATTAATGAAAACTAACTTTATTGATCCCAGGAACATAGCTGCTCTTAACTAACGTTGTTCACAATAGCAACTGTTTTTACAGGTAATGCTACATTAAGTATTTTGCTATTCCATTCCGTCCTAGAGTATTGACGACGAAAAATTCATTCCAAATCTTGTCAAAAAATCGCCTTCATTTCCCACCTACCGAGGTACATGGTCACCCCTCGCCCCTGCCCTTGTTATCTTGCAGGTGCCAACTCTAGAACACACCCCACCTCCCCCCACTCCTCCAGCGCTGGATCCTTCATTTCCTGACGTCATACGGTCGGCCGAAGCCAGTCCCAGGCCGTCGCTAACTTCGGTCATACATGACGCCAATCTTATTAAGGAGATCAACGAGAAGATTGCTGAAGCTGTGAGCAGAGGACAGACTCCGTATTCAATATACGCCATCAAGGATGGAGACGAGACGAGCTGGTGTTGAATGACGCATTTCGGTAAATCAGGTGACCTAGTCAGCGGTTGTACCTAATAAGAGGTTGTTTTGAGCCTGCGATGATGACGGTCAACGTCGGCATTAATTTGGGGTCCGCACCATTGCTAGCTATAGTGTCTTTATAAAATTCGAGCCCATAGTCATTCGAGCCAGCGGCTGAGGCGGTACTGAGCCCGCGGTAAATTTTGTACATGTTAAAATTCAAAGATTGGTCGTGGACTAGATATTTCTACGAAATGGACGAAAAATCTAGTGTAGATTCCATTTAGACCATTTTTTGCTTGCAAGATGGCTGATGGTAATATTTATAAATAGTGAAAATAATTACATTTTTAAGTGATCTCGTCAGGAACGAACAAAACAAATAGATTTTATGATATTTCTTCTCGTATTTTAAAGAGTTCCCCGGCTGGCGCCGGTTTAATAAAAGAATATTTATTAAGAATTAAGCAATCAACCTGATTTTTAAGCTGAGGAAATCCTATAAAAATTTCACATGGGTTTCGCATACGCGACTAACTTTTTCCCACTGAACCTTGGTCGAGCTCCCTCGTTGACAAATCCACCGACTAAAACAGTACGTGAGGCAACTAGAATAGTATTTTGGGATAGGTGGGGGGAGGTCAACCCACACCCTCGTATGTACGCCCCCGGTGTAAAAGTAACAAACAAATTTCACCTAGAAACAACTGTCACAAATTTATAATATTTACAATCTTATTGCAATCCTCCCCGTCCAGAAGGCCAAGGATCATCTCTTGTATAGATAGCATCCAGCTAACATCTGTTCAAAGATTTCGGGTATTTATCCTTTAGTTCAGTTTTAAATGTCCGAAACAACATCCTATTTTTATTATTCTCCTCGTTCTTCGTCTTGTGAAATGATTCCTTGTTTTTGAAGCCTCGGTGAAGCAGGAATCCCCGATCCAAGACGAAATATTGATAGCCAGCAATGTGCAGTTCACAGGCGTGGCTGATCCGGTTGAAACCGTACTAAAAACACGCAGGATAAGGAAATGTATTGTCAACTGCTTTATGAGGTACATGTCTATAGGGGACACCTGCATACACAGATGAGATTCAAGCTTGTTACTGAAATATTTCTTTCACGTACCTGTCTGAATCTCTCGTCGTAGTCAGGAGCAGATTTTGGAGAGATGAAAAATGGTTCCCAGGGGTCTTGCCATTCGATCTCGTATCCAACATCCATATCTTTATCGTAGTTAACGAAACTGAAATTTCAGTGACAAATTTACTTTCCCTCTAGCACGCTCTTTCAAATGTTACTACAGGAGGAAACTGTTCTTCCTAGATGTCCAGTAAGGATCATCTCTTATTGATCCAGTGTTACTACAGGAGGAAACCTAAACTAAACTCACTTTATTTATACTGGATAGCTATCAATTCGAAACTGTTCTTCCTAGAGGAGCATTATGGATAATCTCTTATTGATCCAGTGTTACTACAGGAGGAAACCTAAACTAAACTAACTTTATTTATACTGGATAGCTCTATCAGTTCTAAACTGTTCTTCCTACAGGTCCGGTAAGGATCATCTCTTATTGATCCAGTTTTACTACAGGAGGAAACCTAAACTAAACTAAATCTATTTATACTGGATAGCTCTATCAGTTCTAAACTGTTCTTCTTAGAGGTTCAAACCAACCTCTGCCATCTTTCGTAATCAGTTGGTCTTTGGCATTTCCGACAAATATCGTAGTAAAACGGACGGACTTTTCCTTCGTCCAAAAGATTGACAAGCTCTCTTTTATCCTTGGGCATATAATCAGCTCCCTTTGAACGTACCTCGAAAGCCGGTAGCACGAAAACACTCTTATCTGAACGCGAATACGAAAATTCGTTTAGGTAAAATCTCATCTGAACTAAGGCAGAGCTGCATTTCAAGTTTAAAAGCCCTCGTGCACTGCAGAAAATTGGCTGAACGTAGAAAGCTTACCGCTGTAAAAGCTATTGCCATCAACAAAAAGATTATTTTCCGTGGCAAAAATCATGAAGTCTGTATACAAAGCCTGATTCGGAATCATGTCGATATCCACAACCAGTGAATATCGTCCCTCAACTCCGTGCTTGGCGATGTTTCTCAGTAAATTGTTGGGATATTCGACCTGGAGTGAAGATATATTTCAGACCGATATATAGAGATGATAGGTCCGCTTTGGGCGATTATAATCATACATGGTAATCCAGTCTTGTCGGGGAAGGCGATCCCAGTCAAATATAACAATATCATTGCTTGATATTTGACAGGATGTATATATATACTTCAGCCCGCCTCTATAAGGCTCTAAATCTAATTTCGCGAGGGATAAAATGCATTCTGATAATTTCCTTTCACTGCGATGGAGTCAAGACTCTACCTTTTTGTCGTAGTTTTTGCCCAAATTTTTGTTTGCATTTTTGATCTGTTTCAAAGCTCTAGAGCACTTGGCTTTGATCTCTCCTGATTTTCGTATCAAGAACATCAGGTCTTGCTCGTTCAGTAATGCGTTCACAGGATGGACGAGGTGTACCGTAGTTTTTTGACGTATTTTAGTAAAACAGGCGTAAAGAATATAGAGAGTTGTGAGCGTGCTTTCAAGACTGCGCCCTGGGACGAATACGGCTAAAGAATATTGGAAGAATATATGGTTTCAGGCTGTGTCTCCACTCTCCACTACAAACAAGGTTCATACAAATTAATTTACAGTGAATCATTTACAGTAATCCGAGAATCGACCGGAACAACCCCCACATATGGGGGAGGGGAGGGGAGGGAGACAAAAATGACTAACAAAATTACTATGTCATACAAACCAATAGACAATGGTCCCTGCCATATGTCACTTAATGACACCAAATGATGCAAGTGATCTCCTGTACAGTGGCTCGCTAACACCACTTCTGTAAACGAAGAAGCGTTTTCTGCCCTGATGAAGTTCTTATGAACATAATATTCTCCAGATTTGTCTTCTGGTAAATCGTGAATTGACAAAAATGAATCTTCATTGACCTGCGTGGTATAAAATTTAGTACAAGAGATAGTACTCAGATGAAAATCATAAAATGATGTGTGATTATTCCGTCAAACGGACCCATGAATGTTTTCGTCGCTCCTAGATAGCTTACCTTGTACTGAAAATTGAATTTTTTGAAGTCGTTCAAGGCATTTATCCTACTTTGTGTCATATAAATCATAAGCAGAATATTCAGTGATACTAAAATAACGACAAAAATAAACAGAAAGAATAAAAAACGAGACAATTTCATTGCTTAAAGTTAAAGCTTTGGGGTTGAAATTCAAAATATTGACCACCATTTTGAATCTTGAAATATTGTTAAACGAGATTCACGGTTATTCACGCACGTTCAGACGTTCGGAAAACGTCGGTTTCTTCCGGTTACGTGTCCCAGCACGAATTACGTGTTCTAATGCGCACTCAAAAAATATCGAGATTTCAAAATTATTCATAGGCGATACTTTATATCCTAATATCCGTTTATTTGTATTTCTCGTTGAAAGCAAAGCTGAAATTTGTTCCAAAAGAGTGTTAAATGTCTCTTATAAGGTACGTAAATCAGTTTAGAGAAAGTACATTTATTAGAATCGCGTGTACAATCTTAAAAATTACTCAAAACGGAGAAGAACACGCAAATTATCGATTCAGTTTATTGTGTTCCATATGTATATCGCTGCATTACAAAAGCCGTACTTATGGGAAAAGTGTAAATCAAATTTCTGTTTATATTTCATCGGCATAGCATAATGCTTCAAATGTGGTGTGTAACCTTTCCGCAAATACTCTCAAATCGTTGAGGCGTTTGTGCCGAAAGGTGCAAACAAAATTTACGATTCCATCGTGTCAACAAAAGATTGCAATATTTGGTCAAATATGTTTAAAATATAAAACCAAGCTCTTTGCAATCCCGAGTTTAAAGTAGCAATATCTGGCTTCGAATTGTTCGAAGTTCGATCGAAGGGGAAAGTAGCAATTATATTCCATCGAAATAGAGCGAAATAGTTTACTATTTTTGAGGTTTTTTACGTGGCTCATACGATAAAAATCGCTCAGTCATATATTTGTTGACCTTTTATACGGCGCTTTTGCTTAGTTATTGATTTATCAATTGTCGGTAAGACATTAATATTTCCGGCTAAACTTTGTATATTTTGCTGAGTTTTTAGTCAAACAGAAAACATGTATTTCAGAAGGCTTTGAAAATTGAAACATCCGAGCAAACGGGATTTTAATTATTGGCCTTAATTGGCTAACATGATACCTCAAGGACGTGGTCCGATGTTTTTATAGCCCTCTATAAATATAAGATGCCTCGTTTCTGGTTAAATGACATAAAAACTTTAAGATCGTTTCCCATTTTGAGCAATCTAACAAAATTATCCCTAGAATCCTGCTGAATGTGGGATTATTGTTGCGAGATTATTGTGCGAATAATCCAAGTGAAACCTCAGACGTGCTCAGACATGGCATGCTTTAAGTCCTTGAAGACTGACCTAGTTTCTTTGGTATTCGTTAATTTGCGGCAAAGGTTGAACATTTTGAGATGCTTTGCACTTGTGCATATACGTATATATACTCTATTTTTTTCTTTTTTACAATTTGCAATTTTTTGAGCTTTGACAAACCATCTGGTGTTTGAATTGAATATATAAGTTGAATGCTTCATGGAAAACATGCGTTGTTGTCATGTTGGCAAGGAAACCCTTGCTAGATATGCAATTATTCAGCTCATTTCACATACAGGAAGTTTAAAGTATGAGTTGGGACAAGAATGCTTTGTTTTCCAGTCAGATGGAAAATGTGTTGATTTCCCAGTCAAGATATATTGATATTTTAATTACAATTATATATTGTTACATTTTTGTATTGTGGACATGCAATTTTCCCATTTTTAGCAACGTTTTACCCTAAGATTTTTTAAGCAATATATTGTGAAATGTGCTTGGGTAAGAATGTATTGTTCTAAACTAACCAGGGTGCAATATGATAGCTTCTTGTAATATAAACCTTTCATCAAATGAAATATGAGTATCACTGACCTTCTGACTAATGCTATAATGCGGAAATTATTATTAGAAATTTTGAGTAAAGAAATATATTGCATTGCCTTTATATTGATAGAAGTAATCGTAAACTTCCATTGGTGGTTTTTTGGCACAAAATTTGCTTTATTTGTTTATTATTCTTAATGTTGACATTGATTTTGTGTGAACCGGAAGGCGTAAAATTACAAGCAGCAGTTCAGGCATGCCATGACAATAACACTACACCCATCCCTAAAAAACAAGGAACTGCCTCTCCCCCTCTTCTGAATTCCTGAGCATTTTTAAACTTGACAAGAAAGTAATCTAACCTTAGGCTATGCTAGTAACCTTGAACTATTCTTAAGTCTGCTATTAATAAATCTAAAGGGCTCTAATCTGTGAAGTTGATAAAAATTACTTTTTTCTTTGGTTTATTTAGCTAATGGATACAATTGTGTTAAACCAAAATGAAGTAAGTGATTTTGTCTCATTGATATTCTAGCCATCCTTCCAGCTGTCTGTGTTTGTCTACCACCAACAGAGCTAGAGTTGTACCATAGTTTCTGAACATTTGATAATCATGCTCATGCCCCTTCATGGATTGTACTTTTATGCCTAACATTTGAGTTCTTACAATCACATTACCTATATACTTAATGGCTGTTTATCCTTGTCATAGCTGGCGCAATTTTTTAGGTTACAAAGAATAGGAATTATCCTCCCTTATCCAATGTACATATACCAAAACCTATTTAGGATTTAATTTCATATATAATGTAATTTAAATATTACAATATTTAAGACCAGAGGTGTAGGAGGATATGACATCTCTTCCAACATTCCCAGCACAGAGATATGGCCTATGCCTCCTCCCCCCCGTTTGATCCCAGTTTGATTTTCAATATTGTAATGTATTATTATGTTAAATAAAATCCCCAGTAGCAAGCATATGGTTATCTTTCTGCACCATTCAATTGAATATATTGAAGCAAATTCAGACATCTAAATTCTCTTGAAAACTTTGGTGTGTAGTAAGACTTTAAAATGAAAACTGATTTTTTTTTCTGCAATATTTTACAGGAGTTTGTTTCGTTCGAAGAATCGTGGTGATTCTTCTCCAAAGCCAAACAGTTCTCGATCTTCATCAGTAACAAGTGCTGGAGACAGTGGAATCGATGATGATTTAAATAGATCAGGTGCATAGTCTTTTCAAAGTTTTAGACCCGTTTACTCTTGCTATTTTTGGTGTTATTTTTCTGCTTTTGATAGATGTGAATTAATGAGCGTGTAAGTTACTAATGTCCAAAAAATGGCACGTAGACGTAATATTAAACACAGCAAAATAATAACCACTTTAACCTCAAAAATTGTTACCTTCACCGCGCCTTATATTTTAACATGCGTTAGCCAATCAAATCGCCGGTTACATAAGACCTATCTTATAAAAATATGTGCAAAATGTACGAAATGCTTCGGTCAACATATAATCTTTAGGTGAAATTATTGAATATTGACACAACACTGCCAAAGGCAGCCCAAAAATAAGCGTGCTCTACCAATGTTTATTCATCTATAATCCCAGAATGATAAACATCGGCGGCGCACGCTCATTTTTAGCTGTTTATAAACATTTCACCAAAAAGGAAAACTGACCATAGCGTTATTTTCAAACTTGGAGAGTTGAAGGTGTATTTACCCAGAGAATAGGAAGTTTCATTGCCTTTTCTGCGGTTCTCTTTGAAATCTTGAATCAAAGTATAGTTCAGTGATGTTTGTTACTATAATATTGAAACAATAATATGATGGTGGTTGAATTTTTGACGAAGTTAAAAAAATACACTTCAAATTTTGGAACTGTTACGTATAAGGACAAAATATTGCTCGGAGTATGTAATATGTGCTCTTTATCTCAATCCTTGCCACTTCGTTACTTTGGCAGGGTCATCAGCTTCAACAATGAGTAACCGCAGTAATCAAGTAAGTTTTTTTAAACTAATATAAGAGGAAGCATACTTTTGTTAACAACATCTTGGAAACCCGATCGATTAAGGTTTTAAATCAAAACTCTACTTTACGATGAAATTTGGAGTCTATTTCACCAGGGCGCCTATAAGATAGTGAAGTGAAATTTGTGAAGTGAAATTTGCTACAAATGTTCGTCAATATTCTGTACACCAAATCTTGAAGTATAATGCTTTTGAGGATTTTCCTCACTGAGAAAAATCAAAATATGTATGATACATCTAAAAACAGACCAAGTAGCCGTGCGTATCCGTAGTTTTAATTTGACAAATTCGGTCAGTTAACTTTTGAAGAAACAATTTTAAGGCACAATATTAATAGAAAGAGTTATAAATTACACAGGAGAAATCTTATTTTAGATATCGCGTTAATAGTTTCAGAGATTGAGTGGTTTTAATCGAGCTTGTTAAAAACCAAGTAAATATTGTTTCGTTCGAGAATTTTTCGCCGACCGCCCCGTCCCAGTCCTAAAATCGCATCACACACGCGGCCCGCCCCCCATCCGTGCGTTTCGCCGCCCTATCTTATAGACGCCCTGATTTCACTGAAGACATTCTCAAACGAGAATGACAAAACTTCACCGAATATCATCGTAAAAAAGTTGGAATTTGAAACTTGAATCCTGTGTTTACAAGATGTCGCTTACCATATATTTTACCTCGATTATGACGTTACACTATCGGACAGTTAATCAAATATACGTTAAATCATTATATAAGTTATTAAAAATTTCGTTCAACAAAATATCGGCAAATCCCCGATTGACCTTATTATGATATGCCGTCTGACATAACAACGTGAAGGTACGTCCTGATTGGTCGTGAAATCACGTGAAATGACACATGACGTCACGTGACGTCACATAACACGATATGACATCACGTGTCGCAAACGACCAAATATTTAACAGTTATTCTGCGAACTCGAGTCGTATATGAGCTGATAGCCGACGAGGCGCGTAGTTTTATTATATACAAAAACTTTGTCGCCCTTTCGGTGCATTTTGGTGTGCTATTATCAACTAAAGCTTGGATTTCTATTTCACTCAACTCCTTTTGTCTCTACTAGACAGATATGAGCTAATATCTGTCTAGTAGCCAACCAATGAAATTGCAGCATACCTCATATCTGGCGCTTGTGTATATAATAAAAAATATATAGAGAGAGAAATCGTCAATTTTTAGTATGACAAGTAATACGTACTGCGTCAAGTGATTACATTGCATGCATTCGATCATAATGTATAACACTACAAGTGTGAATCCTAAACACGAAAATAGAATTTGAACTTATAATTCCAGTTTGTCGAGCTGCCCTTGACCTTTGTGTTTATTGTAGAATAACATTTTAAAATGTTTTGGCGTCCATCATGAGTAATACTGACGTTTGTTGCTGACGAATATCCAAAATATTTATGCAGAAAAAGACAGTTCTTTATTAACTCTGTTGCATTCCCGGGATTTTAATTGCGCCCACATGCAATTAACACAATCATAGGAAATACCATTTTTAACGATAAGTTATTTTAGGAACTATACAATTATGCACACAAAGAAATTTAAGAGGAAATGTGTTTTTTTAAAAATATATATTCAATATACATTTTATACGTACAACGGTGTTTTTGTATGCCTTTCCGTAGAAGCATTCATGAAATTTCTTCGATCAAAATCACAGCATTGTCCTGTTCGAATGTAATTCGATCAGTTCCATAAATGAGCTGCATTTTCGACCTATGGTTTCGGCTTTGAGTACGAGTGAAGCAAGTTTTCCACTGCACGGGCTTCAAGTCTGGTCCACAATTTTCGCTGCAATTTTTATTGTGATTTTCGTCTTTTGCCAGATGCAAACAAATACACTATTTATAAGTGGCCTTATTTGAACATATCCGTATCTTATTCACTCGATCACATCTCTCAAAAGACGAAATAGCACCTAAAATCGTCCGTGCGATGCAAGCCCTTGACTAGCGCATCCATCCGTTAGCGAATGATATTGAGGATTAGTTCTAAATCCTGAACCATCAGTACGCATGCGTGGCACATGATTTACATTCATCACTGAACGATCGCTAGGGTGCTTTATCTCTATTATTCTCTGCCTAAACCCCGTGTACTAAAAATGTCAAAAATGCACCAATTTCGTACAATGCATAAACAATTTACACTGCACGTCGATTTAAATCCTGGTGCTCCTATACTTCGGGCAAAAAAGTGTCTCCGAGTTTCTTGAATACCTCAGTGGTTTTGGGTGAAAAGCTTAAGTAACTTTAAACCGAAAGTTTGTTTGTGTGGGCTTCATATTCGCAACTGTAACACCGTTTGGGGCTTACGATTTTTGTCGTAAGGTATGTACACTATTGTGCCATTTAAATTAAACTATAAATCACTTTTTAAGAAGATATTTGCCAGTTTATGTGGCAAGAGGCTATATTTTGACACCTAGCGAAGCCATATGTCGAAAAAAGCGAATTGGTTATGAACAAGTTGTAAACATACACTAACAATCTCACCAAACATCCTCAATTCCATCCGTACATAATCGATCTTCGATTGTCGATATTATCATAAAAATGAAGTGCGCAAGAAATATCATCGAACAATCGGTGTATATATTCTCTGTATATGGTTAAAGTTGTAAACTGGTTGAACAGATTGTAGGGTAGTTAACAAGTGCCATTGTGCCGAAATTTTTAACTCAATTATTCACGGTCTTGGTCTTGTATCAACACAAGGCGTAGTTTAAAGAATGCCGAACTAAATCGAGTGATTGTATTTCAAGGGTTGGGCTAGGTTTAAAACTATAGTCGGTAAAATGGCGAGCTCTTTAGGAAATTTAGACCAGTATTATCTTGATGTCACCAGGAGATAGTTTGGAATTTATCCGTGAAAAATTTTTCGGTTGCCTTTTTTAATAGTACGTGAGGAAGAAATAGAAACTTCACATCTGTTTGTTTTTGAGACGCAGAGGTTTGTTTTCGCAATACATCAACAACATTTTAAACCCATATTCTAAAGACTAGCTATGAATCCCTTTTCACATCCTGGTTTGCAGTACCTCTCGGTTAAAAGCACGCACTAATCTTATCCTAGTATCTTAATCCTGGTCCTTGTATCTTAATCCTGGTCCTAGTATCTTAATCCTGGTCCTAGTATCTTAATCCTGGTCCTAGTATCTTAATCCTGGTCCTAGTATCTTAATCCTGGTCCCAGTATCTTAATCTTGGTCCTGATCCCTATATATCTTCATCCTAAATGAATCGATGTCGTAATTCTAATCTCTTTAATCCAATGTAACATGTAGCAGTAATTTGAGCCAGCAGTAACTGTAAACCAGCGGTAATGTATATGGTATTCTATCGTATGCATGACATATGGTATAAACGTCCACCCTGTTTAAACTTTCACTAAATACGTACATGAAAAATAACGTTAATCGTTTTGTTTTCATTTTTATGTAATTCAAACGACTGCGTAAGATATGCAATTTTAATGGCTGTCGATGTTTGATCTTTCCCAAATCGGCTCTCGACAATGTTAACAAATAAAAAATAGGTTAAAACTATAACGAAAGCAGTGTATTTGTTCATTAAGTTTTAAAAATACTCCCCACTAACCTTTAAACCTCAGGTTGTAAGATGCCCGAAGTATATAGTGTGATTCTATGTGATTTTTTCAAGGGACGTTTATTGTAAATTCTAAAATGCGTGGTCGTAATTGTAGTCCCTGCTGAAGCTTTTATAGTCATGACGCAAAGCGACGATGACTATGTCACTATACATGCCAGAAATATGTTCGAACTTTTACAAATGTTTAACGTGTAACCATAACATATAACTCCTACACCATTAACTGTTTTACATGTTCGCTTTTAAACTTGGATACCAGAACAAGCAGGGTGCCCTTCTTCTGTTTACATTTACCAGACACAAGATCTGGTCAATGATGCATAACTTGCGGATATTTTATTGGTTCTACTTGTTCATTTGCATGCGAAGATAAAGCTTTGTTGATAAAGAGTTATGTTAATTGTCAATCTTGCAACTTCACTGCTGTGTTGTAAATTATTCAGCTATGCGATGAATCTTAATTTTCTAATGTGGGTTGTAGTTATTTCGATGGTTTGATGAATGCTGTTAAAACGTCCGAGTGACTTGTTTCAAGATTGTGAAGTTTTATTTCGCCGGCTTTCAAAAGGATTCCCTTATCGCAAATTTCGTCTTTGATGTAATTGACACTCTAGTTCTGCTTCGCTTGTCTCTCGAGGGGTTAAAATTATACTCAAGTTGGGAATATCGTTTGAAACAAGAGTCCTTTTAAAATGCCAGTCCCTGGATACCGTAAAACCTTTCTGGTAAGCGATTTTAACGTGCTATTCTTGTACAGTAATTTGAAACATGGCCTGAACATTACGTACGATAGATTAACCTAATGTAAACTCGGGTATTACAAAGTCTGTGAGCGCTGTAAAATATGTAAACAGCTATCAAAATACGCTTTCTTTTATGTTAAATGATGAATCACGGTGTCCATTTGGACCGCTTTATTCTAAGTATTTTAATTGATACACTTAATACCGTTCGAAATCCAATTCATTTTGTAACTATGCCTCTATTGAGTGGTCTGGGTGCTTCAGTAGACTGTCTTTACTGGTATTTGGTGTAATTTGCTAGAAATTTCTTTAAGTAATTAGTTTAAAATGACAGAGTAGAAAAATTATGCAAATTTCGCGCATATAGTATTTGATAAAAATAAAGTTGGTTTTTTTTGGAAATTTAACTAATAGACTATATCTCAATTATATCAGTTGCTTATTTACCAAAACCCGACCGTCAAATTAATGAAATAAAGACAAGTTATTACATTTGTTTTACTAATGTATTCCTGGCCAATGGCAATGCATATGTTGAAAACATTTAGCAGTTACATATGTATCGATGTTTGTAGTCTATCGGTGTTCATGATCACAAAATATAGCCATGATTTTTCGTGCATTTCTTGAGCAAACAAGTGGTTTACCGTGTCAGCTTAGCTGTAACTAGTGGTTAGGTACGGGTAACAATATCGAATTTCCGTGTATAGTTCTTTTTAAGAAAGGATGCTTGCATGCATATGCACGGCTGAACAATCGGTGAATCGTGTTCCAGAAAGAATACGCTTTAGTACGAAGCGTTGTCATCAGTATTTTGACATTTGCCTATATCCTACAAGACTACTTACTTCTGAAACCTCTCTAGACTACAGCCGGGAAAACCTGCATGCCCATTTCCTGATGGGTTTAACTAAATACTATCATACAATCGAAAATAAACTTCGAAGGTTTTGAAAACGTAAATAAATGTGGACTTTCGCTTTGGCCTATGCCGAAAGTTTCAGAAAGGCTATAATTTCTTTCCTATAATGATTCGCCGCTTCACTTCCAAAAATTTACGACGAACGTATTGACTTCACTCGTCGGTTTCACAGAAAACACATTCGTTAATTTGTATGTCTTGAATATAGCCGATTTTTAGTGTATGGTGAATATCTATGCATGTGATCTTTGCGTGCTGTATGTAGCTTGTGTTTGGAGGACATTTAAAAGGATTACACCACAATAGTGTGGGTTTTATTATCCTTTTTACTATCCGCATTCTTTGTTGATTATTACGAGTTTTGACGTCCGCTCTAATTTTCTCCTCCGATTTCTTTCATTTAGATGACAGGCGAGTCACGAATGATTCCCGCTGCAAATGGTAAGTTTCAAATTGCATTCTGCACTTGCCGCTTGATGAGATCTCTGTGGAAAAAATACGGCCTATTTTTAGTGTAATTCGGATGGTTTTATATACGTAAATAAAGGCTGACAGTACATAAAACAAAACAACACAAAACAACACGCACGTACAAAACAAAAACTCCTGCTCTTTTTCGGGCGTATTCAGAACTTCTGCAAACAGTGAGTTAAGTTGAAAATTTAAATATACATTTTGAACATCTTTGATTGTTGTTAAAGTTTCTGGATGTCGCATATTTCTTGAAATAATAGCAATTTTTCAGCTAGTCTAAACGGCTCTAGAAAGTCCTGGAATTTCACGCACCCTGATTATGCACTATAGACGGTTGCTTTTTCATGCATGCATGCAATATGATAAGCACAGTTAGATTCCAATTTCCAAAAAATGATTGACTATCTTACTTAATGAGTATACATGAAGTATATATATTATGATATATCACGCAATCATGATGAGCGCTAAACGAATCATGGGAAAGTAGCATGGTTGTAGTAGAAAGTAAAATGTTTTAAAATCTGCTAAATACATCCCGACGAATTCACTCTGCGTGTATATATTTGTGTTATGCGCGGGAAATATAAAACTAAAATGGTTATTTCCACTCGTGTAGCACTCGTGTTGTTAGTTATACTGTACTTTCCACATTTTACAACATTTCGCAACCAAACTTTGGTGTTTACCCAATTTATGACGTTTGTGTTGGATTTCATTCTTTTTGCCTGGACCAAAATTTAGTTTGCAACTTAAATCACGTATTTCATCAGTGCTAAACTATTCTAGTCGTAGTCTGAAAAACAATTCATTTTATTTATCATTTGTTCTTTTCTACCCAACAGAGCAAAACTCTAATCCCTTTACGGGAACAGTTCGTAGCAACTTTCACATTGAGGTAAAGCAAAGAAATATTCTTTATATTTTGCATGGTGCATGAATAACTCTTAAACATCAATTTCTGGGAACACCAAATACACGTGGTGTTTCTACAAATTAATGATTATTTAATTAAGGGTTAAAGCCTGTTTTCCCGATGTTATCGCGTTTTTGTTGCTCTAATTTTGCGTTTCCCACGGTTCATTATCTGGCCACCGTGGGCGACTTAATATACATAGCTACGTCATGTAGCATCAGTTGGAGAGAGAATCGTCGGTAAAAACAAAATTTGCTTCAACTGTTATAAGCGAACTCTTGTGAACCAGTTACCTTTTTAATCGAAATTAGAATACTCGATAGAACCGTTCTCTTAATAATTTTTTATATCTTTTCTCTTAAGCATTTAGCTTCGTTCCCATTGTCGCCAGGAGACAGAGTTGTTTCTGCGAAAGAGCGTCTACAAAAGGCTAAGGTTAGTATACAAATATTAGCTCGTGTTCAGGCCATAAAGTTGCACTAAAGTCGAAGACCTCTAGGGAAAGGAAACTCTGTCATACACTTTGTCAAAGCAGTTTCTAATGAAAGAACGATCGTCCTAAAAGCTGATTATATTTTTAAAATTCTTCATCTGCTTTTAATTCTGCAAGCGATAAATTTGGCCTCGACTTTGTCATACGAATATTCTGCATCAACAAATTCAAACATGCCGAAAAATGTGATTGACCCCCAAGCCCCATCTTCGTTGCCAAAATATATTCTGGCAAAAACCTCTTAACTTTCTCGAAATATTTGGCATTAAAGTTCATCACGCTCTGTTGTTGCCAGGAGTTGATTACAAAGGGCGAGCCATGGACGAAAGAGATGGAATTGTCCATCACGGACAACGAACTGGTTCTACGAGACACTGAAACTCAGGAACTAATTGAAAGATATCCTTTGTCGCATATTGACTCAGTTCAAGACATCAACGACGATCCCATGCTAAAGAGTGTCTTAGTCTTCTCAACCATTCAAACACCGGAAAAATACGCTGCCGTTCATCTCTTTCAATGTGACAAAGTTCCCGTAAGTCTTCAGCGTAAGGAATTGTGCCGGGAACTATAATGATAGCTAATTATCACTAATCATTCATGGAAGGATGACAGACTAAAAGTATATACTTGTTTAGTCATGTGTCTTGATTGTTTTCAGATTGACACTTTTATTGCATATGCTCGCCCACTGAAACTTATTTAATGAAAAATCTTCATCACCTCCTAACAATTCCATCTCAGTATTTCCACACGACTAAGGGTTTAATTTTGAGTGTCTTATTTCGAAGAAGTCTTAGATTAAGAAAATATCTTTCATTAACCAACGGAAGTTTGGTTTCTCTGCTTTCTCTGTTCTAATGAGTGTGGAGAACTTCCTGAATACAGGCATAAGTTTGTACTAAGATTTCCTGATCTCTTTGGCTTGCAAATTTCCATTTTCAGGTTTATTTACCAGGGTAACTCCTCAAGTCAGTGAGTTAGTCAATCAATATAGAACATAGTTTTTTCTGAGAAGGCATTTTCGATTCCTGGTGACATGCGTTTCACTGAGGAAAATGAATTAAGAAATTCCTCTAATTTTTGCCTAATCTTTGGTTTTGAAGCGTTCAGCAAACAATGCAATACCTGTGGATATATTTGTTTGTTTTGTGTGTTTTAATAGGCAAGCGTTATTGCTCCAGAGATTAACACAATGATGTCCAAACCACGGGTATGTTTGCATGCTTTGAAACACTGAATATTTTCTATTATTGCCTGGTGATATTAAGTAAACTACAAACACGGAGGACACGACCTTGTTTGAAATGGATAGTTTATTTATTCATAACAAGCTACTTTAAAGAAACTGTCTTGCGGAAGGCTCGTTTGAAATTTAGGTTTGACATACGAAATTTTGAAAATGTTACAGGAAAGTCCCAAACAGAATGGCCAAGCACATGGCGTACCAGTCCTACCTCCACCACCTGTAGAACCAGCACCATTACCACCTCAGGTAGGTCAATCATATCCATCATCATCCTCGTCTTCACCTATGTATCCACTATGCACCGGTTCACTCACATCGCCATATATCCATATTCTACATTTCCTTTGACATAAGTAGATAAAATATACCTCGTATTCATCAATACGTAAAAAGCACTACAGATGTACTCAACCATAGCCATTCATATCCACCAGTGCCCATATTTATACCTATGTACTCCACATTCGTCGTATACATTCACAATACATCGTTATGTCTGTATTCAACGTTCCTAATTTAATCGCACAGTGATCATATTTCATCCAGTGAACTCAAAGAGAACTGGAGCGATAACTTGGTCACCATGGTTAAACTAAATTTGTGTTTTTGAGTTCATTGTTCTAATCCAGTAAACTCGTGTAATCTGGACGAATGAACTGAGAAGAGAATATTCTCTAGAGACTATTTCTTGTGCTTTATTAAAAAAAGATGCCATTTTTATCACCAATTATCGTTCCAGTGTTTATTGAGTCCACCGGGCTAGTCGCACTTATGCATTCGCGAGCCCACATTCACTAGGCCACCGTACGTACTTTCTCTCGCCTACACAGGAAATGATGGATTTAAAACAGCGCTCTCTCGTTGCCCAGGGCGTCGCAGCATTTCAAGCTGCGGTTGCGGCCAAAAAGGAAACACCCGTACCCAGGCCCTCTCAATCTCCGACCAAGATCATTCAAGGTGAGCGATACGGAGAGCATTCGTCACCAGACCTCATGGAAGCTTATATCAACCGCGATGTGGTAAGTAAGTCCTGGTGTCTACTCAAGGTCGGTGTAAACCTGAGGCACCATCGATATGAACAAACCTGAACTGCGAATCCAGTGAAGCCACGAAGTACCAGGACAGCGGTTATTCTTTCACTGGACAATGTATAGATCAGTGACTACATCCACGTGCCTTAAAAATTTTACTCCCATGCAACTGGAGTGAGCAATCCAAGGTTTATTCATATCGATGGGACCTTTAAGTTCTCTGATCTCAATGTGATAGTCCGTCTCGGAATTAAGTATCCTTCTAACGCAGCCTCTGAAGAAGAAGAAGAAGAAAAAAGTATAGAATTTCGGTCACACAGTCATTGAGACCAGGCCTCGCCCTGGGGGGATTACCCCCTCCCCTCTCGGCGTCAGTGATCAATATCCTCTCTCTATAAGAGCAGTTGAACCAATGACCATGAAGCTACATTACATTTGTTTTTTCGCAACGGTTTAACAGGAAAATTTCATATCCCTCGAATGTAAAATTCCCTGCTCGGGCCCTCGTAGGCGCTCGAAGATGAAGCTCGTTTCATTCTTTGCGTATTTTCGCAGCATATCCTAAACCACTGCATCGATGACATCGAAGAACTCGTTTATCGCGTCAAGCAAGTCGCAGAGTCGTGGAAACAGTTGGAGACTAAATACAAAAACAAAAAATCCAAGAATCGAAGACAGGAAGCCGAGGCCATTGAATCACGTTCACCATCACGAGAAGAATTCATCGATGCCTTTCAAAAGTGTAAACAATCTTTCATTCTTTTGGTAAGCCAAAAACCACTTTGTTTGCTTCTCATTCACTGAGGCGAGCGTACCTTTTCTTTAAGAGTCAAGTGGTGACCTAAGAAAACAAGAATTGCAATGCATCTGACTGGCTTCACTCTGAAGTTCATTTTTGAGGAAGGCCTATCCATTTTAGTGGCGAAAATCAGACATCATTCATTTTATACATTTTAATTTCTAAACCACTGATGACGGAAGGTGACGGGATATATTCTGCCGATTGATGCATTTTTTAAAATCTCTTCTCTTCAGGGGAAATTACGACCTCACATACAAAATCCAAGCGCCCCAGAGCTCGTTCATTATCTAATTATGCCTCTATCGCTGTTGGTTCGTTGTACTCGAGGGTGAGTCTCCAGTGAGTGTTTTTTTATCCTCGAAAATACCAGTTCTTCTTGAATATTTTCATTCTTATTCAGGCCAGAAGAAGCCAGTAAAGTTATTAACCCGCTCATGACATCAGAAAGTATCGAATTACTACGGAGTTCATTGACATCAAAAGAGACTGAACTTTGGCAGTCTCTGGGGCCTGCCTGGACCTTATCAAGGTACGCCTCCTACAATGTTAATTTAGTTTAGGTTTCCTCCTGTTGTAACACTGGATCAATAAGAGATGATCCTTACTGGACCTCTAGGAAGAACAGTTTAGAACTGATAGAACTTATCCAGTATAAATAAAGTTTGTTTAGTTTAGGTTTCCTCCTGTAGAAAACTGGATCAATAAGAGATGATCCTTACTGGACCTCTAGGAAGATCAGTTTAGAACTGATAGAACTTATCCAGTATAAATAAAGTTTGTTTAGTTTAGGTTTCCTCCTGTAGAAAACTGGATCGATAAGAGATGATCCTTACTGGACCTCTAGGAAGAACAGTTTAGAACTGATAGAGCTATCCAGTATAAATAAAGTTAGTTTAGTTCGGGTTTCCTCCTGTAGTTACACTGGATCAATAAGAGATGATCCTTACTGGACCTCTAGGAAGAACAGTTTAGAACTGATAGAGCTATCCAGTATAAATAAAATTAGTTTAGTTTAGGCAAGTTAAATTAATAGAAACTGGATTATTGAGAGGCGGTCCTTACTGGACTTGTAAGAAATTTACAGAACCACTCAGTATTGATTGTTCAATAATTTCAAATGACAACATGTATTATTTGTTACAGGAGCAGCCCTCATTGGAACAACTTTACCATGGCCGCTTACGAACCGAAGTTCAAAAGTGGTTGGGTGCCCCCGGAGATTGTTGGCACTGGCCGTAGCGTGCCTCAGGAAATTAGCGCAGCTGTTGCCTCGGTCGCGTCTGCCAGTGCTGTTGCAAGATCCTCAATGAAGGTAAGAAGAATGAATGTTGCTTCACCTCTACCACCTTGATTGCTGACCCTCTTCCGAGCCCTAAGTTCTCAAAGCCTTGGTCAAAAAGATATCCCACAGACCTCAAGTATTTCGTGTTTTATTTAACGTAGAAGGACTCAAGAGAAGAAGCGAGGACAAATCCCACCGTATTGTCTGCAGCGTCAAAGTTTAAAGATGGCAGTGAGACGGCTAAATCGTAAGTGTTTAACGCGGAAAGTCTGATGTTACACGAAATTTGATTGGCCCCACAATATTATCGAGCCAATCAAACTTCGTGTAACATCAGACTTTCCGCGTCATTATGAAAAAAGGTCTATTGATACTGGACGTCTAGGGATAACAGTTTAGGACTAGTATAGCCATCCACAATAAACAAGGTGTGACTCGTTCTTTATAAGAAGCTTATGTCAAAATTTGTTTATTTTATAGTCCACCCAGCAGTCCAAGCAAGGACTCCATTTTTAAAAGAGCAAAAGCAGTCTACTCGTTTAATGGCAAAAATCCGAAGGAGCTTACAGTGAACCAGGGTGATGAGCTTATGGTATGTACCTTGCAGTAAGGTCGCTTCATATTGCATTCTCTCCTAATACTAAATGTATACGTTTACCATACCCTGGTGCCTCCTAATCTAACTAAAACCAAGTTACCGATAACCATCTACAAGTCATCTCGTTTGAACGACTTGCCTTCAAGATATTGCTTGCTTTGCTCGATTCTAATTCTTGTTGAATTTTACAATATTTGTCAACTAAAGACTGGTAAAACCCAAAGAGCTAAGTGCTCCTTTACGAATAACCTTTTTATGCATGCTATAAACACAAATTGAAGTTAACACAATGAATATATCACCCTCTCGAAGTCGAACGTTATCGTGAAAAATATTTAGAAATTTTGTTTAGTGCTTCAGTTTAACAACAAGAGAAGCTGAACACCTTCTAATCTGGTTTGATTTCTTTTTTCTTCGTAGATTTTAGACGACAGCCGGCAGTGGTGGTGTGTGAGGAATTCAACTGGAGGTGTTGGCTTCGTTCCTAGTACCATCTTCAAAAAATCAGGTTTGTATGAAAAGATTTCCTTTGCATGCCTTTGATGCTATATTTTTGCTTATCATTCGAAAGCCGAAAACTCTAAATTTTTCTGCGTCTTGTATTTCAAAGGTTCAATTGGCTCGTCCAATCAAAGTCTACTGTCTTCACGTTCGGCAACAGTAAGTTTTCTCTGATCCAGCCTTACTTGACGTATCCAGCTTTAGCAATGCCAGGAAGTCTACGAATATGTGTGAATGAGAATTAGTTTGGTTCAGTCACATGACTGTCCCGTTTGACTCAGTCAAACACCACTACTTCTCCCAAAATACCACCGAATATCAGCCTCCGTATAGTAAGTCTGTATATATGGCCATGGATGGACTCGTTATTTATACGACATGTTTAATATATTTAGACTGTTGCATCTTCGCCAATGCCAGTTCCAAACGGACATATTCGCCGCCACGACTCCTCTTCGTCCGACAATTCCACCCCTGCCGTCTTCTCAAACCATTCTTCATCTTCTCAAGAGGTGCTCATATCCAAACTCAATGCCAGTAATGGTTCCAATGAAGGTAATCAAACTGTTGCATACGATTATAAAGAAGTACTAACTGGGCTCTCATGGAAAAAAAACAGGCTGAGCTATTATAAAGTTTGATTAGTTTAGGTCTCTCCCTGTAGTAACACTGGATCAATAAGAGATGATCTTTACTGGACCTCTAGGAAGAACAGTTTAGAACTGATAGAGATATCCAGTTTAGTTTAGGTTTCCTCCTGTAGTAAAACTGGATCAATAAGAGATGATCCTTACTCGACCTCTAGGAAGAACAGTTTAGTTTGGGTTTCTTCCTGTGTATAGTAACATTGGATCGATAAAAGTTGATATTTTTGTCTTAGGAAATAATAATTTCCAAAGTATGATCCAGAACCGAGCAACTGCTTTGAAGAAAGTTGATTCAACAGACGGCATGCAGAAAGCAAAACGAAGTAAGTGCATATTAACATCGATTAAAAGCATTTAAACGCTTTGCCCTTTGTTCGGCCAGTGTATAATTGACAAACAAAGAATAACTATAGTTATTACTACATTTATTTCCCTTTCTCAGTGTCCAGCACAGACCTGCTTAATGATGAACTAAAGAACAAAATATCATCAAGTATCCCTCTGAGTCCGACGTCTGTTCGTCCAGCCAGTAAGTGAATGAAGAGTTTAATGGTAACTAGAACTGAAGGCAGAATATAATGTGATTGTACTTTAATTTCTCTTCAATTCTCTGTTCAAATTACTTACGTCGCGAGCAAATTGATTTTCCTTTGAAAAATAACCTTCTCTTCTGACTCTCTTCAATGGCAGCCATATTCAATCAATAATCATTTTCATTTTGTGTTTCCAGCTCAAGAATCCGCTATCATTTTAAGCAAAGGTTCAACACCTTCTGACGTTCAAACCTGGATGAAATCAAAGAACTTTAGTTCTGAGTAAGTTACTTGAATTCCCTTATATATACTCTGAGTATAAATATCTTGTAAACTCGAGATATGAATTGTTAAAAAGACGCAAAGTTCAAGGTTATAAATTTCAAAGCCGTGGTCAAAACTAACTATTTATAAGCATGCTAACTTTAAGACCTGAAAAGAGAATCTTGAGCTTACAAGATGTTTATATTCAGGGAGCAAATAAACTAAACATGAATGCTTCGATTTCTAGAGCCATGAATGCAGTGAAACATTACAGCGCTGAGGAATTGGGAGATATGGAAAGGAATGTCATGTTAAATCTGGTCGGCGATAAAGAAGGAAAGAAACTGTACACTCAGTTGACCATCGAAAAATCTGGCGAATGTTGGCATGTAAGTGACGTGCTTGTGCATGTATTTTACGATATGATAGTCATTAGAGAGCAAATAAGTTTAAATAAAGCTAGCTTGGTTCAGCCATGCAGCATCGTATAGGCACATTTAATGAATCCCTGTTTTCCCTTCTTAGCAAATTGTCGTTCATCGCGGGGTTTCCGAACTGCAGGTAATTTTCATTACATTTCCATTGTTACTCAAGAAATAGCACTGCTTAGTTCATCGATACATGTGTGATAGAAACTCTTATACTTGTTTCTCTAGGCTGTTATGAATCGACGGAAGAACATCAGTGAATCCGACATTGTGAGTATTGTGATGAATTTCACGCGATAAGATTCTACCAATTTTAGTACCGCCTTTTGTGGAGAGGGGGGTGTTTATCGCAATGTATCAAAGATGGGTGACTGAGGCGTGAGTGAGGGGTGAGTGAGGGGTGAGAGAAGGGTGAGTGAAGGGTGAGTGAGGGGTGAGTGAAGGGTGAGTGAGGGGTGAGTGAAGGGTGAGAGAAGGGTGAGAGAGGCGTGAGAGAGGGGTGAGAAAGGGGTGAGAGAAGGATGAGTGAAGGGTGAGTGAGGGGTGAGTGAAGGGCGAGTGAGGGGTGAGAGAGGGGCGAGTGAAGTGCGAGAGAGGGGTGAGAGAGGAGTGGGCAGCTTTAAAGTCTTTCTCTTCTGATCAGTATAGCATCTGAGCAATATATTAAGAAACACTACAGCAAGTGAAACGCTGTGTTTCAGTTGAAGAAAACAACAACCAAACACTCTTAATCTACGCTCAGATACATACATAGAACAAATCGAATGCTGATTGTATATTTCAACCTAAAACAGGACTAATTTTGAAAACTCATTTCCCTCGTCTAGTCAGCGACAGTGGACGGCTCCCAGGGGATCAAGAGCGCCGTCCGTGCTGCTCAGTCAGACCGCCAGGACACTTGGATCGAGAAGAAACTGACCCGTCGACCGTCTCTGGAAAATTTCCAAGACTACAACGATTACAGCGAATCACGCAGGAGAAACACGGGAGAGAATATGACCCGAAGTACGTCGTATGAACTTCGAAAGAAACCCCCCGTGGATACACCTGCCCCGCCGACTAAACCTAAACCCAAACCTCCTCCACCCGCTCCCAAGCCACGTAACTCCAGCTTGAGTTCTCCAGTTGCACCACCGCCACCTCAATATTCGGGCGCCCTACCCGCCCCTGTCGTGGTAAGTCGCAGTCTTACCTTCAAACGTAGTGGCGCATTGAGGTCAGTGATTGAGTGCAGGGATAGAAATGGTTATACACTTATTGTTATTCAAATATCTCAGTCTCTGATCCTAATACGTCACTGTTGAGCAACTTTGCCTAAACTTCATGAAATAACATTTTCAAGATAATCATAGCATAGTTTATTCAGGATATTAGCATAGATAATTCAATATAGTTTTTGAGAAGCATAGTTTTGCAATTGAATGAAAATGTTTTTCACAGACGGCGAATACTTCAAGTAACCAGAATGTTGATGAACTACTTCGAGAACACGAACGGCAACAAGAGTTACTGAAAGTATGAGGAGTGCCTCGTAATATTTATCATTTGGTCATCATAATAATCACTAGTCACTACCATTATTACCTCGCAATTATCACCATCATCTGGTCACTATGATAATCACTACCATTATCACCTTATAGTCTATGATCAATAATCATAATAATCGTTACCATTATCACCGTATAGTCTATGATCAATGATAATAATAATCACTAAAATTATCGCCCTGACACAGTCATCATAATCATCTGGTCATCATCACAATCGCTACTAGCATTCCTAGTATCAGGGATTTATATCGACATTTTCCCTCAGGAACAACAAAGACAACTGGCGGAACTTAGAGCTCAACAACAACAGAAAGAACAAATACAACATTATGAAGTGAGTGAGCATCCATGCACCCTTTATCCCTGCTTTGTTTCTGAATTAGATTTCGTTGTTGAAATGGTAGCATTGCCTAAGAATAATTGTCTTTCTCGCAGCAAAATCGAGTTCGACTCGAACAGCAAGTCAAAGATCAGGAAGCGATGCTGAGACTTCTACAACAGCAACAACAACAACTACCACAACCACAATTACAATCTGCTCAAATTCCCATACATCCCGGTGTAGCAGGCATAGCGCCACAGGGAGCCTATGTTTCGTATGTACCATATCAGATGCCTGGAATGCCCGGAATGCCCGCCACCTTACAACCCATACCTGGTACCCAGCCTATTTATACCATCCCACAAGTGTACGGTGCTATCCCGCCCCCAGTCGGATATCAACCCAAGTGAGAGGTATGATTGTTGGTATTTTCACTCACTCCTCTTTTCCATACGTTAAAAGTAGCCACCACTTGGGTGGTTCTTGTTTGACCCAAACGACTTTATTTACTTTGCCTACAAGTCGATTACATAACACTCAGTAAATATGGAAAAATTTTCCTTTTTAGTTATGCGAGAGTTTTCAGTTGTGCGAAAGTTTTCAATGAATGTCAAAGTAGCTTATTTTTGTTGTGATAGTGGAAGCACAACAAAGCAAAGTGGAAGGTTCGTGGGAACAGAATGAATACAATGTCTATATTATATATATAAATAATAAAAGTATTACAAATAAAGTCAAATAATGAAGTAGAATTTAGACGCAAGCCAGCATACTGGTTTCTGGGTCCAGGCCAATGTTAATGTGGGATTAGCATTTTTGTGCTCGTTATTTGTTAGACAATATTTATGTGACGCGTTCATATAACATCGATTAAAGCAGAAATGCCGGGTAGTATTTTGCAATTACCTGAGGGATAATATAACATAATCAATATATATACAAGTAAATATAGTCAAAAACCTGCTTGTATAGTTAGATTGCAAAGGTCAGTCCGAATTTTTCGCCATATGCATCACGGTGGATTTAAAATAGACATCCTTTTCAAATTATATTTTTTTAAAGGCAATGTCTCAGAATTTCAGATTTCGCCATAAATAACCTTGCCTTTGCACAGCTAGATACAAGTTGATTAAGTCGATTTTGAAGAGGTAGTTTATTTATTGTTGTTAATAATAATATTTTGCGTACAAATTATAAGCCATGAAATCAAAAGTTTGGTTATATGAGTCATGTCCAAAAGACAGTGTCTATTTTCACTTCACTGTTATAATACAACAAACATTGCTCTCGATTATTCTTCCCGCTACAAACTGATCCGAAATTGAAACCACAGCCTTAAAGATAACCAGTGCGATTCACTTTGCCATCGTAAAACAATTTCTCGTCCAGGACAACATCAACGCCCCCCGACCACCTTCTTTCAATCCATTGTTTGGACAAGTAACTTCGGGGGAGGGAATATCGCTGTTTTTTGCTCGTTCAAGGGTAGACCATTCAGGATATTTTTTCGCTGGTTATCTTGAAGGCTGTGTGATGCATGAAAATTGAACAAACTTAAATTATTTTTGTAGCTACCATATATAAATGATTTGATTAAATGGCAAATGAGTATAATTTAAATATATATATTACTTTCTCTTTCAATTTTATTTCAGCTTTAAAGCTCTGTAACAGCTTAACTTTATCTCTTATTGATGAATTATCCACAGGAAGAACACTAAATTAACATTTTATTCGTTTTACGCTGTTTTGTTATTTCTGGAGGTCCTGTAAGAATCACCTCTGACTGAGTTCTAGTACAGGAGAAAAACCAATACTATATAAACTAACTTTATCTTTATTGGTATCAATGCTGCGTCTTCCTAAAACAGTTCTCCCTAGACGTCCAGTGAGGTCATCGGGTTGGTCCATTCGGCCTACAAAAAGAAATCTAATCAAAAGTAATGTTGAACATTTCTCTCAGAGTGGTTCTCACAGAAAAAACCCCAATCAACCCAACCCTGAAAAAAACTTTGAACAGCTCCCACGGCTTTTCCGTTCCAGATCTGATTATATTCATCAGACACGATCTTCCTTTCTTGTCAACAAACATTTTCCGCATTTTCACGTGTGATTTTTGTGATCAAAACAATGATCACGAAGAAAAAATACTAAATTATTTTACTAATGACAACGTTCGATAACAAAGGGTGAAAAGACTTTCTTATAGTATAAATTTCTTTGAAATAAATGCCCAAATTTTGCTTTCAAAATCACGCTTTAAGGAAACTCAAAGTTGCGAATCAATATAATAGAAAACACCGGTTTTGGACAGATTTAATTCGCACCCAGTTATAAAAGGAAATGACTCAATATTGCCTTTCTTTATAATTGTTTTCGCTCTTCCGTTTTTAGCCGTGTGGCCAAGTATGGAAATTTTGAAACCCGAGCCTTACTTGTGGGCTAATATTTACAGAACCCTAAATAATCAGCCTAGAGGGTTAAGGTGTTCATCTCAAGATAATGGCATGAGTTAATCCCAGATTTGCGGAAGACACCGTATTTTTTTGACATTTTCTACAAAAAAATTCATTTTTCTGAAAATTTCCGTGCACGGCTAATTCTCTTTACAACTAGAAACACACAAAATGGTTTTCATCTAATCCCTCGAAATTATTCGACCGACTTTGGCAAGATAATTTATTACTTTATGGCTTACAAAATGAAACGAATTTAAATGACAATAGTTTGTTGTGTGCTCGACGAAGCGGTAAGAGTATATAGCCAAACAATTTTGGAATTCAGTAAAAATGTACTTCACTTTTTTAACGTTCTGTACGGTTTTGAGAGCTTATTAGGAAGTGCACATTGTTGAAAAGACTTAAAGCGAAACTGTACGCGGTTTTAATTTATCTCGAGACGAGTAAGCGAGGTTTTTGAAGTGGATATGTGGGCTTCCCCTTTCCGTTTGACCCAAGTTGCATATTAAATGTTTACCATATATGGCGTGCTAGGCGAAGATTAATCGAAGGACGTATGCATAATAAAAACAATTTCTCAACAGCGGGTTACCAAAGCCAGTTCCCTGCCAGGCTATCCGCTTGGGCCAAGTTATTGTCGACGTGTACTCAGTAGCTTGTCGAAGAAGTACCCCTTTTTAAAAAGCCAAAATGAACAACAACGAAGGTGCAAAACTTAGTCCCGAAATGCTGGTGGACCTAAGGGAAAAATTCAATGAAGTAAGTGTAAAGACTTACATAATTTTTACCTAATACAGTTTCAGTAAACTCGCATCCTGGAAGTCGTTTATAGAAAGTGAATCATCATCTTTTGTTGGGTATAAACTTTCAGTAGTTTTCGATCAAATTCGTGCTAATTCGACAACAATTTATTTTGACTTTAAATATCAATACTTTAGCGTCTGTTTGTTGAGCATTCTTTGACATGTTTAATGTACAAACTGATGTGAATTGTGCATATTTTCGGTCGATAAATTATCAGACTGGAAAAGGCACGCTCCATTATAAAATATCGAATTACACGCGCAATTCATTTGTACAATTCCAAATGTCTGTCTTGGAATTTATGATATGTGACAGAAAGCCTTCGTCGAGTGGATATATTCCATCGTCGTGGGCTAGAAAAAAATGTTGTCTGCACAGCATCGAAATGTACACAAATCAACTTTCCAGGCAAAGTTTGCTCGATTATTACTCGACGCCTGAATTGTTTATTTGTCGCACTTCGCTCGAACCATCGCCCTGTTTCCTGGTTCAAAAGTTACTTCAAACCGAAGCCCGACGAATACAGTTTGCTATATTACTACCTCGACGTTTTTAACATGAAGGATGCTTGAACAGAATATAAAAGGCTTGCAGTGTTCGTAGGTATTCATCCGTGCATTTCGAAGTGTTTAACTGCACGTATTCGGTTCCAAGTTTCGATTTTGCTATAAGACGCGCCTTCACATGATTACAGAAAACTATAATATTGCAGACATTTGACTGTGACTCGATTTAAAAGGAAATAGAGCTACCCCTCTGTAAATACAACGCCTGTAAACTAGGAGATACTGCATCGTTCCCTTCATAATAGTACGTTGTTTTACCTTGGCTTCCTGTATTTTAGTTTGATGCTGACGGTAATGGACATATTACAACAATAGAGCTCGGAGCAGCTCTGAAAGCTTGCGGAGAGGATGTTCCTGGCTACAAACTTCGTGATTATATAAAAGAATTTGACAGGAACAGCAATGGCACATTGGAATTCAATGAGTTTGTGGAGGTGCGTCATTTGTATATATGCGAAATTCAGTGTTCTAACTTCTAATATTTGTTACATAATTGTTGCATCTTTGTTACATGTGTTGTTCTTTGTTGTTCTTTCTCAACACACCCTAAACGGCTCTTTTACAGTTGTACATTGTATTCATGTACAAGTTCAGACCCTGAATTCCCTATGTCCGTCCGAGATGTCAAACTGTTTACGTTCTTAACTTAAAAGGCTCTCGAATTACGCTTTGCAATTATGTGTATCGAATTCCTGGTTTCCTTTTGTCGAAGGCTATGTAAGCCTATGTTTATTTGTGCCTACGATTTCGTAAATTAATTTTAAAAACAAGCAACATTTCCGCCCTAAAATGGACTTTCCTTCGCTGCTGTCACTAAAAGGCAAACATTGCATGTCATTTTTGGTTTGCAAGCTTGCACTATATCATTTGGAATCGAAACCGTTCGCAACGTCTTTTGGCAAACGCTTGCATCTGGAGGAAATTATTTCGAACATAATCCCAGGAAATTGAATGCTCGTTGCGTAGATATTTTAGCTTTTATATTGTTGTGTATTTATAGTGGTCTTGGGCGAAGCGTAGCGATTATGCTTATTTGAAGTGTTGAAAGTCATTTGTCAAAATTGTTTGCATGCCAATGCGACTATAGACGTGTCTTTACTCGTGTCAGCAAAGTCCTTTTCTTCTGGTCATTATCATATTTCATTTTGGCCTTTTTAAAGCGCTGTTTTGTCCAAAACTTGGTAATACTTGCCAAGTACAAAAGCGGAATTTAGCACATAAAAATTAATTAGCATCGTTGCTTTTGAGAGTTGGCGAGACAATAAAACTGCTATTTATTTGTCAAAATGTTTCTAATTATTGAGGAAATGTTCGCAATTTATGGGCAGATACTGGACGATGTAAAGAAATATCAATTCAAAAGAACTTTTTGGGAATTTTACTAAAGATAACTGCATTTTGATAATATTATATTCGTCCTATAATGGCTTGCCGAAATTTTGTTTACACTTCCGTAATTAGCTGGGACTGTAACAAAATTGTCTCTTTGCTTTTCCATTTAGCTATTTCTGATTTCGAATTTTCTGATGTCGGGTAAAAAAATAATCCCAATGCCCAAAGGTGCAAAATGAAAATAATCCAGATCTGCCGTCTATTAAAATTTCAAAACGAACGCTCCAATGTCTCAATTTTCTTCTAGAACTGTTTTTATTTTAGTTATTATTATGATAATATAAGAGCAAATTCTAGAGCATAATGAGAATAAAAATAGCAGCTTGTTTATAATTGCCAACTGTTTTAAAAATGCCTCAGTTTAGCGGATTTTGAACTAGCTTAAGAGCAAGTAGGCCAGACATCCACCTTTTTTTCCTTCCGGTTGTTATATATTTTAAAAAAGTGAAACTCCCAAACTGTATAATTATGCTTCAATTTGTGTTGTGTTCAATCACTTCAATTGTTGGTAATTTTGTGCTCAGTGGAACTTAATGTATCTTGCTGAAACTGTATCATCGAAGCATGCCAAACCACATGCCTTGGTCTCAATATACAAAGCTATAAGCTGTGACATGTGCAGATTTGCAGCAGATAAATTATATTAGTCATCTTTGCATATTAGTTATATTCATGAAAAAGTTATCACCTGGCAAGTTGAGGCTGTTGTATTCACAATCAGACTGAAATATTCATGTCTTTTGAATTGATATTAATGTATATGGTACTTGTATTGGTCAGAGAGATGTTGTCAGTGCTGAAGTTTATACTTAAACTATACTATTGAAAATTCAATCATAGCAGATGTTTTTTGGACAAATTATTCTGTTATATGAACTCTAAGCATAGTGATTGGCACCTTTCATCAATCCTTGCACAAACAGAAGCTTTAATTTGTTTATGAGACAGATTTTAAAATCATTATGAAAACTTCATTCAGAATTGCTTTGTTCAATATGCTTTGCATATGTCATGCATATGTCATGCAATTTGGCATCCAAGGACTACGACAGAGATGAGATAGAGCACATTCTCAGAACGTAAACACTAATAGCACATTTATCCTCATGCATATATATATATAAAGATAGCAAAGTAGTTTTTAATAGATATAATCTAAGGCATGCACGCTTATAAAAGTGGAGACATGTTTTATCAAAATGTTAAGAGGCACTATACCTCTCTCCGAATCTCCTCCATTGATCTCCACCCCTTGTGACATTAATGTCAATGAGCCCACTAGCTCGTATCATTTCCATGCTAGCTTGCATTTTGTCCAATTTTCCAACATTCATAATCTAATTTTTTCTGCAAACTAGATATTCTGTAAGGAGTCCTCACAGATTAAAGCATCAGGATTTAAGAGCATGGTAAACAAATTCAAAGAAAATGTGAAAGTTCAAGGAGGGGTTTCACAATCCTCAGCAGAAGGCACAACACATTCTTTAACAGACTCGGAACGAATCGCTTTCTGTGATTGGATAAACAGTTCGTTAGAGGAGGACCAGGACTTGAATCGTTTAAAGCTTTTGCCGGTTGACCCAAATTCTGATACGGATTTATTCAACAAAATTCAAAATGGCATTATACTTTGGTAAGTCAGATTGCATTCTTTATCAACTACCATATTTTGTACCATACAAAGTATTGGTATAATACAAAGTACAGGTATAATACAAGGTACTGGTACCATACAAAGTACTGGTACAATACAAAGCACTCGTACCATATACAAAGTACTGGTACAATACAAAGTACTGGTACAATTACAAAGTACTGGTACAGTACAAAGTAATGGTACAATACAAAGTACTGGTACAATACAAAGTATTGGTACACTAATTTTTTGTTTTGATTAGCAATTAATTACTATTGTTACTTAATAATTAGCTAGTCAATAAATAGCTGCTTGATTATTAACCACAGATTAATGTACACATCTCGATTAAATAATGATTGTAATGTATTTTCATTTTCTATAGTAAACTGATCAACCTGTCTGCTCCGGACACAGTTGACGAGCGTGCAATTAACATCAAACCAGAAGAAAAACTGAACATTTACCTCAAACAAGAAAATCAGATTTTAGCCTTGAACTCTGCGAGCGCTATTGGTTGTTACATTGTCAACATTGGTCCAGAAGATCTCACCAAAGGAACACCCCATCTTGTGTTGGGCCTTATCTGGCAAATTATCAGGGTGTGTATCAGAATTCAGACATTTTTATTGTATTTTATGTTTCCTCATGGAATTTTGCCTGTTTTGATGAAATACTCAATAGATGATGGGGTGGCTAAGAACAAGGGCAGCAGTTCAATCCCTCAGCCAATATTTGGGGTGAGGCTGTGAGGGGGGAGTATAGTTGACTTCAACTCAATGTTAATGGCGCACAAGAGCTTCGTGCTTGAAACACTTGAATGAAATTTCGTCGAATAGAAAGCTCTTTTGTTTGTTGCATTTTAGAAATAATTTCTTCCGTTTTCTTTTGGCAAGCGTTACAGATAGAAAGCGGGACACTCGCGAGTCACTGACCGCAATGTACAAAACTGGATACACACACTTTCGGGCTACTAATTAACATAATTTCCGCGGTACTTCACTTACTTCACTAGCTTCAATGTCAATCCGTGTGGAATATAACTACCCTCTCCCGGAGATGATAACATCTCACCATCTTTTCCCTTAGATTGGTCTTCTCGCTAAAATCAATCTCGCAAACGTCCCAGGCCTCGCCCGACTCCTGCAAGATGGTGAGACGATGGACGACCTGATGAAGCTCTCACCTGAAGAGATCTTGTTGAGATGGGTCAACTATCATTTGGAGCAAGCTGGTTCGAATAAAAGAATTAAAAATTTCGGTTCTGATATTAGCGTAAGTTCGCTCATGGAAGATGTTAATGTTAAAGAAAATATGAAAATTGTGAGTTATTCACTAATTGATTTGTCTTCGTTTCCAGGACTCAGAAGCCTACACGGTGTTGCTTTCTCAAATCGCCCCTCCACAGTTTGGAGTCGACCAATCACCTTTGAGGGTAAGTCTGTACTATTTATGACGAAGTCATCCATTCTAATCGCCAACTCCTGCAGTCCCCTACCCTCGCACGCCTGCGCACCGCGGCTTGAATTAAGATAGCGACGTCGCGTAAACGCAAGCGTGCCAATATAGAGGACTAAGAACTAGTCTTCCACCAGCTGCTGGTAGGCGTTTAGACCTCGAGTTCTTCTAATAACAATAGATAAGACTCCTTGATTTGAGAATTGTCCCATACTTTTTTACACGTTTTGGATTTTTCTGCTGTTAAATTTTCCAACAGTACATGATATGTTAAGCAATATAGCTCTCTGTAGTACAGAGAGAGTCTGTAGTGTGCACAAAGTGTTTCAGTTTGCATCTTACGGACTGTACACCACTTTGATTCGACGTTTTCTTGTAAATCTCCAGGAACAGGACAAGATGAAACGAGCTGAACTGGTTTTGGTAAACGCAGATAAAATGAAGTGTCGTAGGTTCGTCCGACCTGCCGACATTGTGAAAGGACATACGAAGTTGAACATGGCCTTCGTTGCTAATCTGTTCAACACCTATCCATGTTTGCCGCCTGTGGAAGATATGGAGGAAGAGATTGAAGATTACGAGGAAACCAGGGAGGAATTGAGTAAGTTTAACACAAGTTTTGAAGAAGAAATATTATTATTTTAACTTCCATCATAAATAAACTGGCGGGGCTTAGCTTTTTCAACGTTTACCAGCGCTGAACGTGGGTAATAGAATTCCAGCAGATCTTTTCGTTTATAATGTATTGTTTCATTGAAACAAAAGACAAAAATCTGACAATTGGGATTTTTGCATGTATTGCTTAACTGAATTGCATGTTATCTGAATGTGCATTGACATGCAGTATGTTCCAACACTGTATATTTCGTGCCATAAACCGACTGAGCTATTTAAAATATTTCTTTCAGCATTCCGTAACTGGATGAACAGTCTTGGCGCCAATCCGTTTGTCAGCCATCTTTATAACAACCTTAGCGATGGTCTGGTCCTCTTCCAGGTAAAAATCACAAATCCAGCACAATTCGTATCGATAACTGTTGATGAAACATTCATTCCACTCTTTTAACCACCTCATCTTTACTTTTCACAATTATAATCAACTCGTGCGTCTTTCAAAACATTAAGATTGGGCGCTTGTTTTTCCCTGTTTTTTTTCCTTGCTTTTCTCGAGGACCGCAACAGACAGAAAACATATTTTTGTGTCCAAGTCCCATCTTCCATATTTTGCTTGTGTTTTCTTGTAGTTATTCGACAAGATCAAGCCTGGAATTGTGAACTGGAACAAGGTGAACAAGCCACCGTTCAAGCAAATGGGAGGGAAAATGAAAAAGATTGAGAATTGCAATTACGCCGTCGAACTGGGCCATCAATTGAAGTTTTCCCTCATCGGTATCGGAGGTGAAGATATTCACAACAAAACGAAAACATTGGTGCTCGGTAAGTGAACAATTTGGGCTTGCCAATAATTGAACAATACAGCTTGTCAACAATTTCATCCATTCAACTTAGAAGTTAAAAGAGATTTTAATAATTCGTATTTTTCGTAAACAATTATATCTGCTAAATAAATGCTTTCGACAAAACTCGAGACAGTACAGAATGAAATATTTTCTAATTCTTTATGACTTACGAATTGAAATATACCCTGTCTTTTTATACAGCTTTGGTGTGGCAAATGATGCGGGCTTACACGCTGAAAATACTTCAAAACCTTGCCGAATCAGACAAGCCTTTGGAAGATAAAGACATTATAGCTTGGGTTAACGAGAAGGTAACAGTTAGAGCCATGTTATAATGTGAACTAAAATTTGTCTGAAAAGGAGAAAGGGAAATGTTTCGATATCCCCATCTGTATAGAGAAGGAAAGGGTTGTAAAACTATTCCACATAATCTTACAATTTTACATTCTTCATAATTGTCACATTGCATCAGCATTCATTTCTCATCTTGTAAAGCTCTGTTGACACGATCCCAGTTTGTCGGATGATCCAATTTACTTCTGATGGATGTTTTATAGTCTGTTGACTTGCAATGTATATATGGACAGGAAATCGACTAAAGCCAATGCAGTACCGCTTTATCAGTAACAAAATACATTCCATACATCAGAAGTGTATAGGACTAAGGCACCCTTCAACAACCCTAGTAAAAAAGCACAGCTAATCCCGCAATTGGCTATAGGATGGGAATACCTGCAATCATATTTTGAAATATTTTACATTAAATTTTACAATTAAGAAGGCGTGTTAAAACATCGATAAATTCCTTCTCTTGCAGTTGGAGTCTGCCGGAAAAACATCGAAGATTAGCAATTTCAAAGATCCAAGTATCTCGACCAGTCTGCCAGTCATTGATCTCGTTGATGCAATTAAACCTGGCTCTATTAATTACGATATCGTGACTGCTGGAAAAACTGACGAGGTAAGAAACTGGATGGACTTTATGATCTGAGGTCAAACATCCCCCATTCTTTAAAACACCAAGCTTTTTCATTTCGTGAAAATACAAGCGTTCCTTTCCAAAACGAGGCCCCAGCACCTTGATGAGGTCCTATAGAGGGGAACCTTTGTTGTCAGTGGAAATTTTATCTCAATCACTTGTGCGTTCTGATCTAGACAAAGTACAAGTTATTTTTATAACGTTGCTATTTTTGATGGTCATTTTCAATACACTGAAATCTTATGAATGGACTTTGCACTCATAATTTCATTTTTTTAGGAAAAACTGGACAATGCAAAGTACGCCTTGAGTATGGCGCGAAAGATTGGTGCCCGCGTGTACGCTCTGCCCGAAGATTTGGCTGAGGTCAACCCTAAAATGGTTCTCACAGTCTACGCCTGTTTAATGTCTGCCGTGTATTCGAAGGGCAAGAAATAATGAATTTAGTTAGCCTGAAAAAAACAATGAACAACGTTCTCCGTATGCCTTGTGATTTTTGTTATTCAGACTTTTCTATTTTAATAATATACTTGCAGTAATCCTAACTAATTTGTATTAATGGCTGGAGACGTCGTGTCAATCTTAACAAACGCTTTGAATTGCATTTTCCCGCCAAAAATTTGATGAACCCAATTTATAAATACGATTAATTTTAACAGAAATGCTATGCTAGTCTAATTGATGTTTTTCGCGTCGAATTCAATCATTAATCTCATTCTCTATTGTTCAAATTGCCCTCCACGCGACGAAAATACGACGTAGAACCTACAGGGTGGACCCACAAGTGCATAAATGTTTGCCATTTTGTATTTTAATGCATGATGTAGTAAAATTTGTTTGTACGCAAAAATATTTATCAACAAGATTTACAATTTGTCCTTCGTCGACCTTTGTCGAAAAGCGTCTGCGGTCAGCTGTACCATTTTCCTTCGAAGCAATAACAAGGCTAATTTAAATTTAATCACATTCACAATTAAAATTTTTCGTATTAAGCATTTTATAAGGTGCATTAAATCCCCACGGGCTAAAATTCGTTAACACGACATTCAAATGTTAACAATGAGTGATTTCAATATTTTTCGTTTTTTTAAGACACCCTGTAGATCTGAGTGAAGAACGTTTTTTTATTGTTTTGAAAAGCACCCACTTGCATTTTTGTTTGTTTTTTTATTAGAAGTGAGATTTTAGGCATCTGCTAATTATGCAAATCAATTGTTTTTTTGCATAGTTTGTGTTCTACCTAAGCAAATGTATTCAAATTACAACAATAAGTGTTTAGTTCGTAGAACAAAGGGTAAATATCTTCGTATAATTTTTTATTTCGACCAATCAGCAAGCTCGATCGCAAGATTCAGCCAATCGCGAGCCTGCCCTGTATGCGAATCTATGATGTCACTATAGGCAGCCTCGTGCGAGGGAATTTTAAAATTATATTCATTAATCTGAGGCAGTGGCGTAAACAACATTGTATTCAGTAAACTAAGAGAGAAATTTAAAGAGAACGCCGATTTCTTAATAAAATATAAGGTAAGAACTTGAGTTGTTGTATTTGCAATTTTCTGTGTGATCTTTTCTTCATCGAAGAGTCACTCGTATCTAAGTTTTAGGAAGTAAGTTTTAGGAATTTGTAGTGTTCTTTCAACCATCGACAGACCAATTCAGTAATTTTACTTCTTGCCGTTTATATGGCGTGAATTTTGACCCCTTGTAAGGCTAGTTTGAAGCCATTTTAGACCACGGGTTTAATAGTACTGAAATAAGACCCTCAAAGCTAGGATTTAACCGACGAATATATTGCATTCTGTATTCTCGACGGCTGTAATGTAAGGGTGGCCGCGTGGAAAGTGCATGCTGTAGGATGACCATTATACCACCTTGCTAGAAGCCTAGAACAGAACCAAAAATATTCCACGACCAATTTCACTGCAATTCATTTATTCAACTAACGAACTAGCGGTAGCCGACACCGTTGGTGTTGCACGTTTTTTTTGTTTAAATGGAAAGCTGTTTTCAGCTACAGCTTTAGCGCGTGATCAACCACGACAGTCATTATTTTAGATGAAATTTCGTAGAGCTCAAAACTTCAAAACCTGCAATATTAACTTACATCTCTTTCCTTCTTATTTTAGGTCACAAAATTCAGCTAACAAGTATATATGGCCTTGAACGGACGCGGGTGGTACACGAGGTGAGCAGTCCTAGGCCTGTTGTTTTGGGATCTTTGATTTTTTCCCATTCGGAAAATCTTAAATGCTTGCAACTCGTCTGAGCCGCTACATCCAATTTGAAAAATTGACCCTGTATTGTTACAAAAAATAATTAGAGATCAGATTAGATTTTATTTTTTATCGCCCGTTCACGTATATCAAAACGCGCTTATATAAAGGTTTGAAAAATATAAACGTATGGAAATAGTGTCAGTGACAGTGTGAAGTTTTATCAAACATGGGCTAAGATATATACAAGCCTTTGAAACAGTCCATAGTCTTAAAATTAATCGTTTCTAATTTTTCTTTTTAGATAAATAGTCCGATAAAGGAATAGAATATCAGTCCGCGTACAGCTGCTTTTCCCATCAACATGCATGGGTATGTATTATCATTTCTGTATGATAATTAACTAACAACGCTTATAATTATATAATTCATAGATATATAATACCTGGCTTTCATAAAAAATATCGAACGAGAAACATTTAAGGAACCCCAAAGAAAGAACATAAACAACATAAACAACATAAACAATGTCAATGTCTTATAAGGCAGTTAACCTTGTAAAGGACTTAGTGTCCTATTGTTTTTCTGCCTAGTATAATTGTTATGTTGTAATAACGTCTATACTAAATTTAATAAATTCAAATTCAAATTCAAATAACTTGCCTCCATTTCATCATAATTATTGTAAGAATAGTGTGATGTTCTATTGCATGGTCATGCATTATTCGATGGCACTTTGTTGCATGTGTGGGGTCAGGGGTGATAAGAATTTGTGGTACTAGGAAGACTGCATGAAAGCCGTTTCCCTTCACATAGGCCCACGAATTTAAAGTTGACCCGATGAATTTCCTGAAGAAACTACGGAGTATATAAATCAGTCAGTTCAGCTTCGAGCATGCTTTCCCCCTCGCACCAGTTTGGTATATATAAAACGTGTAGTAATTATTCTTTTCTTTTTTTTTGCAGGTTGAATGGCGAACCGCATTTAAGCGTACATGATTTTTTCATCTGCACGTTTTATTTTCTTTCTTCCCATTTTTTTCATACTCAGTCGTCACCAGGACGCATGATTCGCAATAGTTCAGTTACAAGGAGACGAACCGAGCCCAAGTTCATCATCCTTCATTTCAAACTTGCAGGCGCCTAAAACTTAGGTTTGATATACGATACATGCATGTTCTAGGTCTCTTAGGGTCAGTTAGGATTCATCAACGAGTGAGATAAACTCGTCAGCTTAAGTTCTAATTAAGGCTCGTAGCGTGAGATAAACGCTCAGTTAAGTCCCTTAGAATCTGCCCAAACATGCATTTTATTTTTGTTCCTGGCTCAATGGAGCATTTGTTTATCCTGGTTGAGACAACGAACGCTGTGGATGAACCTGTGTAAGGTATGTGACAGTATCACCGTGAATTGTGAACTGTTTCTGGTCGAGCAAGTAAAAGCATAATAGGGCCGTTAGAACGGGGTGGGGTGGAGTGGGGTGAGTTGGAGGTATCGAATTCTGTGCATGTTGATATACGTTTAAATCAAATTAAGGAAAAGTTACCTTGAGATCAACCTGTTTATACTTGCCTGAACAAATTGACCTCCAGACCCTCTCATCCCTCCCGATAAGATTCAAGGGTTTTTTTCCCTCCGCTTCTCAACCTGCTGTCAGACATAGCCCTTAGTCAAGGATAAACAATTTTACTCATTGTAGTTTTATTTTATTTTTTCTAGAAATCGGAAGCCTTACTGGAATACTCGTTTGAATGTGAATGCAATATCGGTTAGTTTGACGGTTTGATCATTTCTACAAAAACATGGCTTTATTATACTGAGGTTCATTTATTTCTATGCTATAGAGCTAATCTCAATGCAATAGAGCTTGGGACTCGTTTTCCCCGGGTACTCCGGAGTTCAAAGACTTTCGAACGATATACTGATATTTCTAGCGTTATTTCTTTGGCCGGCCATAATTTTCGAGTAGTCTATTTCAAAATTTTGAATGATACTGAACCGGATATTCCCGAGTTCAGGGAATTTAGGGCGATATTTTCAGTTTTATGTTTTTCGCTGGCCATAATTTGCGAATAGACTATTTCAAAATTTTTGATGATAGTGAAGAATTTTTATCAGTTTGTTAGATTATCTCAATGCTATAGAGCTTGAGACTCGATTTCATTGGGTACTTCGAAGTTTTAAAAATCCTTGGAACATGTAGCGTTATATATTTCTAGTCAACAGTCCAGTGATTTTTCAGCTCAGTTTCCTCATGCTGTGCATGCGCACAACAGTTGTCAGCAGTGTTGGTTTGGTGTGACCTCCACCGAGTTGTCCACGCTCTCAGATTTGATTAAAAAATGCGTAGGAAAGGCGCCTTCCTACATCAGCATTTTTTCACTTGAATCTGGTAGTTTGGACATTTCAACCGGAGGTTATGAGAAATCAGCATTACTACCAACTGTTTTGCGCATGCTCTAATTGCTGATACTGAACTGGAGTACCACTGCACTGTTTCCTCAGGTCCGTAATCATCAGGTTGCTGAGAATTTGTATTCATGGTTTGAACTTTTGTTTTCTGCACAACTGCCGGACATTTTCAATGTTAACATTTAAGTCTAACTGCTATTTTGTGCATGACTCGAAACACAGCTAAGCTCGAGGGGCAATTTCGAATGATTTTGCTGACAAAAAAATTTTTGAGTATATAATTTCGGTTTCTTCCAAAACATTGCATTCACATACGAAAGAGTACCCATGGCAACCAACTTGGAGGGCGAACTCCACTGACAAAATGGTATCTCCACTGGCAAAATGGTATCTCCACTGGCAAAATGGTATCACTGCTGACTACAATCAACTGTGGATAACACTCAAGATGCGACGTTTAGAAGCAAAGTTGATGACTACTTTAAGGTTTATTTTTAGTATTTTAGGACACGCGTATTCAGAGCCCGGTCATGCATAAGGCTTTGGATACTAGAATTCTGATGGTCTAACTTTTGTGCATGCTTCTTTGCATGATTTGTGCATGGTTTGTGCATGATTTCATTGATTTGTGCGTGCTTTTTGGATGGTTTGTGCATGATTTGTGCATGGTTTTTGGATGGTTTGTGCATGATTTGTGCATGCTTCGTGCATGATTTGTGCATGCTTCGTGCATGATTTGTGCATGCTTTTTGGGTGGTTTGTGCATGCTTCGTGCATGGTTTGAACTTTGAAAGCACGCGACGCGATTGGTTGCTTGTGTGTATCACGGTCTGTGCATGATTTCATGGGAATTAGGTGCATGTCCAACGTAAAAAGCTCATTACGACGATTTCAAAATGAAATCGCGAATGCCTTTT